AAACACGCCCCAATTATGTGCCTGGACACCTATTTCTGCCTTTTTTTAGCAGGTGAATGGACACCGAGTTAACATTTTAGGAAACTGGACACCCTGGAAGGCCGCGTCCAGGTTACGTGAGCGGGCGTCCTGTCCATCATTTTCAAATTTAGTGTTTTGGACATGTCCACTCAGGTTTCAAGGTTTGAAGAGGCATTACAGTCAGAAAATTGTCATCCTGTTGGATGTTGCGAGAAATAGGTGAAGAGGAGTGAACAACAAAATACATGAATCTATGCGTGTGCTAGTATGCGTTACAATGTGTGTGCGCATGGTGTATGTATATGTATTGTATGATGAGAAAATGCTATGCATTCCTGACCAACTCTCAAGCAACTAAAAAAATGCGACAACTCAGATTTGCAATTTTTTTGAACGACTTCCTAATCACTCCGTTTGTTACCAAAGATGCAAATCGATTCGTTGGCGAAGATAAAAGAAATAAGGGTGGCTTTTGATAAACGACAAAAGCACAAATGAGGAAGAAAGAAAAAAAATAACATGTATGCGCCTTCGTGGCGCATAGATAGTGAGTGTGCGTATGTGCGTGAGTTTCTGTTGAACCATGCGCCTCTCGCTGACACAAGTGACCCCTCCATGTGCAAAGGATATAAAAAAGCATATAAAAAATATCTAAATCCCAAAGACTGCAGTGTTGACTTCCATAGCTGACATATCTCTTCATAGTCGGCGACAGAACATATAATAAAATAGCAGAAGACAGCATAAGGTTTTTTAAAATGTAATCTCCCCCTGTATTTCGCCTCAAAGATACAGCTGAGAGTAAAAGTGCTTTAGATGATCACATACAAGAACTACTCTGCTGAATCTTGCAGTGATGGGTACAGTTTAATAGTAGATGGAGACATTCAAGTAATTGACGTGCGAAAAATAAGAAGACTTTGTTGTTTGAAGAATATCATAGTGTTTAGTAGGATAGTCCACAAGGAATGTTACATACATTCTTATCTAATGATCGCTGTGGTTATCGTCAAGATCTACGGGGATGTAACAAACACCATATGATAATTTGGACTTGAAAGGCCTCCCAAGTGAATTTTAGTTTAGGTTAACCGAGAGCTTGGTTTTTGGATCGGTTAAACCAATCAAAAAAAAAGGATGCCACATTCGCACTTTTTTGACGCAGAGGCTTTTAGCAGCCTAGATGTAACTTTCCTCTGTTTCTTGTAAAAGACGCTAGTATCGTCAAATAATAATAAAGGGTCGTTATGAGTAAAAGGCAATCGAGAGGCGCAAAAATACACCGACAATGATCCAGAGACAATGGAGAGGTCATAAAAAAGTACGAGGAATGGTGAAGATGACCCTAGAAACGACCATGGCCTTTTGTGGCGGTAGTGAGGTGATAACGCTACAGACAGTACAGCTCTTTCATTTGGAAGAAAAAAAGGGAGCGCGTTAAGGCTCACCTCAGGCCTTCAAAGTCGTCAACGTGTTTTCTTACCTGATTCCAAAAAGTCATCGCCATTATTTCTCTTGACAGCCTTTGCTCCAACCGCACTGTTTGTTTTATGCTTGCTTCCTTAAGGCACCGTTCCTTATAATCGACGAAGTGAAATAAAAAGAAAGGAAACCGATGCTCTTGCGAGCGCGTTGTGTTGGAAAAGAAAAGGGAATGAGGCGTCGACATAACCCCTTCCTTCCATCATTCGCTTACTCACTCCTCTACAAGAGAGAGCCAAAAATTGCAAAAGAGAGACTCCTGATTGAATCAGGAGATGATGATCTAGCGCCCAACGTGGGGGTCGAACCCACAGCCTTCAGATTAAGAGTCTGACGCTCTACCGATTGAGCTAGCCGGGCTAGAGGCTTTTGCTGATGGCGACCAGGTTTCTACGACACTTTTCTTCAGACACCGCAATCCAAGTCCGAACTCGCACGTGACATTCTATAGGTGCAAGGTCAGGAAAACTCGCGAAAAGACGAGGCGACCAAGGACCCACGCGCTGCCGACGAGCGGTTGTTGGAGAGTTTGTTTGGAAGGACGAGGTTGTCAATGATGGAGAGCATGGAAAGAATCCCCTTCATTTGTATCTAGTTTGATTTTATCTTCCGTTTAAGCTGTGAAGAGCAGCGACAATTGTTGCGCAGAGCCAGATTCTGGACCGGACTGCGACTGGTGGATGGTGCACTGAAGAGTTTGGTCTGTAGTCCCCTTTTACTTCCAAATAACTTCTCTATGCTGTTTGTTAGAGAAATGAAATTGCGTACGAAAAAAAAACATAACATCTGTTGACGAGCGGTTGTTGGAGAGTTTGTTGGGAAAGAGGTGGCTATCAGTGATAGAAAGGATGCGAAGAATTCCCTTCATTCGTATCTAGTTTTATTTTGTCTTCCGTTTAGGCTATAAAGACTATTGACAATCGTTGTGCAGAGCCAGGTTCAAGACCAGACTATAGCTGATAGATGGTGCATTGAAGAATTTTGGTCTGTAGTCCCTCTTTGCTTCCAAATGACTTTTCTGTGCTGTTTGTCAGAGGAATGAAATTGTGAACCAAAAAAAAAAAAAAACATGAGCTGTTCACTAGAGACATAAAATTGCGGAAACTGAAGAGTTACCTTTACCTCTTCTTACTCACACTCACTCTTACTTTCCCTTTTATCTCGTTGTCATTGTTCTTTCTTTTTGTTAATGATAACAAGTGCTCCTTCCTTTCTTATAGACAAGAATACCCAAAAGGCGGCAGATGCCACAGAACCCCAGTTAAATGTTCTTTTCCGTCAAGTGCTGTTCTATTTTTTCCTTCAGCTCTTGACTGCCTACAAATATCCATCAAGAAAAAAAATAAAGAAGAGCAACCAGTCAGGCATCAATCTTTGGAAAATGGGGACAACCCGTGCCTTTTTCCTGAATGCTGTTTGTATACGACCCCTTTTATTTCACTTTTCATATATGACATTCCCCCCCCTCATCCTATGCGATGCGCTGCAATGCCATACACCGAGATCCGAAAGTCATGAGAAAAGCCGATTCCTTTTTCTTGAATAATTGATCATTCAGAAAAGTAATACCACCGGATCGCGTCCTCCTCCACCACCTCCTCCTCCTCCTCCCCGAGTTTTTTTTGCCGCTCACAGAGGCTCAGTTTGTCATTCTCAACACTCTCCGTTCCTGTTTGGTCATTTTCTCCCTTTTTCACACATGGTATCGTTGCCATTCTCCACGACAAAGCGGAAAGCTAGATACAAACATGGCTTTAGATGGTTCGGTAGTGGTTGCAAGTGCCTTTTCTTTTTCCTGTTTGTATTCTGAACAAGATGGAGTTGGTTAAACAATTAAGGTAGAACAGATAGAGGGGATGAAGAAATGCGCCTTTCACCAACTTTGTATTCCATTTATAAAGGTCAGCCTCGCTTTTATCTCTCGTAAATCCATTTCCGTCTGAAATATGCACACAAAAATCAAAAAGATAATCCTCTTAACCCTGAAGAGCTACTCAGAAGGAAAAGGAACAGGAAGAGGATGGAGTGAAGACGGTGTGAAGGGCCTATCCCATTAATGGTTGAAAAGAAAAAAAAAGAAAGAAGAATGCCAGCAAGATATCAAAAACGGATGAACGAAGATGATGACCGTTGGTTGGTCGCACGCACAAGCAGCCCTGGTTGTGCTCTTTGACAATAATTTTGCTTCGCCCAGACCCTCAAGAATATATTACGATTTGAATTCAACTTAAGCTGGTTAGTAAACGCCCATCCTCCTCAAAGATGTGATGATATAGGTTTCTGGATAAAACGACATTGTGTGATGGACTTTGAGCGAAAAAGAAAGATGGTTACTCAATTCTTTCTTCAAAAGAAGACGAGGTTAAGTTAACATGCAGGCCGGGAAAAAGCACAAACAAAAAAAGCAAAAAAAGAGAATCTCTCGAGAGATCTTATGCTCACTGCAGGGATCGAACCTGCGGCCTTTGCGTTATTAGCACAACGCTCTACCGACTAAGCTAAGCGAGCAGTACCTAGCCAAAGCTAAGCGACAACCAATCGTTCGTTGGTTTGTTGAAAATTGACATTTTCTGTCAATTTTGTACTTTCAGCTCATAATACCTTCGTAATATGAATTATACAACCCTCAACCCTGAATAAAATGAAGATTTGTCGAAGAATTATTATTAAAATGAAAAGCTATCCCAAAAAATAATGTTAAAATGAAAGCTATCAAAGAAATTATATTAAAATGAAACCTATTGAAAAAAATAATGTTAAAATGAAAGCTATCAAAAAAAAAAAAAAAATGAAGGGCATATCTGCCAAGGACAAGAAACATCCAAGGACAACACAGGCCCCCGAGGTGACTGGAGTCAAGGATGAGCTTACATCACCCGTGATGGCTTCTTCCCGTGATGGCTTCTTCCCGTGTTTGCGCTTCGCTAGCCACACATGATGAAGGGAGGCGCCCTGGAGCGACCAAGGACCCACACTCTGCTGACGAGCGGTTGTTGGAGAGTTTGTTTGGAAGGAGGGGGTTATCGATGATGGAGAGGATGGGAGGAATCGTTCTATTCGCTTCCAATTTTATTTTGTCTTCCGTTTAAGCTGTGAAGAGCACCAACAATGGTTGTGCAGAGCCAGGTTCCGGACCACAATGTCACTGGTAGACGCCGCACTGAAGAGCAAAGTCTGTAGCTCCTTACTTCCAAATCCCGCCTCTCTGCTGTTTGTCAGAGAAATAATCAGAAAAAAAAAGAAAAAAACCTCTGTTCGTGTCATTGCTCGTCTTTACCATACCACAAGCACAAACACATGCATTTATATGAAGATGTAAGGTAAGTTGAAGAAAAGAAAAGTGAACTGGGTTTATTAAGATAATGATGGGGAATGGATATAATACAATGAGGATTAGCACAGAATGGCACATGGTAGTGAATGTTTGAAATTACGTGAAGTAAATAACAGAAAAGAAGAGCAAAAAAAAAGGACGCGCTTAACCTGAACTTTTTTTATCATCGAGAGGCCTTTTCTTCACGGTCAATGGATTTATGATATCCATGAGAAGAACTCAACCCATGACCCTGTTCTTCCTCCAACTGCCGCTGTGCCACATACGCTGCCCACTCCATCTGCTCCTGCTCCTTCGTCACCCACTTCAGTCCGAATCGACCAAACCGCAGGATACGACCAAACATCCTGCTATGGAAAAACTCTCCAGGCACCGCTGGCAAAAGGCGATCATGGATGCCGGTCCGGACAAATAGCGTCATGAAGAGACCCAACAGTGCACCAGCCAGGAGCCAGTGCATGTTGATGCTGTAGATGTAACTGTCGTTGACGGTGTATCCAGTATCGAGGAGGTGGTTGTAGATCGCGGTGAAGAGGAGACCGGCACCAACGCTGGAGAGACTCCACGAGGTCAGGATGACGCCGTGGAGGGGGCCAATGTTGGAGGGCCCAAACATGTCACAGAGGAAGGCAGGGATACATCCGAATCCGCCGCCGTAGCAAGAGGTCAAGATCCAGATGCTCATGAGGAAGGCCCAGTTGCAGCCAGTTTGCATGATGATGGGGAGGCAGGCGAGGATGATGGCTTGACTGCCCAGCATGATCATGTACGAGTTCTTGCGGCCGATACGGTCTGAGAGGGAAGCAAAGGCCAAACGGCCGACCAGGTTAAATCCGCCGTTGATGGAGACGATGGTTGAAGCAGTGTCCTTGTTGTGGCCGAAGACATCGGTTGCAATGTTGGCTAAACGCGAGATGATAACCACACCAGCCATGGTGTTACCGAGGAACATGATGTACATCAAGCGAAATTCGCGTGAGTAGAAGGCGTCCATCAGACTGATCGAGATACTGGGGTCGTAACCCGTGCGAGCACCAATCCTTGTCGAGTTGCGGCGGGAAGTCATTGAGATGGCGGCGGAGGGGATTATGGTTGCTGTTCCAGAGATGGGCGAGATGGGCGACATGGCGTCATCGAGACTCTTGCGGGGACCAAAATGACCTTGTTGAAGAGGGTGAAGTGATTGGAGGTTGGTTGAACCCACGCCGACGCCAGTGCCAGTGTTGTATAGTCCACTGCCGGCTGAGAGTTTAGGGTGCTCAATCGAGATACTCTTCAGACCCAGATCCCTGATCTCAGCCTCGGTACGAGTCCTCGTCTCAGAGCTCTCATCCTCATCATAGTCATCGACACGGACAGCCCAGACATCGAGCCCATTGACAACATAGCCTGGAGGAGGGACACGGAAGACGAATGCACAGACGGCCATGATCATAAAGTAGAACAAACCTAGGATCACAAATGTCAAGGGCAAGCCAACAGCAGCGGCAAGAGGATCAGGGATCTTGGCCATCACAATCGAACCTGCTCCAAACCCACTGACAGCCAGACCAGCAGCGACACCACGACGGTCAGGGAACCACTTCTGGAGGGCAGAGACTGGAGAAATGTAAGAGATGCCCAGACCCAGACCACCAAAAATGCCGTAGCCAACATAGACCAAAGCGATCATCTTGACGTGGACACCGAGGGCGGTGATCAGGTTGCCTATGAGGAACAGGGCTGCACCCAGAAGGCCAGCATTCCGGGGACCGTGTCGTTCAAGCCAAGGGCCCATGATCGACGACGACACTCCAAAGCAGCCTGCATTCAAAAGTGATGAATGGGGAAGAGAAGGCCGTGGTTATTAGCAAATGAAAAGGAGGTCGAAAATAGAATGCAGGTGCAAGTCATCCTCGTTGGTCTGTGCTCGGACTTAGTTACAAATAAAAAAAATGGTTCGATGGTTTTCTTTTCGTGCTGGTTAACTTACCCAAGGCAACATAGAAAGTGATGGCAGCCAGGTGTATATTCGTCTCAGGACCATAAAGCGCCGTGTCAATGAGGTTGTTGAACACAGACCCTAATAAGCGACATCGTAGGATGGCAACATACAAATGAAAACAAAAAATAACCGGGGGTGACGATTTAGTTTAGCGTGCACCTCCTGAGTCTTACCAATCAAACAATAAACAAGCAAAGCGAGACTAAGGCCCATCAATTGCTCTGGTGGAAAATAACAAATAGCAATTATGTCCATATCCACTTTTTCCCCTTCCCCTTCATCCCCACCCCCTCACTTTCCCCGGAAATAACCCCAAACAAAACAAGAAAAAAAAAACTTACAGGCATACAAGGTCCCACAGACGGCTTGGAAACAAAACGCGGCAGGGAGAAAGACCCATCGACTGAACCTGATGTTTCCAATGAGGTAGGCCTCCTTATTTAACTGAGCCTCAGTTCGAACATATTCCACGCGACTGTAGTGGCGGTAGATGATTCGAGTAACCCAGTTGAAGGCTGCACAGTCCGAGGGTTCGATCGTCGAGCAGATTGAAGTTGTCAATGCGCTGTTGGTCGGCCTCAGCTTGCCTGGGTTGACAACATGGCCATCTGCGCGGAGGGTGTCCCCGCCGGATCCAGCCGCTGCTGCTGGTGGGGCCAGAGATCCTCCTGGCCGGAGACTGGAGAGACCTTGGGTGTGGAGGCGACCTAGCAATGAGCCGTTCTTGAGGCGACGGGTGTTGCTCTTGTTGTTGAGGGTGCTATTGTGGGAGGTGTTGCTGTTCTCGGTGCCGGTGTCGTTATTGCTATCAGCTTCTTGGTGATGTTGGCCGTTCGAGACACTGTTGCTCGCGTGCAGATGGGTGTTATCCATCGTTGTTGTATGTAGCGCCGTTAGGTGTATTGATGGTTGAGAGATTCAGTGAGCAATATTGAAAAATAGCCTTGCTTGTTTGAGTATGCGAAGGATAGTTGTTTGTTGTTTGTTGTCAGTATGTCGTCAGAAATAAGAGGGTTCCCGGACGGAAGAGATGGTGAGAAAGGGAGGAGAGATTGCGGTCTCTTTCTCTCAATACTAGGCGGTTCTGCCTTTTCGTTGTCGTCCGTTATTAATCTCGAATCTCGAAGGATGATTTTCTGACAAACGCGCGAATGACAGAAAGCAAAGAAGAAAAAATTAGAAATTAGGTCTAGTAGAATGTCGAAATGAAAGGCAAAGATAGAAACGCAGCTACAAGAAGGAAAGGGGGTATAAAGGTGTTGTTGAAAAGTAGAAAGAAGAGAGAAGCTCAAAGAGAAAAAGAGGTCGACTTGGTGTAGGTTTGATGTTTAGTCGCCGTATTTGAATGAGTTCATTCGCATGTGCGGATCAACAATTTACCAGTCGGTAGGTTTGGAAAATAGAGAGTATGCGAGGAGAGGCGGAAAGGAGGGAGGGGTAGTTATGAGAAACAAGAGAAACTAGCGAGGAAGAAGGAGTTAAAGGGACGAGAAGAAAAGAGGCAAAAAGAGAGGAAAGGAGTGATAAACAAGGAGGCAAGTGAAAAATGGGGCACGTAAGAGAGATTAGGGGAATACAACGATGGAAGTTTCTGTGAAGGGGTGAAAGGGGAAGAAGACAAGGACGAGAGATGTCCTAGTATTGCGTAAATAAACGGGTTTGCTTCAATGGAAGCGAAATGAGAAGTAGGGAAGAGGGGTTGGACAAGTATCTCAGAAAGGCCTGCGGATCTTACAAAAATGCGCGACTCAATGCCTGAACGAGAATGTGAGAGAGAAAGAGTGAAGACCAACCTTCAACGTGAGAGTGAAAATGACGACGAAGAAAAAAGGATAGGAACGGTAAAGGGTGAGGGAGACGATAATGATGAGGGGACTTTTGGACGCGGTTTTGGAGCAATGCCAGGATGTAACAAGAATGAAGGGGGCCGGGAGATGGTGGAAGAGTAGCACAGGAAGGAAGAAAGAAAAGAAGCGCAACCTAATTACATGAGTGTTTAAGTTTACCTACTTATCGAAATCTTTCTTACTGCTGGGCGAAATGGCGAAAGAGGGTGCGTTGTTTTGTGCGTTAGTAAGGGAGAAAGTTGAAAAAGGAAGTGAGTGAGAGGAAGAGTGGTAGAGTTTCTGGAGGTAAGGGAGAGTGAGTTTTGGAGCGAGAAGATGAGGGGGAAAGAAGAGGAAGGAGGATGAGGAGGAGAGCAAACACGAGAGAGGGAGGTCCAGAGGGATGACAAAAGAAGAATAATAAAAAAAGGGCGCGTTTATTGTTCGTCAATGTCTGCGTTTGGCGCAATTAGAGGCGAGAAGAAAAAGAGGGAAGGAAGCACAAAAGAAAGAAAGAGAGAAAAAAAGAAGAAAGAAAAGAGAGGATGGGACTGAAAGAGAAAAAAAAAGAAGACAAGAAAGAGATAACAAAACGCCTCTCTTTTTCCTTCTTATGGACGTTGCAAAAGCGAGAGTGGAAAAGGGCCATGTCATGTCACATCCATGCATGCCGCTTTGTTGATGTTGCTCAAATGCTTTGCACTCGTGTCCTTCCTTGATTTTCATTCGCATCTTTAGTTCGTTTATTTCTTACTCGGTTATTATTGATTGTTTTTTTCTTTACTTTGTTCGCTGGTTGTTATTGAACGGGCATTCTCTTCTTGTTACTTGTAGAAAGAGAACCGCCAATCCAACTGTGGTTCGTGAAGCTAGTAGACCGTGGAAGAAAATAACTCAATAAGACAACGCACAAAATAACACGCTTCGTCGTGAGTGACAGAGTAGGTTCACTTTTGATTGCTTTGGAAGGAGGATAAAAAAGGGAGATCTCAGCAAAGTTAAAGACAATAAAGAAAAGGAATTCAAGAAAGGATCGGCCAGCCAGTCAGTCAATCAATCGGATAAAAGAGGATACCATCGATTGAATACATGGTTCTTTCCAATTGACCTAGGCATCGTGGGGCGAGCGGGACAACGTTGCACAAAAGAAAGGGCGCCCTCCTAAAAATATGCGGAGAAAAAAATGGGGAGGGTACCTCATTAGAAGGAAAAAAAGGCACAGGAATAACCACGTATGCAAGAGACACGGGGGGAGGGAAGAAAAGAGAAGGGGGTTCAAGCGAGAGAGAGAGGTAAGAGAGTAAGAGAACGAGAGAGATAATAAAAAGGGCATTGAAGACAGAGTTCAGGAGAGTTGAACTTTGGACACAAGCAAAGACAGATAGAGTGAACAACGAAAGGCAAGGAGTAAGCTAAAGAAAGGAGCGCTGGAAGAACGAAGAGAGACAAAAGTAATGGAGGTTGCCTCCAAATGGACTTTTGCCAGCTAGTACCAGCCTCTCCCATCAGCCAGCCAGTCAATCCCTACGCTTCATGTCAAGAAATGACAGATATGTAACGAAGAAAGAATTCCTTGTTGAGATCTCTGTCAACAATTATCTATTGTCCAGAACGTGATCGGGCCAATTACCATCAGAAAGTCAAAGGGTGAGGTCGATTGAGGAGGATAAGGAAAGCCATCTCCTTCGTCAATTACAAAAGAAAAAAAAGAACAAGGCGAAAGTGAAGAGGGAGACAGAGATCGAGGCAAGTGGACAAACAAACTGGTACACCTCCCGGACTCAGTGCCCCAAAACATCGTAGTTGCACAAACAAACAGCTGACAAAATCAGCAATGTTTAGTACGATGTTTGGATGTTTGTCCGTGTCCAGCAAAAGACCCATACTACAAACAGACACAACTTCTCTCCTTCTCTCTCTCTCTCTCTCTCACATCCTAAAAATAAGCGAATGCAGAATAGTTCTAGATACTCTCTTTGCTGAGCAATCTGGGGCTTGAGCACCCAGCTGTGGGGGTAGGTGAAGCAAAGGGGGCGCAGAATGATCCAGGAGGGGACGCGTTTGAACTGTTTAAATTTCCGTGACAAATGGAGAGGTGTCCTTAAATGTCTGAGCGCTGAGGATCGGTTCTCTTGTCTCGGGTGATCATCCTAGATAATTTGACTCCATGAAGTGAGCGAGCAACGACAAATAATGGTGGCAACTATGTGGAGAAGAAGGAAGGGGAAGGAAAGAATGTGAAAATGAAATGCAATTTTGCTTCTTACAAGGCATGTTCTCTCTTTGAGCATGCATGTCAAAAAACCTGAATGACTTTGTTGAGCCGTCATAATTTAGTCCCCCACAGAATGGGAGGCCACATACAATTAAACCTTTGTGCTAAGCTATGCAAGCACAAAAAAACCGCCGTCGGTATTAGATGCATGGGCGTGGAAATCGAGGACGAGGAGACAACAGACCAAAGAGAAAGGGGATAAGAGGGAAAGGAAAAGAGAAAGAAGTATGCCGACAATCCCATCTTGGAAAAAATGAATAATGGTTGATCTCATGAACGACACCCACATGTAGACGACCAAACGACAAAGAAAGATAGAAGATATATGCATCCGAGCGTTGCCTTTGAGGCCAATGTCCAAAATGAAGAAATGAAGACAACAAAGATTGCCTTCGCCCTCGATTTCCCACTATTTTTCTCCATCTTTTTGTCAATCCACGTCTTTTCATCGACAGGGTGTAAATGATCATGAAGTATCTGCAATCCTAGAACGTGAACAAACAACGCGTGCTGGATTTATGCGGGAAAAAGGAGGGTCTTGAAGGACGAGCTGGTTAGAAGGAGGCACGTCATTTCATGATGAAGTAAGAACGAGGAGCCCACCTTCTTAGTTCGCTCTGCTCTACTTGTTAGTTCTCATCGTGCCCTGATAAAAAACAAAGGAGACAGATTTGGACAATATGAAGGCGGAGAACAAGAATAAAACGACCTCATATTGTCACAAACAATAGCGGGAAAACCACCCCAGCACTCTTGGAGATCTCATTAGTAGTTCTGAAGTTTGAAAAGCGTTCCCTACTCTCCTACTTCTGGAGCGACGGTCAAAAGAAGAGCTGGCCTCTGGATTCACCCATTTCGTCTTTCTATCCCTCGACCCTGAAAATTACATTGGTTAATTACCGTCTACTAGAACAGTAAGATAGCAGCATCCCAGACTCGTTCTTGATTATGCTCACTGCTGCTGTGCTGCCGTCTATTCCCTTCTAAGAAGAGAAAGTTTGGAAAGGGCTCATCTCGGAAGTGTTTGCGATATCTGACCATTTGAAGTCACCGCTCAGGGGACAATGAATGAGGGGAAGAGTGTGGGGAAGAGTGTGTGGAAGAAAAAAAGACAGAAAACCAGATCACTGTGTGTTTGTGTTGAGATGATGCTGTTGTTTCCCCCATACTGTCCTACAGCAAGCAACAACATCGTTACCCCTTTCTCTTTCACCACTTCTTCCTGTCCTTGTTTTTGTTCGTTGTTCTCCCCCTCTCGCGAGAAGCCCCTTCTTCCCCTCCCTCAATCTGACCACCTCACTCTCCTTCTTTCTTCTCGTCATGTTCCTCGGTCATAATTATGCGTTTTGTCGCTTGGGTACTATGGCGCCTTCGCGTTGACTATACGATCAAGTTAAAGTAGTAACATACAAACATGCAAGGGTCTTCGTCGTTCCTCATCTTTATGTCTCCTTAGTCCTTGAGTTTCAAAATAAAAAAAGCTGTCCGTCTGTCGACCCTTTCGCGTGCATCTTTTTCTTTGTCTCCTCAACTCTTTTTTTTTCTTGGGAGGGAGGTTTTTTTGGTTCCTCATCTCACATCTCTCCATTTTTGCTCTGCTCACCTTCCACCTAATCCAAATCGAAGGCTGAAGCAGGCAGTTGCCGATCAAGTCATATGGATATGCATCATTTTAAATGCAAGAATGCAATATGCAACCACAGCTTTATCGTGTAAATACACTCCAATCATTCTCTTTCTACTGTCCCCGGTTTTGTTTAGGCTTTGTTTAGCGGTGCTGTTGGTATTCTCCTCTTTCAACTACATACATACATACATACATTAGTTTTTCTGCTACTGCGCTTGTATCCTCGGTTTATGTCTACACATCGAAAAGGCATAAATACAAAGCGCACGACCACGCGATGAAAGCGACGCAGAAGAGACAAGAAACGAACAATTGAATAGGAGCAAAAGGATAGCCAGGATCTCCTTGACAAAGCATCTCATGCCGGCAATACCAGAAGCCTTTATCCTCGGAGAAGGAAGGACATATCTTTGTTTCTGGTGTCGTCGTCGATTCGCTCGAGTCTAAACACCAACAGCCACATAATGCAATGTTCAATAAAGGGATGAGTGAGGACAGAGGAAGGGGAGAGGAGGAGAACGCCAAAATGATATCCAAAGATCGCGACACGTTTTTCTTTGATTCGACAACGGAGAGAGAGCGACACCACAACGCGATGTGGCAATCGGGGCGTTCTTGACAAGCATAGCATAATCGGCGCTTAGAAATTGTGGCCGAGTAATATAGACATGTCGATTTATTGATGAGGAGGAGGCGAATATGTAATGACGCGACAAACGGCCTTTGGTATGATTGAAAATAAAAAAAAAGCCAATCATCGGGAACATGACTCGTCATCGTCCATTCATGCAGAGACCTCGACCTCCGATAAGTAACGATGACCTCTTTTGTAGTCCGCGATGATTGCTTCAATTGCGAGGACTGTGCTCTTCACCCATTTCTTAGATACACCCAGGGCATCCATGGGTATAATTAACTCGTACGCGATGCCCCGTGAAGCACTGAGCGTCTTCTCCTTTTAACACAATGTTCTGGATATATAATACACGAGTAATACAGCTTTTCTACCCTCGGTGTTTGTAGCTCAAGTGGCCGTTGTTTGCCTATCCATATTTTTGAGCGCACTAGTATTGTACGTTGGACAAGTTGCACCGATGATAGAAGTTTCTTGTGTCCCTTTTCATCTGAATATACTTTGAGGAATGTTTGCCCAACGACTCATAAGACGATGGTCAACGATCTCGTCTTTCGACTTTGGACTATGAGTCGTGTTATACAAGAGGGGGATGAGCATGTCAACCAAACGCATATTAAACAGATGGCCGCAGCTGTCGTCAGCACCTTTTTTTTCAATCAGACTGGATACGGATCTGTGCTGTCGTTCCCATTTTGTTCAACGGGGATGACAGTGAAGTTTAGTTTCTTTTCTCTACTAACCCTAGGTCTCTTCTTTTTTAAGTGAACGCGTGTATCTCGAACCTTTTCGAGATAAAGAACATGATGTTTATTATTTCCGCCGCCGCTCACTCTGATCTGAGGTCATTAGCTCCCAGGCTGTAGTTTCGTATATGGCCAAGAGAGGGATCTGATGAGAGTAGAATAGATGCCTTTCTCCTGTTTCTCTTCACGCCAGCCTTCGCATTTTTTTTCTTTTTTTGTAGGAGTAGCAGAAGTAGCCATGTATGTCAATTTGCTGAACATGGATCGCGTGGTGAAAAATGACCGTTCTCTTTTCTCTGGAAGTTTGTAATTTTTTTTTTTTTTGGTTGTTTTCTTTTCAAGAGCGAAGGATTTGGTGTTTGGGTGGTCTTGGACAGGTTCAAGGCGATATATGGCCTCGCAACTCGTCCATTGCTCCGGTTGGTTCTGAGTCTGGGGCTTTAAAGACGAATATTGTGTTGCTTGAAGGGAGGTGGAGTGGTAGGGATGGGACAGCCGCACAAACATTTTTCCTCTCCTGCCGCTTCAAGTCCACGTCGGGTTTGAGTGAAATGCAAATTGATGTCAACGTCATGGATCTGTTGCGCTCAATGGTGCTTGATTTGCTTTTTGCTCTTGTCCGGAATCAAGAAGAGGATTGAGTAGTAAGTGAGTACCCAATTCCTCTTTTTTCATGAGCGAGCCAAAAGTCAAGTTTTATTTTGTTCATTGGAATCGAATGACTGTGGATGTGGATAGGCGTGCGAGGAATGAAAAGAAAACAAAAACATGCTACTAAAATATGGAGGCTCTTTTTGGACGGTTCCAAAGTAATCTAGTAGACCTTTTCCTTTATCACATTGACGGATGGGGTGATGGGTGATGATATCTTGAAAGGACATTGCTACCATCGTGTCGCGTGTAGGGTAAAAAACGATTCGAGGCAATGGGTACACACGTTTGAGTCTCCCACCCCTCCATCAGCGCCGAGGAAGAGGACAACAACGAAGGTACCCAACTGAGCGATTGCTGGGCCATTATTCTATGGCAAGAAAAATGAAAAAAAGGACGGGATATATTTTTTTTTCGCGTGTGGACGGCAGGCACAAGAGTATCTGTTTTCGCGTTTTTTTTTTGCGTCAAGGTGATAACCCTGAACTGAGGGGGGACTGAGTTGCTGGTGGCACCTGCGCAAGCTTCAACCAGCAACTCAACCCTCTTATCAAACCCTCACCTTCCCATGCGTTCTCTTGTCTGATCCTTATTAGCTGCAAAAAAAAAAAAACTTTAGATAGACTAAGACCTATAATATCGCCTGTCCAGCATCACCCCTGAATTTACCTCCATGCATCCTTGCATGCCATACACAGTCACGTCCCCTCCGCATACTGTTGGGGCACAGACACCATTTATCCTTCTATGCTTTGTTCGCTCACCCCACTTTCCCCTCTTTAGTCTTCACTCCATAGCATCACATCACATCACATCCATCCACATCTCCTCGCATCAACAACACTGAAATGGCGCCATCATTCATCGCAATCAACCCAAAACTAGTCGACGGCACACCCTTCAACTCTCTCACCATCACCACCACCACCGAACAGCTATCCCCAATCGTCATTTGGCGCCTCGTCCTCCCATCCTTCCCATCCCTCTCCCTCTCCGACCAAACAGCCGCCCCCCTCGAAAGCGAACAACTAACAACAGCACTAGATGCACTCTACCCCCAACTATCAACCCTCTGCTCTGCCGGCCCATCACTCGACCGCCTCAACACCTGTCTAGCAAACCACGAAACCTTCTCCCTCTATCTCGCCACAGAAGTCTCCACTTCTTCCACCACCAGCCCGCCAGAACCGAAGGTTCGCATCACAAGAATAGTCGGCGCTTTAACACTCGTCACCTTAAACCTCCTCATGAAATCCTGCGCCCATATCGAAGACGTGGTAGTCGACGACAGATGCCGGGGCTGCGGACTAGGTAAAGGCTTAATGCGCCGCGCCCTCGACGAAGCCGTTCATACTCACAAGTGTGTGATGGTCGATCTCACCAGTAACCCGAACCGGATCGAGGCCAGGACACTCTATCAGTCCTTGGGGTTTGAACTCCGTGACACTGGAGTCTTCCGCTACACCGTCCCCCAATACCGAAAATAAAATATCGCCATAATTTGTTCATTGTACAAAACGTGTATATTTTGGTAGAATGTTATGATCCGCTTATGCTCTGCAGGTGTTCAAAGTAGTCAGGCACCCCGTTTGTTTAGTGAAGACGGGAGAGCTCTTCGATGAGCTTGGTCACCTCAGTGACAGAGACATCAATCGCCTCGCCTCCCTCAGAACCCATCATGACCTTGTTCACCTCGTCCTCTGTCAGGTCCAAGAACAGCTCAATCAAATCTCCATCCACAAAGTTGGTCGAAGGCAACGTTCTCTGGTCGCTCCTGAACTGTCTCCACCTATTTGTTGTTATGAAGAGCATTAGTATCTGATTTGGATGATAAAACGGAGACCAAAGATAAAATAGGCACAAAGACAATAAAAGAAGACGTACTTGGTGTGGTCGAGGCCGCCGACGCCACGAATGACTTTGGACAGGTTGGTTTCGAGCTTGTGAAGGAGCTCGTACTTGTCCGCGGTAAGCGTTGCAACAACACCGATGGCTCCACTAACAGTCCCAAACAGCAACTTGGGGATCGCAGGCGCATCACCCTCCTGGTTCGTCATCACAAGCGATCCATGCTTGAACCGGTTGATCTGGTCGCCCAAGTGCCATCCTCCAGACCACTGCAACCGCTTGGCCTCATCCTCGCTCGTTGTCTCCGTGTTCTTGACAAGCGTAAACAGACTCGACGCATTGTCGGACGCAATAAACGTCTCGTCATCGATCGCCTCCAGCGCAGTCAACATATCCATCGATGAATCCCTGGCAATCTCGGTAATCTTCTTGTCTGTGTACCGGAGTAGCGTCATGCTCATAAGCATATCACCCGCAACAATAAACTCGCCATGGACCGCAAGCGATAGAACCAGGATGAATCCACGGTGTGTGCATTCCAACGTCAGATTGTTGTCGCTCGACCCCTTCTCCGAAGTCTTCCACGCATAGAGACAGATCCGATGGTTGACACCACAGAGGAGCTTGCCCTGGAACTCCTTGACCGACATCACACCTCCTTGCACCTCCAACTCTGTCACCAACTTGAGTTTGCTGGTCTCTGACACTTCCAGAATCAAAATACGACCCTTGGCGGGAACACCCTCCGAGATCGCGTCTGCTGTTCCGACCGCAATGTAGCTCGTTGGATCACCTGCAAACGTAACAGCCGTGATGCACTGAGGTGCCTCATCCCTCTGCAGCTCGTACGAATCCAGCACTAAGCAAAAGAGCAAATATGCAATCCAGTAAGCAAAAGGATCAGCGTAACAACTGAAAGATAAAATCATCAAAGAAAAGATAGGAGCGCTTACCATCAAAGGTCTGGTCATCGAAGAGACGAACGAATCCAATTTCTTCTTCATCACAGGCAACAATGCGGGTTGATCCAAAGGTCTCCGGCTCCTCGCATACAATCTGGGTGGTGAGGACTCCAAAGCACTTTCGCGACGACATGTACGCAATGCGTCTGGCACTCTCGTGGACAGGAACTGTGCGGACATGCAGCTCCTGGAACTCGTCGATACTTCCAATCCGGAGGACACTCTCCTCATCCGACCCAACAAGCGCTAGCGCATTCGGGAAGGCCGTACAGTTGAATGAGGCAACCGTGGCGACCTGCTTGAGATTGACGTTGGAGTAGAGGATCTTGCGGTTGGAACTGTAAATCACAGTAGGTCGGTCACTGCAAGCAAAGACATGGTCTGACTTTCCAGCTGCAGATGCTGGTGCGGGTGCCAAACCATCCTCGGCCTGAGCTGCCGAAATCTGTCGAAGCATGACAGGCTGCGTACCAAGCGAAATCTTTTTAGGAGATGGCAAGCTGCTGAGAGTTGCATCCAAAACAAACGTCAACAAATGTCCGTCACCTATTTTGTATATACATTATGCAATTAGTTACCAGCTTTGCGAAGATAATTACTTGGTGGGATACTTCAAACAGTCAAAAGTCCTTACCGAGTCCGACCAAGAGATAAGGTACACCTTCAAATCGTGACAGGAGCAGCGAACGAGGAAGGATATCTCCTGGCAAGTCGTGGGAAGCAAGGATCTCCATGGTGGGCAAGCGGACCAAAAGAACCTTGATGTCTGTCCACAGTCCGACTGCGCATACCTGTGAGGCATGTCGATCCTCGCCGTCGATCGCGTTGACATCAATACACGCAATCTCGTTCTCAAACGTAGTTTGACTATTGCGATAGGAGAAGGTAAAATGGCAGACGGCGACATAGTAAGTAATTTTTGCAGACAATCATTGACGAACTACCTCCCAGGCCACGCGTCAAGAGCCAATGATAAACTTACCCGACTTTTTTGACCACTTCAGATCCAATGTCTAGATAGACAAGGGTCTTGCCGCCGATAGCCACAAGACACTGGGTGCCGTTCATGGATGCAATCGAAATCAACTCTCCTGCTGGAGGTTTCCACTCTGAGATCAATCCGGCTTGGATATGCTGAGGAGGCGCAATCAACCGAACAGACCCCTCCGTCACTTGAATGAGGAGACCTGCCTGCGCGTTTCCACAGAGCAATGTGGCCGTGTCGCTCAAGAATCCATCAAGCTCCTCCTGAACCATCTCAGAGTCGGGCGTAACACGGACCACGCGCGTCGAGTTCAAAAAGCTCATCACCAGGGTGTCTTCGGTGCTAGAGTGGCGAAAAATGAAGAGTTGATCGAGAATGTCAGTAAAATCCGAGAGTGACAGATTCTTCCTCGTTCAATACCGCTTTCGCGCATGCAATGCTCACTTACGTGGCATCCAAGTTCTCTTTCAGTGACCAAAGTCCCTTGATTCCAGGGAGCTCCAGGACGGCCCTGTCATTAATACCGACACCATTTCGGACAATTCTCAGCGACCCGTCCTTGAATGCTCCTGAGCATGCCACAATTTGGCCCTGTTGGAAATAAGACAGCAATATGGTTAGAGGCGATATCAAGTCCTACGAGGATTCGAGGAACTCGCAATTGACAAAAGAATGAAAAAGTACCTGGCCTTGTCCCTCCAAATCGACGACCTCAAAATCAAGGACGGGTGCAATGTTGGTGAACGTCTCCATAATCTCCACATATTCGCCCTGCTCATCGGGGTTCTCATGCAGCTGTACCAATTGCGAGTCACCCAGATGGGAGCCAACAAAGGCGTGATCATTGTCAAGGTAAACGAGCGCCTCTGGAATCGAAATAGTGCCCAAGCTTTCCAACTTCAGCCCTGACACTGGTATGAATCGGTTCGAAGACGATCCTGCATTGTTGTTGATTTCCAGGACCAAGATGTACAGCATTCCCTTGTGATCACCGAGGAGGTATCGGGTTCCTTGGTCGATATGGTTGTGGCACTGCATGATCGTAGCGTTCATGGTGATCGAGATTGCCGTTGTCTGTGCTGGGTTGAAGTAGGAAATCGAGTACTCGCCGACAACCAAAAAGCCGCCTAAACATGAGAGTATCAAAACGATATATTAGCGCGGGTCATGAAATAGCTCCGAGTTTGGACAAAACGCACACCAGCATTGGATGGAAGTTCTTACCAATGGGAGCTGGGACAGCAATACAAGTCCTCGCTCCGCTCAGCCCACTTTGAGCCCATCCAGTCTCTGACTTGTCCTTATTCTTGAGATCGAACTCGTACGTCTTGACATGGCGAACCTCTTTCTTATCCTGGTACAACAGCGCAAGGGTGGGTCGTTGGCAGCCGTGCAAAAAGACCATCGACATGATGGTCACTTCGTCGATGGGAAGGTCAAATGGATCCAAAAAAGTCGAATCGATAGATCTAGTGCTGGGTCGAGAGGGGTTTGTTGGGCGACCTGTACTCTGACCACCGCTCGTGCCAGTGCGTCCACTTGGCACAAGGGACGAGTTCGGGTTGACAGGGATGCACTTTAAGAGGCCTTGGTAGAGATGACAGCAGATCAGCGAGGAAGTTGGGTCCATGATGACTATCTGTCCTGCTTCTGAGGGTCTAGCATGACGATCCTGGAGATCTGTGTATGTGTCGGATATAATGCTGAACTGCGGAGCAATTGTTGCCATCGCTCCGGCACCACTCGGGGACGAAGACAGACGCAACGACAGCGTCAGCATTTGATAATGAGTTGTAGTTAAAAGGAGCATATCCATATTTTGTCCCTAATGAAAAAAGGAGCGAATGTGCGCAGATGGGTCGGATTAATTGCGCGGTCAGATAACGTGCTGTTCAAGCGCGCACATGTACGTGGGAGAGTAGAACGCGGAAGTTTTGATGAAGATAAGAACGTACTGGAGGTCGGAAGGGTTCCAGGCATGCAATCTCGCCGTATATTCCAAACTCCTTGACCATCTTGAGGCCATCGCTCGAGACCAGGTACACCTCGACCCTCGTTCCTTTGCTATGGTATCAAAGTCCGATTTTGGTCAAATGAAAAAAAAAAACAAGAAACGTCTGTTAGGGTTCCTCTTCCTTTGAAAGACGTAAATGCGTTGTTTGATATCGCACAGGAGATAACTCTTACCCAAGAATGAGGTTGAGATCATCAGGTCCAGTAAAGTTTCCCTTGATCGCATGGAAGACTGCGCTCGACTTGCGAGCAGTAAAGACGATGTTCATGAGAGGGTATGAGAGGTGTTTTTATTTGTTTTTGTTGTTCGTTGTCGTGGTCGCGAATGGGAGCGTCAATAACGAGGTGACAGCGGGGTACGTGGTTGAGGAAGTGAATTGATAACGGCGGGTTGTATGTCAAGACTGACGTGTGTGTGTGTGAAAGTGTGTGTGTGGAGTGATCGTGATGGTGTTGAGAGGTATAGGAGAGGTGAGGAAGGGGTGAAGGAAGAAGCGCGATTCTGGTGGGCTTGCTTGTGTTCTTGAGCTGAGCTTCTGCACTGTCGCGCAGAGCCAGAGCGAACTGGCGGCATAAAGTAAAAGCAGTCCCTCTGATCAGGTGACTTCTTGAGGTAGACGCTAGGGAGCGCCAGTCAAGTTTTATTTCTCGCAAACCTAGACCTCAAGAACCATTTCGTTTCGCGTCGAGAGGGGATATCGTGGCCATTTGGCAGAAGTGCGAGTAAACGCTACAAACAGTCATCAAAGTCGTGCGACTCGACGCGTACTGATAAGTGACCCATACGTGCAAAAAGAAGGGTCTGGGTCCACAAATAGGTCCATCACAAGCGGAGACAAGACAGGCGCAAGTTCTCACGAAAAAAGTGAACTAATTGGTGGAACAGAGAGCCCCATTTCTCACGAGGATCCAAAGGGCATGATGCAAAAAAACCCCCCCCAAGAGCACACAATGAGAAAACAGCAACTGGTAGAGCCATGACTTCCTCACGTCGTCTGAGGCGTCCCTTGTTGCTGTTGGCCGAGAGCATAATCCCTTTTCCCGTGACGATAGTGAAAACAAGTGGACCCTAAGCTACACGCCGATTGCTTTGGGGAGGGGGTTTGGTAATGGTTGCATGGTCCCTTCTTCTCACGATCACATCCTTAGTTTGCCAATCATCGTATTCCAACAAGCACAATACAAATGTACACGCCTTCTTTATGCTCTCAACAACAAAGAGATAGCGTTAGTGCATAAAAGTAAACGTGCAAACGACGTTTATTGCGGTCATGCAGGTCCTGTTTACTGTAGACACATGGATGATGGAGCCGACAGGAATGACGCCAGTCGTTTATCTTTGATGGGTTCCTCTTCTTACTTGTCGTGGTTTGCCCCGTTCCTGTTATAGCTCGGTTTACGGTTCCTAACCTTTTCTCAGCCTAACTGGCATTCATAAAGGCGGAATGGGAATATGATTGACAAAACCTTTCTGCCAGGGTCTGGGGTTTGGCATGTAGTCATGAGGATGGGGTAAGGGAACGTGCGCATGAACCTTCTCCCCCTGAAGAACCCTTGGCCTTTTGACCACCAAGTCCGGAATTGATGACCAGTTCGATGGCCGTCGATGGATGAAATTACTGGGCGCAATTCTAGACACTGGATACTACCACCGCTTGGCCTGTTGGGCATGGTCCTATGACCTTCCCTTTGTTTACATCCTACGAGTGCAGCGTGTGTTTGTGCGCATACCTCCCCCGAAGTAGCTCCCGGGTGCTCTGCAAGGGGTAAAAAGACGTCTTACCATTTAATGAGCACATGCCTTTCTTTCAACTTTTGTACCCGAGCTCTGACGTGATGCCTTTGCGCCGTCCTCTCTTCTCTTTCTGCATGCCTCTCTGTTTTGTTGACAATTTTTTTTGTTGACGTAGGGATGATGTTCATTGTTTGTGGTTGTTTACGATTGTTGTATGTCAGTTGCAAAGCGAGAGTGTTGACTTTGTTTGTTTGTCTGTCTCCACCGCACGCACAACAACAATCGACAATCGGATAGGATCTATTCTGACCTGGGTTGACAAAGAAAATAGGAATATGGGCCATGATAGCATTCTCAACCATCAAAAGACAAAGAGAGAGATAGACAAAAAAAATGGATCGTAATATCCGGTGAGTGAGGTTTGATCGTTACGACAGACAAAGGTGTTCGTTGTCGGGTACTCCTTTCCCATTCTTTTTTTTTGTTCGTCCTCCCTCTCCTTACTTTTCTTCTTTCATCCCTCGTCCTCTCTTCCCTCCTTACACCCTTTTCACTTCTCACTTTTCACTTTTCACTTTTCATTTTTCACTCTTCCTTTTTCCCACAAAAACCTGTGCCAATTTCTCATCGGCCGTGCAGACATCGCATCACATCACATCGAACCTGCGTAAAAGGGTGAGTAGTCTTCATTCTGTATCTTGCAATCATCTAGTTGTCACAAGAAACCACTCACAGAACCACAACGGAGAAAGTGACGGTCGACATTCATTCTCTTCTTCACCCTCTCTCTTGCCCTGCGGCATTCATACTCTTCACCTCCACATCTAATCGAACTCGCATTCATCTTCAAATCTTCCACACATTCATACACTCTCACTCTCACCCTTGCTCTCCTCATTTCAATCATGCTTCGTCTCTTTTTCCCTTCTCCCTTATCCTTATCCACATCCCAGATTCATCATCTCGTTGATAATCATGTGTGATTCTTCTCCCCCGTCTAGCGTGGTCCTGGGACAAAGATCAGCAAGGAGAAAAACAAGATTTACATTACTCTCTGTCCTGAAAAAAAGAGATGAAATGGGAGATGAGGACGACGGGAGGACGGGAGGAAGAAATAGAGAAAAGAAAAAGAGGAGGAGCGATCAAAGTGTTACGATTCCACAGCCTCGCTATGATACTCATTTGCAAGCACCGTAACGCACTTGTCTATCTATACACAGTTCAACCACCTCAACTACGCCCTATCGATTCTATTTCTGATCATCGACACTCTGTCGTGCGATCAATGTTGATCATATCTTCACGTCAAACACCAACCATAGCGCGTCCTTTGCGTCCATCCGTTTCAACTGTGTTGATGTTCCCCTTCCCTTTCTCCAATTGGTGTGCCCCTGGACAGCTATGATACAGATACATCCCTTTATTTTGTTGACTCTCCTACGTCTATGTCTCCTTAAACCACCCTGGCTCTCTCTTTCTCTAGATCGGACATCTGGAGGAATTCAGACTCTCTTTTCTTTTCTTTCTTGGCTCTCTGACAGTCAGGGAGCAAAAGACGAGACAGTCATTTTTTTTTATTTGGCACGAGCGATATCATCGCATGGGGCATGCATGCGTGCATGCATGTGTTTTGGGCGGTGTCCGTATAGGTGTTTACTTTAAATTGGCGCACCCTCACCTGCGGGAGTGGGTGGTCTTTGAGTGTGATACCCCTGGGTGGTTCTTCTTTCCTTCTTCTAGGCCCCTCGAATTTTGTTTTTGTTTCAATTGAGCGCCCCAGTCGTGAGCAGGAGGGTGGTGTTGGCACAACCACCATTGGACGGAAAAATGGGAGGAAGGAGAAGCAATTGAGGAGGGAGATGAAGAGACGAGAATAAAGTTTTCCGTCAAAGTCATCTATCGATAATTGCATTAACACTATCGACCCGTCTTTTCTGTACTTTACTTCTACGTTGTTCCGTTCGCTCTCTCTCTCTCTCACTCTCTCTCTTTCTCTCTCTTCACTGTCTTCTCTTCTTCTTCTACACACATACACTCTCTCTCTCTCTTCCATCCTCATTCATTCACTCTCACTCACTCTCATCAACATTACTGCATTACCCCCACTCTCATTTTCATTCACTCTCATTCACTCTCACTCTTGCATCTCGACCCCTGCCCAGATCCCTTGAATCAGGACTAATAACAAAACAAACAAACAAACAAACAACGATACTCACCGAACAGAAAGCACCGATCCGCTCCAAAAGGCAAGCGCACACATAAGGAACGAACAGCCAAATAACAACAACAACCTCCTTATGCCCTTCCTCTTACAATATCCATTGTCTCCTTCCCTTTTTTCCCCTCTCTTTCCTTCTTTTTCTTTGTCTCCCGAATACCAACAACAAACGAGGAAACACTGTTCCCCCTCTCCTTCTTTCTCTTGTCCTGCTTCGACAGAGAAGGAACCTTGACTTTTTAACTTTTTGCAGCCCCCTTGAATTACGCCCTTGCTTTACACATCTTGCTCTCCGCCCCCGCCTGGCTGCTCAACACATGCTTTGCATATCCATACATCCATACCAAATCTCTTTGTAATTGTCCTTTTATTGAAGTCTCTTTTTACAATTACTGTAAGCTCTGGCTGCAGGTGCGGAGACAGACCAGACGGACGGATGGACGGAGGCGAGGTTGGAAGGACATGGCCCGCGCTTTTTCGTTTTCTTTTTCTTTTTGCTATTAAATCCGTTTCTGCAACAGCACTTCCAGCGATATAACGAGTTTCTTACGTTTTCCTCTTCTTGTTATTGCTGTTGTCCATAACCAACATCCAAACCTCCTTCTTCTTTGTTGGTTTGGTTACGCATCCATTTCCTTCAAGTTCAATCGCCTCTTTCTCAATTGTCTTTGCCTTGACCCCACATATCGCACCTTTTTTTTTTCTTCTTTTTCTTTGTCTGATTCACAAACAACCCCCTCGTGCTTTATGTGTTTGTTTGTACTCTTCTCTGGGCTAAAATAAGAAAAGAGGTATCGCAGCCCATCCATCGAGTCTTACAAGGGAGACTTATCCATCCGAGACTTGATATCAAACACATCTCTCGTAATTGACTAATTGCCTAATTGACTAACAAGTTTCTTCTCTTCTCTTTCCTTATATAACCTTCCTCTTCTGCCCTCCTTCTTTTACTTACTCCATTTCTCCTCTCTCACTCTCCTACTCTCCTTCTCTCCTTCTCTCCTGCTCTCCTACTCTCCTACTCTCCTACTCTCCTACTATCCTACTCGCACCCTCCTTCATTCTTACTATTCGTACATGCACATGGGATCGACAACTAATTTAAATTGCACACGCCTTATCCAAAAATTCTAAATGCAACAGACCAACTCCAACTTCAACAACAACAACAACAACAGCAGCGGCTAACCAAACAACAGCACGTTTTTTTAACAAACAGGACAACGTTTTTCCCGCCCTTTCCTTTTTATTTCTGATACAATCCATCTAATCCGATCCCCGATCCACCGACTCACCCACTTTTCATAAGCCAAACAATTACCCGGACCCATTCACCCACTCACCACCACCACCGCCACTCACAACTACCCACACCCAATCATCATGTCAGCGACCTGCAATAACTGCGGGGCAGCTGTGGAAATCGACCCAACAACACCAACATCAACATCAAAAACTCCCAAAGCCCTCACACACGACGACCCTCTCATTCCCTATGTCAAAGCTCAGATCGATGACCTCACCGCCCAAAACGCCAACCTCGTCGCCGAGAACGACTCCCTCTCCTCAAAACTTGTCGAATCCACCGAGGGGAGAATGGATCTTGACCAACAACTGACCATCACCCAGATGGAGCTACAAACGGCCCAGAGGGAGATCAAGTCACTGCAAGCGAGTCAGAAGCATTATGAACAGTTGTTGGCGATGATCTCGTCGGGTCAATTGATTGAAAAGAAAGATGTGCAGCCGGTTATCGAGAATTTGGCGTACGAGTCTCAGAGGCGGTCGCAAGTTGAGTCCTCCAAGTTGAAGTTGGAGAATGAGCTGGAGGATTTGAGTAAGAGTTTGTTTGAGGAGGCGAATCGGATGGTGAACGAGGAGCGGCGGGCGACTTATATGGCAGGCAAGAAGATTGAGGCGCTCGAGAGGCAGTTGGATGAGGTACTGGATCTTTGCAAGTCTGAGAGGGATCAGTTGGTGGAGTTGAAGGTCAGGATGGAGAAGTTGTCCGAGGAGAAGGACACGGTCCAGCGGGAACGCGATGCGTTTGAGTTTGCGCTTGTCCAGTTGCAGAACCAGCAGCAGCAGCAGCAATATCATCATGCTCAACTGCTCACCTCCCCGTCGGCGTCGTCGTCCCATCACATGTCAAACTCTGCCGCCTTCCGTCGTGGTGTGTCCTCGACTTCCAACTCTACCGTGGGCGGTACCAGTACAGGCGGGAACAACACCCCTCCAGGATTGAACATTGAGATCTCGGGAGCACCAGGAGGAACCAGGAAGCACGTCCAACAGGTCCTGCAGTACGACGCCCGTCAGCAACGTAGTTCGGCTTCTAGTGTGAAATCCAAGACGGACTCTTGCTATTTCTCTGATGGCGACCATCCAGGATCCAACCTCCCCAGCGACCCCAACGAGGACAAGGTTCCCAGTCTTGGGTTCCATCTCTGGGACCCCTCCTTCATCGAGTTCAAGACCTACATGGAGTCTCTCTTTGGAGCCGCAGCTGGCTCTTCTACCAAAGCGGGAGCCGACAGCAAGACGCTTCATACGCCTACCCCTTCGATCGCATCCTCTGGAATCACGTCAATGTACTCTTTCAACCTCATGATGAGCAAGGCAACAGCACCCGCCCCCGCCCCTGCAGCCAATGCAGTCATCCCCATCAACACCTTGCTCTCTAACTGCAAGCTCCTCAAGAAGATGTCTGCCGAGGACGTCGATGCGACTTTGAGGTTCGAGCCTGGAAACTTGCTCTCGTGGACTCAGCGGAAGCGGCTCATGGCCGCCGTCACCGACAATACCCTCGTCGTCGAGGCCGTCCCCATGAACCCCAACTACCACCATCATCACCACGGATCCCCCTCTCCAGTCGCCGTCACCACGTCTGGTCACTTGCTCGCCCCATCCAACGCCACCACACCTGCAAACTCTGTCCCTGGTAGTCCCACCACTGCCACACCCTCCTCGCGACCCAACTGTGCCCTTTGTGGACATACCATCACAACCCCCCTCTCATACCAGTACCGCCTCACCGATACCGCCAACGAATCCAGAACCATCTGCCCATACTGCCGAACCCGTCTCACATCCGTCTGTACATTCTACAGTGTTCTCCGTATGATCTCCAAACGCATCATCTCCAGCACGACTACACCCGAGAAGTTGTACCTGGACTTTTTGAGGATCCGCCTTGGCATGTTTTTGGCGAGGTGTGGGGTTGGGATTGTCACGGGCGAAGAGGTGAAGCCGAAGCAGCGGGAGAGTGGATCGATTAACGTTGCTGCGATCAATGCTGCAGCCGTTGGAGCAGCAACTGTAAGAAACCAGGTCCTGATGTCTGCTGCCGCTGCCGTTGCCGCTGCACATGGGGGCGCCCATGCAGGTCTCCCACCCCGCGCACCCGACAACTCCAACTCCGCAGCCGCTGCGCTGCTGCCTACAATCTCTGTTCCAGCCCCTGTTTCAGTGCAAACTCCGACTTCACCCATCATGACAGCAAACGTCATCCCAGTCCATACAGCCATCCTCCTCCACCCTTCCAAGGACGTCCATTCCCAGTCCCAGACCTCCCCGTCCTTGCGCGAGACTGCGGGCATGATCCAAGAGGAAAACGATGATGGTGGCGAGGAGATGTACCTGACTGCCAGCCCCGTCCCCGAGAACGTCCATATGATCCGGACTTGAAAAATACCTTCCTTTCTACATTACACACTCTCTGGCTGGCCAGAAGAGGTGTGTTTCTTTGATGTCTCCAGATTTTCCTATTTATGACGACCTAATAATGTTCAACCTAATGACCCCCCCCAACCCCCCACACTAATGCTTGTACCATTCCTCGCTTCACCACCTGTACAATACCAAATAATAAAACCTAACCCACATTCATGCCCTTCAAGAACGTACCATTTGCCATACGTACAACTCGACTCATACAGGAATTGGATACATTGTGAAAAAAGAAAAAAAAAATGGAAAGCTAAGTGATAGTCTAATAAACATGTGGTGAAGGTAGGAAAAAAAATAGGAAAAAAGGAAAAAAAAGGGAAAAAGACACAAGATGAGGAAAAAAAAAAGAAAGACAATTACCACTTGGCATTCTTGCCAAGACCATACTTATCCAGAACCTTCTCAGCACCCTGCAAGTTCTTGGTCAACCCCTGTCCGACAATTGTCACCTCCCCAGATCCACCCGTCAAGGACGACACCTGTCCACCAAAGACCCTACGCGCAACGCGAACCATATCCTGTTTTGTCACCTTCTCAATCTTGGCACACAGCTCCTCCACAGGGACCTTGGCCCCATGGACCTGGACTTGACGACCAAGGTCTTCGAGTTGAACCATCTTGGACTCGAGGTTCATCAACACGGACGACCGCAACTGGTTCTTGGCACGGTCCAACTCCACCTGCGCGATCCCGCCCTTCCCAGTCCGGGTGGTCAATTCCAGTTCCCGCACAATGACTTCCAACAGCATGGTCTCGTAACCAGGATAGCACGATCCAGAGATCCCAAAGAGTCCCGAATCGGAATAGCAGTGGTTGAAGGACATGCACGACTCGATCCAGTTATAGTGGTTGAGGACATTGCTGAACAGACGCGAGTACATGCCCTTTCCTGGTCCACCGGCCGAGAAGGAAGATCCACCGCCCATCAGCAACTGCAACGTCGCCAGTGCATAGATATCGTCGTCGTGGATCGAAAGGCCCTCAAAACCGACAAAGAGGTGCGTGAAGGGTTGGGTATCGTCCTCGATCAACAAAGTGCCTCCAGTGTACTTGGCGGGCTGTCGGCTGAGCGTGTTGAAATCTGGTTTGAGGATCCCAGATGATGACGACGAAGATGCGTTCTTTCCGAAGAGGGATTTGAAAATGCCTCCCTTACTGGCAGAGTCCGATCCAGAAGCCTCCTCCGATCCCGATCCTGATCCTGTTGCTGGTACCAAAGACTTCATGTCGCCAAAGTACTTGCGGGTAAGGTCCACAACCTTGTCATGGTCAGCGCCCACAGCCGAGACGACAATCCGGTCAGGTCGGTACCAGGTACTAATATACTTCTTAATATTCTCCGTCGTCATCGTCTCCAAGTTCTCCACGGGACACAGCAACGGGTTGCCCAGCGTATTATCCTTATACGCCACCGTATGCAACAACTCGGGCAAGATCATTTCCGGCTTTGACCAATACTCCTGAATCTCATGCCCTGCCGACACCTTCTGCTCCTCCAACTCCTCCTCCGTCACCGCCGGGTTCCGGATTGTGTCCGCCATAATCGCTAACATCTGGGGCAAATCCTGCGGCAAGAGTGCAGACTGGTACATGATGGATTCACGCGAGGAAGAACACATCACATTGCCACCAGCAGCTTCCAGATCATTCATCATGGCCTCGCTGGTCCTGTTCTTGGTCGACTTGAAGGCGAGACGGTCAAGGATATGAGAAACGCCTCGAGTGGTTTCGTCCTCGTAGCGGGATCCGGCGTCGACGTAGACGCCCAGGGAAGCGAAATGGCCCTGGCTGTCCTCAGTTGCTACACGGACGCCGTTGGGGAGCTTTGTCACTCTTGAGGCGATGCTGCTGCTGTTGTTGGTGGTTGCTGTCGTTGTTGCTGGGGAGATGCTGTTCTTTGCCACGACCTGCTCTGGTACCTAATATTTTTCATATGTGAATATCTACTTGTGAGCCTGACAGGTTTCACTAATGATTGCCGCATTATCTGGATGATAACAAAAGAAGGCAAGGAATGCTAACGGCGCTGCCTTTCGCAAGTACCTTGATAAAGTCGTCAGATTGGAGGGAGGCCTGCTGATGCTTGTTCATGCGGCTGATGAGCGGCATGGCAACGTTGTTGGCGCGCCTTGTGAAGGGCAGGACATGGCGCGCAATGGCGCTCGACAGCTGCTTTGACATTGTTGCTTATATGCGTTTGTTGATTTTGCTGAGAAAGGGAAAGAAGAGGATGGTGTGGGTAAGCAAGGGCGACTAGTCCGTGAGTGTGTGACGGGGGGGTCGGGAAACGCGGGGTAGGAAAGAAAGGGAGAAAGTATGAAAGGTGAGCAGAATGAATGACTCGGAGGAGGAAAAAGAAGGGATGTGAAGGAGGGAAGGCAGAGAAGGTAAAAGGGAAGGAGAGAGAAAGCGAAGGAAGGAAGCGGATAATGAAGGCGTGTGAAGAAATAGAAAAGAAAAGAAGAGAAAAGGAAAGGAATGCAAAGGAAGCGGAAGGAAGGAAAAAAAGCTGAAAGTGACGACAACTGACTGACTCTGTGGAAGGTTCAGACCCAGGCACGGCAGACTGACAGAAGGGCCAAGGAAACACCTAAAGGAAACACCTAAAGGAGGAATAATGCCCTGCTGCGCTAAGCCGCAAGTAAACAGCCCGTGCTGGACCCATGTCTGCTCGATTCTGCAGTCACTCGCTCTGCTCTCGATTTGTTCTTTGTTCTTCAGTCCTCTCTCACGAACACCACTCAGGACACACTCAGGACACGCTCAGGACACACACGACACCATGGTAACCATGCCGGAATTCACTTACCGAAGACACACACAAGGAGCATACACGCGATATGTTATCACGCGTGCAAGCATACATATTCAACAGGACACAACTCTTACTTCTCTGGCATCACGCCTGTCTTCCGTTCCATCGTACACTTCTCATCCTCTAGCCTACTCAATTCGTCACAAGCCTTACAAAGAACAACGGTAACAAGGCAATTGCCATAGCAGCACAGGAAAAAAAAAACAAGGACAGCGAATCAAAGAGTTAGCAGGATTGAGGAACTAACGCGTTTCTTGTTTGCATGGCACCTTGGGGAAAATTAGCTCACGACGCCGGCATCTGGAGCGCGGCATGGTCCTCCAAGAACGCCCTTGTGACTGGTTCGCTTGATAACACCGTCAAAGTCTGGTAAGCCAAGACAGCGGCTTCAAGGAAACTCATCGTATGAGTTTTATGGACTGAGTGCACTGACAGACCATGTCTCATTATTGTTCATAGGAACGCAGAGAACGGAGAGCTGAAGGGAACGTTGACGGGTCACCAGCTTGGCGTCAACTCTGTCGATACCAACGCCGAAGGAACATGTATGAACGGCGACTTACGGGACATTTTTGTTTAGTGCAAGAATATCATGGTTATCGTTTCTCCTCAGGAATGAATGGTTCTGACACGGTTGTCATTATTTTTCTCGCACTTAGTGGCGGTGTCGACTTCATTGGACAGCCAAATTAGAATCTGGGACTTGGAGCAGCTCAAGCAACACAAGATCATTGACGCTGGAGCAGGTAAAGATCCGTTGCTTTGTCGGGTCTTAATCGGCGTTCGCATAGTGAATGTGCAGGAGCGCTGTACTCACTGACGCTGTTTTCGTTATTACTACTAGTTCAAGCATGGACGGCAAAGTTCTCACCTGACTCGAAGCACATTGCCACTGGAACGGCTTCCGGAGATATCAACCAGTACAGCGTGGAAAGCGGCGAGAAAGTGCAGACATTCGAGGGCCGTGGCAAATTTGCGATGAGCGTCGCTTATGTAAGTTTTCGAGGTCAAGTGAGATCTAGAGGCGCGTCAGGAATGTAGGAGATCTGGACTTAACCTATCGGAACATCGCCCTGTTCATATATCTTGCTTATAGAGTCCTAACGGAGAATACGTTGCGTGCGGAACTGAGGCATCGTCTGATTCGTCCACCGTTCTCTTGTTTGACGTTGCCACCGGCAAGCTCCGCCACACCTTCAAGGGTAAAGTTTGTTCCTCTACTGCGTCTACATTATTTTCACAGACGGCGTTGATCTTGCTGTGAGCTAACGCGGTCGATGATATTCTTGTCAAAATAGGCCACGCCATGACTGTTCGCTCACTCGCCTTCTCGGCTGACTCGACGAAGCTGGTGACAGGATCGGACGACAAGAGGATCATGATTCACGATGCGTAAGGACCCTCTTCTTCGCTTTAGGAGTTGATCGTGACAGGACAGAGTCTATGGATGTTGACTAACAGGAACCTTTGCTTTACAAATGTGGACTATTCTTTAGTGTACATGGAGATACAATCCGCACACTCTCTGGACACTCTGCATGGGTCCTGAGTGTTGCTGTCAGCAGCGACGGTGTTCATATTTCCAGTGGGTAAGTGCCGTTGCTTGTTTTATTGGGACGAAGAACATGATGAGAGTGAGAATGTGGCTATTGGCGTGCAGGTGATTGACATTTGTCAGATTGGCACTGATATTTGCGCATGTTTGTAAACAAATAGATCGAGTGACAACAAGGTCAAGCTGTGGGATTTGGTCGCTGACCAGTGCATTGACACCATGGACGGACACAGCGATCAGGTAAATGATCTTGTTTTCGAATCCACACAAAGCGTGTGACGCTCTGCAAATAACCCCAATGTCAATTGAGTCTGCTCCTCTTTATGTTGCTTTTGTGTGTCTTACTGTCTGAAGTAGTAGTTCGAGCTACGGATACTAAAAGGCATTTTTTCGGCTGTGTTTGATATAGGTCTGGGGACTTGCTTGGAACAAGCAGGGTAACAGGTTTGTGTCGGTATCGGAGGACAAATCGATCAAGTTCTACTCGACGACTTCTGCATGAGCCAACCAATGGCATGTTGGGCAGAACAACAGGTAGTAGCAGGAAAAGAATACCATCCACTTATATTACAGGACAAATAAGCGATGATAGATTAAAGTCAACCTAAAGCGAGGAGGAACATATGTGGCGAGACGAGAGGAGGCATGTCTTTTTTTTACAGTTCAGTTTTGTGGCAATGAGGCGTTGCTTGTTCTTGTTTGACATGGGCTGAGGAGATATGTAGTTGTACGTGTGTGTTTGTGTATGTATGTGAACATTGGAAAGAAGAATAATTAGGTGGATGCTCCGAGTCGAAGGTTGAATGGTTGAGAGTAGAGAAAAGGGTGGCAAAAGAGAGCAAAGAGAGCAGAAAACAATAAGGAAAAGACGGCGAGCATTTTGCGCAGGCTAAGCCAAGAGAGAGGGAGAGCAAGAGTGCGCAATGGTGTGGAAGGAAGTGTAGAAGGGGGACATGGGCATGGGTTGTGCAAGCAAGTAAGGGCGGAGCTGAAATGAATTACATGCCGGCAGTAAGTGGTGAGTGTCAAGTGACAGAGCGTCAAGGGTCGATTGACTCTGTTTTATGTGTTCTCCTGTCCTGTCAGTGCGCATCACACACTTCCACACACACACTCTCGCACGGCACCTTCACTGTTAATCATATAAAGGCGACAATCCCCTGGAAAGAGAGCAGCCGCTTGCTTCTTCTTTCCCTCTGCTGTGTCTCTCTTCTCTTCACTCCGTATCATACCATTACCCATTGCTCTCCATCTCTGTCTCCTTTGCTCTCCCTCCATCGCTCTCTCTCTCTCTCTCCCTCCCTCCCTCCCTCTCACCATCCTTCACACTTCTCCTTCCACTGACATTTCTCACTTCATTCCCCCCCCTCTCTCTCTCTCTCCCTACACAAATGACCCAATTGAACTCTGCATCCTCAACAACAGACCTTACAGCAACAACATCAGGGACAACAACCCCCGCAGGCACAGACCCAACTGGCTTATTCTCTCATACCAACACCTCCACAGCTGCTCCTTCTGTCAGCCCTGTCCAAAATCCTCCCTCTGTCCATATGTCGTCCCCTCCTCACAAGCCCAGATTCACCCGCTCCCCTACGCCATATACCCTCCAGGACATGGACAAGGACATGGACGACAGCGGGGATAACCATCAGTCGAAATCATCTCTCCAGAGAAGCTCTTCTGCGGCGACTGATATCAATCTCATTCCTAATTCCATCAGCAATACCAGCAGCAGCAGCAGTACCACCAGCCACCACAGTTCTAATATCAGCAACAGCGACAGTGGGATGAAGAGCTACACCTACCTCGAAAACGACGACAACAACAACACTCCTTCCAGCAGCAAAGATAATAATAACGACTACAAGAAACCAACAGCTGGGTGGACGCTCTTTGCGCAATTGGCCAAGATGACGCCCGAGGAGGTGGAGTTGATCCGACTGACAAAGGCCAACACTGCAGCCAACAAGCAAATATGCGCTGTGCCTGTCACGCTTGATCCTACTATTGTTGTCCAGTCCAACTCCAGCAGCAGCAGCAGCAGTAGCGTCGGATCATCCGAAACCTTATCGTCTGTCATGTCCAACTCCAGCGGCAGCTCATCAATGGATGCAACTTTGCCCAATTCCTCGCCCAAACGGAGCAGACAGCGTCGGAAAGAGTTGTTACTCTCCCTTCCTCCTCCTCACTCTCTCTCCGTGGTATCCGAAACGTCAACCCATGATCGGCAGCAGTCCTTGATGCCTTCTTCTTCTTCGTTGTCGTCTTCGGAAGGAGGCAAATCCCCCGATTCAAGATCGTCTCCCTCGACCAATGAGCGGGGATCGCTCTCACCTCCGTCGGAATCATCGTCGCCATCGTCGTCGTTATCGTCTCAGGTACGACAATGAACATACACACTCTCCTGGGAAAAAAAAAAAAGTATTTTATTTTGCCACTAATTCTCTTTCTTAACCGATGCACATCATTCAACACTCCCTAACCCCTCACTCTCTCGTCCCTGAATCAAACCTACACTGACCTCCCTCACATCCATAACCACAGTCATCACAAGGATCAACCCCTCGTCAAAGAAAGAAATCAAAACTCGATCACCCCCTTTCCTCCATCCCACCCTCGGTCCTCTGGTCGTCCCATAGAAGAAAGTCGTCCCTGTCACCGCCAAAGTCTGTCCAGATCGACGAGTCCAAGAACATAGTCTTTTCTTACCGATCTAGCTCCTCCATTGAAAAGGACTATATTCCTATAATGGACGAAGACACCTACAGTCGCCTTTCCTCACGAGATATTGTCGACTGGAATCTCCCGTACGTGGGGTACGCCGATTACAAAAATCGAATCCTCTCCCAGAAGAGCTTTAGCAACACCGCTGTCTCCTCCTCGCCGCCTTCATCTACTTCGTCTCCCTGGTACCAGTCTGCATCTGTCGAGAACAACAAGGGGTCATCATCATCGTCAACTCTAAGCCCAAGCTCGAGCAGCTGGACCCCTGAGGCAGGCGGTTCCTTGGACAGCGTCCTCAGCGATAACGGACCCAACACACTTGCGAACATTGCTTCCAGCCTTGATACCCTCTGGTCTCCGCCTATGCTTCGTCGTACATTCTCAGAAGTCTCGTCTGCGAGAAGGGGTCCCAGATCTTCCCTCTCTGTAACTGGCAGTTCTGCTGGTGCTGCGGGTACTAGTGAGGGTAAGGAGTCTAGAGTTCGGAGAGTCCCGGTGCTGCGACGTCAAGCGTCGATGCCCTTATTGGAGTACGAGATGTCGGAAGAGAGCTCCTTCTTGGAGCAGCCGCCAGTCTGGAGCCCCTCCCTCTCTCAGCCTCAGGAATCGGTAGCGAAGGAACCTATGGATGATACTGCTACTCTTGCCTTTCAAGAATCCGCCACGACAGCTCAGAGCGAAAGCAACGAGGCTGCCATGATGGAAGTCGAACCTGAGGTTCCAGCCGATACCCTCACAACCCCAGGAACACCTACGACACCAGCCTTTGGATCGACCCGAGGCAGCAGGGGTGTCATCCGTCGACATGACACGCGCCAGCTGCACCACCCCTACCGACGACGCGTTCCAAGTACTACCGCGTCTCAAGACGGATCTGTCGACGAGTCTATCCTTCACCTCCCTGCGCAATTCCGTCGATCCGCTTCATTTTCTGGAACCACTAGCACGCCACAAGCACAGCCTGCCCTTCGTCGCGAGGCTTCTACCACGGCCTACATGGATATTCTGTAATTTCTTAATTTCTTTCTTTTTTTGTTGCCAGTTCGTCGGCGTGTGGAAGGTGTTTATGTTCTTTCTTTTGTGCAATTGTAAAAACAAGAAGGGCGAAGAGTCCTTGTGTAAATAAAAATGTACCAACAGTATTTTTGGGGGTTATTTTTGTCAACCGTTTCGATCTCGGACATCTCTATTTTTTTTTTGTTGTGGAGAGGGTGTGGGCGAAGACAAAAAAATTGATAGCGAGATTGAATTATGAGACAAGATAGCTTATTAGCGGTATCTGTGCCATCCATCTTCGCCCCCTTCGTCCGCACCTCTTGAGACAGGGAGCAATGACACGTCATGGTAAGCTTCGACACGTTTATATGGAGGAAGATGGAGAGCAGGCGCATGGAATGGAATCATGTCCGCGTGACATGCCGGAGCAGACAGGGTAATGGGGGTGAGCATAGAGGTCAGATTACTGATGGGAAGGGAAGGTCAGAGGGTGTTTTTTCTTGTGAAGTGATTGAAGGTTGATCAAGGACCTGTGATGCGTAATTTTTTATTTTTTATTTTTTGTTTTTCTTCTTCGTCCTTCATCTTATTCTGCCCTGTGAGTCTCCTACCACAATATAAACAAAAGATAAAAATAAACACCATGCCGATCTATCCAACAGTGCACTCTTCACAATTAATAATCGTAGCTCTACATGTATTTCCCTATTGGTTCAAACGCACAGTGCTTTTCAAATACCAGCTCATCCTGGTGTTGTTTGCAGCGAACAAAAAAAATATACTAGAAGATAAGGAAAGGATGGAAAGTGCGGTTCTCGGTCATCACCACAAGAAGTACCCTGAGCCAAACAAAAAAAGAGTTAACTGAGAAAAACCAGAGAAAGAGAAAGAGAGAGAGAGAGAGAGAGAGAGAGAGAGAGAGAGAGAGAGAGAGAGAGAGAGAGAGAGAGAGAGAGAGAGAGAGAGAGAGAGAGAGAGAGAGGAAGCGAAAGAAGCCTGGTTCCATCGACTGGTATATCGCCCAGCTAGACGATTTCTGAAAATTCTTTCATTCCATATTTTTTTTATACTCTTCACATTGTTGCAAGACGGCTATGAATACCCTCAACTCGCACATACAAAAAGTCATACACAAAAAAAAAAAAAAAAAGAAAGCGATTACCCAACTTACGAATCGTCAAATCTGTCTTTTCTTTCTGTGAACGTTTTACCAAAAAAAAAAAGTGCAGAGGATCTGGTCTACCACTACAGGCAGCAATATCCAGTCCGTCAAGTTACATTTTGTTATTGTTTTTAAAATCCTTTTTTTTGCATTTGAAGCATTCTCTCGTGCGGCCGCGTGTCTTTTTGTCGCGATGAGTTGGCATCCGAGAATCCGCAAGATATGAGTGGAGTGTATCAGGGATAATCAAAATACGCAAGCACAACGGGCCTATGTAAACTTGAAATCCTTGAAAGTTGAGTAGCGGAATAAACGCATAGAACAAAATAGAAAAGCGAAAAGCTTTGATATACTGCACTCAGGTATTTTTTACGTTATCCTGCTTCAAACTTCAGAGCGTCCGTTTTGCGAGAATCGTCGCAGTACGACACCTTAAGCATGAGAGTATCATACATGCTACTTTCTTGAAATGAAAACAATGGGGAACAAAAAAGGGCGAAAGGAGATCGGATGTGGCCACTGAATCCCTCGGGCAGGAATCCACTGGGGACATCCTTGGCTTCTGGGACACTGCTCCATCACGGATCTCGAGTTCGAGCTTGCCTCCACTTTACGGTGAAGGTGCGAGCGTCGTCAAGTATATCGAGGAGTGAGTTGGAGCTGGTACGAGAACTACTGGGTGACTTCTACAGTGGCCACAATATGCTCTACAAATGTCATGCATGGGATAGAGCGCGCTAGGCAGGAAGAATTCAGAACAGTGATCGACTGTCTGTTAAATGCGATCGGAGGATCGGTGGGCGCAAAAAAGAAGGAAGAGAATATGGTGGTGATCAGAATTGGTCACGGCCAGTTCAAGTCGAATCTGGCCATACGTCCCTCCATGGCTCCTTTTTTACCGCACTTTCTCCAGCTGGTACGTTTTTTTGAATCAAGTCAAGCTACTGTTAAATGCTTCTGTGGACAGAAAAAAAACCTCCCCTTGGTACGCAAGAAGCGCTATGTGAGCAAGAAAAAAAGAAAAAGAGAACATAACCAGCAAGAGCGTCTATCCATGAATATGAATGCAATAATAAACGGAAAGGGCGCAGTATACCATCGATTAGTCGTCTGTGCGAGGTGTCGATCTCTTTTTTTTCCTGTCGCGAAACAGGCCGTAGTGACGATCTCAAACGATTTTTTCATCCTTCACTACAACAAGCTCAAGGAACATCTAATAGGCAGAAAGCGCATGCCCTTGGAGACAAAAGTGTATGTGTGCAAAAAATAGATAAAGACGAGACAAATGCCTGTCAGAGTAGTATCCTGTACTTGGACGTTTTAATACAAAACTACATTGGACGCATAGAGCACATGAACTGAAGTATGTAACCAAGAAAAAACGGTATCCTCGCTACAGTTGCTACACGTCTACAAATTAGACAGGTGCACATTAGGGTATCCTTCAGTGGTAATATTTTCTTGCTTTGGATCATTCGATATTAGAATGTATACATGAACATGTAGAAACAAACATGAGTCATTGAGTCAAGGCACTCATAGAATACTGCGTGAATCTATCCTCACAGTGGAGCCATTTATCGAATACGATTTTTTTTTCGCAATGCTCAAACGTCATGGAAGCAATACACCGAGAAATTGATCCACGAGGTTTACTCAGCAATCATTCAAGCTGCAGCATATTCAAAGGTTAAAAAGGCGACATGACGTGAAAAGGCCGTATCCTTGAAGTAGAACATGACAATATCAACAAGAGGAAGAAAACGCTCAAGGAGAGGACTGGTATTCTCTTCTTGCTATTGATTTTGGGTTACCACCTTGCTAGACTGGACTGAGATTCCATACATACAGCCTTATCCTCTGAGTTGAGTATTATGACCATTGAAATGTGTATAAGCAAAATCATGATGCGCAACACACAAATACATCCTCAGAAAGTCTCCATCCAAAATATGCGATGAAATCGATTTCACACAAAATTCTATTTGTTGGAGCTTATAGGAAGACTAAAGCAGTGGTCGATGACGATGAGATCGAGGAGGGCAATATAAGCGACACCATTAGCCGCCGCTATTTTTCATCTTACGAAACGATGCCATCTACAACATCACTTCTGAGTATTCGACTTTGTAAGATACTAAAAAAAAAAGAAGGTTGTAGGTCACCATCTACCGCAGGGTCGGCTAATCAGATAAAAATGACCCATGGAAGGAACGTTCGTCTGGCGCCTTTTTTAAAAAACGCGATGAGCTCATTGATTACAATGGATCACTTGTAAATAAACAGTATAACCACGATTCCACTCGCTCTTCCATCACCCACAAAAAAAAAAAAAACGAGGCGCAAAACACAGCTCACACCATGGCGCATCGTCGCGTGTGAGTCAGCATTTCAGCCATATCACTCACACTCCAGATCCCCGAAATATAGTTCAAGAAAAGTATCAAAGGAGATGCGTGCAAGTGTCACGTCGATCGTTGACCTCCTTTACCTCCTGATGAATCGTCCGTCTGGCCTTGAAGCGAATATATAAACACGAGTCAGAGGTATAGCCCACCAGCGACTCTTATGTCCGAGCGTGAGGAGGTGTCTTCGAGCAAAAGTAAGAAACGGACGACAAAGGCAAGAAACCACGTGGACAAGCTTTTCCGAGACGACAGAGACGAGTAGACGTTTGGGTAAGGCTGCGTGACGTACCTTCGTGAAGGAAGGCCGAGAACACTGTGCGCGCGGATACTCCTCAGTTTTCCTTCTAGCGATATGAAGCTCTTCTTACCTTTGTTCGTTCTTCGTATATCAATATCTTTTTCTTAGTACCAATTAACAATAAAAATGTGCCATTGCGGTTTTGTATGAAGTAAACCACGACATGCGTAATGGTCATGATTTTGAACTTCATTCTTCATTCTCATGACCATGAACATGAGTGAATGGCATTCTAGTGGAGGTATAGCACTAAAATAACTAAAAAATTCTATGAGTGGCGACCTCGGTACTCTGAGGGTTGAGCTTCTTGATATCGCGACCTTGTGCTAATACGTAGCAAGAGGTGAGGCAAGGAGAGGAATTGACGAAGCCCTTATTAGGGGGTTTTCTCTCAACTTCTCGGTTTCTCCCTGCACGGACTAACTTCCATCTTTGCATGCACACCACATCTAGTATCAACACGGCCTATACTTCATAGTTTTATACGTACCTTGCTCACAGAGTTGGAGTGGTTGCTGGTTCCGGATCAAGGAGGTCAGCAACTCCCCCATCTTTTTGCTCAATCCAGACGCTGGCGCCGAAGCCGAAGACGAGCTCGAGTAAATGGGATAAAAGAGGTGATATACTGGCGTTTTGCAGCCCCGCTCCGGGCATGGCTTGTCGATGAAGAGGGGATGCCATTTTGTAGTTAGTTTAGGTTGTTTTGTTCGTTTGCTTGCTTGGTTTGTTCAAGATGTCAATGGAGTATGTGCATGATATCGGATAAGAGGCAGTAGGAGAAGGGTTTGTATGCTAATGGGAGGCGGGTGTAGGTGTTGACATGGGGTGAAAAAAAAGTTCAGAGGTAGGAGAAGAAAGGCAATCTGTCCGGGCGCCTTATTTATTTGTTTTGTCCTAGACACAAGTCCGAAAACCATGCTTTCTTCCTCGTTCATAACGGACGCGTCGACTTCCTTTTGTGTAGATGAGTGTATGTAGATCTATCATTGCGGTTTCCTGTTCCTCATTGTCGTCGACGACTATAAATTCACCTTTTTGTGTGATTGTCATTCATTTCAATCTTCACATCCCTTCTGTCTCCTATTCCGTTTCAAGCAAGAACAAAAAAGGCGTACATTTCGATCCTTTTTGTACTGTCCTGCGCAAGCGACCGAGTGTGTGTGTGAGTGTGTAGAAAATGTTCCTCAGAGAGGTAGAAGAAAGGAGGCAAAATCTGGGCAAGAAAAACTCGATTGTGGCACCCTCGATGAAAAAAAGAAGAGGCAGCACAAAGAAGAAAAAAAAAGAGGGTCTCCACCATGAAAGATCCACCTAAATAATGCACATTAACAAACGCCAAGCAATAAACCACACTTCCCTATCCCTCTCCCATCCAAATGTCCCACTCTGTCCTTCCGTTGTCACTACCTGATCACTCCTCTAGCCCATCGTTCCCTTCATGAATGGGGTAGTATTTATAGCTATGTATTTATTATTCAGCTTTTTTTTGTGTATGCTGTGTTATTGTTATTGTTGTTGGTAGGTAGGTCATTAGGGATTCATCACAAACTAAAATAAGTTTTGGGTAGGTCATTAAAGATTCTTTTCGAGGTTCGTAACAAAAAGAGTGGGTGTGGGGTGGGGAAGAGGTAAATACATATCCCCAATGATGGTTGTTGTTTGTTGTTTGTTGTTGTGTTGTGTTGTTGGATGTTGCAAGTGTGGGTGTAGTGTTGGTTGTGAGAGGGTATAGGTATTGAATAGCAAAATAAAAAAACATTTGTCGGTTGTCTGTTGTCGGTTGTCTGTTGTCGGTTAACGATTCCTGTTCCTGGGCTGGATGACTGGTTGGTTGGTTTAGCGCCTGGTGAGTTTCTTGACCTTGGCCTGGAACCGGCTCCATTTTTTCTCTATTTCCATTTCAACAATAGTACGGAAAAAGTGTTAATATTCACGCATTGAAAGAGACACCTCACCCTCACAATGGCAATACGGAAAAAAACTGGCGCCCATGATACATACCTTTGGTCTTGGTGCTGACGGTGTCGGATCCATACTTGCCATCCTTGGAGTCAGGGGCAGCAAGGTGTGTAGGAGCGACCTTGCCGTTGCCTTGGCCATTTCCATAGGCGTAGACGTTACTGTTTCCGTTGCCATGGTTGCCGTTGAACTTTGTCTCCTCCTTCAGCTCATCTTTGAGACCATTCAAATGCTCCAACGACTCCAGCCTGAACGCCATCTCCTCCAAAGACCGGCGCTGCGTGACAATCACAGAACTCATGCTGACCTGTTTCCGAATATCCTCGAAGTCTCTGCTCAAAGCATGCTGACGGTTCTGGAACTCGTCTGGGACCGAGCGGGCAATGATCGCCAGAGCCGAGCACAACTCTGACCAAGCCCTGTCTACATGAGGTCGGGACTCGGTTTCAAAGACTTCGACCTGGTCCTCGAACTCGATCACGGAGAGTCCCAGTCTGTCGACTCGGATTCGGGAGGCGGTGGTCTTGACAGAGCGGAGGGATATGTTGTCGTCGTCGCCTGCACGCTTATGGTTAGACTTCCAGCGGGATTGCTCGCGCGCGAAGAGGATGACAGCCTTGGCGAAATCCTTGAACCACGACCGGGCGACTTCAATCTCCTTCTCCCAAGCCGCACGCTTCTCCAACGCCAACAACTGCAACGACCGTGTCCTGATCCCCGTCTCAAGCTGCTGGATCCTGCCCGTCAAGTTCTCAGCAAACCACTCCAACTCCATCCTGAGCTGCTTGGAATGCACAGTCGCGCCCAAAAGCGCAACCTTGATAAGCTCCTTGGTCTCCTCGAATCCTTGCTTCATGGTCTGGACATGGGCAAATTCCTTCTCCATCTCGTCCATCAAGACATCCAGCTCGTCAACAACAACCTGCTCGTCCACATCAAAGACTACCATCGACTCGTGGTTATGGTACTTGCGCTGCTCGAGCTCGTCTCCGGGCCAGGACGAGAACATTTGCTTGATCTGTTCGTGAGTTGACTGGACCTTCTGGTTCGACTGTGTCACCCAACGGTCATGCTCGTTCAAGGTCTGGTACAGCTGACGGAGTCCATTCTGGTACGCCAGCAGGGCCTGGAATCCGATGAGATGAGGATCCAAGTTCTTGCTCAACTGCGCACTGCGCTCCAGACGAGACGCAAGCACCTCCTCCAAACGAGCCCGAGTACTCTGCTGGGACTCGGTATAGACCTCGGAGACCTTGTCGGCGGGCTTAGGCATCTTGGCAACCGCACGATGTTTCTCCGTCAAGTCCGCAAGCTCCTTCCGGATAGCATTCATCTTCTCCAGCGTCTTTGGGTTGGCCTCCCGCTCAGCCTTGAGCTCCGTCTCCATCCTCAGGAACCCGCTATCCATAACATCATTCATTCGGATAAACGACGCCGTTTGGACCGCATGCTCGACTACTTGCTGGGCATACTCCAGATGATGATCCAACATGGCGTACCGGGACTTGTACTCGTAGAGTTCCACCTCGAGATGGAGGGGCACCTTCTTCGCCTGCACTTCAGGTGAATCGGCCGACTCTCCTGGTGCGGGCATGGTGGCGAGCTCTGCGAGCGAGTCATAAATGGTGAGAGTGACGTCCATGGATGCCTCTTTTTGGGTTGCTGCTGAGGAGGAGATCTGGTTCATCTGCTGCTTCAACTGATCCACCACCTTTGCATTCAGATCTATTTAAGTGGTGGGGTAAAGTATGTTAGGTCCTGCTCTTTTCATATTTTTGTCCTATAAATGAAACAAAGACAAGAGACATACCAGCGGTGCTGTCGCTCTGCTGGCAACTGGCAATGATCTGAGTGTACTCTTCGACAGTATCTATATTCGTTTACAATAGTAAAGCATATCATTAGTTCATATGGTTCATGCACCTCAGAGATCGAAAGCCACCAAATAAATTAAACAAAAAATTACCTTGGCAGGCAACGGTGGATTTGGCAAGGTGGATCTCAGATTCAGCAAGCTGCTGAGACCACACAAGACGCTGTCCAATGATTTCAAGCTGGAACCCCTCCTGGTTGTTCAATAGATACAACCGTTGAAGGTGCTCTCTCAACTTTTGCTGCATCTGCTCAGCCTCGTGGTACTGCTCCGTCCTGATCTGATCCAGAGACTCAATGCCTCCCGAAAGCTGAACCGACTGGTGAAGGGCAACCTTGAGGTTCGACAACTCCAACATGCGCTGTCTCTTGAACTCGTTCAAACTGGTCTGGGTCTTGTTGTTGGCTACCTCAGCGTCGTGCAGCTCATCTTCGGTCTTCTTCCAGTTCGAATCGCCATCCGCAAGTCCGTCGATCGAGTAGAGGCTGCGTCCCCGGATCTCAACCTCAGACTCTTCCAGGTACTGCTGCAGGGTCTTGACGCGGTCCGTGAATTGATCCCACAAGAGTCCCCACTGCTCGCCGATCTCCAATCCAAGGCTGAGACGAGCCTGCATCTGGACAATATGAGCTTGACGCTCACGAATCTCCTTCAGCAAGGGCGCGCAGGAAGCATCCTGGTTGATGAAACGGAAGACGGGTCCTTGTTCGATCAACAAGAACTCGTTCGCAAGCTGGCTAGCCTGATCGACCAGCCCGTTCAGAGTCTGCTTCTGGTCCGGGTCCGTAATCTCCAAAGCTGTCAGACGGTTGTCGACAGACGTCAAATCGGCGTCCAGACGCTTAATGGTCGTAATGACACGACGACACTCGACCAGGTTGATCACATCCCGCTCGCGATCAGCTCTCAAGGCACGAATGTCGTCAAAGAGTCGGCGGACACTGGCGATCTTGGCCTGCACAACAGTCGGGTCCTGCCTAGATCCTGCCGCAGTAGACGAAGCTGTCATCGCGGCCGCCATACCCTGATACTTGTTGTAGTTGGCCTCCTCAAAGACATCGAACGCCTGACCGACTCTTGAGACCATGGCCGCAAACTCGTCAAAGGGTGTAGTATCGTCCGAGATCATGCCCTTGAAAGGGGTATCACAGTAGAGGTCCGAACGGAACTCGCGGAGAGTCATCTGGCAGGACTGAGTGACATCCAGGAACTCCTTCATCTGCTTGTCCGCGATCAAGGTCTCCTGCTTCTCCTGAAGACACGACGACAGATCCCTCACAAGATTGCTCAACCCCTTGTGACGGATCTGGATCGAATCCCACACTACAGGCTGAACATCGGCGTTCTTGAAAGTCGCCTCCAGTTGGGCCAGGCTGCTGGTCACCTTGTTGACAGTCTCCTCAGCCTCAGTACCCGGCTGGGTCAAGACCCAGCTGTTGACAGCATTGAACGCCGTCTCCAGCAGTGCCTGAGTCGAACGTGCAGCCTCCAGGTAGTCGAGCACACGCGAGGCATATGCGCGCCGATCCAGTTCCTTGGGCAACATCGTCTCAACCTGATCCAAACGAGCCTTGACTCCGCTCATCTTCTTCTCGACCGCCGCAACGGTCTCGGGGGCTGTGACATCCTGAGTCTCTTCGACTCCTGCAATGACAGCCTGCGCCTCCTGTTCCAGTTTTTCGAGGCCTGTTGACCGGAACTCATCCAGCTTTGTCTTTTCCTCCTCCAGGCGAACCTGACGCTCGGTCGTTTCGGCCCGGTACTTGTCGAGGTGGTCGTCCCGGGACGTGTCTCTGGCCAAAAAGTCCTTGACCGTCTCGCCTGACCTCCAGACATCCCTGGTGACAAAGCTAGGGTCTTTGAGACTGACGAGTAACTCAACACTCTTCTCGATCCATTCCTCCGAAAGCACAAAGGTGTACAGGAACGTCTGGAGTAAGCGATCGTTCGACAGGTTGTTGTGTGCCTCGATAATAAGAGCTCCGAGGCTGGGAAGGTCGACGGTGTTGACTTGTTCGCTTTGTTGGGCAAGATGGGCAGGAGGCGTGTAAGTCTCCGAGACGAGAATATTAGACAGAGTGTCGGTGTACCTCTTCCAGAGGAGTTTGATCGAGACGACGTTGGACTCCTGGTGGTCGAGCACGGATCCCTGAGAACGGTCCTGGAGAGAGTCGAGCGAGCGCTTTTCGGCAGTGAGTTGGAGCTGTTCCTGGAATCGCTGCAGGTCGCTGAGAATACGGTCAATCTCCTGAGAACACTCGACAATCCACTGAATCTCCTGAACGGCATCCATGGCTCCTGAGGTGCGTTTGCTGAAAGCGGTCCAAAGAGTATCAAGTTCCTGCCACATCTCCTCCACGTGGGTGACCTGCTCAGAGGTGAGATCGGGAGACTCGAAATCGAGGACCTCGTCGCGGATAGAATGTACAAGCGAGAAGTCGTCTTCTTTGCGTCTCCTGGCCTCCTCTGCTTGCTGGACCTCGAGCTTGAACTGGTCGAGATCTCGAGACCGGTCCAATGGTGCAGTGGTGTCGGGTGTTGGTGGCAAGTTCTCATCCTGACGCTCAACCCAGTCCAACAGATTCTGAGCCTGCTTCAAATATCGCTCCAGCTTCTCATCCAGTTCGGCCTGCCGCCTTGCCAGCTCCTCTGGGTCCATGGGTATAATTGTTGTCGTTGTTGAGAACCCATGCACGCTATGCACACTATGCACGCCATCTTCGCCTGCGACGCCGCCTTCTTCCTCCTCATCGCCCTGAGCAGCCGCCGCCGTAGCGCCCCTTGGGGGACGTCCATAAGTCTGTTCGTACAGAATCGCCTTTTCGCGCTCTCGTGCCTCTCGCTTCAGTTTCCGCTGCAGATTTTTCTCTTCCTCCTCCTCCCTGCGTTTCTTGCGAGCCTCCTCCTCCTCACGGGCTCTTTCGACAGCACGGATAGACCAGCCTTCGATTTCCATACGACGGAGTCGGATACGCTCAAGTTCTTCGAGCTCTTCTCGCTTCTTGCGCTCCTCATCCTCCTGTGTCCGTCGCAGCTCTGCCTGTAAATCTTCCTCTGCGGATGTGACACGATGTTCCTTGGCCTGTTGTCGGCTTGTATGGAGTTCCTCTGCGACGACGGGATCCTGCTCCTGTTGGTGTTGGGACATGATGAGGTAATATTCCGAGACGTAGGTCATAATAGAGCGTTCGTCGGGCGTTTCAACATCGACCAGATCCTCTGGGTCCAAGAGTCGTGGGAGGGTCATCCGTTCAAAGGCGGCGTCGAAGGCTATTGTAAGAGTTTTGCGGGATTGTTCGATGGTCTCGTGAGAGGCCTGGAGAATAGAGTTGTAAAAGTCGGGGAGGATGTTGGGGTCATGTCGGTGGATGAGTGCGGCAAAAGCGACGCCTGTCTTCCATGATCGGTGGAAATCCTGGATTGGAGGGATAATATCGGAGTAGTCTTCAAGTTGGAGGCGGACCCAGCGGAGGAGAGCCTGCTTGGCATCGACCTGGTGCTGCGAGGCACCCTTTTTCTTTTTCTGGTTGACTACTGACGCTTCCTCTTCCTATTTGTTCATATTGTTATTGTTAGTGTTTGATTGATGGAGAGGCAAAGTAAGCGACAAAAAGAATGTAGGAGAGAAAAAGAGAGAGAACAACACGGCCAAATGAGCATGGGTGCCAAGTGAAGTGGAGTGAATTGGGGTGGGGAGAGTGTGAGCAAGGAAAGGGCTCTCTGTTGAACCATATTAAATTAATAGATTCAGTAACAACAGCTGCAGCAACAATAAATCGTTCTTAGGAGGTGTCAAACGTCGGGTGGTGAATGGTGGTGGTGGTGGTGGTGGTGCCAAGAAACAAACAAAAAGAAGTAAATAAGAGAACAAAATAGTTACCATTATGTCGTTGAGGAGACTGGGGTAGATCTCGGTCATGGTGTTAGCGATATGCTGGATCTGGAAGCGGTAGATAATATTCCAGATAAGACCCAGTGTCAACTTGACATTGCCGTCAACGATATCCTCGTTACCAATCGACTGCAGTGGCTCGTCCGTCTTCTTTTCCAGGAACGCCAGTGCCTTGGAGACGTTGGCCATCTGGTGGATACGCATGTTACCGCGCTCAGGTTTAAGCGGCTCCTTCGAGACAACCTCCAGCAAACCAATAAGTCGCTTTCCGTCCTTGAGGTCCTTCTCGATCGTCGTCATCGGGCTATAGGCGGTGGTGGTGGCCAGCTGGACATTGACCCAGCGCATGAAGGTCGTCTTTTGGGTGTCGATTTGGGATGCGGCGAATTGGCGGACCATGTCTTCGGAGGCGTCAAGATGATTGGCGAGATGGTTGTTGTGGAGGCCACCGGTGAGGGTGTTTGCATTCGAAGATGGAGATTTGGACGAGAGGAGATTATGGGCGTTATTGTTGAGGAGAGAGTTCGTTAAGGAAGAAGAGTTGGTGTTGAGGCCTCCTGGCCCCTGGGACTGGAGTCTCTTGTTCTTGAGTTGCCATGCCATTGAGATACGAGGGGAGGAGTGGGATTAGGTTGTTGAGGGCTACTACTACTACACGACTCCGTCTTTCTTTTATCTTTTGGTTCTGCAGTGTCAGTTGTGCAGGTTTAATGACTTAATGTGTGTGTGCACGAGGGTTGGTAGGAGGATGAAGAGGGTCGGAGGGTGAAAGACGGGCGAAGGGTGTAGGGAGAATGGTGAAAGGGTGATAGGAAAGGGAAGGGGAAGGGAAGGGAAGGGAAGGGAAGGGAGGATGGGGCGGCGGGAAGAAGGAAGGGAGGGTTGGAATACGGGTCCAGTGGGTCAATCCGTTTCTGCCGAGTCCTTTCAAATGGTCGTTAATAAGAAATAAGGATTGTTGTTTGTTGTTCGTTGAAAAGAAATGAGGGAAGGAAGGGAAAGGAAGGGAAAGGTAAAGGGAACGATTACAGACGGAAGAAAGGACGGGTGTGTAATAAAGAAGAAGAAGAAGAAGAAAAAGAAAACAAAGAGAGGGTATATAAAAAGAAGGCCAGGAGGCAAGTAAAGTCGAGAGCAATAATTGAGTAAGTAATAAAAGAGTGTGTGTGTTATGGTACAAAGCTTGTCTGCGTGTGTGTCTCGCTGTACCTGTCGGTGTCAGTCGGCTGAGTGAAAAGACTAAGAAAAGAAAAGGTGAATGAGGAGAAGGATGAGATGGACAAAAAGAGAGAAAGAGAAAAAGAAAGAAAACGAACCACAGCGCTGATGAGGGAACAAACAATAGGAAGCGAGGCTGAATAGAAAATAGAACGCAGGAGAGGGTCAAGGACGAGGAGGCAATGCATTCCTACCAGAGACACTTTGCTATGTTGAAGAAGGAAGGGTCAGCAGTGCTCGACTCTCGCCGTATTGTTTCTTTTTGGGGGAAAAACGATTGGGCCACAAAAAACATTGATGCAAAACGCGCGGACGCACAAACACACAGACACCTGCCAAACAAAAAAAACAGATGGGACCCATGAGCACATGCTGACAGTGGGTGAACGGGGGAACACTTGTTTATTTCTTTTTTTCTCAGGCGAAATACGTCTTAGACCCCATGTGCGATTTTAGACTGTTCTGCCATGTTCTTTCTCACTCCCATCCCATGGGCCCGTTATATAGTTGGAAGCGAAAAGGAGAGGGAAGGAGAAGGAGAAGGAGAGAAGAATAAAGAAGAGAAGGAGAGAGAGAACAATGAAGAGCCCGCAAAGTGATAATTACATTGACCCAACGGCCATTGTTGTTGCAAACTTGTCCGCCACCTTCACTCCCTATTATCCCCTTGCTCTCATCGCAATGCCATGCGAGCCATAGCCAAAGTGACATCCCTTTGTTTGTATAGCTGTGTTCTGGATTAATAGCACCCGGTCATATCCAGGGGCCGTTGCCTATCTTGACCCAGTAAACCAGACTGGTTTATGTTGCGCCACCAAAAATTCAGGCACAGAGTGGTAAGACACCCGGCCAACAAGATCGTTTGAAGACAAATTCATAGAAGCGATGGCTATTAATGGACACCAGCGATGGATAAGAATGATACGCCACCAATTCGAATTGGTGCATTGACATTCAACCGTCGGTCACTCCACCATACCATGGCTGCCGATCTCGGACCATGTCTGTCTTGGTATGTCTTCCTGTCGTTTGATTTGGGTCGGGAGCCATGTCAAAACGTCAGAGACATGATGAAACATCTCATTACCGGGCACATACATTTCTCATATTACAACAACCAAAGTACGTGAAAGAGAATGCTAGAAACTCAACAGCCAGATTGAACTTATTGACTATATTATTTCCCCGTCAGCTTATGAATGACCCATGCCATTGCACCTAATGCATTGCTCGGACATTCTCCGCCTACAACGTCCTGTTGACACGAGTCTTCTAACCCCTAGCATCGCCCCTGACAGCGCAGATTTCGCCCATTGATTGTCAAGGAAGGAGACAAGATGTTTTAAGGGTTATTGATCAATCGCTTAGAATGCAGGATTTATTCTTGCTAAACGCGATGTGACGCCAGGGCCACAACACGTTGTGTGAAAGCGTTCTATATAGTCATGGTGCTACCACCCATTGACGCTCGTTACCGAGAATGGGGCAGTTTTACCAACAAGGCCAGTGGTCTACTTGTTGTTGTGTATGACGTTTTGAAATGACTCTGCGGGGTGAAGATAGGTTGTCAACGCTGGGGGATGTTTCTCGTCGTTCCATTTTTCTTTTTTTCAATTGCTTGTTTGTTCTCATCTGGGAGTCCATGACAAATGGCGAATATTCTCCGTTGGTTCAGTGAAGTGTGCTTGGAGCAGTTAGAGTTGAAGGTTTGATGTTGTCTGTTATCTAGGCACGATCAATCATCAATGTCGGTGGCGACATTTTTCACAAAGTAGTAGTGCTACTCCTCAGGGTGACTGCTTCCGATGGACTTTTCGCGAGTTCATCAGAATCGAGCATGACCCAGGGCCTGAGAAATAAAAGGAGACCGGAGACGACCTTCCTCTTTCTTCTTTTTTTCTTTTCCTCTTTTCTTCTCCACTCCTTCACACCCTCTTCCATACACAACCATGTCTGAGTTCACCACCCGCGTCATCGGCGCCCCCAACACCCTCGAGCACCGCGTCTTCATCGGTAACCTTTCTCTTTTCTTACTTTTTCTCTTACTTTCTTGTTTTGCCATCACGAAAAACAAGAACCCGACTTTTTACTCATTCCTCATCTCACCACCACTTGACCATAAACAAACACTATAGAGCACAACGGTGCACCCGTCTCGGCCTTCCACGATGTCCCTCTGTACGCCGACAAGGCCAACAACATCTTCAACATGATTGTCGAGATCCCCCGCTGGTCCAACGCCAAGCTCGAGATCTCTAAGGACGAGCCCTTCAACCCCATTAAGCAGGACGTCAAGAAGGGCAAGCTCCGCTTCGTTCGCAACTGCTTCCCCCACCACGGTTACATCTGGAACTACGGTGCTCTCCCCCAGGTAAGCCATTTTTCTCTTTTTGTCCACTGAGACGTTATCATGGGCTTGATAAGTCATATCGATTCTGGAGAAGGGAAGAAAGGAGTCAGCTATGTGTGAATGGTCCAGGAATTACGCAATTAGGATCTGTCTTTTTTGCGTGTCGTTGAGATTATCAGTTTCTCACGTTCGTTGACATCGGTCACTAATCGTTATTATTTTCATTTTTTCCCTACACTCTTGACTACTTCATATTAGACCTGGGAGGATCCCACTCAGTCCCACCCCGAGACCAAGGCTCGCGGTGACAACGATCCCTTGGATGTCTGCGAGATTGGTGAGCAGGTCGGCTACACCGGTCAGATCAAGCAGGTCAAGGTCCTCGGTGTCATGGCTCTTCTCGACGAGGGTACGTCTTCCTTCTCATGTCTTCACCTTCCCTTATTCCTCCCCGTATCATTCACGTGAACACAACAACATTAACACCAGCAGCAACACGGGGGGAACTTGTCAACCCGACACAAGCACGCGTGTCGCTTGTACTCTTCGCGCCACACTGCCCTTTCCAGGAGAAAGAGACCCAGAATTCAATTGGACTGGAGACTGACTGGACTGCTCGAACCTAACATTCAAAAGCGAATGTCGGAGCTTCGAGTTGGTTCAACGACATGTAATTGTTTAGCTCTGAGCACTGGATGTTAACCTATTTTTAATATCCCTTTTCTCCCACTTCATATGTCAATGAACATGATGAATAGGCGAGACTGACTGGAAGGTCATTGTCATTGATATCACCGATCCCCTTGCCAACAAGTTGAACGACATTGAAGATGTTGAGCGTCACCTCCCTGGCTTCATCCGTGCCACTAACGAGTGGTTCCGCATCTACAAGATCCCCGACGGCAAGCCCGAGAACCAGTTTGCCTTCTCTGGTGAGGCCAAGAACAAGAAGTACGCCTTGGACGTCGTCAAGGAGACCCACGAGGCTTGGGAGCGTCTCATCAAGGGCGAGATCCCCTCCAAGACTGAGGTCTACGATCTCCAGGTGTAAGTGGTTTTCCCCGTTGCACTTTTGTTTGTTCAATTGATTGCATGATACCGACGCGCAAGGTGTTTGTTAGATCGCTTTTGCTCATCCTCTTTTTTCGTTTTGTTTTAAACCCCCTTAGGAGCAACGTCTCTGTTCAGGGAAGCCCTTACCTTGTTGGTGCCGAGGACGAGGTTGTCAAGAACATCCCCGCCGCTGCTGCCAAGCCCGCTGCCCCCATCGACCCCTCGGTCGACAAGTGGTTCTTCATCTCTGGAACCAGCAACTTGTAAATATCGGTTATCCCTCCTCCTTTACCTACTTTTTTTGAACAAAATAAATCATATCCAAATATCAAAAAACGCAGCGCTTGGCGGACATGATCAACGTTACCATCCATGGCGGAAAGCACATCATCGGCGATCGTCTATCCCTTATCCAACTCGCGTGAGCAAGGCAAGATCTGATGGGTTTACCATCCCCTCTTCAAGGAACAGCTTTCGGAAGCACAGGATAGAAAGCGTTACCCAGTTCTATCTTGTTTTGTTGTTGCGAGTTGATGTCGCCATATTTCGTTTCTGTGGGCGTTGGCGGATGGCTCTCACTTCTGACTTGCTCAAGTCACGTGATTAAATTATTTCAAGAATGACGTCGGAGTAATGCCACGGGGTGCGTAGGCTACGATTCTTACACACCTTACGTGTTCTTGGACACTTGTTACAAGAGTGCAGTCCACCTTTGACATTCGGCGAAAGGCGAAAGACATGCAAAAGTGGAAAAGGTGGCATCAGCTTCTCTTCTTTTTCTTCTCCCATTAAACACCCATCAACCACACTACGACAAACAGACTTATTGCCGCAGACAAGCTCTTATCAGGAAGACTAAAGCAACAGGCCGAAAAGCAGGAATACCCCCCAGCAGCAAGAGTTTACCAGGCGTACCATAAGACACCACCACACATAACCGCAAGGAACCACCACCTCCACCACATCACACACAACCCTTACACAACAAACATACAAGCAATATGGTCCTGGAGGCTTCTATCTTGGTGTACGCAAGCAAACCTTCTCTATCATGTCTTGACAAAGGATACTGCAGCAGGCTTTGGATCACGACATGTTCACGCGTTTTGACACGTCGTTACTATCTTAGTACCACCGAACCTAACGCCTTTTTTCGCCTTTCTTCCTTTCTCTCTTTATTGAATCGACACAGGTTGGATAACTCTGAATGGATGAGAAAGTACGTTCTTACAACATGCCACAGTCAACTTGTTTCCACTACCTGGACCCTGACCTGTCGATTTCTTGTGAAAGGACATCCAGCTAACCCTACCCTATTGTCACTTCGTCCTACCTAAATAGTGGTGATTACACGCCTACGCGTTTGGAGGCCCAGGCAGATGCCGTCAACCTGATCTTTGGCGCCAAGACCCAGTCCAACCCCGAGAACACCGTCAGTTTGATGACCATGGCCGGCAAGAGGTACCATTTCTTTCTTTTTCTCTATTAGTCTTGCATCTTGTCTGCGGACTACGGCTTTTAATCTGAAGTGCTGGATGTAAGATACAAGTGAGCTAACATCTTCATTTATGTAAAATGGTTTGTTGGGTTTGGATAGTCCCAAGGTACTGGTGACATTTACAGCGGATATCGGCAAGATCTTATCGGCTCTTCATAATGTCGCCATTGGAGGCCAGGTTTCCTTCAGCACCAGTGTCCAGATCGCTCAGGTACGAAATCAGCACTAACTGTCGCATTCATGTATCGAATGTCGATTTGTTATATAACTCGCTGTCATGGATACGTTATTAACATTCACGTCTGTCCCCTCTCGCCTCACTAATAACAATAGCTGGCATTGAAGCATCGTCAGAACAAGAACCAAAGACAGCGGATTATTGTGTTTGTGGGCAGCCCCGTGGAGGAGGACGAGAAGACGCTGGTGAAGCTGGCCAAGAAGTTAAAGAAGAACAACATTGCCGTCGACGTCATCAACTTTGGAGAGGAGGCCGAGAACACCACTAAGCTCGAGGCCTTTGTCGCCGCCGTCAACAACAGCGATAACAGGTTCGTATTTGTCTTTTGTTTTTGTGAAGGAGCATGCTTCGTTGTCACAAGCTGAAGGCCGATATGACACATTAAGCGAAATATCCGTTGTCTAACCACAAGATACCTTTTTACCATTTTTATGTTATGGCTGATAGCAACTTGGTGACGGTCCCACCAGGTCCTCATTTGTTGAGCGACATCCTCGTCAGTTCGGCAATCGTCGCAGGAGAGGACGGCACCGCGCCCGCCTTTGTCTCGAGCGGTGGTGGGTCCTACGAGTTTGGCGTCGACCCTAACCTGGATCCTGAATTGGCCCTTGCCCTCCGGATTTCGCTTGAGGAGGAGCGTGCGAGACAGGAAGCTGCTTCTGGAGGCCCTCCTAAGGCTGAGGAGGGCGGTGCTAAGGCCGAGGGCGGTGCTGCAGCGGCGGCTGGCGGTGTTGAGGATGATTTGTTGGCCCAGGCTCTTGCCTCATCACAAACGGACGTACGTGTTTCTCATTGCTCTCCTGTTTTATCTCTTTTGCTATTGTTTTTTATTTGCAAAACATCTACTTTGCTACATATGCTCAGTTTCTAACACTATAACCATTGTTCTAATTAATTACCAAAATGCAATAGGGCGACCACGATATGGAGGGTCTGACAGAAGAACAAGAAATGCAACGCGCAATCCAAATGTCAATGTCCGACACCAATCCCACATCCCAAACCACCACCAACCCCGCAGGAGATTTTGACGAGGCGATGCAGGACCCGGATTTCATGAACTCTGTCCTAGGCTCGCTCTCGGGCGTCGATACCAACGACCCTCGTATCCAGAACGTCCTCCAGGGCTTTTCTTCGTCTGCTAATTCTGCAGAGGAGGAGGCTAAGAAGAAGAGGGATGCTGAGGAGGCCAAGAAGGACGATGAGAGCAAGTAGAAGAGCAAGTAGAAAAACCTACTACGGAGGACCCTGCAGGTTTGTTGCGCATGTCCATGGGTCTCTTGTTAAGAGAGAGAGACTTACAAGTACATGAGTAGCAAAAGCATCTGGTCAATGAAGGCAAAAGGCACAAACCCATAAACGAAACAATTTTTTTTCACATCTGGCCTGCTTTGTTTTATGATTGATGTTTTAATGGAGAAAAAGAAAAGGAGAAATGAGGACACAAACACTTGTTTTTTTTTTTGATTATCTCTAACTTCTCTAACGTATGCTACTATGGTAAAAAAAAAAAAAAAGAGAGAACCACAGTATTGTAGAATGAATGAAGACACCTTAAACGGTGAGCTTGGCAAAGAGATCGGTAAGATCCTTCTTCAACCCCAAGAGCGCAGAAACCTCGGTCTGAACAGCGGCAGCATCGGCCTTGCTCGCCTTCAACTCCCTCACCTTGACACCCTGGTCCTCAATCTTCTTCTCCAACTCGACAACCTCAACAGGCTTCTCGCCCTTGAAGACAGGCGCAGGAGCAGCCTTGGTAGGCTTCTTCTTCTTCTTCTTCTCATCGGCAGCAGGCTCGGAGCCGTCACCACCATACTTGGCTCTCCAAATGTCCTCCTGCTTCTCGTCGATGCGCTTGAAGAGGTACTCGGCCTTGTTAATCACATGTCCGGGAAGGATGGAATCAACAGTGAAGGAGTCGGGCAAGAGACGGACGGGGGCGTTCAATTGGCGGGCGATGGATTCCGAGGTCGAGGGCATGAAGGGGAACAAGACCGCGGACAAGAGGTAGATCAAGTTCAAGGCCGTGATGACGACACGATCACAACGAGCGCGGTGGTCCGCGAAAAGGGCGTTATCGATCTTGTTATCCTGGAGGTAGACGTTTCCAAGCGCAGAGATCTCCATAGCCAACCTCAAACCCTCACGGATCTTGACCTCATCCAAAGCCTCAACATAAAGATTCAACTTCTCATTGACCTCCCGGAGAAGCTTCTCATCCGACTCGGTAGCAGGGGAGGCGGTAGCGTCGAGGGAAGGAACGTGGGAGTCATACTTGGCGTTGACGAATTTGATGACACGGTTGACAAAGTTTCCGAGGTTGGCGAGGAGCTCGTTGTTGTTGCGGGCAATGAAATCCTTCCAGAGGTAGTGGGAATCGTTGGTCTCGGGACGGTTCGAGAGGAGGTAGTAGCGCCAGACTGAGGGGGGCACACCAGTCTCTTGGACGTTGTTACCGAAAATGCCGACGCCGCGCGACTTTGAGAACTTGCCCGTCTCATACTGCAAATACTCTATTTCATCATCAATTAAAAGACAAACAAGGTCAGTTCATGATCGGTATGTTCATCACTTAATACAGCGATCGAGCAAAAAAAAAAAAAAAAAAGTGCTCCAAACGTACCGGTGGTGCTAAGGGTGTTGAGGAGGGTCCACTTCTCGCCAGTACCCATCAAGGTACTGGGGAAGATGACAGTATGGAAGGGAACGTTATCCTTGCCCATGAACTGGTACAGCTTGACATCCTCAGGGTTCTTCCACCACTTCTCCCAGTCCTTGGTATAAGTAGCTGTGATAGAAGGGTAACCGATAGGAGCATCAAACCACACATAAAACACCTTGCCCTCCCAACCGGGCAAGGGGACAGGGGTACCCCATTTCAAGTCACGGGTAATGCAACGCAACCTGAGCCCATCCTTAAACCAGGACTGGGTGATGACTTTGCCATTGTTGGACCAGGTGCCCTCGGCTGAAGCCTTCTCGTACCACGCCTCACACTCGGGCTGGAGCTTGCCCAGGTCGAGGAAGAGGTGTTTTGACTCCTTCTGGACGGGACGGTTTCCGTCCAGTTTGCAGCGGGGGTTGACGAGATCTGTTGCGTTCAAGAGGGAGCCGCACTGGTCGCACTGATCTCCACGGGCATCCTATTTTTTTGTTGAAAAGGAAGGGTCGGTAAGGGGAATGGCGCAATTTGGTGGTGAGTGAGGAGTTGTAGTGCATGGACGCGTATTTTTCTCACACCTGACCAGCTTTGTTGCACATGGTTCGTTTTCATGCAACTTTGCTTGTGCTGCGAGGACGAAGAAACAAAACAGCACGGAAAAAAGACTTACATCGTAGTTGCACTTGGGACATGTTCCCTCAACGAAACGGTCAGCAAGATATCTAGAAACACAAAGCAACAAAACTGTGAGTCAAAAGCATCCTCTTTCATTCATTCTTCACCAATGACCCAACATCCATAACATCCCAAAACAAAAGCTACCCAAATGCATACCTGTCACACTGACTGCAGTAAAGTTGGAGCATAGAATCCTCGATCAAAAGACCACGCTCATACAACTTCATAAAGATATCCTGCGAAATCTTGGTCTGTTCCTCAGTCGTGGTGCGTCCAAACTTGTCGAAATCAATCTCCATCCATTCGTAGCACTGCTTGTGGATCGGGTAGTACTTGTCACAGAGCTCCTGGCATGTCACTCCATCGGATAAGGCCTTTGTCTCGGTGGCGGTTCCGTATTCGTCAGTTCCGCAGATGTACAAGGCGTTGATGTTGCGGACGCGCTGGTACCTGTTGGTTTGGTTCATAAATGAATTCAATTGATGATGATTAGTGTTTTGTATAGCAGGTAGGAAATCGTTGGTTCCTGATGTTTCGAATGACAAAGCAACACAAAGAAACAACAGGCACTGAAGAAGGGAAAGTAAAAGTTACCTGGCGTAGACATCAGCAGAGAGGGTGGATCCGATAATGTTTCCCAAGTGAGGCACGTTGTTGACATAGGGCAAGGCCGAAGTAATCAACACGTTGCGCTGGCCGGGGATAGGCGCCCTGGGAAGAACAGTAATAGGGAAAAGAAAACGAGAGCACAAGCGCGTTAGTACGAGGTTCTTCAACATGCGAATGAAAATTATCGCCCCAATTGTGTGTGTAGGTTCTTAGTCCACGTTGTTCTTGGTGTTGGCCGTGGTACAACAAAAAGAGAGGGCAAGGAAAAGGAGGCTTACTTGTTGGCGCTCTTGGGAGGCATGGCGATGCCAGCCTTGATGGTTGCGGGGGTCGACATGACTGTGAGTGTTGTGCTTTGCTGGTGTTGTAGTTGTTTGTGTTGTTGTTCGTTGTCCAAGAAGGCGATATTTCTTGTTGTTGTTCAAGGAGTCCGCTGAAGATCCTTTTGAGCGCAGAGGGTGTGATGTGTGTTGATGAAATGAAAGAAAGCGAAAGAAGAAAAGAAGATCTGTTGGACCAAGGACGAAGGCGTGCTTTTTGTACCTCTTTGTTTGTGTCCGCTGCCATGAACTGTGTTCAAAAAACACAGGGGGTCCAATCAGAGGGCAGCCACACGTGACCATTTCCAGACGGCAAATCGACTCATGCTGACAGATCTTCGATAGTTCTTCTCTTCTTTTTTGCTTTGGTCTGTTGACTTTGGTGGAAAGAAGCACCATTGGAAAGAAAAGGCAACATTCGATGGGTATATTGATACACAAGCAAGAAAGACTACCGCAGCTAAACAATTACCTACAGTGCTTCTAGCCGTTCCTGAAGTTTGGCTAAAAGAAAACACAAAATAACAAACAAACAAACAAACAAACAAACGTCAATAATGTGGAGAAGCGAATAGTCATTACACACCGCCTTGTCATATTTGCGCTCTCAACTCATAAAAAGAGGATAAACTCACCTGCAGTAGCATAGTCCTCTTCTGCAACAGCAGCCTGGATATCTCGCTCCAATACTGCCCTCTGCTCCTCCTTGCCAACGACAAAACTATCCCCGCCTGCAGTCGGTACAGTCGTCCCTGCTACTGCTGCTGATACTGCCGCAGCTGCACTACCATCCAGCGCCCCCTGAGGCACCGTGGTCTCGCGTCCATATCGTATCCGTGAAACTTCCAGCACACTCTCGATCTCGGACTGCAACTCTTCCAGCAACTTTCCTGCCGCAGTGTTCTTGCTACCTCCTTCCTCCTCCTTGGCATCAACAGCAGATTTGTCAGCAGCCATGGCAGTAGTGGTGGAAGAACCATTGGATATTGGCTTCTTTGAACAGGCAGACAAAAGTTGAGCCAGCGTCTTAGTAGTGACTTCCTGGATCTCCTTGAACAGATTCAATTGCTCCTGCTTCTGGTTGGCCTTCAGGGCGTCGTACTCCTTTTGCAATCCTGCCAGATCTTTCTGCGTCGATCCAGATGTTATCTCGCTTGTACGCCTCTCAAGCTCTTCTCGTTGTTGAGCCATCGTCTCGCGGAGTTTGGCAAGCTCTCCCGAGTAGTGCGAAGCCTGCTTGAAATCTCGACGTTGAACAGCCAAAACCTTGAGGGATTCAGACTGGCCGACACGCTTCTCCGACCCTTTAATGCCCTCCTCAAGTTCAACAACAACCCTCTGATCCCCTGCAACCTTATCTGTCAACTTTTTGATCCTGCCCTCCAGCTTTACCAGATCCTGAGTCCACCGACTCGAACGCATACTCCACCCAGCCTCCTTCTCTCTAAACCACTCCTCCTCCACCCGCAACTTCTGAATAATCGCCAACTCGTCCCCAAACATCTTGCGGACAGTCTCCAAATGCTCCTGCTGAGCAGCAATCGCCTGGACATCACTCTGGACCTTGCCCAGGACACCTTCAGCAGTCTCAACCATCATTTGGAGTTGTGCCTCTTGACGGTCGAGACGCTGGCTCCGTTTCTGGAGATCAGAGATTCGAAGGTCCAACTTTTGTTTGTCCTGCATGACCTCCGTGGATTTTTCGCTGAATTGTTCCTCAGTGGTGCGAATCCGCTGCTGAACCGTCGCAATCTCGAAAGCCCACTCCTTGTCCTTCTGATTCAGCTGCTCCAACTGCCTTGTCAACTCTTCTATCTCATGCTATCGTTGGGCAGTTACATATGCACGATGGTAGTGATTAGTACAATGCAAAACAGTATCACAAAAGAGTCAAAGACCAGAACACGGTACATACCCTATTGGCTTTACGCTTCTCCTTCAAAACGTTTAGTTCATCCTGATCGATCCCCGTCTCCTCATCAATCCGCTCCTTCAGCTCACTCTGGTTCTTGCCCAAAAAGTCCTGCTCCAGCGCAATGTCACTTCGATCCTTCTCAATCTCGTCCCTCTCTCCCTGAAGGACTGCAACCTCGCTCTCCCGTCGTTGGTTCAACTCTGCCACAAAGTGCTCCCTCTCAGCCTCGCGCTTCAAGCGCAAATCGTCCATCTCTTTCAAGACCGTAGGGTGGAACTCACAAATCTTTCTTCCCAGATCATCCTGTCGCTTCTTGCACTCCCACAACGACCGGTCCGTATCAGCGTAGATCCCTTCCAGTTGTGCGATGCGCTCCTGAACCTGATCGATCGCTGTCGTGGCCGCGTCCGCTTCCTCGAACCGCTCTGCCCTGACCGCTTCCACTTGTCGTTGCTCACTGCTGTTCCTCCGACTGTAAAGCGACAAAAGTTCCTTGCAGAGCTCAATCTTGCGTGTCGAAAGTTGGCTCTGTCGTTGCATCTGTTGCTGTAATTCCAGCTCGTGTGTCGATAATGACTGCGTTGCCGCGCTGGTGTTTTGGCTGGCGACGCGCTTCCTACGCGATTGCATTTGGGCGAGTTGCTGTTGTTGGAGATGGGATGTGCTCTTGGTTTCTGGGGAAAGTCCAGACGTCGAATGACGGGGTGTGTGATGGCGATGATGATGGTTCTCCTTCCTGGATCGGTCGTGAGGAGTTGAAGTGGTCGACGGTTTCTTCCTCTCCAAGAACATACTAGACGATCCGGCAGCGTCTCTACCTGAAAAGTACTCGCTGTCGTTCCCTGAACGGAGAAACATGCTTCGGAATAAAGAAGGCGACCCTGCCACTGAAGATGCTGTAGATGACGACCTCGATGATGTTTGCTGTTGATTGTGGCGGTGAGTGGTGTGGTGGCCATGGTGGTTGTAATTCTCTTGATGCTGCATAAAAGATGGCTGAGAAGAGTCTTCCAAGAATTCCAACAAACTGCTCTGAGAACCCGTCAACGACCCAGGAGTTCTATCACCCCTGCTATTCCCATTTGTCGGTGTCGCTGAAGAAGACGTCGACGGCAAGGCCGGAATCATGATCGAGTTCTTGAGGGACGTCAAACCAGACACCAGACCTCTTCCTGTCCCTGAGAGTGCTGACAGCCCAAAAGCACTCGAGGCGCCAGTCTGAGAGATCTTGTTCTGCTCTGGTGATGATTGTCCAGAGTTGGGTGTCGATGAGATCGCTACAGCCGCCGTTGTCGAGGGAGACTCGTATGAGAGCGGGCTGAACAGAGGTTCTGCAATGTCTTCGGTGAGTGTTAATGCTCCTGTGTCTAATGGTGCGTCTGTTGTCGAAACCAACTCCTTGATCGCCACTTCCTCAGGGACGACTGGTTCCACTGCTGCAGCCTTCTGGGACTTTGGTCCCCACCGTCGTTTCTTGGGCTCTGTTGCAGGTGTACTGATAGGGGTCAATGTTAGACTGGACGCAACCGAGGCCGGTTCTGTGAACGATGGAGGGGGTAGTGATTGAGAATCTGACAGAGACGGTTTTCTCGAAGGCACCGCGAATGCTAATCAGTGATCGAAAAAGATGAACATGGATAGACGTGTTCCTATCAGCAACGGTCCGACAAGTCGCCCATACTCTAACTTGTGTTGCAACCAACGAACGTGATCAGCTTCAGTATTACCTCCCACATCAGCAATAGCATCCATACTAAATCGCTGACTAGCACTAAGCCGATCCGTAACTGCAGTCTGACCCGCAGGCTCTTTCCAAGGCAACGGAGGCGTCGCGTCGTCGTCCAGGATAAGACTAGAGGTAGGTCTAGAATTCGCTGCGCTACTTCGACGATGTATCCCCCTAATACTGCCACTGCTTCCATCAGTTTCGTCCTGGTGGTGGTCTTGGATCGCATCGTTGTCCCACAATCCGGCAACGTTGTTCATGAACAGCGGTGCTGCCGCTCGACTGCTGCTGCTGTGGGGCTCATCTAAATCAGAAATAGAATGTGACCGGTCGGAATATCAATATTAAGGTGCTCAAAAGTGCGACATCAGTTGAACACCATGGTGAAAGCATGGCGACATGCAGTGTGTGGCGTCATACCGTGAATGGGAGACCCGGGGACAGAAGCCTGCCTCCGCTGGGAGACAGGGTGTTTGGGCGACGCATATAAGGAATGGGCCATACTCCTATTGCCATTGCGTCGGTTGCTGGCCTTCAAAGTGTCTCTGCTGTCTTGCTGCAGGAGTTGGGTGTGCTCCTTGCTGCCGTCGTCGACGTGGTCGTCTTCGAGGTGGCTGTCATCTTCGAAGTGGTGGTCGGACTCCAGATGGACGCCATTGAAAGAAATACTCATGCTTTTTTGTTTTAAGAGTATGCCGTGTGGTGTGAGTTGATGGGACAGTAAAGGCTGGTGATGGGCGAGGTGGAGTATGAAGAGAAAGGGTGAAGTGGTCAGCAAGTAGAGGTCCATTCGCGGTCGTCACGTGGAACATCGCCGTATCAATTTTGGTGTTTTGGAAGTAGGGACTAGGGAGCTTTTTTTCATTAGGAGGATAACAGGTTCTAATGGAGTGGAGGTGGGAATAGGACACGGTAATGGTAGTGGATAGGGGGAAATGCTGGGTGTGGGAGACTAAACTAAAGGACAAAGGGCATGGGTAAAAAAAAGTTAAAGAAATGTTCCAAGAAGGAAGGTCTAGACGGGGAAGGCCTCGCTAGGGAAAATGTACTCGACCACTGTCCGCTCCTTGGTCGCATAGTACTCGGGTCGCACTCCCAGACTGGTCGTCGGCGTCGTCGCAGTGCTATCCTGGTCAATATCCTGCTCCGTTGACCGCTTCACCGCCTCCAGCTCTTCAAACGGCAGACTCGTTCCAAACTCGCTCTCGTCCTCATCATCATCATCATCCTCTTCATACTCTTCTTCCTCTTCCTCGAGAATCGCACCGAAACCAGTTCCGGTAGTCCCCGTGGATGTCGTGGACGCGCTTGCCTGGTGAGCACCACCAATCCGCTTTTCCTTCTTGCTACTGCTACCCTCGCTGGGCTCCTTGGGCTTTGAGGGCAATGCGGTTGTTGGAGGTGCAGGAAGAACAGTCTGCAATGGCACAATCTGAACCGAATGTCGGTGGTGCTGGTGGTGTTGGTTGCCGCCGCTACTGCCGTTACCGCCTGCCGTCTTGACAATAGAGTCCCGGTTAGAACCTCCCGATAATGATACCGCGGCATTCGAAGATCTCCGTGCAACTCCTCCTCCCAACGACGGAACCTGCTGTCCCATCACCGACGACAAAGGCCGAAGGGCATTGCTGGATCCCGAAGAACGCTGCTTGAGAGGTCGAGATGGCGAAGATGAGGTGGAACTGGTCGGGTGGGCAGGTGCCTCCCGAGTCGGTGGATCGGGTAAAACATACATGGACTGAAGGGGCAACGACATCTGTCGAAGATGGCGATGGCCATTATTCTCAGATCCTGATCCAGGGCTTGTGGGCGAAGGAACCTGACTTGGTGCAATGACGGCGCTGAGTCGTGGGGAAGGGGTTGATACCTTGCGAGCCAAATGGATCTCGTTCAATTTCGACACCAAAACAGCAGCCTCCTGAGACGCCGATCTGGCTCGTGCCTTGGACCGGTTGGGGATGGTCAGGTCGGGTTCATGATGGCGAGGAACACTTGATGCACGGCGAGATGGCTCTCGGTCTGTTGACTGCGATTGTGATGTTGTCGCGGATGACTGGGACGAGGTCGAGGTGATCGATGGAGTGGGTTCCTTACTGGGAGAGCTCGAATTCGACCTGGGTGGTTGTGGCAGAGGAAGAGTAGGAGCAGAGGCCAAAGAAGGGGTCGGAGACAAGGAACGACTAGAGTGGACCCAATCTGTGGACGATTTTGGGTGTAGCTGAATTCCTGTTGTTGCGGATGGCATTGACGGCCTCATAATGCTTGTCCTGGACGAGCTCCGCTGAACGCGCTCCTGAAGTGATCCTGTACCGGTAGGAATTCCTGAGTGGTTAGACGAGAGGCTGATCATACTCTGGCGGCTTGAAGGCAGATCCCGTTGGTGACGAAGACTGGTGATACGAGAGAGCGATCCAGAATACATTTGCTGGTAGTTGCTTCCGACTGAATCTGGTGTTGCGGGCAGGCTGGACGTTGGTGGGTTGGAGCTCAGTGGACTGCCAGCAGAATACTGAGATGAAAGACCGGCCGTAATAATCTGAGGTGGAGGGAGGATCTGTGTCGAATGTCGGATCGAGACACTAACAGGTCGGTGGATACTCCGTGGTGGAGGCGAGATGACCAAGGAGCTTCTTGGACTTGTCCTGGTCATGCTGGGGCTCAAGGGTCGAGAAGAAACAGGGCTCATAGGACGAGAGGGACTGCCCATAAGCCGTTGAGAGCTCCTATGAGAGACAGAGGCCAGGGCTTCAGAACGGTCGGCCATGCTTGACATCCTGTTGCTGTTGTTTACTGAGGACATATTAGACATCGTCGATACGGTCGAATCTCGCTTGCTCCTGGGAAGTGTCGCACTGCCGCTGCTGGCGCCTTCGTACTTTGCTGGTATTGACCAAGAAGACGATGGTGACTCCTTTTGTACCTCCGCCAATGCCTCTGCACGAGCCATGACAGATCCAAAGCTCGCATAGTCCGTAGCAGGCTGACCGGCTGACAGAGAACTGTTTCGTCTCCTCCTGGGTTCTGGAACGGGCATAGGATCTGAGGAAGGTGAATGTCCATGATTCTGTCCATATGAGAGTGCCTGCAACGATCCTTGATTTCTCTGGTGCTGATGCTGCGGTATCGATCCTGATGTAGGCGTTGAGGGCTTGGGCGTTATGGGTCGAGGCGGCGGGCTGAGACTTTTAGCCTGTCCGTGGTAAGCGTCTAAACCGCCCTGCACAGAGTAAAACGATGTAAGCGAAGGAGATGGACCGTGATGCATGGATCCTGAAAGCGATCGCGTATGTCCGTCCAAGGTCTCGTACTGACTGGGGATGGCTGGAACGTGAGGAACGCCTCGAAGACCCGAGACGGAAGTCATGTCGGAGATCTCGGACTCGGAGTAAAGGGTGGGAGGGCGCGAGTCGACCTGGAGGGTGCGCACACGTTGAACGGTCCCCTTGAGTTCGCGCAGCCAGCCAGACATTTCGGTGGCAGTGTCGGCGAGCACGTACCAGTTCTTCTCCCCTGGACAGCTGATCTGGAGACAGAACCGTTTTCCTGCAAACATGTCGGTGACACAGATAATAGTGTCAGAACAGAGCGTAATCGACTCGAGCAGTGGGTGCTGTGGATCCGAGGACTTGAAACAGTGGAGCGACTTTTGGCTGAGGATAAAATAGCGTCGTTTCCACTGCTTGCGGGAGAAGAACGTCCTGGACGAGAACTTTGTCAGATATCCCGCATACATCGAATTGCGCTCCAGGTGTCGAACTCGTAACTGGGTGGTGAGTGGCAGGTTGAGGGCAGCGTGAGCGCTGTTATTGTTATTGTTGTTGCTATTGGTGGTATGGCCGTAGGGGTGATTTCCATCGTGTGGGTGGGGGACAGTGCTGTTGCTCTTGTCGGGGGACGAGAGAAAGGAAAAACTCGAGAGCGCCAAAGAGCTTCCGTTGCCTTTATAGCCGTTGCCGAGGGGAGAGGGCATTGTGCTGGGTTTACTAAGCTGGCGTGGCCGTGGGCGGAAACTGGCGGAGGAGGACTCGTCGTCGGTGGTGGTCATGGGCGTCAGCGAGGGGCTGGGATTGAAGGTGTATGGACTGCTGCCGTGATTGCTATCGGTATCGAACCGATGCTGGTACAGAAGAGCAGGCGAAGGGGAAGGTGAGGTAGGGATAGGGGTCGTTGGGGTCGTGCTGTTGCTATTGTTGTTGTTGTTGTTGTTATTGTTATTGTAACGGAGATGGTTGCTGCTGCCGTTATTGCTCTTGAGGAAATTAAAAGAGTCGAGCCTGCTGTTGTTGTTGCTGCTGTTGTTATGAGTATTGTTGCTAAGGCGGAGGTCGGACTGACTCGAGTTTTTAAAGGGGTCGAGGGTGGCGATGGGCATTGCTCTGTTGTGGTGTTGTTGTTGCTATCTTTTTTGTCAGTCCGTGTGCACTGTTCCGTTCTGCTTGGTTCTTTTGTGTTTTTGTGGGTGAGTATGCAAGAGGGTGAAGGCGAAGAAGGAAAGGGAAGGGTTCGTACGAGCGGAGAGAGTGGAAGGAAAGGGAGAGAGAGAGAGAATGGATTAAAGAATGACTGGTGGGAGTGGCAGTGGTATTGAGGGTAGGGTATAGTAGTTGTTGCTGTTGTTTGTTGTATGAAGTGAAGTGAAGTCGTTGTTGTTTTTGTAGTTGTATCAATCGTTGACAGGATATAATGTGCCAGGCAAATGGTTGCCAATTAGCCCTTTGTATTATTGTGATCTATTAAGCGGGAAAAATATCACCAGGTGAAGGTAGGGCCAGGTGTCTCTTCGTTAGTAAAGAGGGTTAAAGAAACAAACAAAACGGCGTTTGCCTTTTTGTGGTGTATGTGTATACTTGTTGTTGCGGGTTATTGATGTTGTCGTTGTTGTTGTTGTTGTTGTTGTTGTTGTTGTTGTCATTGTTTTATTGCTTGACAACGAGTGAATGCATACCCGAGTAGGAGACACAATGGGACACAGGCAAGCAAGGAAGGGTGAGGATGAGTGACAACCCAGACCAAAGGTTGGTATTAGCAGGTCATTCACAGGGTGTCGTAGGCAGGAGTGCGGGGATCCAGGAGAGGTGAAAAGGGGAGCCGGGGTATAGCAAGAGGGAAGATTGAAGTGATGAAGAGGAGCGAGCGAGTGATGAATGAAGAGGAAGAGAGTCGGAGAAAGAGTGGAGGGAGGATCGTTGATGAGTGAGAGGGGGATGAGGGATGGAGTGAAGAGAGAGAGAGAGAGAGAGAGAGAGAGAGAGAGAGAGAGAGGGAGGAAAGAGAAGAGGAACGAGGAAAGTGCGAAGGAAAGACAGAGAGCAAAAAGCGCGGGAGGGAGGGGAGCAATTGAATTCTAATAACACATCATTAATGACAATTGATGTTGTAACAACGGATTGAAACGAACGAACGAACGAACGAACAAAAGGGCTTTTGTTCTGGTCAGAGATATTTCACATATCAATCACTGAGAGAGACATTGATTGTGTTAGAACTAACACCGACAAGGTTTCTAGAGCGATCATCAGTCTTCCTCCCTTCTTTGTTCCTACGTTGTTCCTTCTTGGTTCATCACCACCCCCTATATTTAAGGAGTCCGTCCTTACACTCAGGTTGCATTACATGAACCATGGTGCACTCGACTATCTTCGTATCTTCGATAGTCGCCGCAATTGGAAACAAGCTATCTCTAACTAACCTGTCTCCCTGTTATCGTCAAGTCCCCTATCTTATTGCATCTGTTCGTCAGTTTGCCCCAACTTCCTCTTTGATACCTTCTTCATAGCCTTGCAATGATAACATGCAATCGAGTTCCCCCGGTCAGAGCATCACACCAACAACAAAAGACTATGTACCTCTTTCTTCTAGCTTGCAGCATTGCCTCTGCTATGGACCATTCCAAGAAAAAACAAGAACAGTCATAATAATCCAATGTGCCACAAGAGCAACAGTAACAACAACAAGAACAATAACAACGAAGGCCTCCTTTTCACCTCCTATTCCCTCGTGTGCCGCCAAAATACCATTTCCCCTTCCCCCCTCATTCTCTCAATATTTTTGGCTCGTGTGCAGAATAGACATCGCTTTCCTCTTTCCACTCTTCATCTCCGTTAGAAAAGAAGAGAGTTCGTTATATTATTTGTTTGTGTTCACATTGTATTTCTCATTATCCTCCCACCCACTCCTTCATATTGCTCTACCACAATAATATACAAACACAAACAAAGAACACAAAGAAATAAAGAAAGAATGACTCTGTTCTGTCTGGCCCAATCCAAACTCTTTCTCAGTCCAAACCCATGTGGAAGTGAGAGAAAAAAAATGGTCAAGTAGACAAACACAGAAGAAGCATCCTTCTATCCCACAAAAAACACAAAAGTAAAAAAAAGAATGTGCCTCACTCACACATGCACACGCCTACTTGGTCAGCATATGTTCCAGTCCGAGTCAATTTCCTCTCCCGTTTTCGAAGTGTGAACGAACCAGGAGAGGAATGGTCGAATTCTCTGTCAGCAGGAAAATGGTAATAAATGTCCTAATTTACAGGAGCATTATTACGCTTGTTACAGCTCTGGACCCTGCATTCTGACAAAAGTGGCCCTATAGTTCCTGCCCTCATGTTGCTTGCCCTGTCCTTTCTTTCCTTACCTTCTTAACAACAGCTCATTTTATCCGTAGGGCCTTCTGGAGCCCTTCTATCTCGTATTCTACTCCTCCGCGGACTATGCTATGGTGCCAATAAGGTTATACTTGGTTGAATAATGCAATTAGTCAACGCATCCAGCTCTCGCAACGTCTTTTTTCATACAAGATGTTTTTACATCTCTTTCATATTTTTTGTACGTCTCTTTCAACACTGGGTGAATATGCAAAGATAGAGAAGGAGAAAAAAATTCAAAAAAGAGCAGAGGTGATGGACAAGGACGGGGATCCCAGGAAACGTGCGGAGAATGTGAAAGCAAACCAGACGGAAAAAATAATATGAGCATGGCTGCTCTCCTTCTCTCTTTCTCTCTTTCTCTCTCTCTCATTCTCTTTTTTTGTTCGCTCTTGTTTGTCCCAGAGAGCCATCGATGTCAACAACAACAACAACAACAACAACAACAACAACAACAACAACAACAACAACAACAACAACAGCGAAAAATGAAAAAGTGAGCAATTGAGCTCGTTGTTGATGCTGCGTTGTAGTTGTAGTGGTTGTGATTATTGTGGTTTGGTATAGTGGGTGCTCACCTTTATTAGTTTGAACCTCGACCGTTTTTTGTCACGATAGGGTCAGTGAGTGGACGTTCACTACCAGAACTTGTTTTGAAGGAGTATATAGGAACGAGATCAAAAAAGAGAAAAAGGTGCTAGTAGCTCAAGTGTCAATACGACTCCCTTCTATCGCCCAACTGTCAAGCACGTTCTCAATAACGCGTCGTCTCATCGATCCAGTGTGTTTTCACTTTGCATACGTCCTCCATGATACGCGTTTCTATGTCCTAAAGTTTCTCTTTCTCTCTTCTGTCGCTCGCTTGCTCTCACACCACTCAGATGTGTCTATTTTCATCTTTGAAGCCTATGTCTCAGTCACCCGTGGGGGAAAGAAAATCGATCGAGGTAGGAATGTCACCCACTCTCCTGTCACAATTATATAGATAGGAGTAGAAAGACGGGGAAGGCAATGGGCGCATTAAGTGACCGAGGGGTAGCCCCTTTCATTTTCTTTTGCGCTTCTCTAGCCTCTTGTCGGACGTCTCCATGAATGCTCCTCGCTCCCAAATTAACGAAATGCTACCCAAGCACCTGCCATCTCATCATTAATCTCACAGCTCACAGATGCACTCACCAACTCGACTCTCCTAGCTAATTCGTCTCTGTCAATGACCCAAGGCGGACGACAATAGGGCATCAACCATTTTTTTTTTCGCTTTCCCACACTCTCCTTTTGTAATCTCTTTCCCCACATCCAATTACTCTTGTCCCAACATTCATATTGCAATATCCGATCCATTCTTGAAAAGGAAGGGACCTCGAAATATTAATCCTTCTTGTCTGTGCACCGTGCACGATGTCCCAATGCGCCTTTTGAACTGTCAATATACCAGGATTGTGCGACATGATGGACATCGTGAAAAATTGAAGGGGGTGGCCAACGAAAAGTCCGATTATGAAAATTATGCATACCGTGAAGCCGGTTCTTAGCTTCCTCGAATACAAAGTAAAGAGGACCTATTGTGTTATTTCAAAGAAATAAAAAGATGTGGTCAGCGCTGGTAGGTCCGTATCTAGTGTTTTTTCCTCTATTGAACCCCAGAAAAGGGTACATGTCGACCTGCCCATCCATCCTATCCTACCATTTCCAACTGATCGAGCGCTACACTCCCGAAACCTAGCGCTCGAAGCTTTGCCATCCATTGCCGAGGGCATGTAAGATCTCTCGACCGTCAGGGTGACTCGCGTTCAACTCTACGACGTCTTTGTTGAACTCTGGCTGGGTGTCAATAGACGTCGTCTCCAGGACAGTAACTTGTCACAGGATGACCGACGGATCTTCAATGATCTATTGGGTGCAGGCTTTGTATCGATGGGCACTGGCTACGCCATGAGGCTGGCGCTGGCGATCTTTGAGAGACAGAATGGAAACCCAATTGTCCAGTACACCCACCTTAATGACCACGACACCTGGAAGGCAGAGTTCTTTGGAATAGATCCAAATGTACGTTTGTTGCAGGAATCTTGTCCCTTGACCCGTGCAGGCAACCGGTTCCGGTTCCTTCATAGGTCCATGCTGGAGTATTTCTTTTCTCGAGTCGTCTACAATCCGGTCAGGACGGACGATGGCTCTACAACGGAAACGGAAACACCTTCATCTACCACCCATGAGTTAGACCCTAGTAACCCGTTGTTCCGGCGTAACTGGCCTATTGAACCCTCCATAATTCAGTTCTTATGCGACCGCGTAAAGCTCGACTCGACTTTTAACCAGAAGCTCCTCTCTGCCGCCAACCTTCCCAAGACCGATACCGCCGTCACCACCACCACTGCCGCCTTCAACGCCATAACCATCCTAGTCAAAGCCGGCATTAGATTCAACGGTGCAGATCTGCAAGGTATCAAAGTCCCTGGCGCCGACCTTTCCTACGGCCAGTTCGATTCTACACAACTCCAAGGGGCCGACCTAATGGGCGTCGATCTCTCGAGGAGTTAGTTGCGGCAGGCGGATTTGAGCCATGCGCAGCTGGAGGGCGTCAAGTTCGGAGAGCTACCACACCTCAGAGTGGAGGGTTTAGTAGAAGCCTGTGCCTACTCGCCTGACGGAAGGATGCTTGGAGTAGCGTTAAATGCTCGTGGCCGTGGCGTCGGTATTTACGACACCTCTACATGGCAACGAATTCATACAATTGACCATGTCTGTTGCGTTCTCGCCTGACAGCCAACGAATCGTATATGGAGACTGGAAGGGAATGGTTCGGCTGTGGGATTGTATAAGTGGCGAGGAGTTGTTAGTTATGAAGGAGTACGCTGGTATTATACGCCTATCGGAGTACTCGCCTTGCGACAATCGTATCGCCTCAGCCAGCGACGACACAACGGTGCGATTGTGGGATTAGTTAACCGGAGCGTGCATCTTTGTTTTGGAAGGCCACACTTACTGGGTGTTTCTTGAAAAGGACGGTTCCCGTAACTGTTTCTTTCTGCATTGTCCTGTCTTTCTGCTCACGTTGTAGTGATAAAGCTGGTATGACAAAAGGCGTGTGGGTCGTGGAACTCTTGACGCGTCCAACACTCTTATTACATTTTTCTCCTCGTTCTCTTCCTCCTGCGGTTCAGACTCATGCGTGATGCTCAAAAGAAAGAAATGTTAGAGGCGACAAACTGTCGTCCCTTTTACACATAATCCGGCTCCTCACCAACCACACAAAAATACATATATCTCAACCGATTTCGCTTCTATCCTTCTACGAGTGTGTGTCTCTCGTATTGATCGTCATGAAAAGTGATTGAGGTGAGGATCGGCCGTTATTTTGTCTTTGTCATTTTCTAAATCTCTTCCTCCTCGAGTCCCCCTTTGATCACCATTATCGGTCGTACGAAGGAAAGGACAAGGACACCCTTGTAATCTGGTCCGCATAGCGTGTCGATAGTAAATGAGGGCCACATTGGGTTACAATACGCGACTACCAAACAGGTACAACGCGTGTGATTGACAGGACGTGTTTGAGACAAAGGGCGAGGCTTCTTTTGATCTCTTAGCCCCTTAGTCGTTGATGAAACGCACCGAGACATGCACACCTTTATTTCCTTTCTTCATACTTTTCACAGTATCTTTCTTCATTCTTGTCCTTCTTTCTTTATCTTCTTTTCCACTTGTTCTTCCTTTTTTTTTTTCCTTTCTTCTATCTTATTTCCGCCCTTTCCTCCTTACCAAGCCACACACACACTTAATTTTCTACCTTACTATCCTCGACCCGCCTTGAGCAGGCAAAAAAATACAGCCGAAGTCATGAACCCTGCGTGTTATTTTAGGATGAAAAAAAAAAACACATCAATGAAAATGAACGCGGATGCCCAAAGACCTTTTGACAAGACCCAACAGAAAGACAAACGATCAACGAGAAAACAACAACAAGAGAATGAGCTGAAGACAAGAAAAAGAAAAGAAAACAAAACGCACCCTTGGTGGTATATAACTCCTCCCTCTCAAGACCACATCGTTCCCCCACGTCTTTCAACATGTTCTACAAAAAAAAACGCGACTCAATGCTATTTAGTGAAAAAAAACAACTACTTAACTACTCCTAATTGCGTACAAACACTCCATACAATTTTACTAACACTACTACTACTGCTGCTGCTGGTTCTTGCGACCACCCCGAACGCTGTTTCCCAAACCGTTATGGAACTGGTTACGGCCACCACGCTGTCCACGGGGTCCCATCGTGCGCTGTTGCTGCTTGCCGCCCTGCTCCTTGCCAGTCTGCTCCTTGCCTCCAACAGCACCGCCCTTCTTGCGGTCACCCTGCTGTGGCTGAGGGGTCTTGGTCTCCAACAGCTTCTCGTTACCCTCCACAAAGCCCGAGGCCTTGTCAGCAAAGGCCAAAGCCAAAGCCTGCATCTTGCTCAACGCGACGTGGTGGAGCTGCACCACATTTGCGACCTGATCAATCGAGGCAGACAACTCCTCGTTGTAGACCATCTTGGCGACAATCGCCAAAACAGTGTTGACGGAAAGGTTGAACATCTTGCCCAACGACTCCAAACCGACAGAGGAGTAGTATGAGGCATTGGCAAACAAGTATGTACGAAGTCCCTCCTCCTGGATCTTGACAGCAAGCATCTCCTTGATGTTGTCGCATCCGGGCATGAGCTCCCAGATCTTGATCGCCTTGATCAACTCGACCGACCGCTCCCACTCGCCAATCGAAAGGGCCTTGGCAGCGCCCATGATGTGATCCCTAGTGTTCTCGGGGGGTCCTGTGAACACCTGGCGAGAGTTGTAGTCGAGCATGCGGCGGAAGGGCTTGGAGATGACCTTCTTTTTGTTCTCGGGGCTGTTGCCGGCCTGGGCCATGGCAGGGATCTCGAGGAGCATCGAGCAGGTCAAGTAGACACACTCCAAAAGCTCCAAGTTGATGTGCATGTGGAAGGGCAACTGGCGCTGACGCTCGAGCTTCTCCTGCTCGGGCGAGACAGCTCCGTACCGTTGGGCTTGAAGACCCTGGGCGAGCAACTCCTTGACGCGTCCAGTTCCCGAGATATCGTGCAAGCAGGTGTGTGCCTCCCTAATCATGCCCTCGCGGAAGGCGCAAAGACCCAATTGGACCATGGCGCGGTTGAACAAGATCTGGGTGGTGACATCGGCCTGGTGAATCGTCTCCTGCAAATGCGACATCAAGAGCATGTCACGGGCGATAAAGAAGCGGTTGTGGAGGGCGTGGTGGTAGATGTGGCAGAGCATGGCACGGGTACGCTGGAGAGAGTTGGCGTTCTTGTACAAGAACACGCACAAGTCGTGGATCAAAACCTCAGACTCCTTGGCAGTGGTAGCCTCCTTGCTCGACAAGAGAGCAGCGGTGGCACCCTCAACAGCAACAATAACAACATCGGGCTATTATGACGGACCCAAAAAAAGTTAGTAAATATAATCTGACGAATAAAAAAAACATGTGGCTAAAAGTAAACACCTCCGAAAAAGAGTGGCAGCTCACCTTGAAGTACAAGTGCTCAAGACGTCTCATGGTGGTGCGGGAGATAGAGTCGACGAGGTCGAGACGCTTGAAGTAGACGTTGGAGCGGACAATGACGGCGTAGAGTCCGACCTCATCCTTGAGACGGTCAACATAGTCGGTGGTGTGGGGGTCAATGTTCTGGAGCGACTTAGTGAACTCATCGTCGAGGCGGTCGACAAAGGCGACAAGAGATCCCTGGATAAGGACGGGCTGGCCATCCTCGGGAAGGCGGTCCTTTTCTTCGTCATCGACATCGGGAACGTTCTCCTTGACAATGTACAAAGGGTTGGCCTCCAAAATCGTCAACAAGCTGTTCAAGTACTTCTCAGCGCTATTAGGAAATGGTTGAAAATAAATTCAAAAATATTAGGCGCCGAGTTCAGTCGTATTCATCAGAAGAAAAAACAGGCGTGCATGCAAGAAAACTTACTTCTTCCAGAGGGGAATGTTCATGAAGCCAGAGACACCAGTGGCAAAGTCGAACTGGGCAGAGACCAAGTTCAAGAGAACGATAATCTTCTGGTAGGGGGTGTTGGCAACGACCAGAAGACGCTCCAAGATCTTGACCTGCTCCTCGCGGTTGGTGTTCTTCTTTCCACGAGCATCAACAACCTCCCGCAGCTTCTTGTACAAGTTATCCTGGGTCAACTCGACCGACTTGCCGCCAGCGCCGACAGGGGTGAATCCATCGTCCTCAGCCTCCTCCTCGTCCTCCTTGTCATCCTCAGAGTCCGAAACAACGACCTTCTTGGCCTTCTTGACCTTGGGCTTCTTAACGACCTCCTCTTCCTCCTCAGGCTCCTTGTCGTAGTTCTCGGGGTCCTTCTCGTACTCCTGAATTTGACTCTCGTATTGGCGGTTGTTCTTCTTGATGTTCTGCTTGAGTGAGTTGAGGGCCCTGTTGTTGGAGGGGTTCAACTTCTTGGAGGCGCTCTTCTCCTTCTGAGCAGCGGCCTGGATGGCCTTCTCCAACTCGGCAACAGACTTGATGTAGAACTTGGGGACGCCAGATTGGGCAATAAGGCCAGCGGCCTTCTGAATACCCTTGTTAGCACGGTCGAACTCTAATGAGGTGGAAGTGAGGGAAAAGAAACAGTATGAGAATCATTCAACATACACACGACCTCCCCACGTTTCCAAGGTCCGTGCTCTGCCTTGACATATGTTGCCAAAATTGAAGGGGCCCACTTTCAGGGGTTTGGAAGTGTGGGTTGTTGGTTCGCAAGATCCTTGCTTGTCGTTTGATGTGATGGTCGATTGTGATACCAACACGCCGCTTCTTTATGCTGTCGTAAAGGGCCAATCCAGGCTGGCGCAGCTCTGAGCTACTTCTTTCTCTCTGCTGTTCATCTCAAAGGCGCCGCAGTCGACATTGCACGCAGTTGTGTATGATCCAGTCCTCCTCCCAACCTCAGGGGGGGCCGATTCGCTGACTCCAGTTTGACTCATTTGTGGACTAATTGTTTCCTTGCTTGTCGCTTCGCCCAACGATGAAAAAACAATTGACTACGCCTCGTTTACTCCTCCGTTATGTCATTATTGACAATCCATGTCTCCATCCTGTGGCACATCCTGTCCATGAAACTGCGATCCTGCATAATCCTCCCTCCCAATGTGAACCTGCCAAAAATATCAATTCTCCTCGCCCCATTGCGTCCCCCCTCGCCATAGCCTGCCAACCCTCCCCCCAAAAGCAAGAAAAACCCCCCAAACATGTATACAAAGCATATCAATCCGTCTGTCTGGTGAGGGCTTACCGTTCTGGACAGAGACCCAGTCGTTAATCTTCAACCCATTGGCAATCCCGGACACAGCCTGCTCAATCTCATCAAGGCGCTTATCCTTGACAGACTTGACAACACGGACCGTATCATCATCACTGTCATCGTCCGAGTCCAAGGCTCCCTCAAAGAAACGGCCACGACCGGCCGCGCCTCCTTTCTTGGCACCGTCCTCATCAGAGGAGGATTCGTCCTCAGAGTCAGAGCCAGAGTGGTCCTCCGAATCGGACGCGGTCAACTCATCAGAGTATTCGGATTCGCTGTCGTCAGAGTCGCTCTCTGCAGCACGGAAAAAGCGAGACATGGTCTAGAGGGTTGCAAAGAAATAGACGATTGGGGCGTAAGGCACAGAATAAAGGATCTAAAGCAGAGTTGTTGTTGATCCACGAGATTTGAGTGAGGGGCAGCGGCGCAAAAGTGGCTGTAGTGTGAAGATCTGAAGGTGAATGGAGTGAAAAGATGCAGTGCTGCGGAAGTGTCGAGATCCAGGGCCGCAGGTGTTGGTCGTGTTGTGTGATGCTGTGTAGAGTTGTTAACGGTGCCATGGGCATGTCCAGTTCTACTTACAATGTAAGGTGGAGGAACAAGAAACAACCATGCCTCACACCTTTTTATTTGTTGCTGCCAGCAGGGCCTAAAGAAAAAATCGAAAAAATTACGTCACAGGATGCGACTAGCAGAGCAAACGCTGCACACATCCTCGAGCAAGCGTGCAATTAGGGAAAGAGTGCGGAAGTTCATTTTTATTTTTCTTTCTTCTTATTTGCAACCTGAAGGGGAAGGAGGCAAGGAGAGAGAGATCTAGGGGTCGCGAGGCACCTTCTTGATGAGGTCAGACGACCCACGGAACAGACACTTCAGATCCTCGAGGCGACGCTTCAAGACCTCTTGCTTCGACAGCTTCTCGGAGAACGTCATATCCGATAATGCCGCCTTGCGCTTCTGCAACTCCAAGATATTCTCTTCAATCGATTCCTATGAACAGAAGAGTGTGTGTGTGTGTGTGTGGGGGGGGGGGGGGGGGGGGGGGGGGAACGATATCGTTAGATGACATGCAATAACATGCAAGTGTATCGCGACAGCGCTGTCAAACGAAGTTACAGTGAACAATTGTTACCTTGATGATGAAGCGAATGACATCCACGGGTTTGGTCTGTCCCAGTCGATGAATGCGATCGACGGCCTGACTCTCCACCGCAGGGTTCCTAGATGCCGCAACAACAAGCAACTCGATCCGTTAGCTCAACTATACTTTCACAACAAAAATATGAACGAGATCACCGAACAAAGACGTACCAGTGGGGATCCATGAGGTAGACACGCTGAGCAGCTGTCAGGTTCAGCCCAACTCCACCAGCCTTCAGACTGATGAGGATCACGCTCACATCCGGCTTTTCCTTAAAGTCCATAATGGCCACCGTGCGATCGTTCCTCTGCATCGTTCCATCTAGGCGAGTGAACTTGATATGGTTTTCCCGCAGTCCATCCTATCATACGGTAAGCCAAGAATAAAAGCCTGGTCAATGACAAGTATATCATAGTCCAAAGAGCAGTGATAATAAGAAAAAGAAAGAGAACTCACCTCGATGAGATCAAGCATACTGGTCCACTGAGAAAAGACAACACTCTTGGCAGCAGGCTGACCAGAGGTCTTGGAATTCTCAACCGCTTGAACCAAATCCTCCATCAGCGCCTTGACCTTGGTGCTGTGGATAAACATGCCATTCTCATCCTTGCGCGTATGAATCTCATCCGCTCTCAAACTAGCCGCTGCTGCAGCCCGCTCATCCGCATAGTCCTGGATCTGAATCACATCCACAGGCCTCAAAGTCGATGCACACTGCGGGCACGAGAAATCAATCTGCAATCCGGGGGTCACACTGTGGTTGGCATTCGACCGCTGGATTAACATGAAGGTGACGGGGTTCAGCTTCTTGACACAGTCCGGGCAAAAGATATGCTCACACCGTGTCACAATCGGCGTTGGCGTCGAGCTGTTGAAGCAGTTATTGCATTGGTCGTTTCCAGACTCCTGAAGGAGCGTCAAGATATCCATCGCCTTAGTAAGTGTAAACTCGCCTGTCATGTTGTCCAGATCATCCGTGTTCTTGAGCAGGGCGTAGTGTGCACAGATCTGTCGGAGCTTCAGAATGGCCTGCAGGATGTGGGCATAGCTCTTCATGATCTTGTTCTCCTGCACGATCTGGTCGACCGTCTGTTTGGCTCGGGATTCCATGCGCTGATAAAGCTGTCGTTCGTTGAGACTCAGATCCAGAATCCGCATATGATCCGTGCGAGTTGGTAGGGCCAGGAGCGGTTGACCATCAACCATCTGCGACTTTGTGCGGCGAAGAGTTATGACCTTCATCAACGTCTGAAGTCTAGTGATTCCGATCGGGTTGGCGGCCTTGATGGGCTTTGAGATGTAGTGTGTCCACTGAACCTTTTCGTCAAACGGGTGCATCCGAAGAAACTTGACCAACGCATACAAATCATCCAACTAGAGCGTAGCGAAAGACATGGTTTGTTCATATGTATTAGTACTAAACATCTCCGCAAGAACGCATACTGTAAATGAATGAAAGTGTACCTTGTTTTGCACAGGGGTGCCGGTGAGACACCATCTGCGCTCGGCAACAAGGGCAGCCGCAGCCTTGCTTTGAACAGTGTTCACCTCCTTGATAATATGTGCCTCATCCAAGACAACTCTGAACCAATCTACATGCTGAAGAACGCTAGGACACTTGGAAGGTCCATTGGGAGTATCACGCGCTTTGTTCTCTTTTGAAAACTCTGTTCCCAACAGGTTGTAAGTCGTAATTACAATGTCGTGCTTAGCGAGAAACTCTGGGTCGGTTGCGCGCTGTCCTCCATGATACACATACACCTGCAAGGTTCCTTTGTGAACGTGCATGTCGAATTGCTCCTCCCAGTTCTGGACCGTTGACAGCGGGCAGACAATCAGAGTGGCATGAGATTTTGTGCGCATGTTGATGGGTCGCCTCTGCTGCATTGGCCAAAGAGATCCGCTCATGTCTGGCATCAATGCTGGGGCATACCGCCGTCGGTCTAATGTCGCTGCAATCAACGAGATAACTGTAATTGTTTTGCCCAATCCCATCTACGTTGAAGTTGCGCAAGTTAGAGTTGGTTCTTGTGCAACACAACACCTTTCCCACGGCAACAGAGAAACCATCAAAGAAGTAAACAAATAAAACTTACATCATCGGCGAGGATGCCTCCACGCATGGTCACTGGCCTGGAGCTAGACTCTTGGTTGGTGACAACGTTCAAATAGACAGGATGTCCATGAGGAGGGTGACGGACTCTCCAAAGCGACGTGAGCACATTCTTTTCGTTATCAGCATAGTCTTCCTGCTTCTCCCGCTCCAGCAAAAAGTACAGCGCTTGCTTTTGATGCTTGTACAACGTCGTCGCGATACAAGGAGACGCCTCAACGAGGGGTAAATCAGTCGCACTCCGAAGACCCTTGAAGACGCCATCGATCTGGTTCCTGATTTCCTCGGCAGATCGCACGGCTGTTCCACCTCCATATCCGTTCGAATATCCGTTGCCCCTGAGAGATGAGCCGTTCGCATAGGGCAGGGAGGGTGTTGTGACTCCACGCCAGACGTCATAGGGCGATAATTTCTCACCAGGCGCAGGCAGTAACGGATTCGAATAGCGAGATCGATGGTCAAACTCGATTGGATCCTCCAGCCTGACTTTGCCGTGGAGTGCCTTTGCGACTGTCATCTGATGCTCCTGTGGTCCGTAGAGTATGATATTCACAGGCACACTGACATTCTATGTGGCAATAAATAGAGATGGTTCCTGTATTAGTTCTCCTTGTTGTGCCTGATTGCAAAGAAAAATGAAAATGCTTAGGCAATTGTCATTTAGGACTCCTTGTCCACTTACATTGTGTCTTCGCTGACGAGGAACATGTGCCTCCCACCAAACCATGTTGGCATCGACAAGGGGGATAAGGATGTCTGTCAACTCCGATACGACGTAGCCGTACTAAGAAAGAAAAGATAGAACACCGACGCAGACTCAGAACGTCAGTTCCGTGTGCTTGGACCTCAAATGCAAACCAAACAAATAAACATTTGACATCAACTTACAAGTCCCGCCTCGTGTTCGACAGCTAAGCTGGCCTTGTTGGCCGTGGTAGCGCGGCGGATTAGGACAGGGTCGGCCTTGCCCTCCTCAAACTCGAGATGACGTGGGTAGAGTGTCACCACAAGAGATTGAATCATGCCAAAACAAAGGGGGCGCGCTGCCTCTGGATCTACTGTCGCTGTTGGTGCCGACTTGGGTTGTGTTTCCGCGCCTGACTGTCCTGTTAATGATGGCTGTTGCTGGAGAGAATTTGTCGAGGAAGAAGATGAAGATGAGGGTGTCGAGGTCAAGGAGGGAGTCGATTGGTCCTGTAGGACCGTGGCTGTAGCTGTAGTGGTAGAGAGAAGACCGGGAGTACCGTGCGAAATTGGTGGCGTTATTTTGTCGGAAACTGTTCCTGCTGGAATCAATTGATCAATTGGCGGATGGGCGGGGACAACATCGCCGATATGGCTTGTGTTGACAACAGCAGCGTCATGTCTGGATCGTTTGGACTGGCGGGATTCACTTGAATCAATTGAGGGGTCCTTTTCTGACAATGCTGTATCATCGTCGCTGGAGCGAGCGTGCTTGGACGAAGATGTCGAAGAGGCGGAAGTCGAATACGACGAGGAAGAAGGTGGACCAACGAATGTGGCCATAACTGGATCAATTGGTTGTTGCTGCTGTCGAAATTGCTGTTGGTGCAATTGGGGCAGAGGGTGATGCTGAAGCAGAGTCGAGGTTGAGTTAAAGATTGGAAGATGATGCTGATGATGCATGATATGTTGGTTGTATTGATGCTGGTGTTGCTGGTGATGCGAAGACGCCAATAATGACGCAGGAGAAAGGGAAGCAGAAGCAGAGGTAGTCGAGACAGGGATGCGATCAAACGACGCCCGATCAAAGGCCGTCGAATTGATCTGGTCAAAGAAGGCAGGAGATGAGGCCATGGCCTCGGTCAGGGTCGATGCGACAGAGTCAAAACTGTGGTGTCTGCTGTCCGTGTGGTGGTGGTGCTCTCCCGACATTCTCGATAGCTTGAGGATGGATAGGTAGGAGATTATTGAGGGAGTTTGGATAAAAACGCGCCGTTGTTTGAAGTTGTCTAGCGTACAATTAATATTTCCTCAAGTGAGAGGTGATCAGGAAGAGAATGAAGAGTGAATCGAGGACAAGGTCATTCAAAAAAAAAAAAAAAAAAAAAAAAAAAAGGGCAACAAAGGAAGGGAATGGCAAGACGAAGACGAGGGAGAGGGGTGAATGTACAGAGTTGGGATTAGTGGGATGAGTAAGAGTAGTATATATGTGCCTGTTGTTGACGAGGGAGGAAGAGGGAGGAAAGGGAGGAAGGAAGGGGGGGAAGGAAGGAGAGGAAGGAAGGGGAGGTGGGGAAAAGAGGCGACGAGGAGACAAAACAAAAGGAAAGAAGAAAGAAAGAAAAGAAGAGAAAGAGAAAGAGAAAGAGAAAGAGAAAGAAAGAAACGCGCGGGGATGATGAGGTGGGGGGTGAGAGTTGAGGGTTGAGAGCAGAGCAGGAACAACAGCAACAACAGCAACAACAGCGACAACAGCAACAACGACAACAACAACAACAACAGCAATAAGTCAACAAGTCAAACAATGACAAAACGAAGGTGATAGTTCCAACGTGGGGTGGGTGTTGGAGTCTGTTTTGTTTGGAGAGAGGTTGGCCGCATGGCAAGAAATAGAAATGCCGCGCTTTTTTTTCACTTTTTTTGGTTCATGTGACCATCAGCGTGATCACCACATCAATCCATTGGACGAATGAACGGCCTTCTTGTCTCTCTTTTCTTTCTATCTGCACACTACGCCTATTCCTCCCATACATCATCACATAACACTATCCCCCCTTCTTCTAACCCATCGTCACTCCGTAGGGGAAGGAGTCAAAGGGTAAGAGGCCGATATTTTCTCATTCATCCTCTTTCAACGAAAAGATAAAAGAGGGGTTGGGGATAGCTGCTGAGCAAGGAAAAAAAAAAAGGGTTGCTTTACTGCACAAGCAAGACTAGGATCCATAGACAGGGGCAAAACAAACAGAGCGAAAAAAAAATTGCTCAGATACTCCGACAAAGGGGAGCTGGTCAGCTGCCACTAAGACACGCATACAAAACCAGGGGCTTACAACCGTGTCTATCTATCCTCAACAACCTGATCTCGTCATCATCGTCATCATCATCATCACTGCTCTCCCTTCAGGGTAGGCACCATAACTGCACACATGGACCTCCCCCAACCTATATTACAAAACGTCTATTACTCCCCATGCCTTGCTTGACTTCGATTCCAACGACTTCGCCAGAAACAACGTCGCTTTCGATCATCATCAAATAAGACCTGCTCACCGAACAGCCCATTGCTAAGGGAATCATCCTCAACATGCTCATACTTCGTAGACAGGCGCAGTGGAACGAGGGGTCACGTTGTCACTCCTTTTTTATTTTCTTTGTTTGTTTCTTGCTGACATATACATGCACAACCCCTGTGTTGCCATCAAAGAGCGAATCGGTCCTAGGAGTGTATTTCCTAGCCTGGTAACCCTTCGATCCTTCTTCTCCCCCCCCCCCAACGTACTCCATCACGTCCTCCACCTGACCAGGACACATTTTCATCGATCCCGAACGCTTGGCAGATTAACCTCCGACTCATCATTCTTCGATCTTAACCGTCACTCACTAGTCAAAAGTGAAATGACAGCAAAACAACAGAAAGTTCTCGCTATGGAATGCCTAGACTTTCCTCAGCACACACACACGCACACACACAGCAACCCTGAACTCATCGATCAGTTGCGTTTTGACTCATTTCGTGATCGTGAATTCCTGTTAAGTAAACGAAATAAGATGACGACAAACTACTCTAAACGCGTTCTCGCTTTGAAAATACCTAGACTTCGCCCAACTATCATTTCCCAGATTGAACTCAACCCCCGACCAGAAACAAACCACGGGCTCCTCTCCTTTCCTCCCAGCATTGGCCACATCTTCCAGAAAAAAAAATCATGACAACTTTATCAGGATCCTGAGTGGGTTTCTTCTTCACACCAGTAAAATGACCTCCTGAATTTGCGCGCGAGCGTGGTGGTTTCAATGTGGCGATGTGGCGATGTGGTCGATGATCTTGCAAGAAAAATACCGGAACTGATGCCATCATCACCACTGATCAAGATAAACGAGACATTTTAACTCATCACTGATATCACACACATGCTTACTGGCTTACTGATCACCATTTTTCCCTCCCCACCATCTTGACATTCAGGAACAGAAGCAAGGTGTGAAGTTTACGCATGGGCTATGTTGCGAATCTGGCCCGCGCTCCTACATTGTGACTTTTTGAACTATTGTTCCCATTCAACCTTGATTCTGTGGCGGGAGCCTCACGTTGCCGGAGACCGGTCGCTTCACGACGATTGTCCAGTTCCTAGAATAGATTCTGATTCGAACCGGGTTCTATTGACACGGTTCTGGTACCAACGCCTCTCTCTCTCTCTCTTTCGCTCTCTGATAATTCCTTTTCTCATTTTTTTGCTGGTTCCTACGCTTTTTGTTTGTTGTAATGTGTGTGTTTGACTCCTTGCTTTGTTTTTGCTGCTTAGTTCCTTGTTTGTTTGTTGTTTGACTATGTCTGTTGTCTGTTCTTGTTGTTTGTTTGTTGTGGTTGTTGGAGCAGATGGAATCCAAAAAAAAAAAAGCGTCCGATGGTATGGAGTGGGACAGATTGGGATGCGAATGAGAGTGAATCAGAGAGCAAGGAGGAAGGGAGGAAAGGAGGAAGGAGAGCCTTGTTCACTAATGGACGACATCAACTGAATGCCAGGAGACAGACAGGGACAGAGACATTGAATGAAAGAGCATGAGAGTCGGGAGGACGACAGGGGAAAAGGGGGCATGGTAAGGGGGAAGGGGCAGTCGGGCGGTAGTGTCGGTAGCGTCGGGTAGGTTGAAAGGGGGGAGGTTACTAGAACAGAATGGAAAAAAAGGAACGAAAAAAGAAAAAGGGCGAATAGGCAGAGGAAGTCTACCCTCCTTCCTGTGCCCTGACATATGAACACACGCATGTCCTATTTTTACCAAGTATATGCACATTAAGGTGAATAAGTAACAGAGGTAAAGAGGTAAAGAGAGGATCATCATCATCATGAGCAATAGGCACACATGTATACAACTCCATAGAGAACCAGATTGAATAAGGGTTTTGGGATCTTATTTATTTGCTTTGCAGGCAAAGAAGGTAATCCTAAAAAAAACTAATGTACAAAGGGTGGGTTGGGGTTCTGGTTGGGGGGTGCGGTTCAAAAAAAGAAAGAAAGGAAAGAAGAAAGTTGTGGACAAAGGAGAAGAGGAAGGGAGAGCGCCATCGGGGACTTTTGAGGAAGTCGTATCGATCGATCGCCTTTCTCCCTCTCTCGCCTCCTGCTAATCAACACAAAATATCCGTGTAATGGAGTTTCTTCTGTTCTGTTTCTTCGCTTGTTCCTCTTCTCCTTCCGTTTTTTTGTTCTTTTTTCGATTTTCTCTTTTTTTTTGTTTCTTGTTGGGGGGGGGGGGGGGAGGTGGTGGTTGGCGGGGTCATTACAGGGTTGCTGTTGTTGGTTGAAGGGTGGTTGGTTGCTGTGGGTGTGTTGAAGGCGCAGGTCCAAAGGTAGAGGCAGACAGGCAGACAGAGAGGTTGGAAGAGAGAGAGAGGCATCTCTCTCGCTCTTTAAGCGGATCCCTTTTGCTGGTGCTTGCCGATGTGGCCCAGAAGCGAGCGGCGGAGGACTTGGCGAAGCAGAGGCGACGTGCCAGAGTGCTTTCCCGCCAATCGGCTCTTCTTGTTCTTTCGGGTCTTGCTGTAATTTGCGTACAGTGTTTTTTTTTTTTGCAAGAAACAAAAAAAGGGCAACATATGCTTATTAGCTATGGGTGTCTGTCTTTGTCTGTTTCCTTTGATGTGCGGTCAAGTACTAAAAACGAGCCCAAAGCCATTACTGAGCGCAACACAGCCCAATGAGGTGGAGACAAGTCGCTCTCTTCGTTGTTTTATGCCAATGACAACACCATGATATCTCAAAGTGTCCGTGGACAGCAAGGGAACCAAATCAAGCAGCAGGCGGACAGGCAGCAGATAGGCCAACAGCAGCAGCAGCGCAAAGCAAAGATGAAAGGCCAAGCAACACCAACACCATGGAAAAATAATAAAGGAAAAGGAAAGGGGGAGAAGGGCGCAGGTGCATTGTTTGTGTCATATCAATTCAAAAGTGTCTCTTATCCATTGTGTAGTCTGGTTTTATTCTTTGTGGCAAGTCCACAAAAACAATGTACATGCGACCACTGTCCTTCTCTCCTTCTCCCCTCTCATCCTCACTTCTTCTTCTTCGCCGCCTTTTTATGCTCCTTGTTCTTTTTTTTCTTTCTTTTCACATGTGGATTGGCACACTTAGAGAGGGTGGAAACTAAAAAAAGGACCAATAAGGACGCAGAGTAGACAAAGCAGACAAACAGGCAAGGATAAAAAAAAATTACCTCAGCAGGGCCTTAATGGCCTCGTCTGAAAGTTCCCGCAGCTGGGGAAGCTGCTTATTCGTCTCTGGGGCGGGCTTGGCACCACCGGGCACAAGGGGAGCCGAGGCTGCTGCAGTCATACATGCGACCATTGCTGGAAGATATGTAGCAGAGAGAAGTGTGGAAAGAGAGAAAGGGAGCGACGAAAGGCTTTGGGGGCGTTCAATCGAACCGACAACCGGAAGCGATGAGGAGTAGCGAGTGTGTTGTTGTTGCTTGTTGTTGTATTGTTGATGTGATGAGGAAAGGGAGATGGAGGGTGTTGGAGTTGTGGGTAGGGGTATGTACAGTTGGAGGCTGGAGGCAACGCAGTCGACGTGCTGTTGCGCAGAGGATAAATGATATCAGAATAAAAGACGGGGACGAGATCGAGCGCTTAGTGAAAAGGTCGAGTTGAGTGTGTGGATGTGGGAGTTGTGTGAACAGCAACAGGGAGTTTGAATCAAGAAAAAAGAGGAGCAAAGAGATCGGAACGATGAACAAGATTAAGCACAAAAAAAAAAAAAAAAAGGGCGATGGACGGACGGATGGAGGGAACAGAGATGGAAAAAGGACAAAGAGACACTCAAGACGATGACACCACCTTTGATAAAGAAGAAAACTTCTTGTCGGATGATTCATGTGGCTTGGCTCCTAGTCCACTGGATCTTCCGATCGAGATCACGTGTAACACTTCGTCGTCGAGCTGTCGACCTTTAGCCTTTATTTCTTGAACCCCAACACAACTCACACTTTCCCACACTCACGACAACAACCTTTCACAAATGACAGAAGGACATCACCTCATCATCATTACAGGAGCAAACAGAGGCTTCGGCGAAAGTGTCGCCAAAACCTACCTCGAGAGCAGCGAAGCCAGCGCCCTCTCCTATGTCCTCGTGGGACGGAACCAAGAAGGACTCCAAAAGGTCCTCGACACCCTGAAGCAGATTGGCGCCTCTACCAACGTCACCGTCAAGGGCTTGGTCGTCGCCAATGTCGACCTTGCCGATACCCACAAGCTTGACGCCAACCTCACCAGGATCCAGGAGGCAGCCAAGCAGTTGCGCGACGAGTCCATTCAATCCAAGGTATTGATCGCTTCCTGAAGCGTGCGATCGCTTCCTGAAGCGTGCGATCGACGCGTGTGCCTGACCGCAGCTCATTTTTCAACTTTTGATCACTGATCAGTGCATTTGGTCAACTCATGCAATGTTTTACGTCTATTTGTCTCACTTCTATCTGATAGAACATCATCACAAAGTCCATCCTCGTCAACAACGCCGGATCTCTCGGCGACCTCAGCAAAACCGCAAAAGAGTTCACCTGGCAGGAAACAAGGAAATACCTCGACTTCAACATCGTCTCCTTCGTCGGTCTCTGGTAATTTACCTCTGTTTGCTGTCACGAAAAGATTGTCGATATCGGGATGCGGACGAAATTTCTTGCTGTACAGACACGCTCACGCTGCATTTGTTGTATTATATGGTAATAGCTCAACGTTCCTGCAGGATACATTGGCGGCATTCCCCAAGGACAGGTACCCAGAACACAAGACCGTGGTGATTAGCGTATCATCCTTGCTGGCCGTTCAGCCCTTCTCCAACTGGGGTCTCTACGCCGCCGGCAAGGCTGCCCGTGATCGCTTCCTTGGCGTCATTGCCCTCGAGGAGGTATGATACTTGACTGAGCCAGTCCACATGTCTCGTTGATTTTGCAAAAGAGGACCACACTAACCATCCTTTTCGGTTGACCCATTTAATGAAACATAGAAGGGAAACAATGTAAAGACGTTGAACTACGCCCCAGGACCCCTTGACAATGAGATGCAGGCGGACGTTAGAGCCACCCTTGGCGACAAGGAGCAACTGGAGATCTATGATGGTATGCATAAGGCTGGTTCACTTGTTAAGATGGACGATTCTAGCAGGAAGTTGGTGCTGTTGTTGAAGAAGGATGAGTTTGAGAGTGGCGGACATGTTGACTTTTATGACCTTTGAAAAGGGATGGAATAAATCTGTTGATTTTTGACATGAAGCACAGAATTGGCTCGAAGGAACTTTTTAGCTGGCGGGTAAATTATGGAAACCCACAAGGAAATAATGAATGAAAACATGCAAGGAATTTATGCAAACAGTCAAGGAAACCCGCGGACATGACGAATGGAAACCGCATAGGAAAAGTTGGAAACCAGAGGCACCCGTGGAAACCATGAAGGCCATATTGGAGGCATGAGGTCACTTTGACCTGTACCCCACTCCAGCCCACTTGCGACAAAAAGTGAGAGAGCAAGCAAACGTGAGCCCTTCTTGAGTGGGGCAACGAGGAGTGCACATGCCACGCAAATGCCCGATTCGTCGATCTCGACTTGAACAGTCCCCCCCCCTTCTTATTACTTTCCGGCAGAAAGCCTCTTTGGGTTAAAGTCTCCACCCATCAGGGGCGAACGACGATCCTAAGAATGACAAGGAATTTGGCGGCGATGACATAACATGTCGTCGTCGTACTGGAGTAACAGTCACCAGAGAGCCGCGATGTAGAACCAATTTCCATGAGTATCTAGACGCCCCTTTACTTTTTTGCCAGAAGGGTCTAGACGCAAGGAAAAAGACTTTCTTAGGAAGTACGCGTACATCCACTCCGGCTATAAAACATTGCACTGGCGGTAGTCTGCATCATCGCATGGATCTTTTGCCGGTTCTGTTACCGCCGTCGAGGAAGTTGGCCAGACCGTCGTTGTCTAGACCCCTTCCCTTAATATTATGTTTTTTTCGCCATTGTCGCTGGTATCCCAGCATACAAAACACCGCTTGTAATTAGCATTCGTATGACCCTTGTTGTAAATAGTAAAAAAATGGCAAATGGCTTATTGAGCCTCCCCTGCCGACATCATCCCTTGAACTCTTCTGCTGATGTTGAACTCTATTACTCAATCAGAATTACATACCTCCGTGCCTGATGGGTCATAGTTGTCATTGTTTTTACTGTCTCTCAGCGTCTCTCAACGGGGAAGACGAAAGCGAAAAGTCAGGGGAGAAGAGAAATGGAAAAAATAAGGAGTCCAACACCATGGGAATATGATGGTGTGTATGACATGCCATTGTTTTGACCCATCCCTGAGGTTTTCGTTGGTGTTGCCTTTTTTTGTCCATTTTTCTATTGCTTTGGTCGTGTTGTCGTGGAAGAACTTAAAACTCGCAACGGAGACTGACAAGAAGGAAGGGAGGAAAGGAAAACATTCATATCTCGTCTCTCGTGTCTCCGTTTTTGGGGGGGGTTAGATGGTCGCGTTCACTCGTTCTGCTGGTCAACGACAAGAAAGTACAGGAACACCATTGACAGCTTTGTCATTTGTTCTTGTGTTTTTGTCTCTTCTCGCTCTTTTTCTCTTTCAAATCACAACCATTTTACTCATTCTTTTACCATTCAACACGTCAACCCTAACAACGTTTCTACCACACCTCTCGCCTTCTACCCTACCACCATCTGCCGCTCAAACTGTGTAGCCCTCTCTTTTAGCCTTTTGCCGTCGCATCCTTCACTCAACAAATCAATCGTCCGCTTTGGGAAGCATTGGTCCAGCAGCCCTTTTTGATTCGCCTTCCTTGCAACGTAACTCAAGGACAATAATGTGCACTACGATCGAAATCTTGTCGTACGATGGGCTAATGGCCATCGGCATGATCTTGGTAACACAACTCACTTTTTCTCTCTCCTTCGACGTACACGTAGAATAGACTGGAGAAAAACATGTACAGCAATCGAGTGTGGCGCTAACAGGATTGAGATCTAACTTTGTTTTGTCGTAGCTAGTCATCTGGATCTTGAGCATCACAAACGTGATCCATGTGCCATCGCACGGCGTAAGTTACAATGATTTTTTTTTCACGATGCTGTGCCAATGTCCGCCGTTCGTCATATATGCTCAATTCCGTGGGGGTGATCATTGGTACCATCTCTTAACTTAGCACGTTTTCTTACGTTTATTTCGTCTTCGTCGCTCCGCCATTTCAACCATAATCTCATAAATCCACCTTCCACCCCTCATCCTTACGGCCACACTCAAACACCAAAATGGGCGATGCGACATGTTAGCTCCAGTACATGATTATAGCATTGGCGATTGTATTCGTGATCGCCTGGCTCTTCACGCGATGCTTCTGTCAAACCCGCCACCGTAAACGACAACCCATTATTGCCTAATCATCGATGAGAAGGACAGAAAAACCAATATGAGACACCACTCATTGGTCTGACTGCATGCGCAATTCGTCAAGAATGTGGCAAGAACGGAAAAGGAGTGGAGGAGGAGGAGGAGGAGGATGGAGGGGTCATTGGATCGGAGGATTACAGGAACATGCACAAGGGTATCAGTCAGTCGTCTCTTCCGTCATTTTTTATCGTGCATTCTTCTGCTTCCTCGCGAAAAGAGGGGGTGATGTTTGCTTTTTTTTTTTTTTTTTGTTCAGATCTGCGAAAATACAAGCCCACCGCCCATCTACGTTTTTGTTCTTCTTTCCTCAGAACCCTCTTTTTTCTTGTATAATCATTGCCGCAATTGTATAATACACTCATGTTCATTGGTGCCAATCACGAACACATGTGCCTCTTCCTGTCGAGCTTTGTATCAAAATGTTCTCCCCTCGGAGAATTGAGAAAATATAGGTTTGTCGATTGAACCTTCTTTCCATCTATACTTTTCTAAGAGGTGGTTCCATCCATGGAAGGGTGGACAAGGAACACAAAAAGGAAGTAAACGAAAGATCGGTCACCTCCTAAAACAGAAAAAGAAAGAAGGGCTACCACCCTCTCCCCCTTGAATTGTCCGGGGATCTTCAACCACGTGCATGGCGGAGATGTGATTTTGGGGCATCCTGTCGACTTTTGACTTTTTCTGTGTAGATTGATGCACTCGGAGATGGAAACATCAATTGAGAAATCATACCATTGAAGGATGGGTTGTGTGTAGGGCTGTTCTCTTGTTCGATGGTGGGCAAGAGCAACAGTGGACTCGATGTAACCCTGTGGCTGATGAAAGGGGAAAAGGAAGGGAGGGGCTTTTTGGAATTTATTTTAAGCGTGGGCCCGGTAACATAGATGGATTTGTTTCTGTGATTCTAGGAACCATGTGAGGAAAATGTGATGAAAAAACGCCTCCTCACCTCATCTTGAAATAAAAAAATGGCCAGGAAATATGAGACACCTGCGTGTCGATACTCTATTTTGTGTGTGTGTGTGTGTGTGTGTGTGTGACAGAAGAACTCTTGTGTCTTTCCATCCCGCATGTCGCATGCATGAGCAATCAATCAATCGTCAGAGTCATGCAGAAAGGAAATTCGAGTAAAAAAGAGAAGAGAAAGAGAGGGAGGCAGAAAAAAAGAGAATAGAAAAGTCACTCGTCTCGTCGCTCATCAGGAACAACCATATATTGGTTTCGCCACGAGAAGGAACATCTGAACGCGACAACGACAAAGCGATTTGATCAGCTCTGGCACCAGCAAGTTACCAGCAACACGCCGCTATATTTCTCTCTATCTCTTTCTCACGAATAAAGAAAGGGCGAGCATTCTTTACACCGAGAATGGTACAAGGACCCTGTTTCTGACTTTGCTTGTGCTCTAATTCCTTATAAATAAGAAAATGAAAAAATGATTACCTTTCGCTCATTAAACCAGCGGATTAACCTTTGTGTGAAAGGAAAGAAAGAAAATAGATCGTAACAGGCTGAGTAGATTGCTCGGCTTGGAGGGCAGATACACTTCACCGTTCGTTCGCAGTACTGCCATTGTCTGTCAATCTCTTTGATGTTGCCTGATGGACTGACCTGGTGGACGACTGTATGGTTGGATGGCTACATGGTGTCTCATTTGCCACAAGGAACTAAGAAAAGCGAAAAGCAAGAAAATAAATAAGAGACAGAAAGTGAGCACAAGGCGTGAGCCATGGAAAACGAAAAAAAAACAGGAAAATAAGAAAGGATCGCTTAAGGTTCTAACCAACAGACAGACTGATATTCTGCCATATGCCTGAGCGATTTGCTACGACATACAAAGAGATGGTCTGGATGGGATGATTGGATGTTGGTCGTTACCATCCTCGTTCTCTCTATGTCGCTTACCCTAAGCCGCAATCATGGCGATGAACGAATAAAGACAAAGACGGAAGAAAAGGCTTGAGGAACAGTATGCCGTCATGGGTTGTATACAACATGGCTGGTCAGAGAGTCAAGGATAAAGGAAAAAAGTGGATAAACACAAACACAAACACAAACACAAACAAACACGCAGTCTGGCATAAACAAAAACAACAAAATAGATGGAAGCGGTACTCCCTGCAGGACCTTGCGGCAAAATTATGTGCAATTCAGTCGGTGCACGTTTGTGCGGAAAAGACACATTGAATTGTGTTCTCATCCATCTCTCTTTTCTCCTGATTTGATAAACAAAGCAGCAGAGTTAGATCTGCAAACACTCATTTTAGGACATGGAGGAAGAGGGCAAATGTCGCCTTATGCTTGCCGCCTCGTGTTCAAAGGATTGGGGAATCGTTCAAACCATGGCGCGAGAGGTTTACATTTTTGAAGAAAAGATAATATGATTGCACGAAAAAAAGGAATATTGGGGTCGAACGCAAGACATGGAATGGTGGGCGAAGTTGTGGGCGCCCTTTCTGGACTTGCTTCTCTTGCAGCACTTGTCTTGACTTGGTAAGAGAATGAAAACCGACCACTCTTCTCTAATGAACTGTAGTATTCCTTGTCGCATCTCTTTTTCGCCGTTTCCCTTTTTTTGAGGAGACTAGACATGCATGCAATTTTTACCTGTAATTACTCCTTGTTGTTGATGCACTTAGCGTATCCCCTGCCCTTTTACAAACTCAGTCGTGAAGGGAGAGAGGGCTGAAGACACCGAGAAGAAATAATACGCTGACCAGAGGGAGAGGGTGGTCAAGCGCCGCACTTGGTCAGGTCAGGTCTGGTCATGTCAGGTCCATCTTTTTCGTGATGAGTCCAAACGCGGTCTAGTCTGACATTGACAAGAGACAAGTTCAATTGAAGGAAAGAAAGAAGTGTACACATGCACACAATTTCGATGGTTTTGTTCTTTTTTCGTCAATTGCAAAACTAAGTGAGAATAAGGCTACAGAGTGGTGAATGGCGAGTATCCTTGGTCGTGAATGACTGGAGATGAATGGCTCGGGGGATATGTTAGGTGTAGCTTTGGCAAGGTAAACAGCTCACTGCTGTCATTCATTCATGTAATAAGCTGGTCAACCAGTCAGCTAGCCGTCCATTTCCTCACAACTCTCCTCTTTCTCCTACAACCTCAGTTCAATCCAAAGTCCAGTCAAATCTTCAAGGGCCTAGGTTGGTCTTTTTTTCCCTATGAATGGATAGTTGCATTAACAGCTATTATATATATACCGACAGCATCCCCTCTTTCGCTCTACCTTTTCCTTTCTCGTTTTTCTCTGTTTCCCCTCTTCCTTTTCTTCCTTCTTTTCGTTCTCTTGTTCTTCTCCTCGTCTCCTCCAGGCATCGACCCTGGTTCTACTCTTCCCCCCTCTTCCGCCGCATTCATCCCCCTCTTTCCTGCTTTCCTAGTCCACTTCCCCGCCCTCCTCTCTTGTCTCCCCTCCGCCCTCACATCCTTCCTCTTATACTCACCGTAACCCCCTTCCTTCCATCCCCAGAAGATCAACATCGATACCCTCTCTAGACTGGATCAATCTTGTACGTCCACTTTTCTTTGTGCTCAAGTCCTAATGTCATTTCCAAGCTTATTTCCGCGTAATTCATTTTTGCTTTCGAACCACTTTTGTACCTCCCTTCATGTGCGCGTTTATCTGTATCTGTGTCTGTGTCTGTGTCTGTGTCTGTGTCTGTGTCTTTGTGCGTGTCCTGTTCACAATTATTATCCGGTCTTGCTTTTTATTGCACCTTCTTTCATACCCCAGCGCACTTATATGGTTCCCGCTACCGCACCTCTTTTTTTTCTTATCTGCTTAGACTACTTTTCGCATACACACATCGCCTTCTTTTTATCACAGTCAGCTACATCTTATTTCGGCCCGTCATTCTACCCCCCCAGAAAAACAAGGAAGCAAGCAGAGACAGGACAGTGCAACCACATTGAACCTCCCCTCTTTCAAAGAAATAAGAGAAGTCACATAAATGGGCAACGCTCTCTGCTGCAACAAGGACGAGGACCCCAAAGACATATCCTCGTCCTCCTCTCAGCCCAATGAGCTCTCTCACAATAATACCCACCGCAACGGAAAGCAGAATAATTACATCTCCTCCACTCAGGTCCCAATTCCCTCTTCTTCTCCTTACCACCACAACGAACCTTCCACTTCTTCCTCCCTCCACCTTAACCCTCACTCCCACTCCTATTCAAACAACAACAACAGTCAACAACTCACTTCTCAACACCACCTCCTCCACCCCACAGCTACCACCTCCACCACCACCACCTCCTCCTCCTCCTCACACTCCAGCGAAAACAAAAAAAAACATCACCCCACCACCAACGGTTCACTCTCCCCCTCCAATACCCACCTGTCATCGCCGAAAAGAAACAACAGACACAGTAACAGCAATAACAGCAACAACAGTAGTGGCACCGGCGGTCATATCCAATTCACGGCAGGCCCTGGTACAACAACATCTGCCTCAGATCAACTCAACCGGACACAGAACCCTCAGTCGCTAGACCGAGCCATGGAACGGAACAATATCTCGCCCGATTACCAGTGGCTTGATGGGCGGCGGTATCATAATAACCCTGATGCCTCGTACCTCCTCCCCAACGATATCGATGAGTAGGTTTCTCGTGTTGTTTTTGAGCATTTTGTTGTTGTCTTTCGCACATTCTTTGTTTGTTGGAGAGTGGTGGGGTGAGAAGGAGGAGACATGCATACAGCACAGAAGGGTGTGAATGTAGGAGGGAGTCCCTTCCTTCCTTTTCACGACTCTTTTTTTTTTTTATCTCGTCGTCACTTTTAATGCACACCGACGACATGAATGCATGGACGAATGGACCAAGAAACGTTGTATTAATCACTTCCCTGTTTTCTCTCTTTCCTTCTCCGTTCTTTCTTCCTCTTTGTGCTTGAACGAATAGAGTGGACAGGTAAATAACGAGATCCGATTCGCACATGGCGAATATGTCTTTGCTTATGGCTCTTCTTGCTCGGTCTGGCAAGGCAATCATAATGAACGAGGATTGTGTAATCCACGACGCCATTGGGCGGTTTCGAATGGATAGATGGAGGGAGAAAAGGAGAGCGATGGGGTGGGAAACAACACCATCCAACAACAACAAAGCCCTGCTGCTCTCTTCGCCTTCTTTTTCATTCGTTTCCAGTGGTTCACTTGTTTAGTTTTGCTTTGGTTGCTGCTCACCATTGGTTGGATGCATACTAATGATGATCCTACTGCTTCTTTTCTTTTCCTTTTTTTCTCGTCGTTCTTGTGGTCAACCACACCCATCTTTTATTTGCGACCACCAGGCTACAACTTCAGGTAAGAACAAAAGAGTCATTCAAAGATGTCGACAATGGACAAGGGTTTGCACTGACCAAACAGAAAAGAAACGACAATGGCTCACGAACGCACAAACATGCGATAATGGACAAGGAAAGACAGGAAAGACAAGGCAAAGGAAAGGGAGGAATGAACGCTAAGAAAGGAAAAGGCGACAGCTCAATCCTTCGTTCCTTCTCACTTTCCTCTCCTCTACTTTGTTGACCAAGCAACCAAGCACCAAGAGACATAACGTGCATGGTGCATAAATATTAATGCGACTCTTTCTTTGTCTCCTTTTTTTTCCTTCCTGTCTGTCTGTAGCACTTTATCCTTCGTTATGCCATCCAGGGTAACTATAAGTCACCCCTCGACAAGTCCAAGGTAAGCAGCAATTGCGCAACAAACAAACAAGCAAACAAACAAGTGCACATGCCTATGTTTTTGCACAGAAGACAATGGTGGATCGGGTGGACAACAGAACAGATACACATCCTTTAGACGAAGGGGCTGTCATTTTTTCAACAATGCAAGACCTTGTTGTGTCTGTATGTCCTTTTTTTTCTCTTTTTTTGCTTTCCTCACGCGACAAATGGGTTCACTCACATAAACGTACACACACCGCCCGTCTCCCATCTTTTGTCTTTTCTGTTATCGGTTATCGTATTGGAGTAAAGATATGAAAGTGATGGCTTACTCAATCGTACTCGCTTTTTCTGTATTTGACTTTCTATTAGGTCCGAAGTATCCTCGATGTCGGTTGCGGACCCGGTACCTGGACAATGGTAAGGTCCATATTCCCAGTTCACTCATTAGGAGCGACGCTCTTTCCCACGTTTTTTTGGATGAAATGTTGGCCTTAAATAATCCTCTCCTTACTCACCCGAACAAACCCAAACCAACGACTTTAATAGGAAATTGCGAACGAGTTTCCGGATGCGACAGTGACAGGAATCGATCTTTCTTCTGTCTTCCCTTCGGCCATCATTCCTGGCAACTGTCGCTTCTTGCAACACAACATCCTCGAACCCTTCCCCTTCCCCGACAACCATTTCGATTTCGTCTACCAGCGTCTCCTCATCTCTGGACTCACCCCCGAAGGGTGGGTCAAAGTCGTCAAGGAACTGGAACGGATCACCAAACCGGGCGGATGGATTGAGCTCGTCGAAGTCGACTCTCACGGTGGCAACAATGGTCCTCACACGCTCAAGATCTGGGACTGGATCACAACCGCCCTAGCAACCCGCGGGATCGTCACTAGTTTCATTCGTGACCCAGGTCTGGAATCGGTCATGGTCCAGTCAGGGGTCGAGAATGTCAACACGGTGGCGTTGAAGTTGCCGACGGGGAAATTTGGGGGCAAGATTGGACAGCTGTTGAAGGAGAATTTGTTTGCGTTCTGGAATGCGATTGCACCAATGATTATCCATGGTGCGGGTGCGGATAAGGTCGAGTTTGAGGAGGCGTTGAGGAAGGCGGATAGGGAGGTGGAGGAGTTCAAGTATTATCATATCTTTTATGTGATTACTGGACAGAAGCGTGAGGATAGTGCTGTTGCTCTATGACTTTGAGTTCTTGGTTCCCTTTTTTCGTTCGTTCGTTTTTTTTTCTGCTCGTTGTTTTCATTTCGTTGTTTTTGTACACTATACCTATCATTTTCCGACATAGCATCGCATTCTGTTTTTCATCGTCTTAGAACCCCTCACAAAGCTTATCCACAAAATAACTATCCACGGGTGCCTGCCCACACCATGCACCACATTTTATTGTTCATTTGACATCACTCTGATAAGGCGCCTGATTATTATTCTTAGGCTTGCGTTTCGGCTGCTCCTGGCATTTCTCCAGGTAATCCTCTCCCGGACGAAACTTGTCCAAGTGCTTGAGGAACGTCTTGGCGGGGCACCAGGAGAGGTCGCACCAGTTGGATTTCGCAACAACGATCCTGCTGTTGTAGAGGACTCTGATGTATTTCTCTTGTGAGGGTGTTTCCCAAAGCTCGATTAGGAGATTCGAGGCCTATGTTGGAGATGTGAATGTGTGTTAGTTGGTGAACAAGAGAAGAGAGGTTGGAATTCACAAACAGGTGTAGCATGAAAGAGAGAGAGAGAGAAACTTACATAAGGAGGCCAACGCAGATCAAGAGAGTCCAAAACCGCCAAAAGCGGCAGAAGCATAGTATCATGCCCCGAATACAAACTAAACACCACACCTTCCCCACCCTCCTTCCCCTTTCCTGCAACCACATTTCTCTTCACCAACTCAACTGCAGGACCATACCCAACTTTCAACAACTCAAAACTCCCCTTGTCATCTCTCAACATCGCAGCGCTTTCTGTACTCCGGAACTCTGCCATGGCTTCCATGACCGCCTTCCCATCCACACACTTCTCACCATTTCCTTTGGGGTCTTTTAGGCAAGGCATAGGGTGGTCATGGCATACCCGAGGGGACACGAAATCCGAGACGTCGTCGAGGGAAAGGGTATTTGGGTAGTCAATGATTTGGGAGGCGGCAAGGATGGGAGCGGGGATGTGCGTGTAGAGGTGTTGGAGGGTTGGGTTGGATCGGGCGATGAGGGATTTTAGTTGTGTGATCCGGGGGCATTGGTCGCGTTCGTTGAAGATTAGGTATTCGAGTTCAAAGGGAAGGGTTGCTAGACGGAAGTTTGGCGGTGGAATGTTGGGGGAGTTGGTTGGGTAGAGGCCTGTCATTAGGCTTGTCGCACTCTGTCTTGTTCTCCAGACGTCTATTCATGGTGTAGCAGGGCAAACAAAGGGTATTTTGTTAATGCATGGGAGGGGAATTTCCCTTAGCTTCATTCACTCTCCTTCCTAGTAGCCTCCCCTGAAATAAGCATTCCTCACACCTCGTCTCTCGTCTTACCTGTGCTTCTCACAAAGAACTTCTCCTGATCAAACACCTCCGGCAAGAACCCCAGCCTATCCACATAAACCTCCCTCAAATCCCTCCCCATCCTTTCCTGCTGCCCCGCACCCTTAGGCGTCAACTGTCCCGGGATACAGCTTCCCCTCCAGATGGATTTGGCGAATGGCGAATCCTGAGGGATGGTGACGACTTGAGTTGTGATGAGCGATGCGTTGTTGAAGGTGTCACTGTTGGTTGGAGTGGTGAAGTACTTGGAGTTGATTTGGGAGGAGCATTCGTATGTCACTTCATGGTCGACCGGGTAGAATGATTGTGATGTCCTATTTTGTTGTTGTTGCGAAAGAGTAAGAGAAAGGGGGAGGAAGGACGGAGTGAATGTTAGGAGATGACGGAGGTGCAATGGCAATCATACAACTATGGGGTCTCATGCCATGGTTCCCACTCACTCTGTGAACAAAAATACCATCATGGAAAGAAAAGAGGCCATGGTTGATGCTTTTGGATTGTTCATTCAAGTATTGTGTGCCTTACCGATCGCCGTGGCGGATGAACATTTGGACATTGGACAGTGTTGCTCCCTCGACCTTTTGGTTTGGGTAGTTTTCAAATACGTGAGAAGGTAAGAAGGCAAGAGGCGAGAAAAGGAAAGAAGGAGAGGTCAGTTTAACTGTTCTAGCTCAGTGAATGAATGAAAGAATGAACGACAGAAACTTATCCATACCGGCGGGTCAGGGTAAGTGTCGACAGTTGGGTGGTCAGCCTCACAATAGCTGTAGGGCCTCCTGTCCTCGTAAAAAAGGACATCTTTTGCGCGCTTTTCTCCTGGAGTGGACGTGGGGATGGCAGATACACTGCTGAGGGCTAGGCAGAGTAGGAAGAGCGATGTGCGTCGTGCTTTCCTTGCAGCCACTTTTGTTGTTGGTGTGAGTGCCATTTTGGGTGCCGTATGTGTAGAGAGTGGAAGTGTGAATGGCGATGTGGATAATGAGGAGAGAAAGAGATGGAAAAGAGAGAAGAGAAGAAAAGAAAAGAAAGGATAAAGAGAAGGGGTAACATTTACGGGTGAAATGTAAGGGGGAGGTAAAAATTGATTGAATACGACATCCACTTTCACACCCACAGCCATCTACTCGGACCACTCCACGTTGCCATTTGACAAACTATAGACCTATCTAGCTATGTCCTACTCGGTTTCAACTCCACGCGCCACACCCCTCGTAGATCTTAAAATACCCCATATGCTCATTTTGCTTTGGGAGTCATCTGATCATTTCCACACCATTGTTCCTCCTTCCCTTACCGTCCCTCTTGATGACCATTCATACACAACTCGACGGTCATGCCACAAAACCTTTAGTACCACTAGCACAATCAAACGACCTAACATCAACACCACCCAGCACCAATTCATTACCAGCTCAAGATTCTCTCACAATCACCGACCCGATCATTCCACCATCATCACCACCCACCACCTACTTTTCACAGACACTTCTCAACGCCACTAACGGAGACCCAGACGCACAAGTCGCCATAAGAGGCATCTACAGGGACTCCCAATCGACCACCACTACCGCTATCCCACAAAACTACGCCCTCGCAATGTCTTGGTATCTTAAAGCCGCTGCCCAAAACAACCTCACCGGCCTCCGCAAAGTTGGCTTCCTTCACCATGACGGCCTCGGTGTCCCCCAGAGTTCCACCCTCGCCATGAAATGGTACCGCAAGGCCACCGACAAGAACCACGCTCCAGCAATGTGCAACATCGGGGTATTATACGAACACGGACATGGCGTACCCCAGAGTGATACGATTGCGCTGGAATGGTTCTCGAAGACAGCTGAAGGCGGTAATAGAGCGTCAATGTATCTTTTAAGAAGGTTGTATGAGTATGGTCAGGGGATGCGATAGGATGATTACGAGGCTATGAAGTGGTATCGGAGGGCTGCGGATCTGGGGATGCCGTTGCCGGGAGGCCGTTTGATGAGTTGAAGCATCGGGAGCCGCGGTGTTGATCAGGGGGGAGAATATAAGAATTATTGAATAAGAACTATTTGTAAAATATTCGCTAGCACTGTCTATTTTGTCCGTACGGAAAGTACACGTTTCTGCAGTAGTTGGTTTCAAAAACGCACTGACCAAGTCCCTAAACGCGAAAATTCACCACACCTTGTTGTCAAAGAAACAGTCCCAAGCGAGCATTAGACACAGAACCACGGTGTGTGGTGTCATGTCGTCCTCCACTCGCCTAGCCTCCTTGCCACTCTTTTCTCGCCTTTTCTTTCCCTCCCCCTATTACCATATCCCACCCACCGTCTACCTACCTCCCTCCCTCTCCTCGACACTTCCAGGGAACGACAGCACTGCACTCCTCACCGAAACACACAGCAACAATGTCAAGACGCTCAACATCATTCAGGGCATACGGCCTGTCAACAAGAACAGTCGACCACCCGCTACTTGTTACCCGAACGAGGGTGTCTATGACACCACCTATCTCACCACCAGAAGGAAATAACATCACCTAAAATCTCCGTCCCCCACCTCCCCCTCCCCCCCAACACCACCGCTAACCCCAAAACAACACGAAACCCTCAATACGGTCTCGTGGAGCAGGCTTTGGAGAACTACACACATATCGAGAGCCCTCTCACAGCACTCTGACGACGACTAACAGAACCTATCCTCAGACAACGATGACTCAACCCCAACCAACAACAATGTTCCAGAGCCTCAGCAACCTTCAAGATACTCACCAAAATTCCAGTGCGCCTGCTGCAACGTTGGATCAATTGATCGCCCGCATCAATGCACTGGTACCTCAAAGCAGCAGAGCAAAGCAACCCTGATGGCTAGTGCAATTCGACCTCCTCTGCGCTATTGGTCAGGGCGTCCCAAGAGACTAATTCACGTGTCATGCCCTGGTACCTCAAGGCAGCCGAGACAGGGATCAAATACGCGGAATACCTCATCAGTTGTCTGTATACGTATGGCTATAAAGTTCCCAAAACTCTTTTCTGCGGCTTGGTGTGGTATCGCAAGGCTGGCGAAGGCGAAGGAGGATTATATGTCGCTCAGTACTACGTCAGCAGGACGTACGAAAAAGGGAGTGGTGTGGTACGAGATTGCAATAAAGCCATGGAGTGGTATCTCCGAGCTGCCAAACAAAGCGATAGATATTCCAAGACGCAATATATCGCTTTCAAGAAACAAAGGTACGGCGCCGAGCTTTTGGAGATAGAACCTTGATCACCCCCTTCCTACAAAATCTTTTTTTCATCCCATACACTCGCATTAACTTCGCTCTTGAAAGACTCTGTGAACTATGATCGCTGTAGGTTACTTGTCACCTCGCCAATCTACTGATAAAAAGTCCTATTGTGCTCATGTGCATTTTTGCGCGCGAATGAGTAAGGAATAAACCGACGAGGAAAGGTGAGTAGGCAATAAGAGCAATTATCCCACGCCAGATGGCGCAGAGATGGTGTGGTGGAGGAGAGGCTTACCGAAAACGATACCCGACCATGTATTTTCCGCTAGAGGGATGATAGTTGTACCTGACACATTTAGGGACCGCCGTAGTTCCACATTTTTCATATCGATCAGATGCGTTCGTTTTAATGAATCTTTGGTACGCCTTCCGTATCTTCTAGTAATTGACCCAGGTTTTGTTATTTTGTTTTAGTGCAGCCGGGTCGCCAACTCCCATGGCAGTCTGTAGCTGGGGATTCTGTCTCGTTATAAGCGTATGCGAAAGTATTGTACGTTGTCTTCCTTATTGTTTGCTTTGCTCGCTTTTGCACTCCCCACTCAATTTATTCTTGACATCAACCACATGCGTTGTTTTCCCATTCGAACACTTTCCTCAGACCCAATAATGTACCATTGAACAGTGCACCTCTCTATCTGCACATCAATATTTGTTGTACAAGAATGTAATGCCATGCAGTCGCTTTTTTCTTTGGGTTTATCTTTCATTCCGCATTCCACTGCCCCTTTCATCAAACGTCCACATGGCTCATTATTTCTTTTTTTCTACGTCCGTTTGTTTGTAGATTCCTACATGCGCCAGCATGCACACAAACGACAGCTCCCGCTATGTGGGTGCATCTAACGATCAATTTTCAATAACGCTTGGACATCCTTCTTCTTCGCGTCCCTCTCTCCATCTTCCTCACTTCTCCTTTCCTTTCTTTTCATTTCCGTTTTTTCTTATTTCTCTTACCGTTTTCCTTTTAACGTTCGCATTCACAATACCTGATCGCCCAAAAAAATGCTCTAACTTTGTTGAACACAAACAAAAATATATCCTTCCTTCTCCTCCTTCTTTTGCACTCTCTCTCTCTTGGACACCTCACCTCTCTCAATTTACAACTTCTTTTCATACAGCTATCCATGTCAGGCATAGCACCAGCACCAGCGCCACCATTCGGCATCCTCTTCAAAAACATCTGGACTCGTTCCGACCCCTCAATGACCATTCCTCTCCTCGACGACTCCAGCGGCCAAGAAGACACCATATCAAACGACTTTATCACCAACCCAGACCCCGCCTCCCAATCCCTCCAACACTCCACCGACAACAACGACTCAAGCACCAGTATTGTCACGGACGGCACAACCGAACCCTCCGGTGGAATAGAAGACCCAATGGCGAGAGGTGACGTCTTCGCAGGCGTGATAGTCTTCAGTGTCGGGATGATGGCCCTCATCGTCGCAGTGACGTTCTATTTCACCAAAAGGAGCTCCCTACGTACCGTTCGGCAGAGTCGGGGTCTTGAGAATAATCGCAGTAGTGCTCAGTTGCGATGGAGTAGGGGTGGTGGCGCGGATGGAGCCATTGAGGAAGTAGGTGCAGGAGACGTCGATTTGGAGCAGAACGCTCACGCCATCGATATCACAGCGGGAACTGGAGCAGAACCAGGAAAATCGGGGAAGCTCGAAAAGGTCACAACATTCGACGCACACTCGCCCTCGATCGCCCGCCTGACGGACCACCGCCCATCCTCCCCTTCAGTATTCGCATTCCTCAAAGGCACTCCCTCTCCTTCTTTAACCTCCCCTTCCTCCTCCTCCTCTCCCCCCTCCCACCATAATTGCCATCCCAGTAACCTAAGCCTTCTGCTCAAACGAAGCCAGATCGGAGCTTCGAGCGTCATCCCCAAAACCGGGAACGATTTCGACTCACCCACCGAATCGACAACCCTCCACATGCCAGTATTGACAAGGACCAAGGCTCGGTCGAGCTGCAAGAAGAAGAGTAAAGGTATGATCAGTCTCTTCAGCAGCTCCAATTCTTCGGGAATGGGATCAAAGAAGCATAAGCAGTTACTGCAGGCGGCGGCAGCAATAGAGATCGCGAGGAGCGCAAGTGCAATTATTATCCAAATTCAAGAACCCTCCGAACCTTCAAGCGCCGCACCTCTCACACCCATCGACACCCACAACCACCACCACCACCACCACCATACCTCCTCCAACCCCACATTCCCTCTCGACCAAGAAAACTCCCTCGAAGAAACCGCCTCTTCCATCCACCCAATCTCAACAACACCCTCAACAGCCGACAACCACCACCATCACCGCCACCCCCTCTTACGCCTAGAAATGCCTACAACTGTCCGCTCAAGTTCAGTAGTAGGTCTCTACGGTAGCGCCAAATCCTCGCCGAACGGGTCAATGGTCGACGCAGCCTCGACGCGCGCGATATACTGCACGTCCGTCAAGTCTGCGATTTCTTTCCTCCCGACAGAATCGACGTCCATGCTCGGTGTGACTCATACCACTGACCTTGGAGGAGGAGGTACGGGAGTTGGTGTGGGTCAAGGTATTGCGATCGCGACTGCGGGGTTGGAGTCTTGAAGTACATAGATCATTCACACCCAGAACCAAAGAAAATGTATCATGATACTATCCATACACACGCGCACGTTATTATTAGCCAGAATTCAAGTTTTTATTGTTTTGTCGCGCATCTATCTGTGTTGTTATGGTTGTTGAAGCAAAGAGGAGGGTATTGCAATGAAAATAATAATATATGTATAGAAATGAGAAAGAGGGGAATGGTTATTTACTTGGCGAGTCTAGAGATGGCAAAGACAGCAATGATGGTGAAGGAAAGAGTAATAAGGGCACCGGGGAGAAGAAGCTCATCAGGAATGGAATCTAGCATCTTTTTGAACTCTGAGGTCTGCTTCTTGGGCTCTTCGGGCGCTGCGGGCTTGGGCTGCTCCACAGCACGGACGGGCTCGGGCACCTCAACAATGGGGGCTGCAACAATAGGTGCTGGGGCTGGGGTGACTGCGCTGACAGTGGTGCCGACAACGCTGGGTGCAGGGGGCAGGATGGTCGAAGCACGGGGGTCGGCGACATAAAGCATCACACGGTTCTGTCCCTGCTTCTTGGCAATGGCGACCGAATCTGCCAAATCAGCATCCGAGGTCATCATCACATAGTCCTGCTCGTCATCCAAGTACGAAATGTTGAACTCGGCCAAAAGCGCGCTCTGGCTAGGGTCAGACTCGGCGCCAAAAGGCTCCTTTTCCATGATGGTCTCCCGGAGACGGTTGAGGTCGGTATAGTCGGCAGTGAAGCGGTGGACAGTGTTGGAAATGGGTGACTTGAACTTGAACACGAATGTGGTGTGCTCCTCCTCGATCTGCTTGTGGATCAACTCACTACGGTCCTCTGCAACAACCGAGGCAGATTCGTTGGGGAAAATCTCGCCGGGGAAGGGCTGCATGGCCTGGTGGCTGCTGGGCGAAGCGGCCATGCTGGGTGACATGATGGATGAAGGAGCCATGGACTCGGACACAACCGAGCCTTCGTCATCGCCAGCCATAGCAGCAGAGTTCCAGAAATGGTTCCACATGGGTCCTGACTCTGAATCCTTGGTGTTCATCGAGTTGATCTGCTCCATAGTGGCATATGTCAGCTTCAACACATCGACAACTCCAACAATCTCCTTGTCCTCCTCAACAACAGGCAAGTTCAAGTAATGTCCATCTAATTTTAGGGATATCAATTAGAAAGAGTCAGGAATGTGGTCTAAATGCGATACGAGAGAAATGAAGAGAGTTGTGAGCAATGGGTAGTTACCGTGCATCTTGCGGAGGGCGTCCATGATGGTCATAGAGGAGGGGGCAGTGTCGGGGTGAGGGGTCATGACACGGACCACACTGCAGTTGCTGGGCTCCAACTGAGCAGCAATAACACGAAGAACGATATCTATAGTTACACAGCACACATATAAAGAGCCATCGTTAATAAATTGAGACATATTTCAGTTCGACCATGTTCACAGTTCTCGCATTGCCTGAATTGGGGATCAATGTGCCGAATACCGGATGCACAGTCTTCCCAGCCCTTCCTTCCCAAGGTATGATTTTCTTCTCTCTATTGCCGTTTTTCACTTCCCCAACAACTCAAGGATCTATCCAACGCCTTTTCCCGTTTCACATATGCGCTTTTTTCTTTTGACAAGGCCTTTCCGTGTTCCCTGATGCGCTTTCCAAGTCCCAACTGCCTTCTTCTATCCGGCTTTCAATCCTGAATCTCAAAGAGCTTTGACTTACCCTTGGAGGTAAAGATACCGGCAATGTCAATGCCGTTCTGATCCATGACAAGGACGGCAGTGACGCGGCGCTCCTTCATCAACTTCGCAGCCTCCTTGACGGTGGCCTTGACGTTGACCTCTGCAGGAGGAGAACCATCCAGGACCGAACTGAGATCGGGGCACATCATCTTTTCTCTGAGGGTCTCCATGTACTGAACCATGGCGACGTTCTGCATGCCACCCCACTCCTTGTCAACTCCCTCCAGAGCATCGTACAACTTCTTGGACTGTCCGTAGGCGCGCTCCATCTTTGAAAGGGACTCGTACAAGCACTTTGTGATATCCAAAAGTCCGACAATTTCAGAATCCTCGTTTTGGACGGGCTACATTGAGCAAAGAAAAGGTTGACAGGGCGGTTAGCATATCACTGACTACTATCTAATAATGACCAGCCGACTTTTTTTCTTTGTTCCCAGTAGGTTTGAAGGCAAGTTATCCTTCTATACAAGAAGAGGACAAACATACCAAGTGACGGAATCCCTTTTGGACCATCAGGTTCAAAGCATCGGTTGCGCTGCGGTCTGTGGTGACAACCATAGGATTGGGGGTCATGATATCAGACACACGGGTCGAACGAGGATCAAGACCACTGTCCATCGGAATTATTTGCAAGGGGGCAAGGAAGGGAAGAAAAAAAGCAGTTAGGGCACATACTCACTGAACACAAGAACGTATTGCATACAGGGTACGAACACATAGACGTAAACACGCAGACACACAGACACAGACACAGTTCAGACACAGACAAGGGAGAAGAGAAAAAAATATACGGAAGGTCAGGGAGACACATGCAAACAAAGAAATTCTCATCGCCCTCCTCCCACCACATTGCTCCCGTTATTGTTTCTTTCGCCCAGTCGCCTTGTTTTGGGAATTGTATCCACAGAGGTCATGAGGGGAAATAAAGAAGAAAAAAGTAAAAAGAAAATAGCGACAAACCATAACAACAACAACAAAGGCATATAAACACAGAAATGGGAAAAAAAATCTGCCCCAAAAACACACATCCCGAGTTGAACCTCTTTCCCTTGAAGGATGAAACTTACGCAGCGACGACACGGAAGGCGAGATCCTTGGCAGTAAAGATACCAGAGAGATGCTCCTCGTCATTGATGACGAGAACACAGTCGGCACGCTTGGCAGCCATGTTCTGGGACGCCTCTGTGACTGTGAGCGACTCTGAAACGGTCAGAGCCTGCGAGACCCGCAGAGCCGACACGGTGCCAGCCATCATCTTTTGCGTCTGCTTCGCCTTGCGCGAGCTGTGGCGCTTCTTGGACAACTCTTGCTCAATCTTGCGACGGATCGCCTATTTTTGAATTGAATTCCACATTCATTCATTCATTCACCGAACGAGGAGGAGCAAGGAAACGTTAATTCAGGTACAAAATGGAAGAGGAAAAAATCAAGCTCGGGTTTGCTGCTTGGAGAGAGAGCAAAAGCGAACCTCATCCTTCTTGGACTGGCGATGACGAGCAGACTCGCTGAAGCTGGAGGAGACGTCGGACATTTGGTCGTTAGGACGGCTGTTGACGAGACCCGAGAAGGACTTGCCAGCCTGAGGGGGACGAAGAGAACTAGCCATGGACATTTTTTTCTTGACTACGCCTTTTTAGCTACGAGAGAGTAGGGAGGAAGGAGAGAAGTGGAGTGTGAGTGGGATAAGAGGTATGTTCCTGAAAAGTGATGGCGTCCTTTGTGTGTTTCGTATTGTGGTTGGTCGTTATTTTGTCGTTCTTTGTCCGTGTGTTGCGTTAGGCAAGGGGGAGGGAGAAAACGGGAGCATGGCCGCCCACGGACTGCTTGTACTCTCTTCTGTTGTTGTTCGTCGATACACAAGGAGCCAAGAAAACAATAGTCTTGTTGTAGGAAGGGGAGATGACTCTTGTTCTACATACTTTGTGTGAAGGGGGACCAGGAGGAAGGAATGGAGAGCGATGAAGAGAATAAGTAAAAGGAAAAGAAAAAAGGGTCGAGTCGAAGAAAAAGATGCGAAGGAGTGGAGAGAGAGGCAGAGTGAAGAAAAAGAAGAAAAAGAAGAAGAAAAGAAGAACGGACGGGAAAGAAGGGAAAAAGGAAAAGGAGAGCATAAAAACCAAAAATGGGAAACGAGAGACCGACTGGCATGGTATCCTCTGGGACAGATGTACCTGAGAAAAGTGCATGGGGCAAAATGCCTTGGCTGCAGCACATGCGATTGAATCAGCTTCGAAGCAGTACTCATTTTCTCACTGCTAGGATATAAGATTGAGAAACTCAGCCTGGTTTTAACGAACTCCTCCCATCTGAGAAGAGGAAAAGAGCCAAGGGTCGTTGGCTGGCTTGTCAGCATGAAATGATTGGTCGATTCACAAGGTGTGTGTGTGTTCCTGTTCCAGACGAGCAAAGTGGTCCTTCCTTGAAGTTCCACTGCTCTCGTTCTTCGCTTCCTTCCTTCCTTCTCTCTCATCTTCTTTCTTAACCCACACTTCTCACGACAACTCATCAGGATAACGCCATCGCCCAGGCACAAACAGGGACCACCACAAGAACAGGAAACATATACACTCACAAACAGGATGACACAGCAATCACTGCTCAGGAGCTACCTGCCTCCACAGGTCCTCATCAACGACAACGAGTACATCACCGTCGGACTCATCCTCATCCTCCTCACCCTCATCGCCTTCGCAGGTCAGTCAACGTTTGCATACTTTACCTAGAGTAGGAAGGTGCAGCGTACGAAGCTTTCGCTGTTGTACTGATCCCAACAATCAATCTTTTGCTGTCATTATCGCTTCAATAGTCAACTTTTCATTTGGAGCAAAGAGGAACTCAAAGAACACGGTCCTCATCACAGGATTACCCTTTGCCGGCAAGACCGTTATTCACTACTTGGTAACAACAGCAGGATGATACTCGTTTTCCGATTGATCCGCAGGACGAACGAACGAGTAAGGGAGCAGGAAGACTAACGGGCGATCCATGTATTTTTCAAACGGGATCATAGATTAACCACGAAAGGGCTGTCGAGACTGTCACCTCTATCAAGGAGAATGAGGCCGATGTTGTTCTTACCGACGGCAAGGTACATTTCCCATCACACCCAGGGACCATCGATCAATCTCTCATCCTCTACAGAAAAGTAGATTGACAGTATCTTTCTCTATACTTTCACGCACGGACACAACATATAGCCCGCAATCCACATGGTCGACATCCCTGGCCACGAGCGTCTCCGCTTCAAGTTCTCAGAGTTCATGCCCATCGCCCGCGCAATCGTCTTTGTCGTCGACTCTGCCGCCGTGCCCCGTCAGACACGTCTCCTTGCAGAGTACCTCTACGATATCCTTTCAAACAAGTTTACACAGGAGGAGCGGATCCCTGTCTTGATAGCTTGTAACAAGACTGAACTGTTGACCGCTTTCAGGAAAGAGCGTATCCGAACTGCTCTTGAGGGTGAGATGTATGTGTTTTTTGTAGTTGTGGCGAATGGCTGATGTTATTGGGGTTGGTTTGTGATAGTTGTTATATTATGCAGGGCCTAACACCTTCCCCCTCCCTTTTTTTTTTAACGTTGTTACGATTAGTAACAAGTTGCGTCAGACAAGAACAGCAGCATTGGACACCCAGGACTCGGAGGGTAACGAGAATGTGTTCTTGGGATTCGAAGGCAAGGATTTCAGTTTTCAGGATCTTGAGAACGAGGTCGAGTTTTTGGAATGCTCTGCTGAGAATAAGGATATTGAAGGTATCAAGGACTGGATTGCCTCTGCTTCTTCATAGACTTATGATATTAGCTTACATTGACAAAGTCACCTAATACATATACAACATTAGACAGAAAGGGCGCGATGTGTGTATAATGATGCAATAGGTGTATTTTCTACATGCTATGTTACAATGGAGCTAAAAGTAAAGAGGGGTGGAGGGGGGTATATATACATGTTGTTGGATGTAAAGATGCGTAAATATGATACAAGGTGTGCCTGCGCACAATTAGGTAGAATGCGACTTCTTCTTGAGACCAAAACGCTGCTTCAAGGTCTTGCGGGTATGTTCCGAGGGCTGGTATTCATGCTCCATTACACTACTTGACGACATCGTCATAACGTCCAGGAACTCAGGGATGTGGTATGGTTGCGGGTCGTGCCTCGGCTGCGGCTGCTGTTGCTGTTGCTGGATGAGTTGCTCAAGTTCCCGTTTGTGTTGGTGGGGGTGCATGATCCTGTGAACGAGGTTTTTCGACTTTGTTCCTGAGGGCTGAGTAGAGTCGATCGGTGAGGAGGTGGGTGGGCTGTGAGGGTTTGTTGAGGTATGACGAGATGTGTTGTGGTGGAAGAGAGCCACCAAGCGCGAGGAGGAATTAGATTTCGTCGAGGCTGTGGGCTTCGCAGACGCGGAAGCCGAGGAAGAAGAGGTGGCGGATTCGACGCTCTCTGAGGAAGAGACGCTACAGATGCTGGAACTGCAGGAGTTGGATCGCGAGGAGGAGGGTGAGTCGATGTATTGGTGCTGGTACTGGTAGTTGTTAGAGTACCCGTAGTTGCGTTGGAGGAATTCGGCTTCCTGCGAGAGGGAGGAAGGGCTGGATCCGGAGGAGAAGGTGGATCGGGTAGGGGACTCGGTCATGATCGGGGCGGCGTAAGGGTCTTGGTTGTATGAATAGTTGTAGGAGTTGTTGACGAGGATCGGAGTGATGCCGCGTTGTTGTTGTTGTTGAACTGCTCCGCTCCGGCCAAGGACCTTAACCTTTTCGTCAAACGTTACCCTCCTACCACTACTATTAATACTGCTGGACCGGGAACTCGACCGCGAATGCGAGGGCGACATCCACCCACAACAGGGCTTTGCATGATGGAACTCAATGGAATCAGGATGAATATCCACCGTCAAAAAGATAGCACCGAGCAAGAAACTATCCCATTCCAAGATCAAGGGTCCAAAATCCCTCGACTGGATCCAATCCAACCCCTCGGCAGTAACCATCCAGACGAGGGACTGGCCCAGGGTCCAGACGGCCGAGAGGAAGAAAAACGCTGCTGCGCGGGTGGCTGCGGTGAGGTATTGGAGGGTCATGAGAGCAAGGGGATTGGATTCGTCTTCCATTGTTGTTGTTGTTGGTGAGGAAGAGGATGAGGTTGTAGGCATGGGTGAATTAGAAGGTGTTAAAGACAAAGAAGCAGTAGAGGGTTCTGAGGTGGTTGCTGCTGTTGTATTTGTAAGAGTGTAGGTTGTGGACATGACGACAGACGCGGGGGAGGATGCGTGGAGAGGGTCGTGGTGTCGAGATTGATCTGTAGGAGTGATATGGTGACAAAAGTCTTGGAAGGGGTGAAAAGTTGGAAAGAAGAGGCGTGTTTGCGAAAGGGCGACGAAGGAAGGTTGATAGAGTTGACGGCGATAGTGCGATTGTTGTTATTGTTGCGATTCGATTTGAGAGAGGGAAGAAAAGAAAGAAGCAAAGAAAGAGATAGGGATGAGGGAGAAAGAAGAAGCAATTGAAGTAATGATGAATAATTATGAAGATAAGCGAAAAAGGTGGAAGTGAAAAGAAAAAAAGATCCGGGGATGAAATGGGGGGGTACATGGGTTATATATGTTTCTGTCGATTTGTCAGTCGACGTCTTGTACCTCTGTGTCAGCAGTAGTAAGTAGTAAGTCGACAGCGCTTGGCTGCGTGTTGAAATGAATTGAGGGCTTGCTCGTGGGGCTTGGCCACTGACAGGTGCTCAGAATCATTTGAACGAGACAAAGAAGGAAGAAAATCCGTGGCAAAGAGGGGAAATATTGAGCGGAGAAGGAGAAAGAAAGGTTTTTTGGTTTCTATTCTCGGCAAAATCATCAGCCAGAAGGGAGGAAGAGATGGAGGGACTTTTCTCGGCTGAATAGAATCGCCACTTTCGTCATCCCTCATTCTTCATTCTTGATTCTTGATTCTTGCTGTTGCGACGTCTACTGCGTCTCTTTCTTTTTCATTCCCCTTTGACTTGATCCTCTCTTCATGAGTGATAAAATGAACCAGGAACGAGAAACATTTTATGAAGACTATCACTACTTTATCAGTTCTCACTCTCTTGAAATCTGATATCACTTACCCCATCATCTTCAGCCTTTAGGATCAGACCAACATACTACAGTTGCCAAGAGGAATTGCGAGCCACATGGAAAACACGATCCATTTTACACCCGCTCATACCCCATACCCCATACCCCACCCATTGCACACAATAAAAAAGAGAGCTCGGTCTCTTGTAGATCCCATCCTCACCCTCCGACCCCCAAACAACCGGTTCTTTTTTTTTTTGTCTTGAGTAATAAGAAACCTTCAAAGATCGCTGCGTCTGTTTCCCGCTCCCAAGTCATCCCAACCAAACAACAACAAAAAAACCCGCAAAAGGAAAAACACTATCCAGTTGTCCGCGGAAAGCGGAAATATCCGTTTTTGTCCTTTTCTCTTTTCTCTTTTTGTTGATATCTGTTTACTCATGCCGGTCGCCCCGCCGTGCGTGGCATCTCGTGTGTGTGTGTGTATGTGTGTTTGCCGTGCTTGATTTTGTAAGTGTGCGTAACATTTGTTTTGCCAAGGTTCACAAGCGCACCCAACAAACAACGCACAACTTTGCGTTAGCTGTGCCGCCGATCTCAATGACTAAACGGAGACAAATACATACATCATTGCTGTTGTCATCATTATTCACGGAACGCTTACGCTCAATTGCCTATTGTTTTCCTTTCCCTACTGTCACGCTCCGTTCGGATGCTGAAGGGAGAAAAAAATATGATGGGGGAGGATCGGTATCGAAAGAAGGAATGAAGGGCCATGCCGGGGATCAAGATTTTTTTTTTTCTTGAGTGCTTTCTACTTTATTCATTTTTTCATGCTCTTTTTTCTTTCTTTCTTGGCACTCACTTTATTTTTCATACTACTCCACACCATGTACATGTTAATCAGGGCTGCAGGCAGAGTAGTCAATTACAGGCTGCAACCATGCATGGATATGACGATGTCAAGAAAAAATACCTGTTTATAGCGAAGTATACTTTGTATTACGTTGTCGTATATTGGTTTCTGGATATCTATACACGGCCGGCCGCTAGCTAAACTACCACCTCGTCCTCCTTCAAACCAGCACCCTACTTCCAGTTCATGCTGGCGTTGGTCATCCCAACCATCAAATCCTTCGACTTCAACGCCTTTGAAATCGAATTCGAGAATCTCGTTCCAATCAACGGCATTGCAATAACCCCTGTCTCGGGGCCCGTTGCCAACAGCATCACCGAAGGGTACCAACCCGGGTTCGACAACTTGGCCGTCTTGTTCTTCTTTTTGGCCTCCACCAACGCAATGATGTTCTTGGCGATAGTGGGGGCAATGACGCCACTGGCAGCGGCAGTCGGGACTTTGGAGTAGTCAGCGCAGTCGCCTGCCGCGAAGATGTTGTCGAATCCGATGACTTGCAAGGTCTTCTGGACTTTGATCTGGTGGTTGTCAGCGTGGATGAGAGTTGAGGAGTCAAAGGTAGGGTTGGTTGCGGGTTTCAAGGTGGAGATGTAGGAGGTGTCGACGCTGATTCCGACGGAGAGGAATTGGATGTCGGATTCGATGGTCGTGCCGGAAGGGGTGACGATTGTTCGTGGAGCGGATTGGATCGAGTTCTGGAAGGTGAGGCCTTCAATCTCGGCTCGGAAGCCCAAGACGACGTCGACGCCCAGGTCACGGAGATGGGTCAATGCGCCAGATTTCAACACAGGTGAGTAACCAGGATAATCGACCAGGGTCTGTGACGAATGGATCAGCGTAACCTTCTTGTCAGGGAAAGCACTCTTGATCTCTCCAGCCAGCTCGACTCCACAAGCACCCCCTCCGACGACAACCGCGCTCTTAGCCTTCTTCAGATCCTCTCTGGCCTTGTCAGTAATGGCGATCGACTCCTTCGAGGAATCGGCGGTAAACTTTGCAGGGGCAGGGTTAGAGGATCCGGTACAGAGGGCGATGTAGTTAAAGGGAACGGATTGGCCAGAAGCAAGGACGACATGGTCGTGATAGACTTGGGTGACGGTGTCCTGGATGATCTTGTGGTGTGAGTCCTTGGGGAAGAGGTTTGTGTAAGGGATCCAGACCCGCTTTGCGTACTCTGCGTCGACTAAGGCGCGGAATGCTCCAATCGGGTGGTGGCGGGCGTCACGTCTATTCATGGTAGGAAGAGTAGAGCAGGGTTGGGCGAGGAGGGCGAAGATGGATAAATAAGTGTGAGCGGATTAGGTGTTACTGGTATATGTGTATGAACGTGCAGGGTGTGGCAGGGTAGGTGAGTTAAAAAAAGGGTGACTTACTTTTCGATGAGGATGATTTGAATGTTCTTGTGCCCGGATTTGATGGAGGAGAGGAGAGTCTGGATGACAGCGACACCGGCAAAGGAGCCGCCGACGACGACCACCTTGACAAGTTCTGTTGTCTGTGCCATTATGTATTGGTTATGAGAGTTGAGAGGGAGCTTGTTTGTTGTTTGTTGTTCGAGAACAGTTGACGATGAAGATGAGAAGAGAGAGGAAGTGGCCGGGATGGTTATGTTCTTTTATACCCGTTTTCGAGATAGAGAAGAGAGAGTCGCATGCTTTTGTCAATTAAGAGTTGTGATGTGTGTGCGTGAAGAAAAAGAAGGAGTGAGCGATTAATAATGCCAGCACTCAAAAACTCTCCAATAGTGAGCGGGTAAATGGAGCCTTGAAGGCCCAATTGGCTTCGCCAAAGTGCGACAAGGTGGTTTGTTAGACACAACAAAAAGGTCGTCATTTCGCTGATAATTGCAACCTCCTTTCTTCTTCATCTGCAACAAGAGGAAAGGAAAGATTAAAAAAAAAGCGAAGACGTACTCGTTTATGTGAGCATTCTCGATCGAGAGAAAAACACACAGAGATAAACGAACCAGGCTGCTACAATAACAATAAGAAAACCTGTTTTTGAGAAAGAAGGGCAGGGTGGAAGCAAGTTCAGGACAAACAGCTTTTGAGGTGGATGCTGATTGGTTGTGCCAACTTTGAAAAAGATGAACATCACTTTAAGTTATGGAGGCTAGCTGACAAGGGGATAAAGAAGCCACTGACCTCACAGAGATAGATGGAGTATCAGCCACCGAGTGCAAGGGAGAGATGAAAAACGTCGCCACTGGAGACCTGGATCGTCAACCGATCGTAGGCGACATTGACATCAATCGCAGGTGAAAGTGCAGAAGGGAGTATGAAACGTAACCTATGCACGCTCGGACGCTTGCATCCTGGCGCACTTTGAACTCCTTTGAGATATGAATGACTCCATGAAGGGGCAACTTTGCTTTGCGCTTCCGCGAGTCACCACTCTTTCTATCGCGCTTTTCTTTTTCTCATAGGTTTTTTATTCAGTTCGATGTTGACAAACGTCGTTGTTTCAGTTTCATATTGTTGTTGCTCTCATGAGTTGGCGCCGTGTGTTGATCGAACGATAGTGTTAGTCTTTTATGTTCGAAAAGTAGATTGAGGACTAAACCAGAGTACACCGTGTTTGCTAAAGAAATAAAGAGGTATAGTACTCTTCAGATACTGGCGATAAGGAGAACATAGAGGGGGTAATCCAGATGAGTGAACAAAAAAGAGGGCCTCGTACAGCACCAATGTTGTTGTTATGGGCGAAGTCGATTGTCAAAGGAAGTGCAGTTGGACAGGGGTGAAGGAATCGCGGAAGCCATTGCGGAGGTGCAAAGATCGAAGAAGCCCTTAAGCCGATCTCCGCCTTGATTTTCAGCAAGGTATATGTTGGCAGAACGAGCGGGAGTCGCTTTTTCTTCCTTTTCAATCGTATCAACATGGGTGCGTCACGTGAACTGGCATCATCTTAGAGCCATCGATGAACTACGGCGACAATGCTATCCATCGATCGAGATAGCAAGGAACCTGGGAACCGGCATCTATCCATCCGTTATTATCGACTATACATCAATCTTCAGGAAACCAGACACCATCGCCAATTTTCATTTTACCACCTGAATTTTGCGACTTGGGCTTGATTCGGCACGATCAGCAACGTCCATGGCCCAACGTTGTGGAAAGGCACCAAGAGCCGGCCTGGAGGAAGAGTGAGAGCTGGCAATCGGGAACGGGACGGTCGAGACGACCAGCTGTTGTTGAGAGCAGGAGCGTTCACGCTCATCAACCGAACCAACAGCGACGACATCGTCTTGATCGCCTGTCGGTCCGCAGACAGGACACCCTTTTCTTATACAACCTATGACAACAGGACGTTACACACTCGCCTTTCAACACCCTAATAAGAGACAACTGCGAGAACTACACCCCAGCAAAAACACTCAAACGCCGGGTTGAAGGAACCGAGAACTGGAACCTGAGCTCACGACCTCAACTTTCAACCTCATCCAGCAGCAACAACCAGACAGCCCAACACCTAGCAGACCAGGACGATTGAAACAGCCGAAGAAACAACAGCGAACTGACAAGGGCTATACAACTTTGCAATTCCGCCTTGTCTCGACGAATAGGTAAAGGAAAACCAAGAGGTCTCCAGGCCGCTCGCAAGCTCCGCACCACTCGCCGTGAGAACCGTTGGGCTGACAAGCACTACAAGCGTCAGGCTCTCGGAACTGCTTTCCGTTTCTCTCCCTTCGGTGGTTCCTCCCACGCCAAGGGCATCGTTCTCGAGAAGATGTACGTTACTCCTTCCTTGTTGATTCTGACGGGGCGAGGATTGTGTATCAGGATCAATTGGACAACAGTTGTCGGCTGTAAAGGACAGGAGTGACATATGCAAAGTCAGAGATGGGAAGGCGTAAGGAAGCGATCGCTTCTCGTTTTTTTGCGACGACCACACAACAGGAGATTCAGCAATGGAGGTAGCACTCTCTGCTCATTCGACTTACTCATCAACAAGAGAGGCGATCAGTTTGGCGCCACCAAATATTGTCTTTCATCAAACCACAGCACACTTTTCAACAGCACCACTCTCAATACAACAAAACAGCTGGCGCTCCTTTACTCGACCTAGAACAAACAGAAATAAGCTGCGCTACAACGCCCACCCACCTTCCGCAACCCCCAATTGCCACTGTTCCTGATAGCTAACCCTTTTGCCTCCCTTTCACCATTCTTCAACTCATCTAATAGCGGTGTTGAGGCCAAGCAGCCCAACTCTGCTATTCGCAAGTGTGTCCGTGTCCAGCTGATCAAGAACGGCAAGAAGATCACTGCCTTCGTCCCCAACGATGGTTGTTTGAACTTTGTCGATGAGAACGACGAGGTTCTCATTGCCGGTTTCGGTCGTTCCGGCCACGCCGTCGGAGATTTGCCCGGTGTCCGTTTCAAGGTCGTCAAGGTCTCCGGTGTCTCCCTCCTTGCCTTGTGGAAGGAGAAGAAGGAGAAGCCCCGCTCTTAAATTGCTTTTTGCATTTTTTTGCAATTTTTTTTTCTCTTCCATGTTTTTTCTTCTGGAAAAGGCGTGAATAAGCCAAGAATAAATCGATATCAAAGAGTCGCGGACAACAGTTGTACATTTTGAATCGCCTTCGAGTGCTCTGTGTGTGGGTTTTTTGTGAGAGCTGCTGGTGTCAGTTGTGCTAATGCGTGGAGTTGACCTGGTGCCTGATCTGAAAGTGGGGGCATTAGCGAAGCCTCATTGGTCTGGAGACATGGACTGAGGTTCGTACGAAATGAAGCTTTAATCATCTTTTCACGCTGTTTGCTCAATTGCCGATGTAAACTGGATGTGCAACAAATGGGCGCAGTTCTGTCTCTACCCTTTTGTTAAAACTTCAATGGCATGGCATTACAGTCTTGCGACAATATATATTAGTACTTTTAAAAACCTTGCACACGACGAGACGAGATGATCATTTTTGTGAGGAGCCATATATTTCAGGGTAATGCTGTGCACAAGGTATTTGCTTTGATCATATCGATCAGATCTGGCACCATGGTTCTGCTAGCAAGAAATAAGCGCGTTGATATTGTTATCCTTTTCCATGACGAATGCACGTGATTTGCCACCATTTCCAAAGATTTGGTGTTTGTCAAAAAAGACGCCCGACCTTCTTTTTCCTGTTCATTCCATTCCTCACTCCTGCCCTCGAAACTCTCTTCAACAGGAATCCAAGCACCATGTCGTCCATCGAAAAGGTACCCCTAGAACCTGCATTCTATGAGGCATACTACTTCTCATTCATCAAAGTTCATTCGCGAAAAAACGACAATGCACAATTATTTACCCCTCCTTCTTTTTGCGCGTTTGCCTTTTTCATTCTTTCTTTCCTACGTTCTTACTCCACCTGGTAGTTAATGATCCGAGGGATACGCTCGTTTGCGGCCGACACTGGAGACGCGGCAACGATCACCTTTTACTCGCCGCTGACACTTATCACGGGCCACAACGGATCTGGAAAGACGACGATTATTGAGTGTCTCAAGTATGCGACAACGGGAGACATGCCGCCCGGCAGCAAGACCGGCGCCTTTGTCAACGACCCCAAGGTACCTTTTAATTCTCTAAAGTTACTCTTTTAGTCTTTTCATCGTGCAGTCGAATGGGAACTAGATGGACTTTTGTCATATTGACCATTTCTTCACGGGGAAACATGTAGATGACGGATAGCCCAAGCATCAAGGCCCAAGTCCGCCTGCGCTTCAAGAACGTCAACCACCAAACCATGTCCGTCGTCCGTTGCCTCTCCCTCACCGCCAAGAAAACCGGCTACACCCAAAAGACACTCGAAAACGTCCTTGCAGCACTCGACCCGGCGACGGGGGAACTGGTGACGGTCAGCTCGAAATGTGCAGAGATTGATACGGATGTGCCGAATCATTTGGGGGTCTCGAGGGCGATCCTGGATAATGTGATCTTTTGTCATCAGGAGGAAGCGAATTGGCCGTTGTCGGAACCGAGTGTCCTGAAGAAGAAGTTTGATGACATCTTTGCCTCTACCAAGTAAGGCGGGAGGGCTGTAACAGGGTGGTTTGGTGGTTTGATATTATGTTGTTAAGGGCACGTTCGCTGACTCTGTGACGATTTTGTATGGATAGGTATACGAATGTGTTAGAGTCGATAAGGGGTATCAAGAAGGAAAAGACACAGGATCTCAAAGTCTTGCACGCTAGTCTGGAGTTCCTTCGTCGCAACAAGGAAAAGGCTGAACGAGTAAGCACTGTGCCCTATAGCGCCCAATCATCGCACTGCGCATAGTTCACGTCAAACTTTTGTGACTAACACGCACACTTCCCATTGAATAATTAGATCCGCGATTCTTTGCAAAGGAACGGAGAGAACATCGAGAAGAGTGAAGAGAGGATCGACCAGTTGGAGATTGAAATTTCGCGGTGTGCGGAAGAGGTCAGTCGACTGATGGAGAGGACAAGGGAGTTGCAGGCGATCGAGGCTACGCTGAACGCCCTCTCTCATGAACGCAAAGCCGCGCTCGTCAACATTCGGGAACTGGAAGGAACTTTCACACTCTATTCCGAGTCCGACACAGACCTCCAGGAGATGTTGTTCAAGCACGACCTCAGCCTCAAGACAGCGGATCAAGAGAAGCTCAAGCAGGAACGACAGAAACAAAAGGCTGCTAGCGCAATCGCTAACTTGCAGTCATCCGTTAGCAACAACCAGCAAAGAATCGGACAGCTCAAGGCCGCGATTGACAGTAGCAAGAAGAAGCAGGCCGAGAGAGACCAGTTGATCAACGAGTTTGCTCAGCTTTATTCATACGACGGATTTGATTCTTTACCACTGATCAATTCGGATGTTGTGCGGTTCATCAACAAGCTTGACATCCAAGTGCAACAAAAGTCTGGCGAGGTGGAGCGTCTGAAGAGCGAGATCAGGGCCAAGGAACAGGGAGTTCGGTCACAGCTTGCGGACAAGAAGGCCAGAGTTGACATGTCGTCGTCTCTGAAGGAAAAGTCCCAGGCGTCAATTTCGTCCGCTCAAGTCAAACTTCGCCAACAAAACGCTGAGCTCGCCAAATACCAGTCGACCGATGCCGAAATTGAGTCCACCGAGATCCGCCTGGCAGAGCAGGTACAAACTCCTTTTATTCTTTGTCGCGCGTTTGGTGGTATACGTTACTCATTGAATACACTAATACACTGTGACGCTAGTTGCTGACATTCTTTTGTGTCCAATCGTCTAGGAATCGGCGTTGACGGCGCTAAAGTCGAGTGACCCAGGACTGGAATCAATGGAGTCACAAAAGCGCGCCATGATGGCGGATGTTGAGACGTTTGAGAACGATCTTTCAAGACTCAGCGAGCAGATTTCTTCACAGGTCCAGTCAGCGGGATCACAGGCACGTCTAACATTGATGAGGAACCGGCACTCTCAGCGCGCCGATCAGATTCAGACCCTGTAGGTATTTGCAACATAAGTTTCCTTCACATTGATGACTGTGATCTGAATAGAATGTCAAAGATTGGCTGACCGTGTGACATCGTTTTTTTCTTGACATGTACTTGTAGGATGGGCGAAAACAGCGCGGGTTTCCAGTCCGTGTTGAAGTATGATGTATCGCCGGAGACTGTCGAGGAGAGCCTTGAGCCCATCTTTCGCGAAAAGGAGTTGTCTGCTAAATCATCGAGGGAATCCTTGGAGAAGTACAAGCGAGAGCGGTCAACCTATGATATCCGTATTGACAGCATCAGAGCTCAGCTGCAAAAGCACAAGGAGACTCTTGAGCGTAAGTTTAACTCTTTTTTTTTTTTTGCAGCTGTGATTATGTTATCAGGTTGGTTTTCAGTCTGTAGGTACAGCATTTTGACAGACAAGGTGTCATTATTCTTGTGTCTTTAGAAATTGAGGGCAGGATCGTCGCTGAGTGTGGGACTGCACCCTTCCTCGACTTCCTTGCTGTCAAGGAAGAGTCTTTGTCAGAGTTGCGCGAGTAGGTGTCCACTTTTATACCTCCCGGCTTGTAAAATGCATGTGGTAGTTGGTGCTTGAGACTAACGCGATTGTTCATCCTTGAATGGTAGGCAAGTTCAGGATATGAAGACGATGGGCGCGATGTACGGCCGCTTTGTTGATATGGCGGAGAAGAAGCATGCCTGTCCACTTTGTTCTCGAGGCTTTGATCCCACCCTGGAGTCTCAGTTCACTGCCAAGGTAACTACCAGAACCACGTTTCTCAAAGTTGTACTGTCACATACCACCGTCAAAATGTTCTGATAATGACCGCCGCTTCCCTCACACTTCACTTATAGTTGCGGCGACTGATGAACAAGGCTGAAAATGACGACGAGCACGAGTTGGCAGCCTTGGAGACCACGGTGGCGACTCTTCGATCACTGAAATCGTCCTACGACGCTGCGGAGCAATTGAAGGCCAAGGAGGTCCCCACCTTGAAGGAGCAGCTTGCAGAACTGGAAGAGAAGAGGACATCAGCCGTTGAGGCCCTCGAAACTGTAAGTACTCGATACAAATACACGGGTGAAAATTTTCACTCGTAGCATGACCAAGATGCACCAAGTAACGGTTTCATTTAATATCTGCTAGGCTGATTTGGAGACGGCAACACTGGTGGGTGAGCTGGAAGAAGTTACACGGTTGACGACTGCCGCCAAGGCCATCAGCGCTTTGTGCAAGGAAAATTCCAAGGATGAAGCTACGATCAAGGATCTGGAGACTGAACTTATGTGCGCAGGATCCACAAAGTCTACGGATGAACTCCAGACCGAGTACAACGCCATCAAGCAAAAGATGCAGAACACACGCCAAGAGGTGAGCAAGCTGAACCAGAGCATCGCCCAAACGACTTCAGATATCCAGATGAAGGAGCAGGTGATCCGGGCTTTGCGGGATAGGCATGGCCAACTCCAGAACCAGCGTCAACGACAGGCACAGATCAGAGAGCAGATTACCGAAATTGAGATGTCGATCCGAAACATCACCCAGGAGATGGAGCAGTTTGAGGCCGAGAGTCAGAATGTTATGCCGGAGATGAACCGGTTGAATGAGGAGCTACAGCAAGTGACCGCTGAGGGGCGAGAGAGGGAGACGAGTGCTCAGCATGTTGTTTCGGAGCTTCAGCGGAACCTTGGACGCGTCCAAATGTACAACAAGGATCTCGAACGGTAAGATTGGTAACTTGTGTTCTAGTGTGTCCCTTCATTCATGCATGAACATGTCCTGACGAGAGAACTTTTTATTTGACTGTGCAACCATAGGATTGATATCAAATCGACGGTGACGGAGCTCTCCAAGCTGGAGAGTACGACAGATTCATACCTTGACGAAATTGGTCAGCACACCGATGATCTCCAGGCGGCCGACAAGCAGATGCAGGTGTTGCAGGAACAACTGTCCGAATTCAAGAACCTCCAGCGCAACATCGATGACAATTTGCGGTATAGACGCTACAGGTCCAAAGCACAGGAGCTCGATACACAGATTGCGGAAGCAATGTCCAAAAAGAACCAGGACGCGGATGAGACGTATGCCCGCCAATTGAACCGATTGAGCAAGAAGCAGTCGGATTTGAGCTCTGAGCGTGCCGGTCTGCAGGGTGAGCTGCGACAGATGCAGGACCAGAAACGAGCGTATGAGAGCGAGCTGCAGGGCGAGTACAAGGATGTCGTACAGAATTATCATGACAGTCTGATCGGCTACAAGGTACACTTTGTTTTGTTGTTGATGGGTTAAGGTTGGATGAATGTCATTTAAATGTTATCTACTTACTAACACTTTGTTCTGCACTGTTCTCTTCATAATACTCACAGACGACGGAGTTGGCGCTGCAGGATTTGGAAAAGTACACAAAGGCGTTGCAGAGTGCGATTGTTGAGTACCATACGATGAAGATGGAGGAGATCAACAAGTCAATCAAGGAGCTTTGGACCAACACGTATCGTGGCACAGGTAAAATGCTCTTTTGCAGACATAGACATGTTGAGCTTTACTCGGGGAGTTTTCGTTGGCTCGGACGAAGAGAGAGAGAGAGAGAGAAGACCCTTGCTCAAAACTCAATTTTTTTCTATTTTAACCATATCTGGGAACTAACCCCACACACCTTTTTTGCATCTTGTACACTTGTACACTTGTACACCTATATTATTATTTTTGTTGACATACACAGATATTGACACTATCGAGATCCGGTCGGACCAAGAAGGTCTGCGGGCGAACCAAGCCTACAACTACCGTGTGGTGATGATGCAGCGAGGCCGGGCCTTGGATATGAGGAACCGATGCAGTGCTGGACAGAAGGTGTTGGCGTCAATCATTATCCGATTGGCGTTGGCCGAGTCGTTCTCGTTGAACTGTGGGATCTTGGCGCTGGATGAGCCGACGACCAATTTAGATGAGGCTAATGTCCAACAGCTTGCCTATAGTCTCAAATCGTAAGTCCCTTTGTGCATTTGCCTGAATCGACGTCCTTTGTGGTTATGAATTAGAACAAAAGGCACTGGTCTCCTTTCTCATCAGCATTTCCAATTTGACTGCATATGATAGGATTATTGAGAGGCACCGACAGCAGAGCAACTTCCAGTTGATTATTATCACACACGACGAGGACTTTTTGAAAATGCTCAGTTTGACGAATTATGTTGATTACTACTACCGTGTCAAGAAGGATGCCGAGTAAGTTTTCTTTTCTGTTTGTCTGTGTTTGCTTTTGGTTTTGACCCTCTGTAAGTTCTTGTGGGTTCGAATCGCATACTAACGATGCTATATGTCGTGTGCTATGTCTCGACGTAATAGTCAGTTCAGCACGATCTGGAAGTTGCCAGTGACGGAGGCGTAAATGAGGGACTGTGGTCAAATAGCGAAAGTATATGAGGATATCATTGTAACATAGCAGGTAGATAGTGAAAATACATCGTGTTCAGCAGAGTGACGATCGATCGTGTGATTCAAGGACGCGAACAAGGGGGGGGGGGGGGGAAGCGCGAGTTCTTTTTTCAAGGACATACGCGTCAATCACTAAAGAGACAAAAATTACGAGTGTATGTTTAGTCTCTTTCGTGTGTCTTTCGCTTCTCTCGGCCACTCCGGTGTCACTTGTTGGTCCGCTCCTCACACAGCAAGCACACTAATAAGGGCATACGAATACAAAAGCCAACAAGGCACCGAAATGAAAAAGAGGCCTTGTCTTCATGCCTCTGTCCTTCTCGTCTGCTGTTGCCATTTGTCATCGGTTTGCGAGTCACTTTTTCCCAATCTCCCGCTCAACCCAACACAAAAAAAAAACAATGGTTCCTTTCCCCGGCCTCCCAGATCCTCGATGAGTTATTTTCTTTACAAGTGTGAAGTTTTTATTTGCATGCGAAAAGGAGAGAGAAGGGAGTGAAGAAAAAGAAAGGAGTCCATTGTTGGGACTGAAACGAAAGATAGTGTAGTGTAGTAAATGGACAGCGAAAGAGGCGGGTCCCGCTTATGCGTGGGGGTGGTCGTGTCCGCAGCATTCCTTCTTCTCGTTGACGGGCGAGTCGGCAGCGAGGTCGACCTTGAAGCTGGCAGCCTTGGGCACCAATCCTATTTGAAATATAAAAGAGATGGGTGAGTCAGTCAGTTTGTCCATGTTCTCGCCTTTTGTCACAAAATCTTGTTCGAGTCACCGCCAAAAAAAAAAAAAAAGAGCAGACAATAAGAAAAGGAGAAACTTACCGAGGGTATCAAACATCTGCTGGTCCGCGTTAAACTTGTTGTTAGGCGTCGTCAACAACTTATCACCAGTAAAGATGGAGTTGGCACCAGCCATGAAGCACAACGCTTGCTCAGGCTCCGTGAAACGAACACGACCGGCAGAAAGACGAATCATAGTCTTGGGCATAATAATACGGGCGGTCGCAATCATACGGACCATATCCCAGACCTTGACCGGCTCCTGCTTCTCCAAGGGGGTACCCTCAACAGCGAGCAAAGCGTTGACAGGGACAGATTCGGGGTGAGCAGGCATGGTAGAGAGGGTATGGAGCATTCCGACGCGATCGGTGTCGGTCTCTCCGAGACCGATGATTCCTCCGGAGCAGACCGAGATACCGGCCTCACGGACCTTGGAGATGGTCTCGAGACGCTCGTCGTAAGAGCGGGTGGTGATGATCTTGGGGTAGTACTCGCGCGAGGTGTCGAGGTTATGGTTGTAGGCTGTGAGGCCGGCGTTCTTGAGCTGACCTGCCTGCTCGTCGTTCAACATGCCCAATGTGCAGCACACCTCCATGTCCATCGCTCTGTTGTTTTTGTTGTTTCATTTGTTGTGTTGATCGGGTGTTGAAAAATCGTTGGGAGTGATTGAGTATGAAGGTTTGTTGGCAAGGTGAAGGAGAGAGAAGAGTATGAAGAAAAGACGTTAGAAAGTGTCGAGAAGACTGGATTGACAATGCAATGGGTGTAGCTGGGGTAAAGGGCAGAGGGACAATGCGATTTGTCGGGGGAGACCATCCTCCCCTTCAATCCCTCCTCTCCACTCCATTCCCCAAACTCCAGCCGATAAGATAACACAGAAAAAGGTGCAACCCAAAAAAAAAAGAAGCGATTACTGTACCTGATCTCCTTGACGAATCCAACAATCTTTTTAAAGTTGGACTTGCGGCCAGCAAGATCTCTCCAGGCAGCACCCATGCAGAAGCGAGTCGATCCAGCGGCCTTGGCAGCACGGGCAGCCTCGAGGACCTCGCCGGTGTCGAGCATCTTTTGGGCCTTGACGACAGTGGAGTAGGAGGAGGACTGGGGGCAGTACTTGCAGTCCTCGCTGCAGCCTCCGGTCTTGATGCTCAGGAGGGTGCACTGCTGAACGGCGAGAGGGTCAAAGTGGATGCGGTGGACATTGGCCTATTTTGATGGAGGGTGGTGGTTGTGTGTGTGAGTTAGTTGTGTGAGGGTGTGAGTGAAGAGCGGCGATGAGTGGATCGAATTCCGACCCAAAATCATCGAAGAGTGAGTCCCATCAAAAAAAATCCAAAAAATATATTAGGAGAATGGTGGGGCAATTAGGTCTTTGACAATACCCCCGATGAAAAAATAAATGCTCTCTTTCTGTGTTGTGCGGCTCCGTGTTTGTTGTGTTGTGTCCACAAACACAACGATCCATGAATCAATGTTGATGATGATGACTCGCGCGTTTCGTGCTGTTGTCGTGGTTGTCTCGTGTCTGTCGATCCGTTTGTTGTTATTGTTATATCCTTGTCCGAGTCAAGTATCATAATGCTGACAAAGTAGAACCGAACACCTCCAACATAAAAAACCCGAAAAATAAAAATCTCAAAGCGGTTCGGCTTTCTACCCTTTGAAGTGACAACCAACGAACAAAAAGCAAAAACGACGAACAAACGTAAAAACAAAACACGAGAAAATCACCACCACCACAGCTAAGAGCAACAACTTACGCCGTGGTACAACAACTCCATGATGGGGGAATGGTAGATAGCGTCGATCTCCTCCTTCTTCCAGTCGAAGCGAAGTTCTCCGTGGGCGTTGTTGGCAGCAGCAGAGAGGTCGCGTCCATAGACCATCTGCTTCTGGGCGCGGGCAGACTCGTCGATGGTCGCGAACTTTGCGGGAGTCGAGGCGGCGGTGTAGAGACGGGTGCAGTTGAGGAGGGCGGCATTCTTGTTGTTGGTGATCTGGATGGCTCTGGTCGAGAGCGAGCGTAATGAAATGAACGACATTGTATATGTATATATGTGTTGGTGGTAGGAGGGAGGAGGGAGGAAGGATGGGGGGGTGAGAGTGAGAAAAAGAAAAGAAAAGAAGAAGAGAAGAGAGAAAGGAAAATAAGGGGGAAGTAGAAAAAGAGTTGATAAAAGGTAAGTAGAAAAGGTGCACTGTCAACGTAACGCAACTACTCAATGTATGATGCCCTCTCTGGCAAGATTGAGTTATGGGACATGTTGTGTGTGTGTGTGTGTGTGTGAGTGAGAAGTGCGTTCGGGGCCTCAAAACGAGGGGTGGGGGGGAAACACACACACAACTAAAAAAAACACTCGGACTCACACACTCGGACTCACTCGAATACACACACACACACACACACACACACACACGAAACAGCATGCTTATTTGTTGCTCGGCATAATCACAAGTTTGTGTGTGTCCATGTATGCGTGTCTCTCTTTTCTACCTTCTAGGTTCAATTGCTGCTAGAAACCTCGGACAAAAAGACTTAAAAGTAACAAGACAGCCGAGTCGGTTATTATTACCAATGTGCTCCCGATCCAATTCGAACCTGGCCGAGGAAACTCTTTCTACATTGTTTTCTTGTCACTCTCGTCACCTACAAGAGAAGGGATCGTGCCTGAACTCCCTTTCTCTACCTTTTTTTCCCACACCCAGTTTGAACCCATTGATCAATTGAAAATACAAGCTGTTTGTGCAAGGTGAGCAAGCGAAGAGGGACCTCTCTTCACCTCTGCTCCACTTGTTCGGACTCCCCGGGGCGCCTACTTTCCTACTCAACTCAACAAAAAGTTTCCCACGGGTCCAAGGTCGCCTCTTGAATGTCTCTTTGAAAATAAAAGAGATATCTTTAATTCCTTGCCATCATAGTTCCTGATTTCACTTGGCCAGGAAATAAGCAGATCAGTCAACTCTCAGACACAACAGTCATTTTCTTCGTGGTAAACACTGCGGTTCCGAGCATGAGTACAGTGAGCAAAGAGCAAAACTTCCTTTTCTGTACAGGCACAAAGCGAAAAGCTGATCCCTTTCCTCATTCCACCTTCTCCTCTTGACCCATAACAACAGCCATGTCCTCATGTCTGCGGCTGTCGTCGCGGTCCTCCTCTGCAAGGATGCTCTGCAGGCGAACAACAACACTCTCCACTTCAACTCAACAGACTCGTCTTTTCCACCTCCGTACACCGAATACCCCTCGCCTCAATAACCTATCCTCAACTCTTTCCTTCACAACAGTACCAACGCGTGTCCGTGCCACATCCACTGCTGTACCATTGATCTTTTCGCGCCAATTCTCATACACCCCCTCTGCACTCGCCTCAACTACCACCCCAGACGACCTCAAGGCGAGCCCATTGGCGCCGGTCGATTTTGCGGCGATCGAGCAAAAATGGTTGAAGCGCTGGAAGGAAAACAAGGCTGTCGAGGCTCAGGCTGGGGCTGTCAAGGCTGCTTCCGCACAGGAGTTACCTGCCGGTGAGGAACCAGACAAGTTCTATATCCTGTCCATGTTCCCTTACCCCTCGGGTAACTTGCATATGGGCCACGTTCGCGTTTATGCTATTAGTGATGCCCTTGCACGCGCCAGGAGGATGATGGGCTTCGATGTAAGCCAGAACTCTTTGCTTCGTACACTGCTTTCGTCACACGTTTGTTATAAGCCAATTGAGACAGGAAATGAGCATACTAAATAATGAATATTCTCGCTTTGCGACTAGGTGGTGCATCCAATGGGCTGGGATGCGTTCGGTCTTCCTGCCGAGAACGCGGCAATTGAACGAGGTATCCACCCGAACGAATGGACTGTCAAAAATATCGCCGTCATGAAGGGACAGATGGAAAAAATCCTCGCCGACTTTGATTGGGATCGGGTACGTTCATATCTCGACTCTTTCTCCCCGCGAACGGCTTTTCTTCCTTGGTTGATAGTTCTCAACTAACCGAAGCATTGTTTGGCATATGTCTATTAGGAATTGAGGACATGTAGCCCAGAGTACTACCGCTGGACACAGTACTTGTTCTTGAAGCTTCATGAGGCTGGACTGGCATATCAGAAGGAAGCTGTTGTCAACTGGGACCCTGTCGACGAGACCGTTCTCGCCAATGAACAGGTACGCATCGAAGCGAAATGTGGATCGACACTCAATGCAACACTTGTATCATAACCAACATATAACACTTTCCATCGTCACCATCCGTGCATTAAATTAGGTCGACTCGGAGGGCAAGTCATGGCGATCAGGAGCGGTGGTGGAGAAGAGAAAGCTGCGTCAGTGGTTCTTCAAGATCACGGAATACGCCGAGGATTTGCTTCAGGACCTCGATCGACTTCAACACTGGCCTGAGCGTGTCAAGCAGATGCAGAGGAATTGGATCGGCAAATCCAAGGGAGCAGAATTCGATTTCAAGGTCAACACCTCTGGTTCCTCAGGAGATATCCAGGTTTTCACCTCACGTCCTGATACCGTCTTTGGAGTTCAGTTCCTTGCCGTCTCGGTCGAACACCCTATCTTGGAGAGTGTCCCCGTCAGTCATCAGCAACAGTTGGAAGAGTTCAAGGAGTCGTTGAAGAAGGTTAACACTTCTGAAACTGAGCCTGGTCCTGAGGGCGTTCCTACCGGATTGATGGCGGATCACCCCTTCTTGCAGGGCACCAAGATCCCAGTGTACGCTGTCAACTATGTGGTCTCAGATTACGGCACCGGTGCTGTGATGGGTGTTCCTGGTCACGACGAGCGCGACTTTGCTTTCGCCAAGACGCAAGGAATCGATGTCAAGTACGTGGTTACGCCTGAGCCTACTGAAGGCGGCAAAGCTGCTACAGAGGGTGGCGTTTTGACGGGACGCGGTGTTTTGATGGGCAATAATGGTGAGTATTCGGGATTGACGAGCGAGGCCGCTGCTGAGGCTATTGTCAAGAAGGCAGATGGGCTCGGATTCGGGCGTGAGAAGACCAGCTTCCGTATCCGCGACTGGTTGTTGTCACGACAGAGGTATTGGGGTGCGCCTATCCCCATGATCCATTGCCAGGGATGTGGACCTGTCCCTGTCCCTGTTGAGGATCTGCCTGTTGTCTTGCCTATGGATGTTTCCTTCACCGGCCGTGGAGGCAGTCCTCTCAAGCAGATCGATGACTGGGTCAAATGCTCCTGCCCCAAGTAAGTCTCATTTCTTATGAGAATGTTTTCGTACGAAAGGATATGAAATAGCTCCGCACTTACTAACTCGGAGTTACTTCATTTCACAGGTGCGGTGGTTCGGCACAAAGAGACTCGGATACTATGGACACGTTTGTGGACTCGTCGTGGTACTTTTTGAGATATCTGGACCCGCACAACACCAACATCCCCTTCTCACACGCCAAGGGGACCTCAGGAATGCCAGTCGACGTTTACATCGGAGGCATCGAGCACGCCATTCTCCACCTGCTCTACTCTCGATTCTTGTCCAAGTTTGCTTGGAAGACTGGTCTCTATGGTCGGGGCCCCGAGGTAGAGGACAAAGCAGGCAAGGAACCTGGTCGTGGCGAGCCCTTCAAGGTCTTGCTCACCCAGGGTATGGTCCAAGGACGCACATTCAAGGATCCTGTCACGGGTGCATTCTTGAAACCTGACGAGGTTGATCTGTCGGACCCTGCGAACCCGATCCAGAAGTCGACTGGTTTGACGCCTAACCAGAGTTATGAAAAGATGAGCAAGAGCAAGTATAACGGAGTCGATCCTGAGGATATGATTACGAGCCATGGTGCGGATGCGACACGGTTGCACGTGCTTTATAAGGCCCCTCCGTCAGAGGAGCTTGAGTGGGATGAGCAGAGTATTGTCGGCATGCAGAGGTTTTTGGCCAAAGTCTGGAAGGTTGTTGGAAACGCCACTCAGACTGGCGCTGGCACTGGAGCTTTTGAGCCCTCGATGGAGACTATGAACAAGGATGAGCGTGACCTCTGGCGCACCCTTAACCATACCGTCAAGGAGGTATGTCATCACTCTCGTTTTTTGAAACATTTTACCTTTATTTGGGTAATTTCGGCGCGTGTAGAGGACTAATTTCGGACGCGTGTTTTATGCTTTTCTTCACCTTCGCGTCAAATAGCTTACGACATCGTTCCAGAGTACATACGCGTTTAACACGTCGATCGCGTTCTTGATCAAGCTCACCAACCAGCTCTCCACCGTCACACCCTCATCATCCACCACCACCACAACCTCACAACCTGCATCCAAGAAGGCAAAGAAGGTCCAGGCTGACGTCTCTCCCGAACTCTACCAACACACTGCCGAGGCACTCGTGAAGATGCTCTCCCCCCTCGCACCTGCCTTTGGAGAAGAGTGCTGGGAGACTCTCCAATCCCGCTCCTCTTCCACCTCTTCAGTGAAAACCCCAGGAACGACACCAAGCGTCTTCTCCGAGACATGGCCCTCTTTCCACGAGTCCGCTCTAAAGGAAGACAAGATCGTCTGCGGCATCCAAGTCAACGGCAAGAGCCGGTTCAATATCGAGTATGATGTTTCCGAATTGCCTGGTGACAAGGCCGGGCAGGAGGCGTTCTTGAGGGATTTGGTGTATAAGCATGAGAGGGCGCAGAAGTGGTTGTTGGATGATGGAGGGAAGGTGAGAGATGTGAAGAAGATGATTGTTATCAAGGGCGGTAAACTTGTCAGCTTTGTTCTGTAGAAGATGCCATTGAGTGGTATTTTGTATTTGTATTTGTACTACCCAGAAGAGCTCGTGAATAAAAGAGAGCGCAAAGAGATATCGGGATGTCTTGCTGGCATGTGGGCTGTTGGGTGAAACTTGATTCACAGACAAGATCTGAGTATTTAACAATCGTATGTTTTACGAGAGCAAGTTGCTCCGTTGAAGATGGAGACGAGTAAGGATGACAATGGGAAAACGCAAGGATCGATAGTTGATGGTAATGTTGTAGCTGCTTTGAAGGAGGGATTCAGGAGGGTCGGCAGGCGCAAAGAGGAAGGAGGAGAATATAGTGGTCGGAATTGGTCTCGGCCTGTTCAAGTCGAGCTCTAGCCTTACATCCCTTCATGGATCATTTCTGACCACCTTGTAAGTTTCGAATCAACTCAAGTTTCTGTTTGGGGATTGAGCCATACAATGCCTCATTTATTAACATCCCCTATCTATTGCTTTGTTCCCCTTGTAGGCGAGGTCTCTTGGCTAAGTCGTCGTCGGTGTCAATGAATTCTACACCTCCAAGGGGTGCCCCATATACGAGCAGTTCGTTTGCCAGGTCAACATTCGGGGGCTAGACTGGAGGAACTGCAAGTCCTACATTCACAGAGATATCATGACAGGACACAACATGTGCAACGTAGTCAAGAGCCACCTCATGATTCAAGAACAACTAGGCTACTTGCACCTAGTGAATGTGGATGGTAACATGCCTTGGAAGAAGGAAAGCGCCGGAACCGGCACGTCACTCACTCAGGAACCGAGTTCCGAGTCTAGTCAGGTCCCTCTAGCTCTTTCTTTTCGTGATATACTAGCACGCTACTCAGTAGCTGCATGGATGCGTGTTCCGTGAAGTCATTTATGCGCCCATTTTCATTTAGTCAGGACACGAGCGCCTGACTTCCTTTGCCATCACTCTAAGTTAACTCCACTCTCGTATTGTTCCTTTAACTTCTCTTTTGTCTTGTTTTATTCATCCACCATTGCTTCTTCCTGTATTCCTTTTGCCCAGTGCTCTTTTTCTTCATTACTCTCTTTTGCCCTTTGCCTCTTCTCCGAGTTACACGTTATCGTATCGCGACCATCAACTCGCAGCCATCTTCAATTTCTTTATTCGTACATCCCAATCCATCATTTCCGTCTTTGACCCTGCTTGACCATTCCGCGTTAACTTGGTCTTTCCCACGTCTCCATCGATCCCTCACTTTTTCAAATGTAAGTACTTTTCGATAATGTCATTTGTTTGAGGTAGTATTGGGTCATCCGAGTCAGCTGGATTTGGAATCCTGGAGTTGTGTTCTTCGCGCTCTTCCTTAACAGACTGGTATGCCCGCCAAACGATGCGTCGGTTGGGAGGTGGATGACCTATAAGCGTTGGACGACTGTCATACTCAGTCAGCGCCTGTAATAAGCAGTATCCTTTGAAGTGAGGATAATGGAGAGTTCGAGCCGGCTGGATTGGGATCGCGCACTTCCTTTTCAGTCCGGTATGCCCGCCACACGATGCGTCGGGTGGGAGGTGAATTCCTTTTTATACGTTGGACGATCCACAGTCGGTCAGCGTCTGTTTGTGCAGTGCTTGCCTCTTCAATATCTCTTTTCAACAAGTCTGTATTTTGCACTCCCAAAATCAACGCCGCTTGATCTAACACACTGACATGTCGTACCTGTTCGAACCTGAACTTGACGGAAGACTTAAGACTTCATATCCACATGTCTGATTTTGCGGTCCCAAAATCAACGCTGCTTGATATAATACACTGACATGTTGTACCTGATTCGCACTCCTAAAATCAACGCGCCTTGATTACATAATGACATGTTGTACCTGCTTGACTTTTTTTCATTGAGGCTGACTACATATAGGGAAGGGGGTGTCGGCGGCTGACAGCTTCGAAGTAACTGAGCTGTCAGACGGCCCCCCTGTGAGCCCGAATGCCTATGGTTGCACAACATGGGTCGCATGAATGCCTTGGAGTGACCAGTACCGAGCCAACCCTCCGCATCCCCTACGCGACCTGTCGGGTCCGATGGGCCCTCCGTTAGTCGAGATCTCGCGCCAAAGATCTTATGCAGCCGTCTTTTTTCTTTTACTTCAGCACCGTTGCAAGAACATAATCAAACTAAACGATCATCCGCTGAAATCGTCCCTGATCCAGAGAGTGTGAGAACTCCAAACCAGGAACGACCAACCAAAAAAGTAGCATTTCAGGATACTGAGTTTTCATCTGGAAGTGGGAGCGACTACATTTACTCCAACCCGTCCTCAACCAGATAATCTCTCAACTCAATCGATTTCAAGTACATTGACCACTTGTGCCAGGCACAACGTCTTCACGACTCAACACAAGCAGTCGACTTATTGTAGGAAAGACCAATGTTTCAGCAGTACCGATGAAAGCTCGCTGCGACAATCTTAAGAAGCAAAGCGAAATCTCAAACGTGTCCGATCTTTTGTAAGTTCCGCATGTTAACGTTTTCTTAGGTGAACTGGTGATTATTCTCACTTTTCTTCAAGTTATTCTTGCTGTTCGTGTTATATGGTCCTAGAACCATCAATTTCACCTCCGATCCGAACTTTTTGAGGAAGTATCTCCGACAGCGATTTCTCAGTTCCTCTTGGATGTATCTGTGCCCAAGCCGACGGCTGACGAATTGGCAGTTCTCGTGGATTGTTCCGTTTTTGCAGCCACTCATTCATATCAGAAAAAAAAAAAGCATCTAAAAACAGGATCCAGAAAGACGGAGAGGACGTTGTCACCTCCATCCTACTTCCGCATACTGAGAGGCCAGGTTTCTGGAAACAAGCTACTTCCCATCCTGCCCATTCGCAACTTCTGGCGCAGAATGAGGACACTTACACCCAAAGTGTAGTCAGGAATATCATCTTTGGAATTGTAGGAGATCTGGATGTAGTCGACCATTGGTAAGTTGAAATTTATGGCTGACGGTTCAATGCGCTTTTTGATCACTGTTGACCTTGATTAGATGTTGCTGTGCAATATAGGAGCCGTAACCCACTCCCCATGGATTTGAGGAGCTGCATTTTCCCGATTATTTCGCGGAGTTTGATAGTTTACCACTGTTCGTGGTGGAGATCAAGAAACCTGGAGTAATGGACGATGATTTGGAGGGAGATCAGCGAAAACTACCATGCATGATGAAGCTTATCCTGGACACCATACTTCATGCTGGCGTTTTGGTCCCTCTGTGGTTGGACTTCTGATTGCGGGTAATCTTTTTCGTGTTGCTGTGTTCAATCGCACTCTCTAGGTATTGACACTAACTGAGTACCTTTCAGGCTCCTCCTGCTGTGAGGTGTCTTCGATCTCCTTGGACACTGAAGCTCTTTACATACAGAAGCTGGTAGGAGTTTTTGAGCTACCTACAAACAATCTCCAGCTTGGCCTGCTGTGCCCCGCCATTGGCCCCTCAAGTTTGCACGTGTAAGTGAATATTCATGCTTCGCCCTTGGCACCCATCGTAGATCGATTTCTCAAGCCGCCTTTATATATCAATCGTGAATAGGATGTGGTTGTGCAAACGATGAACTCTATTGCAGTCCACCGCGGTCATGCGAGCAGTAAAGATAGGTGGCGTCGACCTTCTTATTACGTCAAAGGCAACCGCATTCCGATGCCTAAAGAAGCCACACTTCAAGAGAATGTGACGCAGGACTAATCGCCATAAAGATGCCGGTCTGGGAGCAATGTCGTAACAGCAAGCGAGGGCTACTGGAGTGCAGAACAAGTGCCAATGTTGCTAATGTACACAATAGTGGAACCCCTTAGTGATGCTGGGAAAATGAACATTTAAATAAACATGAAGTGTAAAAATAGCCTCTGCATAGCGTGAACGAAAATGAAAAATGTTTAATATGCAAACGTAAAAGCAACCGTCTAAAAGTCAAGAAGGCTGCTGTTGGCTCCAGAACCAGCACCGCCATGGTTATGCTTATGACCAGCCTCAGATCCACCAGTACTGCAGCCGGACGCAACAGCACCCTGGATCCCCTTTGGAGGCAACCCCATCATCTTGCGCGCCATCCCACTCGCGCCAGGGACCGAGTGCACATCAACTTGTCCGCTAGGCTTATTGAAACTGCTGCCTCCCAAAGACCGCGCCCTTGACTGTACCGATCCTTCCTCTGACGAGTCAGCCTTCTTGAACGATCCAGTCGCAGGTCCTGGGTTGGATGACTTTGTGGATGAGGATTTCTTGCGCTCCGACAATGAAGACGAAGAACTAGACGAAGGTTCCGCAGAAGTCCGTCTCTGCCCTACACCACCCTCAGGCGGCAAATGGAACGTCTCAATCGCAAACCGCTTCCTCCGTACCTTGAATCCCAAGTTATTGACACCTTTACTCGACCCACCGCTGCCCGATTGCCCAGGTCCCCCAGATCCCTTGGCTGCGCCATCCAGCAGCACCGACAGTTTTGTGGACGAAGGGATAAGGGCGTTCAGGACAGGAACTTTGTGGACATGGAAGAGTCCGTGGTATGCCGACGCTGCTGAGGAAGCGTTCGTCTGTGCGCCCGCAAAGGACTCGATCCTGACTGACGCGTCGCAGAGTTGTTCCAGGCGGTGGATGTAAGGGGATGTGGTCGATCCGTCTGTGGCGTGTCTCTGGTCGATAGTTCCGTACAGATGAGCTGGGATCGTGATCACAGCCGCGCCGAAACTGAACCGCAACAATCCACGCAGCGCATGCAAAAACTTGTACAAGTCCTAAAAACGGATACCAAGCCATATAAAATTGCCAGGTTAGTTGGCGTGTTAAGTAAAAAGGGTCCAATGTACAAATTGAAAAAAGTAAAGTAGTGCCTTACATGTGGGGTTTTGCTCCTCCAACTGGGGGATGCGATAGAATTGATACCAATTCTGCAAATATGTCGCTCGGCCAATCCAGCAGCCCCAGGTGCAGGTGCAGGTGCCGAGGGATCCTTCAACAACGTCGTGCTGAACCCTCCCTGGATCAACGTCTCCCTGATCTTGTCCAACACGTTTCTGTACAGATCGGGCTGATTCTTTCCTGCCGCTGACGCCGATCCACTGGTAGAAAAGTCATCGTCGCTATCATCCTCCAAATCGCTATCACCAGTCTGGACACCCTTTTGCAGCTCTCCCGAGTCGACCAGTGTGGTGTCAGCCGATTCCAGTGCCTTGGCGGATATCCTGGTCGTGAGATCGAATTGCTCGCAGAACGGGATCTGGCTGGGTGTGAGTGCTGGTTCAGTTGTCGATCCTGTCTTGTTGACGCGAGAAGAAATCGCTATCATCGTCACACAACATTATGAGATCAGTTAGTCGCCGACACCATAATCAATTATTTAGCATGTAGGACGAAAACCACCGGCTCCAAAGCTCTTACCTGGGGGACGAACCCCGACTCCACTTTCAAACTTCTTGAGCCCACTATACCTCCACGCAATCGTAAGCCTATCCTGCTCTGAATCCTCATCCTCCGCACCACCTGCAGCAGCAGCCTTCTTCCTCCTCTCCCGTCTCGCCTCATCCTCATCATCGCGATTATCAACTCCACTCTGAACCTGACTCTCCAAACTCTCCTCGCCTGCAATCCCCATCAACGACCTCACAATCGCCTCTGGACTCTCATCTCCACTAACCACCAAACACTTGTCCCCCGCAACAATACCCTGCCTTAAAAAGTACTTCAACAGTAATTGGCCATAGGAAGTTTGACGGTCTTCTTGGATGAGGAGGATGGTGCCGAGGGGAAGACCACCGCCGAGGATGTCGTCGAGGGAAGGGACGCCGGTGGAGATGAGGACTTGGCCGTTGTAGGCGGAGAGGCGGCACCCCGCGGGGAGAGTTGCTTGCGCGGAGGGGACGCGCTTCTTGAATGAACTCATTATTTTTGTGTTGGGCTGACGAGGTGCGTCCGGTGAGTGTTTATTTTGTCAGTTGCCTTTTTTGTTGCTTGTTGATGTTTGTGCAATTGAATCCGACTGTTGAGAGATCTGTTTGTTTCCTGATCAAATGTCCCGCAACTCCTTGAATGTGTCGTGGTTGATGTCAGTGAAGCAAAGTGTGAGCATCAGTTGGAGGCGTCCTTTTTTTTTTTTTTTTTTTTTTCTTCGCACGACTTGGTGACTGTCGACAATCTTCAATCGCATATGCTGCAGCTAAATATTTATTCAGCTTTTCCCGCCTTTTTGGTGGCGCCCCTTCCTCTATTTCGCTTATTCCCCCGTCCACCTCCACCTCCACCTGCGCCACCACCACCACGGCCTCGTTTCCCTTTCTTGAACGACGTATCCGACTCAGGCTCGTAGGGGAACGTGCCCGGGATCTGATCTGGCGTACCAATCCACCGAAGCAACAAGTCATCATCCGCTCCACCTCCGCTGGACCCACCTCCGCCACTGAGTCCTCCCGAAGACTCGACCTTAGCGTCGCTCAGGGGCTGCGGGGACGATGCGTGAGCCGCATGAAGGTCATACTGCCCCTTGTGCTGTGCAGCCGCACTGTTGCTGCTACTGCTCTGACTTTCATCCTTGACCCCAGAAGCCTGCTCGCCCGACGACGTCTTGACAGCCCGGTAAACATTCGCACTGACATCATGCCGCTTATGCGTCAAGATATACTGCCCAGCCCCCAAAAGCTGCAACTTTCCCAGGATATAATGAATCAACCGCATATTGGGCTTGATCCAGTCCCAAATCTCCCGATCCTGCACCTTCAACGCACTAGTGTCCTTGATCGAGATCGAGGGCAAGTCACTGAACGCGCCTCCGAGCGGGTTGTCTGTCTGATATGTGGGCGGCAGTTGATCTGGGTACCGCACAAACTGGTTCCTGGAGACATCCACTCGCCCAAGCGCCAAGAGTCGGTCATCTCTGACCCATGTTGACATCCACCATCCGGCCATTGTTGACTTCCCTGGCTCAGCAACTCCAATGTCTGGCACATAGTCGAGAATAGACTTGATCACCACCTGCCTATGCGGGATCTGTAATTAATGAAAAGAAAATGAAAGGAACCTTAGCGTCTCATTTAAGTGCCAGTGGCGGTCAAACAAAACAAGTACAAAGCATACGTGGATCGTGTTAATACTTACAGTATTGTTGATGTATCCATGGAGACGGTTGCGGATCAAAAGGCGCTTGTCGCCAAATGTCCAAAGGGAATATTCAAAATTGTCGGTGCTACCTTCGTCCGCTGCCTTGCCTGAAAACTGACTACCGAGAACACCAACATCCTCATCCTCACCCTTACTATCCTTGTCGGTGGCTGCCGCCGCGGCTGGTGTCTCTGAAGGCGAGTTGGTCTTTTCAGCCTCCTTGTTCTCAGCCTCCTCCATCTCAACATCCTTTGGCGACGTGACTCCTTCCTGCTTATCAGTAACATCTTGCATCTCGATATCCCTTTGTTCCACCACCGGCGCTTGATTGGGCTGTGGTTGCGTAGAAATGGAGGCAGAAGTACCAGCTCCTGCACTATTATCCTGTTGAGGCTCCAACACACTCACATCTGACGACGACGATCCAACGAGCGACAGTTTCTTGAGGGCTCCGTCGTAAAACGCCTGCGTAATCTCCAGAGTCGTCATTCTCTTGGGTATCAATGGCTTGTCGACATATATCCGCTTCTGCATCACTCCTAGTTCAATCAGATACAAGCGGAAAAAAGAAGCAGAAGTTAGCTTGAGCCTTTTCCTTAAGTTGAAGGATGAACTGGCGACTGTACAAAAAATTGAGAATACCTGCTGCGTCCTCTTCGAGGACAACTGTGACAGGAATCTCCCACTCATTTGCTAAACTGGGTAATGTTTTGGCCAACGCTACCATAACGCTGGAAGCAAGCGCGATATGGACGTTCTGCTCCTTGACAAAGTCCTTGGCGATAGGATCCTTGGCGACCGAGGTAGCTGGTCTCTTGAAGGGCATGGGTCCTCGCCGACGGTCGGTGGCTGGTGCTGGTGATGCTGAGTGGTTCCAATAAGAGTCGACCACATCGATAGTCTTTTCGTATGGCACCCCGTTATCGTCGGTCGGCAAAATTGGTTTTGCCAAGGAGACTGGGCAAATCTTTCCTGTCCTATGCAGAAGTCCTCGGCGTCGTAGTGCGGCTGCTGGTTTGTTGCTCTTTGCCTCTGCTGACCCTGTCTTGGGTTCTTCCAGCTGTGCTCGACTCAGCATGGGCTCCTTAGTCGTAGACGGTACACCCGGCAACCTCAATCCAATCGAGTGAACAAAATCATAGTACTGGGGATATTCCTCCTTGACTCGTGCCCTGCCTCTCCTGAACTTGGGAGCCAGCGCATCCCGGATGAGAGGGTTGAAGTAGCTGATGACCCTGGATCGGCACTCCGAGTCACACCACTGCCGCACCCGAAGTCGTTCTGCCTCAACCCTCTCCTGCAAAAGTCCAAAAAGAGCCCGGTCTTCCTGTCCAAGCTGCGGCGCTCCTGGTGTCTTTTGTCTCCTCAAAACTCCATCATACATCATGTACCGCCGATGCTCCTCCCTCGTGAGACTGGATCGATATTGATGCGCGCCGATGCAGGGGTGGTGATAGCGCATGTCGGCGGGTTTGATGGCCGCAATAGTCGATTGTTGTTGCTGTTGCTGCTGTGGTTGCTGCTGCTGGATGGGTGATTGTTGAGCTTTGTTGGCTTTGTCGGCAATAGAGATGATCTCGGATTTGTAGGACGACGCTGACGCTATCAGATCGTTGAGATTGACCGTGCTTGACTGTGCTGGTGCCACAAGTGAGGCCGTTGTTGGTGCTTGGGCGGCTTGATCCTCTGAGATTGTCGTTGGTGCAACTGCCGGTGCGTGAGTCGAAACCACTGGTGGCTTGGATATCGTTGTTGTCGTTGTTGTCGTTGTTGTCGTTATTGCTGTTATTGCTGTTGGTGCTGCTGAAGTTAGGGTTGTAACAGATCCTGAAGTCCTCCGTTTCGGTTTAGTGGACGGTGCTTCTGCCTCAGTATCTGACAACAATCTTGGCACTGGCTCCGGTGATACCCCTTTCTCGCGCCGCCTCTTCTTGAGCATGTACAACTCCGCGATCCTTTCTGCGCCACCGATCGAGAGTTTGTTGTAGATATTCTCATCTAGAAAAAAGCCGCCTCTCGATACCGCTGTTGTTGCTCCTGTGGATGATACTGTGGCTGACTTGGACTTGACAGTTGTTGAGGATGCGGAGGAAGATGATGCGGTAGGGGCTGACTGGTCGTTGCAGTCGAGTGGCATTGGCTCCACCTCCTTTGTATCGAAACTGGGCGGGAATGTTGGTGAAATGAAGGGTAGGCTTGAAACCTCTTCAAATGCGCCAGAGGCCGAGTTGTCCTTCATCGGTCGCCGATCCTCCTCCATGCCGTCCTGTTTGGCTTGTGAAACGGCTGCAGTATCCTTGGTGGACGTAGTCGCCGCGTTGGGGGTCTCATCGGAGTCGACATCCATTGCATTCGAGTCGTCCTTGTCCTTGCTCAAGGTTGCCTCATCCTCTTCAGACTCGGACTCAGAACCACTGCTGGAGCTATCCTCATCTTGGCTGACATCCCCCCTATGCTCCTGGCTGTTGTCTGACTCTTGCTCCCTCTCCGACTCCTGGATCTTGGCTAACGCCTTATCTTTCTCAGGCTCCTCTTCCTTCTGTTCCGGTCCTTTCTCTGTTTCGTGCCCCCTCTCGCCCTCAGAGTCATGACCATGGTCCGAATCAGCTTGGTCATGCTCATGCTCATACTCATGGTCGGTCTCCTCCGGTGCCGAGGTCTCCCCTGCAGCATCGACACCACGTTTCCGTCCACGAGTCGCGCCACGTCCACGGCCACGTCCTCTGTCAGCAGCACCTGTACTTGCTTGTCTACCACCTGCGCGTGCACCCCAACCGCGTCCACGACCACGTTTGCTTCCATTGGGAGCGTCGACTGGTGTTACTGTTGGTGGTGCTGTTGTGTCTGTTGATGCCTTGGTGGCATGGGTGCTCGAATGGCGAGTGACCCTTTTCTCCATGAGCCTTCTTCGTTCTTGGTCGTCGACGAGTGAGTGTGAATAATGTCAGCGAGTGTGGTTGAACTTGTGTGGTTGGGAAAAACAAACAAGAAAATAATAAGCGAATAGTGGCGGTGGCTTGTTCCTTAAGTAACACCAACCATTGCACGAAAAGGAACAAAAGCAAACAAAGCAACCAGGGACGACGGAGACCCTTCAGGTATGTAATAGGTTCTGTGAAGTGGTTCAAATGTTTATTGTGTAAAAGTAAAAGTATTTGCTAGGACTGAGGAAAAAGTACTGTGAGAGGAAGAGGAGTGGTGTGGGTTGAATTGGACGGGGCACAGATGAAAAAGCGAAGGAAGGTACTAAAAAAAAGAGAGACGCAAGAGTATCCGGTTCTTGTTTTGTTGTAGACATCCTTTACAGGTCATCATCCTCCTCGGGAAGAGGCATGGCAGCGGCGTTGTTCAACTCCTCGTTGTACTGCTGCATAAGGGTAGCATCGACCTGGACCTCAGCGGGGGCCAAAGCGGGGGAGGCAACGAACTCCAAATCCTGGTGACCAGCCAACTTACGGGCCAACCAGAGGAAGGGCTTCTCGAAGTTGTAGTTGGACTTGGCAGAGATGTCGTAGTACTGGAGGGACTTCTTGCGGTGGAAGTCAATTGCCTTGGGCTTGACCTTACGCTCCTTGATATCGACCTTGTTACCGCAGAGAACAATTGGGATGTTCTCGCAGACACGGACGAGATCACGGTGCCAGTTGGGGACGTTCTTGTATGTGATGCGGGAGGTAAGATCGAACATGATGATACCGCACTGTCCGTTGATGCTAGAAAGGTTAAAAGGCAAAATGGGAATGCGCGTAAGTCAAATGGTCCTTTTGCTCAAATTCCAATGTATCGGTGGGTGTCAATGCAAGAGTGAACTTGAGATGAGATACGTACTAATAACCATCGCGAAGACCTCCAAACTTCTCCTGACCAGCTGTTGAATTGAAATAAGAGAAAGAAATAGGTTAGTTCCAGGGGTCGAAGCGAAGCGATGACAAAAGCCTGATGCCACATAGCGATTTGCAAGACGTCACGATCCATGCTGCTGTTGTTGATAAATGATGAAAGCACTTGCCAGTGTCCCAGGTGTTGAAGATGATCTGGCCGAAGTTGGTGGTGAAGCTCAAGGGGTGGACCTCGACACCCAAGGTGGCTAGAGACAGATGACCAAGTCAAAAGATGGAATGGGAGAACAGAAAAAGAGATACGTGAGCGTTAGTTAGCATATTTTGAGTTTTTCTTTTGCCTCTGTTGTTTCCCTTTGTCTGAGTGAGAACCGATTGTTGTTGGTCCATGAGAGCATCAAAACGACCACGTCAACAACCCAAACAAAAACAATAACCGAAAGGAAAAAGACTTTTTCTCAATAAGCGCGCGGACAAAAGGGCGGCGTGTCTGTATGTGAGTGTGAGTGTGGAACAATGTCCGCTTGAAGGGAAGGTGGAAAAAAGAAAGATGAAAAAATAGTGACGACAGTCGCTCAGGTGAACGAGTACTTCTCCTCCTGTCCCGCACTGTGATAATTCCACTGCGACCGATGAACAAAAAAGAAACCCCAAAGACAGAGAGCAGAAACAAGGCGTGTTTCCGGCGGCAAATGGTGGCGCGGTTTGACAAATCAAATATCGGAAGCCGAATAAGGAGAAGGAGGGCAAAGCAGAAAAAAGGAAAAAGGGCAAAGAAAAAAAAAAAGTTGCTTGGGTACTCTGAGCAGTACGAGATGGGGTCAACTGCGGCTGCTGCAAGTCGTTGAGAACGTAGTTGGGGTAGTGCCCTTCTTTGTTTCCAGTGACTCCGACTTCCTTTGAGATCGTGCCCTCCTTGGTGCGACATCCAGCAGAGCAAAGAAAAAATGAAAAAAATGAAAACAAAAACGGGCCAGCAAAAACGCCAGCTTGGTTCGGTTGATGGACAAGGAGGCGCTGATAACAATAGAGAGGCGGATCAGACTGGGTGGTTATTTACCGATGTACTTCTTCTCGAATTCACCAGTCAAGTGGCGCTTGACGAAGGTGGTCTTTCCGGTACCGCCATCACCGACTAAAGGGAAGAGAAAGAGTGGAAGGGAATGTGGTGACGTTGGTTAGTATGGATCCACAACAAGCCGGTCGCACTGAGTCAAAAGGGCGAGCTTGGTCCATTGTTTTGTTTTGTTTTGTTTGTTGCTGTTATCGTTGTGGTTTTGTTGCAGTTGAGAATACGTCGTAAGTCTGATGTATGAGAGATGCAATTCTTTTTTGTGCTTGAGAGAAGCGGACGAAGAGGGTATGCATACCGAGGACCAATTTGAAAGTGGGAGTCTGCTCAGCCATAGTGTCTTTTTGTTGGTATTTGGTTGATGGAAGGGGAGGTGATGGAAAGAAGAGAAAAAAAAGAAACCAAAACAGAAGCCAAAAGAAAGAAATGTATGTTATGGATAACTAAAATTTCAATTCTGTTTAGGTGACATCATCGAATATTTTGGTTGACTTCTGATCGCATATGCTGCGTGTCTGTCTGTCTGTGACTTGCATTGATGTGTTCCTTGGCAACGGTGTGGGCGCAAGCCGAGTCTAAATCGTCGTGATGTCTTGTGGTCATTGATAAGTCGGTACTACAAGCTGCGAGGAACCAGCTGGTTACCGCAATGATAAGGAAACTCCATAATAACGAAAGATAACTATGGTGAAGCGGTACAACTCTGTTCATTGTGCTATGTGAATACAAGTGGGTTGTCAGACTGGGATGGTACTAGGCTTTTCAACGTTAACCGCTCCCCACACTTTTTCACATTTTCAGGGTTCCTTTTGGTCGCCTTTTGGTCGCCTCTTTTTCAGTTGCCACCAAACTTTTCTTTCAACAGACAACAACAACTCCCATCATCCTCTCACCTTGTGTCCCTCGATCAATAACCCTACCCTCGACTCGATCATCCACCTCTCAGACTCGCTCTCATCTCCAACCCTCGCTCACATTACCATCGCCCGGCACGCTCATCACCTTCGGCACGAATGGTTTACATCAACGGCCAAAAGTTTGCCTGGTATGCAAACGACTTGTTCGTCCTGTTTGACTTTCCGAACATTCATTCCTGCACTCATAATCACGCAGCTGACCGTCTTCCTTCTTTCTTCTCTTTCTGACTTACCTCGACTTTAGTGTTTCATGCATCAACGGCCACCGTTCAAGCTCCTGTAACCATGGGTAGGATTTCTCGCCCTGAGCCGCTGGGATGTATCCAAATGCCAATCATCTCCCATGCCGCATACTCTAACACTCCCTTTGTTGAATCAATCGTAGTGACCGACCACTGCACGAAATCAAAAAGAAGGGCCGTCCTTCGACCCATTGCTCGCACTGCAAGGATCTACGCAAGGCGAAACATGTTCAAGCCCGCTGTATCTGCGGCCGCCAAGATGGTAAAAATCGACAACGTTTTTTGAGTCCTTACCGCACCGATGCCCTCGAACCCATGACTAATTCACATGGCCTCAATTTACCTTTACGAATAGCATTGAAGCACTCAAAGTCGATTTCACACGATGGACGGATCCCTCTTCCCACAGACATTGGCGGTGATGACATGATACGCTCTGTGTCGTCAGACGGTTGTGATTTTACAGCTGCTGCTGCTGCTGCAGGTAAGAGGCGAATACTAGCATTCCATATTTTTTCTTATATTACTAATTGGCAATAATCGCAGTAAATGGTGCTCATTATTTATTCTCCACACGTTTTACACGCACTAGTAGCCTGTCCATGCAGCCAACAGGAACTGGAAGAGCAACAACTACAACAACAGGCAGCGGCGTATCATCAACTTGGAACAGCTTCACAAGACTTTGCCGCTAATGGTGCTCACAGCTCGCCTAGGGATTCGTTGCCACATTCACTCTTTACACATCAACTGCAAGGACAGCAGTCAAGGCAGAGCCCAGATGGGAGTGTCAGCTCCAGCCCGAACCTCAGTATCAACGGAACATTTGCAGGATTGGCTCTTCATGGGAACGACCCTTCAGCATCCAACTCGCCAATTGTTTCAATGCCCATGACCGGCTACAGACAATCACACCTTTGTTATGACTATGCCAGCTCGTCAGATTGCGAGAGCGACCAGTTCAACCCTCCAACCCAAGTCTTTTACCCCAATGCCGGATATGCTATCAGCAACGCCTCTGACGACCTTGGCGAGCGGGATATGAAAACTATCCACGCCCATCAATCAACACCCAACTTTAGCTCGTCGTCTTCCTCTTCAATTCACTCATCGCAGCCATTCTCGACAAACATACCCCCGTCATCATCATCGACATCAACAAAGTCATGCTGCAAGCCATCCAACTCGACTTCGTCTCCTGCAATCTCCTCCTCATCAACTCCTCCTCCTCCTCCTATGCCCATAGGTGGCGGATGCCAAGGGGCACCAGGAGCTGCAGGATGCGGTTGTGCCATCTCCCCCACAATGTGTTGCTGCGGCGAGTTCTGTGCTTGTCCAGGGTGCCTTGCTTACCCAAACAACGCGCCAGTCCAGGGCTACCGGGAGGCCGCTTATTCCAGTAGCATCCCCATCGATACCAACCAGGGCAGCTTTAATAATGCCCGGAGCGCAACGGATCAAGCACCTACACTAAAAGGATCTTGCTGCGGGTCTACAAAGACAAACACCAACACCGACGATACTTCCGCCAATGCAGGAGCACGCGCACTGAACTTAGGCCATGCGTTAACTCTAATTGGAGCGAGCCACCAGAACGGATCGGCGGCCATGAACGACGAGATGCGACAGGCTTTGCAACAAGGATTTGGCGCGATGGACCAAGCTACGCTGGATTCAGTCAAGATGCAGCATCCCACGCTCCTTGGCAGTAACGGTGTTCTCATCTGTGGGTGTGGCTGTGGTCGTCCCACAGTCGACTGTGCGGATTGCTTCCGGGACATGTGCGAGTTTGTCGGAGAGTCGCAGGCCAAAATGATGAAGGACGAGCTTGAGTATGAGATGTCGATGAACCAGGAAGGAGGATACCTGGCAGATCTGGGGTTGAACATGAACATGTCGAGTGGCATGAAATTGAGTCACAGTACGAGTATGGAGCTGGACGAGGAGATGGAGCAATTCAACCAGGAGGACTCGGACCAACGACAGCAGCAACAACCACAAAGGAAACTCACAGAGCAGGAAGAGGCACTTCGTTTGCAGCTGTTGGAGCAGGAGCAGATGGAGTTGTCCAAACTTCGGCCGGCGACTATTAACCAACTCCAACTGGATTTCTTGGATGACGAGGATTGGAGTTTTGTTGATGAGATCCGGACAGACCATCTTGACGCTCTCAGCATTCCCAGACCTCCTCCATCATAGAGCTGATATTTTTGAATAGATATATTTTGATACCACTGATATGACGGTTTTAGGCGTCGATCGTATCGGAATTACTGTTCCCTGGTATTCCATTCCATCACCTCTGACTATGGTCGAGAGCACTCTCACCTTAAAATTATCGTCCGCTTTTGTCAAGAGGATAGCTATATGACCAAAATGGATGCATTTTTATGTGCCAGGTGGACAAGCATCGCTTCTATATACATAATAATGGATGCCTTCATGTACCAGGTGGACAAGCATCGCTTCTATATATGTAATAGCTCGGTAATGGCATATCGTAGTCTGCATGGCACTTTTATTCATTCATTCATTCTCAGACGCCTATGGTCAAGATCAGGTCCAGGGATCGCATTCCAAAAAAAGAATGAAATGGGCGTCAGGAACCATCCAAGGGCTTTTCGTAGATGACGACTTTTATTATTTTCTTCTCTCAGTGTTTACACAGGTGCGGACCATGGATTCAGAACAGCTTTTTTTTTCCTTTCAGCAGATAAAAATAGACATGTACGAATGGACAGGGGCACTGACCAGCAGCCGCATGGATTTTATTCCCTGTGAACTGAAAGGTGCCCACTTCATTTTCTGCCCTTTGGTTGATAGTAAGTTGTTGGACAAGGGAACCACTTGATTCGACTGACATCATGGAGTTCAGTACTTGTACGCTCTCAATTGAGAGACGAGAGATGAGAGGGTCTTGTGGACACTTTTTTTTTTCCTACTAATTGACGGCGACAAGTGGGGAGTGCAGTGCAGTGCCATTAGCTGACAGAGCAAGAGCAGAGGTGTGAGAATTCAACAGGCGAGACGATGATCGAGTCCAGCTGGATTCTTATTTTCTTTCATCTCCTTCCCAAAATTGCAATTCATTAGTCCAAAAGACAAAAAAAAGCCCTATTGTATGATGGTCTTCAGGATAAAGATAGCATAGCTAGTAATGGATGGGCGCATATATCATAATTAAGGTACAAAAGGAACAAGTGGACTAGTAGAGATGAGAACCTCGAAAAAAAAGGGTCCATCGACTCCTTTCGTAGACAATTCGAGACAAGGGGCTCTCACATCTTTTTTGCTTTTGTTGTTGCTGGTGGGGTTTATCCGAAGGGCGCTTTTTTCAGTGCCTGTGCCTATTCTTGTCTTCTGTCTTCTGTCGTTGTCTGTGTGTGTGTGGCGAACCTTCTTCTGCTTTTTTACCCGTCAGCGAATGCTATCTTGTTTCTTTTGCCACTGCTGGACACGAATAAACAACATGAGGATCGAGGGATAGGGACATTCATTACCGCGCCCTCGTTTCCTCTTCTTTACTTCACCGAGGAGTGGTATGTTACGCCCCTCGATGTGTTCCACTCGAATAGTTCAGACCCCGGGGACACCTTTTTTTAATTGCCAGGGAACGAATGCCTCCTTATAAAAAGGCTTACCTTTGTCTCTGCTTTCCTTTTCTCTTTTTATTCTTCATCACTTTCTCTCTTCTTTTGACCCTTGCCATCCTCCATCCTTCTTCCCTTTCTCTCTCTCTCTCTCTTTCCCTCCCCCTATCCCCCCCTTCCACCCAACCGATCGATTCGATCCCATTCCAGTCACTCCTCCCAGCCCTGACTCTTTCTTAACGCACACCTCCACTCCTAACAAAATCAACAACCCAACAAACAACAACATATATCTTTCATCAAAATGGTCAAAATCGCATCCCTCGCAACCGCCCTCGTCCTCACCTTCTCGGCCGCCGCCGCCCACGGGCCTCACCAGCTCGAGAGGCGTGCCGCCGTTGCAACTTGCAGCACCGCCTACAAGGCCGTCGCTGCCGGCGCATGGCCCGCTCTCGACTGCACTCCTTTTGTCCAGGACCCCCAGGTCGTGACCTGGCTCAAGTTGGTCGACATGACCAAGGTCCCTGTCTTCGCTCAGTCCAAGGACGGTGTCTGCCCCACTGACTTAACCACCATCCCTGCTGACCAGTGCTGGTGGACTTGCCAGAAGTGCGAGGCCCCTACTGATATCACTTCTTGCCCCAAGGTCGGAACCTGGGGTTTGACTTACGATGGTACGTCTTCTCTCTCTTTCTGGCTGTTCTCTCGTCTCTTGACTCTTCCCGCCTTTTATTACTCCCATATACCTTCCGTCTCTCCCCTTTCTCTCCCTCCTTACGCCCTCCATTGAACTACATGTCCTTTTATTTCACACTCCTCCTCCTTTTCCTCTTCCTTTTCCCCCCTTCGGCCCATGTCCCGTCTCGCCGCCCCCTCCTTTGAGTTCTTTTACGAGCATTTATTTTATTTTATTTCTCCGCGACAATTCCTTCCTTCCTGCTCTCCTCTTTGAAGAGGAAATGTGTCGTTGGACAAAAAACGACCAAAAGGGGCGTTAGAATCGGATATTCATCCGTTCCTCCTCCCATGGCTCATAATTTTACTTAAATTGCTTTTCCCTGTGGAGTGGAGGAGGGAAAAGAGTACCCCTGGGTTGGACGAACCACTCACGAAGAGGGATGATGGAGAGAGATTGGGATTACATACCAAGGTGTGCTTACAACAGCGCGCCGGGGGTACTTGGCTCAGATAATTTAGGTTTGCCGTTCCTTTTGTCCAAGAGATACATTACTCGACCACAAAACTAAAAGAGGAGGGTTGTCGAGTGGTTCCCACTGATCCCGTCACTTTTAATCAGAAATTGAAACATTTGATCACACATACCCAACGTAAATATCACTCCAGGGCCATCATTCATGCGCTGTTGCTAACCATACCATCCCAATTCTCTATCAAATAGACGGCCCATCGCCCGACTCCCCTCGCTTGTATGACAACCTCCTTGCCCACAAGCAAAAGGCCACCCTCTTTATCGTCGGATCCCGCGCAATCTCCTTCCCCGAGACCCTCAAGCGCGCCTACACCGAAGGCCACCACATCGCCATCCACACCTGGTCCCACTCCACCATGACCTCCCTCTCCAACGAGCAGATCGTCGCTGAATTGAAGTGGACCGAGAAGGCCATCCAGTCCGTCATCGGCGTCACCCCCATCTACTGGCGCCCCCCTTACGGAGACGTCGACAACCGTGTCCGTGCCATCGCCACCCAGCTCGGTTACAAGACCTCCATCTGGACCCAGGACTTTGACACCAACGACTGGAACATCCCTGCAAAGACTGCCACTGCCCAGTCCGTCGTCGATACCTTCAAGACCTGGTTGGTCAAGATCCCTACCATGAAGACTGGTTTCATCGTCCTCGAGCACGATCTCTTCCCTGAGGAGGTCAACGTTTCTATCAGCGGTATCTTGCCCATTGCCTATGCCACCAAGAACTTGATCATGCAGCCCATTCCCCAGTGCTTGGGTGATGCCAAGCCCTACCTTGAGGGTGCTGGATCTTTCAAGCTCATCGGCGATGCCGCCGCCAACTCCACCACCGGTGGCTCTGGATCTACTTCGGGTAACAACACCACCGTTGGTGGCGGATCGACTGCCAAGAGCTCTGCCGTCGCCGTCTCTGGATCCGTTGCCTTGACTTCCGTCGTTGGTATCGCCGCCATTGCCGCTGCTTTGTTTTAAGGGATAGAAAGGCTGGTTTCTTTCTATTCTTTATTTTATGATGTAGAGCTACAATTACAAGGTCTTATCTAGGTTAGATAGCATACCATTTATTGCATTGGACAAGCACGTAGTTCGTCCTGTAGATTGAAAAAAATATTACCAATACAGAAAACATGAAATAAGAACGCGGCATTGCCAATTGACTTGAAACAGGGAGGGGGGATGTGGTACTGGCTGTGTGTCATCAACGTCAAGACACGACATGAAAGAGCTGTATACATTCACGTTGCACTTTTGTCTATGATTTAAGGCAGTCTCAGGGCCAGAAGCTGCTACATGAAACAGAGACAGGCATCCACATGGGTTATCGCTTGTCGTCATCTGGTCAACTTTCGCCTCTCCAACTCCTGGAAACAACGCGTCCGAGTAAAGACAAAAAAAAATTATGTTAACCCTGGCGTGGATGTGAGGAAACCGAGACACAAAAGGAATGAACGACTAGGATGTTTGGTTTCGCGGATGAATCACCATGTCTCGCCTAGGGGGGGTGGAAAAAAAATTGAAAACCCAGCCAACAAAGCCGGCAGTGCCCATGTTTTCCTTTACAGCCAGCCTGCTGGTAAGTAAAGGTCGTCGCGGGGCGATAACGGTGTCTCCGGAAGAATCGTTAAGTCTGTGCCAGAGTATCCTTGCAGGGATATATCGCGACCCGCCGAGAGAATGCAAGGGTGAGGCGAGAGGGAGGTGAGGCTGTGAGAAATTGGTGGATGTACCAGTGTTGCTAAAAGAAGCGGGGGCGGTGCTGTTGCAAGATATGTGTATCTTTGCTCCTCAAGGGTTGGCGATGCAATACCTCTGGGAGAATTTGAAGTAAAGAGGCGTTTTCTTCGAAATCGATAGCAAAGCGCGAAGAGTGATATCGGTGTAGAGGAAAACGACCGATGGAACGATCTCGACCCTACCTGTCACTAAGAGTTGCAAACGTTGCGAGACGAGTTGACACAAATCGAACTGCAAAAAAAAAAAAAAAGTGTCGACTTTTGCTTACACCAGTTGGTATATGGGTCCCTTTTTATTCCCGGGATGCATCTTTCTTTTGAGGCAGCAAGGCTATTGCACTTTGGCACTTTGTGCACCTTTTTTTCCATAAAGATATGGAACGGCTTTACCCTCGCTACCATTTGCGCCTGTCATGCATGCATCCATTTTTTCATGTCGTTGTCAGCTAGATCTCTTTTTGTGCCTGTACATGATGTTTTCGTCTTTTAACAACAACATACAACGACGTTGTACTCCTAAAATAACCTGTGTCGGGCGTTCTCCCTCTCTATTTTGAGTCAACACACAAAACAAAACAAAACAAAACAAGTCAATGTCTTTTCCCACTCATTCGTCCTGCAAGAAGAGGCCTTGTCCAACTGACCCTAGCACTTTTTTGACACCGCCCACCCTTGTTTTTTTTTGGTTGTCGTTGTCCAGGGGTCGATGATGATGTCCAAAACTTGACCTTTCATGCCTCGAGGCAAAATGGATACTTCCCAGCGAATGAAACAATACAACTCAGTTCTCCATTGTTTACTCGCCTCCAGGTATATAAAGGAACTGCTTTCAGGCACATCCTTCTGTTCTTCACTTTCAATACCTAGGACTCTCCATCCCCACCCCGACTCGCATCACCACCACAACAACAAACAAACAATGGTCAGGATCCTCCCACAACTCGTCGCACTCTCGGTGGCGCTCACATACGTCCTCGCCCACGGACCATCCCGCATCCGCAGATCCCAATCCCTCACCCACGACGGACCACCAGTCATCATCGACGGTGGAAGCTCCTACATCCACGGCGGCGGCCCTTACTCCAACAAACGACGCTCCACCCACAACTCCATCCTCGAAAAACGTGCCCCCACAGACCCGCAACATCCAGAGCCAGCAACATGTACCCAAAAGACCTATACGACTCCCATCGCTGCCGGCGCCTTCCCAGCCCTAGACTGCATCCCCTTCATTGAAGACCCGCAAGTCCAAGAATGGCTGAAACTCGTCGACATGACAAAGGTTCCTTCCTATCCCCTTTCTAACGACGGCTTGTGTCCTACCGATACGGGGAGTGTACCAGCAGCGCAGTGTTGGTGGACGTGTTCAAAGTGTAGCGCTCCGGAAGATGTGACGAGTTGTCCGCAGCCTGGCACCTGGGGTCTCACCTATGATGGTAAACCTTGTTGTCTTATTTTTTTCTCTATTCATTATCCAGTCAATGCGCTACTGAGTTTTCCTAACACATTCTCTCCTTTTCTTCATACCATGTCTAAATAGATGGCCCGTCGCCTGACTCACCCCGCTTGTATGACAACCTCCTTGCCCACAAGCAAAAGGCCACCCTCTTCATTGTCGGATCCCGCGCAATCTCCTTCCCCGAGACCCTCAAACGCGCCTACAATGAAGGACACCAAATCGCCATCCACACCTGGTCCCATCCAGCCATGACCTCCATCTCCAACGAACAGGTCGTCGCAGAACTCAAATGGACCGAGAAGGCTATCAAATCCGTCATCGGCGTAACACCCAAATACTGGCGCCCACCCTTTGGGGATGTCGATAACCGTGTCCGAGCGATTGCGACGCAGTTGGGATACAAGACGATTATTTGGACAGAGGGGTTTGATACGGACGATTGGAACATCCCTGCGGGACAGGCAACACCTCAATCTGTCATTGATACCTTCAAGACATGGCTGATCAAAGTGCCGACTATGACTACGGGATTCATCGTGTTGGAACATGACCTGTGGCCCCAGGAGGTCGATGTAGCATTGAACGGGATCTTACCTGTCGCATACGCGACCACGGGGTTGACCATGATGCCCGTCGCCAAGTGTATCGGTGATTCGACACCATACCTCGAGGGCGCCGGGACCTTCCTGGGCGGGAACACGACGACTCCCACTGCTTCGGGAACTGCTACAGGGACCAAGACGGGGTCTGCAATCAGGACAGGAACTTCTACCGCGACACCTACTCACAGCAATGCCGCCGCTGGATTGACTTTGTCTAGTCGTGCTGTTGTTGTTGGATCCTCTGTCGTGCTGATGTACCTGACTGGCGCCTTCCTGTAAACACCACCAACTCTTTTTGTATTCTTATGCCCTTACCTATATCCCCCATGTACATGTACGTATAAAATAAAAAGACAATGAACAACAGCGAAGCCCAAGACAAAGTTGGCTCTCTGACTTCCCTCCATCTTACTTCTCTTGTTTAACTGTTTTTGTTTTGTTTCAAGGCGTCCTGGTTTGTGACGAAAAGAGGAAAGGTTGGGGATTGCACGGAGTTGCTCCCCCCCTCGTTCCTCATCTTTCTTGGTCGCGATGATATTTCCTTTCCTCTTTTTTTATGCAACATGTTTTTTCTGGCGTCTCGCGAAGTGCTTATGACTATTGCGCTGTCCCTTCGGGAGGAGAGCTGCGTCTTTGGTTTGAAGGATGTCCCCTGGATCCCATCTTCTTGATGACTGATGGCTCATTTTTTTTTGGGCGCTCTGTTAGCTGGACAAGCATGCCTCTCCCCTGAACGCTCCCATTCCCCTTTGTGCTTTTACCAGGAAGGTAGATGGTTCCGCGCCAAGTATATGTTCATTGCCCTGATCGAGCCTTCTCCTTAGAAAAAAAAACCGCACTATTTGACGCGATGAGAAGACGGGGGCGTGGTGTACTGACGTGGACAATCGAATGACACGGTTGCCTACTTCGCCCTCACGCCCTCAGCCACCACCGCAGCTCCACCAGCCGTCCAAGGCGCCACACCAGTAGTCCCCGTCACTGAAGCAGACTGCTCCATGCGCGCCAATGCATGGTTGCCGCTCTTGAAAGGCCGAAGACTCGTCCCCAACTACCCCAACAGCCTCGATCCGGCCACACTCAAACGCTACGATGACACTTTTCCTATACGAAGGACTGTACGTCCTAATGAGTTAAAGACTGGTGATTATCGTGCCGTGAGATTGAACGTTCATCTTGGTCAGGAGGGTGCTGTTTTCACGATCAATTGTGGTTGATCAAGAGGTGAGGTGATTCTTTTGCTGAGGGGGGTTTTTTAATATTCTTTGTTAGAAAAAAAAGACCACAATATAAAAAAAATATATCAAAAGTCTTTTATCCAAGCCCACACTATACTTTTTCACCCCCTCCTCAATTTTACACGCTGTTCTCCGTGTCAGCATCCTCACCCTCCGCAACCTCATCCTCCAACTTGCGAATCTTCTTCGTCTTGCCATGCCCAAACCCAAACGCAGTCTGCTGCACATCCTCCTTTCCCAATTTCCTAAACTGGTAATTGCCCTCGCCATCAAACCGCAACAGGTACTCGTGATACCGGATCAGGGACGGGCGATGCGAGACCGTAAAAAGTGTGATTCCGGACGCCCGGGCGTGTTCGTACATGATCCCTTCGACGTCAATACTGACCGCGGAGGTGCATTCGTCCAGGATTGCGAATTGGGGCCGGTGGTAAAAGAGACGTGCCATTGCTACCCTCTGCTTCTCTCCTCCCGAAAGGCTATAATTCGTACAAAAGGAAAAAGAAAAAAAAAAGGGGGACGCGTTAATATTGAGTACTTTCAGCAACTAACCATATCACTCAAAACGCGCCACCAAAAAAAAAAAAAAAAAGTCGAAAAACTTACACATCAGCCCAGTCCTGGACAGAATCCCACCCACCCTCACGGTCAATCAAATATCCCAAATGAACAACACTCAACAGTTCAACAAGCTTCTTATCCGTGAACCCCTTAGAAAGAGCCTGCTTCCTGGTATCGGGGTAAATAACTTGGTCACGGAAGGTTCCCAAGGCCAGGTAAGGCTTCTGAGGCACGTAGAACAGCTTCGAGGGGTGGGGCTTGGTCACCGTGCCTCCGAACAGTGGCCACAAATCGCCCAAAATACGGAACAGCGATGACTTTCCGCATCCTATTTTCACACGTTGGTAGAGAGACGGCATTGTATGAGTTTCAATGGCTCCTTCTTGGCTGTCTCCATCTGTACTTTCTTCTACAATCCAAAAACAACAACAAAAGACTTACCATTGGGTCCGGCGATAATAACATCAGTTCCACGGGTGACCTTGAAGCTAAGCTCCTTGACCAGAATATCATTATTGGGCGTGACAATAGGCACCTTGTCAAACACAATCACGCCATCCTGGGTCACAACCCTGCCCTTCAAGTCATTTGTGTTGACACTAGCACTCTGGGACGAAGCACCATCAGCCTTGGCAACCATAGTCCTCTCATAACGGCCCTTCTTGATATCGTCCAGGACCTCAAAGAGCTCCGAGACTCGAGAGGTGTATCCTGCGAAACGGGTCAAATCGCGTCCTGCGAGGATCAAACGACCCACAGCCTGTGACAAGTTCACCAAGTATCCCGCTATTTCAATATGTCGCGATAGTAAGAGTGATTAGTTATCTCCGCAAATAAGGAACAAGCCTTTGTTTTTGGTCGCATTTGATTCAAAGAGGCACATTTTTGAGAGACTTACAGTTCCTGGAGTAGTCCTCGACAATCTTGGTGGGATCAGCCGAAACACGACCCATATGCTCCGTGGCTATTATGAACATAGAGAAAGACAAAAACACGTTAGTCCTTGTCAATAAAAAGTGGGAGTGATGTGCATTTCATTCACATTCGAGTGGAACTGGCAGTATACCGTAGGCAGGGTCGAAGACTGGGCGTGCCAAGAGACTAGGAAGAGGTAACAAGAACAATAGGTCAGTCAGCTCCCTCCAGCAAAGCTTGCAATTCGTGGCCAAATGAACAAAGGCTCCAAAGAAGTGACAAGGAGAACTTACTAGTAGGCGGTCATGGTAGCACAGTACTTGACAAGGACAGAGTCCAAGATACCATTGGCGAAGCGCATCGAGTAGACCTTGCGGACATGGCGCGCAATTTTGTCAAAGCTAGTGTTGACGCCCTCCTTCTCACGTTCGGCGCCGTTGTAGAATGCAATCTCCTCCGAGTGAGCGATAATACGTGAGTGGGCAAACCGGAAGTCTCCCTCCAACTTTTGTTCGATCGCCGTGTCTATATTTCATATTGATAAAGGGTAAGGATGGTCGTTAGTCATTCCTGTGAGCGAACAAAGTATGTCGAACGCGTATCGATTGATGAGAAAGTGGAAGCAGTGGACTAATTACATTTGCCGAAGGGAGGCGAGAGGGCACGGAGGATGACACCAGACAAGAAAAAGTATCCGATCATGTAGAAGGGTGCCTCTCCTCCGCTATATAATTCCAATTGAAAACAACCAAGTGCGTAGCGTTAGCCTCCATCTCAGCAAACTCTCATAAAAAAACACCTTCATTAAAATGACAAACGGTCTGTGTGCCTACATGGCTTCTCCAAGTTTGTAGGCAAAGAGGACGATATCGACCAGGGGTTTGGCAATGTCCGAGTACAAGTGACTGAGGTTGTCTGCAAACTTGTCAATGTCCTGAGTCAACAGCTGATCGGCGTTCTGGATACGGTTGTCGATGTTGGAGATCTTGTAGAACGTGATTCCATCCAAGTACTGGTTATGTGCAAACTATTTCGTTCAATGGGTCGCCAAGGAAGGATGTCGTTGATGAGTATGGTGTCTGTGGCTAGCACGATGAACATGTCACTATCATATCGTATCAGAGTCGTCGTTACCTTGGTGAGACGCTCGCGGAAGGAGAGTGAGAGGGCACTGATGGTGAACTTGAGCGAGTTGTTGACCACACTCATGGGCCACTATGGACGATAATAATGCACGCAAAGAAAAAAAGAAAGAAAATACCGAATGGCATGTCCATGCGTTAGTTTTGTCCATGCGTTAGTTTGTCGTACACGGACAGCAAATATAATGTACAACGTAAATATATAACAGACCCCAGGAAGTCGCCAGCAAATAAGAATGAACATCGATTTCTCTATCCATGTGATGATGTGCAATCTCCGTTGCCTTCTTCCCTTTCTTCATTCCGTCGCCCTTGCTTTTCTATGCATCCAAGCACCCACAGTACACAACACCATATCATCCCCATCATGCAACCATTCTCTCCCATTACTACCACGCAGTGCAAGCAAACCAATCCCAATTGCAATCAAAAAGCAAAAGAAGCAAGGAAGATTGATTCTTACCATCATAAGGCCAAACTCAATAATGGCGTTGGCAATGAACTTCTTGCGGTCCCGGGACACGATCGCCTTGACGACCGCACCGTTCAACCCCGAGAACCAGACATCCAACCACGTTCTACATCGTCAAATCCAATGATCGAGAGATATAAAGAGGAGACCGTTAATAGAACTCAATTGACCCAACCAACGGCCGTCACTCAACTCCGCAAACCAGCCAGGGGCCAGGAGCGGGGGGTCTGTCTCATTACAAAATAACAACCCCACTCCACAGTCCACAGCTTGTCTATTCATCAACCATTCAACTCTTTCCTAGAAAAGTTACCTGGCGATCAAGATGGTAGCAAGGGCAGCCAAAAGTGCCGCCTCCTTACTCGCAAAACCCGGAATACAAATCGGCAACAACTTCTTCAACTGCTCCAAGAAATGTTTATCGACCCCAACCCTCCTTGCCTTCACTCCTCCCTTCTCCCCTGTACCTGCACCTGCTGCTCCTACACCATCCTTTCCTGCAGCAGCAGCGGCACGACGGGCACGGCGTTTGGTGCGGGTTTGTTGGCGACGGAGGATGACGTATGCGAGGAGGAAGGAGATTCCTGCGAGCGTTGACCGGGGCTTTTTGTGCAGGCCCAGGGGCAGACTGAAAACTGGCGCCATTGAGGAAAGGCGAAAGTGACTGTGTGTAAAGAAGAAAAGGGTAATGCGGAATGTAGGGATGTGAACGAAAGAGAGGGGAGGGAAGGAATCACCAAGAGGGAGGATGGAAGGAAGAAGACGAAAGGTGAAAGGGGAATGAAGAAAGAGTGGACTAAAAAGAAAGAAGAGAAAAGAAGGAAGAAAAGTAAGACGTCTAAAGTGTAAGTGAGTGGGTGAGCAATAGGGGAATTGACTGTGCGCACATAAGTGATGTGGGAACTGAGCGAAAGGAGGGAGTGGTTGCGTCGTTTGTGTCTGAATCCATCGGCCCGTTGGGGGGACTTGTCTGTGGTTGGATGGCTGCAATAACCAGGCAGGGTCTGTCTCGACTAGAGGTGACATTGGACAGTGGATGTGTGGGAGGTTATTTCCATGCACACACCCCCATATTTCTTCTATTGTTGACAGAAAAACAACAACAACAAAGTAAGCATCTCGCACCGACAATCACACCTCGGTTCATAACCTCATTGAACAAGAACAGCTTTTCTTCTACCTCACTTTCGTGTCCTCATTGTTTCTTCATAAAACAACATCCTAGCCTCTGAGCGAATCCACGTCTGCTCCGAATTCGCGAACAATGAACAAGCAAATAGGCAAACGTTTCTGGATTACACACCTATGAGGACCTTTGTAACTATTTATGCTTGCTAGATGGATAGTAAACAACCAATGACCTTCCAATAGCAATTAACATGGCTGAAGCAGTGTCTATTCAAGCGGATTTATTTTATTACAGATGGGCGCAATGAAAGAAAGAAAATTGAGATGAAGAGAGAAACTAAGAAGAGAAAGCCATTTATGCCTCAAAGACGAAGGAGACGCCGACCTTGTGGGCAGCCTGGTTCAACTTGGTGGTGTCAAAGAGACCACCGACAGAGACCTTGATGCCCTTGCGGAGAGCCTGGGTGTATCCGAGACCGAGGACACCGGCGTTGTTGACCTTGGCCTTGACAAAGGCATCGCGGTCGAGGTAGAGCTTGGCACCAACCTCAAGGGCAACGGGGGCCTTGGCGTGACCCTTCTCAGCAGAGGCGGGGGCAGCCTTGGAGTCCCAGACACCCTTAGCACCGACCTCGAGATCGGCGTTAATGCGGTGGTAGTACGAGGCCGAGAAGACCTTGAACGAGTTGTGGGCGTGGAGAGCAACAGAGTACTCGGGGGCGGTGTAACCGGCAGCGGCGGCGAAGCGGGTGATGTAAGATCCACCGACGTCGTAGGCGAGGTCACCTCCGAAGATGAAGCCGTCACGGCTGACGACGACATCACCGGTGAAGGTGGGGCCCTTGAAGAGGTCGAGGTAGGCGCGGGTGTTGAAGCCGAGCTTCTTGTACTGGACGCCGACCTTGGCGTTCTTCTTGCCCTCGGAGGGGAGGAAGCCTCCGGTGATGTCCAACTTCAAGCCCTTGGCGACCTTGTTCTCGAGCTCGATCTGGGTGGTGAGGAGGTTGCCGGTGGTCCAGGCCTCGGTGACGGTCAAGCCGTTCTTGAAGTCGACGTACTTTGTCTTGAGCTCACCGTTGATGGCTCCCGACTTGTTGTCCTGGTTACCGAGAACGTTGAAGGTCTGTTTTGAGGGATGTCAATTGTAATTGTAATCGAATGGGTACGGTGTATGTTGTATGTTGTATGTTGGATGTTGTGTGTTGCATGTGTCGATATGTTGTTGTGACAGGAGGTGACCGTGAGACGAGGATTATTCCGAAAAGACGCGATCACAGGAACACAAAATAAAACATTGCGCCACGGAAGACGGAGGATGGAGGACGAGTCAGAGAAATAGAAAGGCAGTATCAGAGCCAGACAAGAGACGGCAAGTTGGACCATCCAGAAAAGATATGTCGTCATTTTTGAAGGCATAACATGGACACAGGCAGCCAGGTTGGTAACAACATAATAGGTTGAACAAAAGGAAGAAAAGAGAAAAAAAAAGAATGGTTAGTGGTCGTTGTCCTATCAAGTCAAACACTCATTCGTACATACACGCTTTTTTCTCTTTTTTCTCTTTTTTCTTCGGTCCAATACGATGCTACCCTTGTTTGCATCCTCGGGCAACAATCACCCCCTTCTGTTCCGAAGGTAAAGCACAGCAAGGACGGGGTGGGGGCATGGCATGGCAACGAACAAACAAAGCAAAAACACCCAGAAACAACAAAGAGCAAAAGAAAACGTACGACTCCGTTAGGGGCAACGGTCTTGAGCTCGAGCTTGGTCTGTCCGACGGGGAAGTCCTTGCCGAGGAGGTCGTTGGCGGACTTGCCGACGTCAGCGAAGGGAACGGGGATGGTGGTGAAAGCCATTGTATTAGATCTATTATCATGGTGGAGTAGTGGTGAGAGAAAAGCTGGATAGTTAGTCTTCCGTTGCCTTTGTTGTTCCTTCTTCTCCTGTGAGTTCTCCTCGTTGTTCCTTGCTGTTGTTGAGCGCGATGAAGAAAAAAAAAAAAAAAAGAAAGAAAGAAAAACGGGTCTAAAGTAGATCCATCTCTTCCCGCGACTCCGAAGAGGGGTGTATGTGTTTTTGCTGCCCCTGATGATCTTCGCGATGAGACGCGACACGCCAATAATAAACCGAGTGGGTTCCGTTGTTCCGATGAAGGTGATGAGAGCGAGTTGTTTGTTGTTGTTTCATGGTTCGTTCTTCCTTCCTCTGCGCTGTGTCGTTGTCTGTCGAGTATGTTGCTTCCGATGAGGATGAGGATGAGTTTTTTTTGAATCTATAACAGCTTGTTTGTTGCTTACCTGTGAGGAGGAGGGAGTGGAGTGGAGTGCGGAAGAAGGAAAAAGAAGAAATCTTTTGAGAACGAAAAAAAGGGCGCCAAAAATACTCCTCGGTCCCCTTCTCGAAAAAAGTGACGTGCCTTTTGCACTCCCATCTCTTTCTTCTCACGTCCTCTTTTTCTTCTTCTTGACTTCTTCTTCATTGTTGCTGATACCATCTACCATCCTCTTCACTCCTACCCTCTCTCTGTCCCTCTCTCTCTCTCTTTCCCGCCTTTTCCCTTTCTTCAACACCTGTTCACGTTCTCAACGATTATCACGCCTCACACGAAAACATTCCAACTGCACTCTCTGCAAAAAGTACCTTGGTCCTCCTGTTCCTGAATCAGCCACGACTAGAAGTACTTGCGGGTGTTCCTTAGAAAAGGAGTAGTAGTATCACATCACTCTTGCCGCCACTTTCGCCTTTCCACGGACTACCACAACGAGCATATATAATACGCCCTGCTGACATACTCGAACTCAATAGAGTTTGGTGGGGTTGAGGCGAGAACACAGAACAGAGAGAAGGCTAGGAAAAATGAGGAATGGGAAAAGGAAAACGATGACAAGGGGCAGAGGGCAGGATGAAGAAAAAAAAACGGGCTCCAAATAAAACAAGTGTTGTTGCCATTCCCCTCTTCTCTTGTGAAAGCTTGAACGGTATATATAACATGCTGTCCTTCGCTTGCTTGCTTGTTTGTTTGCATGCCATGCCTCTGTATATGCGGAGTAATAAACTACGCACTGTCATGGGCCGGACACCGACCGCATACATGCCCATTGGCGCTATCATCCAATCAACCGTTGACATGCACCGCCATAAAACTAACGCGGGACATGGTATGTTTTTGTTCTTGCTTGCTTATTTGTTTGTTTTTTTTTATAGTCGGAGATGACATGAACCTCTCTACTCTACATGTCCAAGCTGGGTCTTCACCTTTTTGATCAGTGACTTTTTCATAAACTGCTCCCTTGACAAGTTCCGAACATGCTATGCAATAGAACAAAAGAACGGTTAATAATTGTTCAATGCCTGAAAATGGACACGCGGCTACAGATAACTAGATCTCACCTTCATATAGGCGTTCAGCTCGACTTTGTCCTGGCTGAGTGCTTGGTCGAGATAGTAGATGGTGTCTTCGATCGCAATCTCTTCTGCTACCAACTCAAAAAGTCTAGATACCACCAAGAAGAACGTAAAAGGGGAGTCAGTGGTAGGTCCGTGAGCACAGCTGTGAAGGTATGCATCCATGACAGAGGTATGGAGATGAGAGCAAGGTCTCTTACTGATTGTGAACGACACTGCTGCCGCAAATAATCTCGTCTACTGGCTCCTCTGGCCACGTCCTGATCTGTTCAATCTTGACGTTCAGCTGCTCAGTGCATCTGTTCAGCGTCACGATATTGTGCTGAATCTTGGTCTATAGTTTAAATGAAATGAGAATGGCCGTTAGTCCTGTGTTCTTTTGTATGGGAAAAAAACGCCTTAGCGATGTCATAAACCCCAAGGGAATGCGTTTGCTTTACACTAAGGTCTCTGAGACTCAGAAGCTCGGCTTTGGTCCTGTTTTCGGCATCATTGAGTTGCTTGTTGACATTGACAAGGTTATCCATTTCGCGGGACGATGCCGTGTTGAACTCCAAAAGCGCTGACTGGAGTTTGGTGTAGAGCTGTGCCTGTTGTGGGGTGAGTTGTTGGGTCGACAGTCCAAAGTTGGAAGGTGTAGGGTATCGATTTTGCTGTTGCTGAGAGAGGTCGGAGGGTTGTTGTTGTGACGACGACATGGCGGATGAGTTGGTTTGTCTTGGCGTGTATGACAAAATTGGAGGTGCTGGTCTCAACTATTCCGTTGGAGATAAATCCAATGGGGCAGTGCTGTTAATATCAAGCACATTCATCCTATGCATAAAACGGTCTACACTGACGATTCTTCAGTGTGCAATCCAGGTAATTGTCGCTTACAGATGTGGTGGGTGAAGGGTATCCTCCTCCGATGGTTGGGCTGGCCTGCTGCTGTTGTTGCTGCTGTTGTTGTTGCTGTTGTTGCTGCTGCTGCTGAGAAGAGGTGTTGGATTTGGCATAGACTGGCGGTTCTTGAGAAAAGACGCCTTGCATGATGCCGATGAGTTCCACAAGGTTGGACTAAGGAACAAAGGAGAAAAAATACAGAAAGATTTGACCCCGTCGTTAGCAAAGCGTGTCCGTATCCTTGTGTTCTTTGTGTTTCATGTGTCCTCGAGCACACTGTACTGTTCTCACGCCGCATGACAGACACAGGTTTGTGTAGATGGAAACACTCACATCGCTCCTGTTGCTCCAGTAGGCGAGGTAAGGGTGGTAGCATCGTCCACTGATGTCGACATATTTTCCTGCCTTGACGAGCATCAATGCTGTTGGGGTCACAAAGACTATGGGCGCCACTGAAGGGTATGAGGTGGGTAACCAAAATGCGACCGGGATGTTGTATGTCGCCGACTGATAGACGATCGGTACGGTGCCAATGAGCGATAACAGTAGTTGCGAGCGTCCATCATCGTGGGCTAAAAAGTGCCAAGATAAGGAAAGAGAGGTCAGTAGGAGTGCTTTCTTTGCGTTAAGTTTCAGCGTGGCTCGCTCGGGAAGCAAAAGGCAGCATAGGAACACGTCATACTGTAAGTTTCTGCCTTGGGCACAAGGAAGTTTTGAAAGAGTCTCAACACTGACTCGACATCAGCATACATCCGGTCCCTGTGTTGGTACTATGTGCGTCGAATTGCATGGTCAATGAATGACGAAGGTGTAGAGAGGTTAGTTGTCTGATGTCCTGTCTGTCTTGTAGTTTGTTACGCCATGATAGGTTGCATGCTTGCCAGTCTGACAAGGAGAGTGAGCATGGTCAGATGGTGTGACGCTGGCATGGGGTTTGGCGTAAGTGGGTGCGTGACAAGAAGACAGGAAGAGTTAACATACGCCGATAGTCCTGAGGACGCTTTGGAGCCATCCTGCAATCTCTGGATCCATGTTGGCAGTTGTTGTTGTTGTTGTTGTGTGTATGAGTGAGTGTGCTGTGTGAGTGGGTTGTCGATGGTGGCGTCCAGCAATGGAAAAGGAAAAGGAAGAAGCAAAGAGGGGAAAGTGTAAAAGTGTAAAAAGAGTGAGAGCAAACACAAAGGAGTGGAAAAACTATTGTGCATTATTGAATGGTGATGTGGGCCTGACTGGCTGAGGATATCGAATCGAAGAATTGGGTTGTGCGCCAAGAGGGATTTCATTGAATTGAACGACAGAACGAACGCGACGACATGGTCACTTTTCACGCATATGGTCATAACTATGCTACACGTCTTCTTTCTTTCGTTATTCCTTTGCACCCAAGTACCTGCTCGTAGAGGGGAGACATGGCTAACATCATCCCTGGTCAATTGATCAATAAAACCATGGTCAAAGAACACAAATGCCATCGATACCCTTGCGAAACGATGACTGACGAGTTCTTTGCTTAAGAGGTCATACCCTATTTAAGAATCCACAGTGGCACCCTGTCCCTTTTTTTTTTCTCTCCTCCTCCCCACTCTCCTCCTCCCCACTCTCATCACCCCCACTCAACCTCCCTCCTCCCCTCCAACTCAACAACCAACATCACAAAAACAATGGCTACCAACGGAACTCCCATCATCCTTAAGGACCGTGCCCAGGCTCTGGCTCACTACCCCCATGGCCGCATCGCCAATGGAATGATCTACGTCTCTGGCATCTCCTCCCGCCGCCTCGACAACACGTAACTTTTTTCTTATTCCAAAAAAAAAATAATTGTTCTCACGGTTAGCATTTCAGCAAGTGCTCCCCCAACTGATATTACTACCATTATTGTATGGACTTGCTAGGTACGAGGGTGTCAAGGAAAATGCGGACGGTACCTTCGAGCTCGATATCAAGTCCCAGACCAAGGCCGTCATCGAAAAGTACGGTTCGATTGCCTCTTTCACAGAATCATTGCAGCGGATTGCCAACCATCCGCTCTTGCCTGACCTTTCTCTCCCTTCATCCCAAAATAGCATCAATGTGATCCTCCAGTCCAAGGGCGCCTCGCTTGCCAACATTGTCGACATGACCATCTTCCTCACTAACATGAAGGATTATGGTGCCATGAACCAGGTACAACAATAACAACTATCTACCAACTAGTCGGGATCAGAACAACACTATCAGCTACCGATCGAAGCGCTGATCAATTTGATTGATCACTTCTAACACCTATTGTTTTGCCACTAATTTCACTGATATGTCAGGTCTATAACGAGTACTTTGATGCCGAGACCGGTCCATCGAGAACCTGCGTCGGAGTCCTGACTTTGCCCTCTGTAAGCTCCCCTCCTCCTCCTCCTCCTCCTCCTCCTCCGCTTACATCTTCATTTCGACTTTGCTACGGTTTTTTTGTATTATTTTCAATGCCAATTTGTCGCAGTTACTAACACACTCTGTTCGTTCTTCTTCCATTCCCGTGCGTCCATCTAGCCTAAGCTCCTCATTGAGATCAAGGCCATAGCCTTGGCTCCTTAGACAACCAGGATAACCTCGCACAGCAATAAACATATAATATTTACACTCAAACGACCATAGAGCATAAGCAAGCAGAGATATAAGGCAAATAGGTCGTCATTTTTATTTTTTACATCAAAGCTGGTTCTCGATACCACACGACCATAAAAGGCGGGAGATACCGGTAGTAGCGACGACCTTCAGCTATTTATCCTCGTTCTCCAAAGACGTATGTGCCATTTCTTTTTACGCTCGACTTTCAATTAAACGCGACTTCACATTCTACACAAACATAATGTTCAGCAGCGCCTTTTGGCATGAAGTACTTTATATACTACAGGTTTCGACAACAAGCTATCTACCCTATGTCCTCGTTCCTCTTGCAGTATTCATCTATACCCCATATCCCTCAACCGCATATACCGCTCCTGCGCATCCGCAACACACCCCTCAGCAGCCTTGCGATACCAAGCCGCAGCCAACCCCATATTCAAATCTTTCCCTGTCCCCGTCCCCAACCCTTCTTCATACATCTGCCCCGCCTGATACTGCGCCGCCCCATCCCCCTGTTGAGCAGCCTTCAAGATCCAATCCAACGCCACTTTATCGTCCTGTAGAACACCTTTCCCAAGCCTGTATCGCTCTCCGAGTGCAAATTGGGCGTCCTTGTTTCCTTCTTTGGCGTCGCAGATCACGATGGAGATGGTGTCGCTTTCAAAGTAGGTCGAGAAGGTGGATCGGGGTTGTTGAGGGCGTTGGGGTTGCGTGGTTGGATGATAATCGTATGGTGGTAGCTCGTCGTCGTCGTCCTGTTGGTCGACGATTGTCAAGGAGGCAATGGATTCTATCATAACGTCTCTCTCCTCTCCTGAATCCCTCGTGGCAGTGCTGGCATCGTCGACCACGCGCGTCGTCAACGTATCCTCTGTGCATACTGAACTGTTCTCGAACGCATCTCCAAGACGATCACTTGTCCGAACCTCGTCGCGACTACTCTTACTTTATGTCATAGGAAATCAAATATTAGCATCTTGAATAAACACTCTCACATATCTCGTCGATAATTGTCAGCAAGACAATGCAGGGTACTTACAATAAGAGTGCATCAACCTTGGCTTGGGCAAAGGTATCCCCTTGAGAGGCAGCCTTGAGATACCATCCAAGGGCAGCCTTCTTATCCTGCGTAACTCCTTGACCCTCAAATAACAAATCGCCCACGCTGATCAACGCCTTGGTAAGACCCCGATGACTGTTCATCAGGTAACACTCCACCACCTTCTTGTGATCCTCTGGAGAAGTATCGCCCCGCTCGTTCAACTGTTCCAAATCCACATGGGCCGCTTTAGTGCTTCTCTTGGTCGCCTCTTCCACATGCTTGAGGGAGGCTTCCTTATTATTGTTGTTGAGGACGTGAACTGGCGTCACGACAGATGGCTGTTGAGTTGGAGCCAGTGGTTGAGGTGCGGGGTTGGACTGCAGAGCTGTGAGAGGGTCGTATTTCGGATAGTGCGATGCATGTTGACAAATCTGGTCCAGTCCCGATGGTTGTTGCGGTGCAGGTGCAGAAGCAATAGCAGGAAGAGGAGGAGAGACTTCTGCCTGCGTGGCAGAAGAAGCCTTTTGCTCGCTCACATGTACATCCAGCACAACATTCGGTACCGCGGCAATCCGAAACGGCTTCAACCTATTCCCCAGTAATAAAACACTAGTCAGATATACTTGTTCCTGACATTTTCCACAGTCGCCACTTCAATTTTGAAACAATTGCTCCAATAGAGACACGCACACACAAGACATACGGGTGATAGTCCGCGCCTTTCAGAAAGGGAAGCGCCTTGGCCTGGTGTCGGACATGAAGGGCGTCACCAAAGACTTGTCGGATATCGTCCCAGAGGACGAACTGGTTCTTGGTTTCCGGGTCGGTGTAGACCTGGATGTAGATGATATCGTCTGAGTTTGGGGTTGAGGGGCGACTGGTTCTGGAGACGGCTCGTATGGCTTGGACGTTTGGGTGCTTCTGTGTCATTTATGCTTGCTGGTTGTTTAGGGAGATGGAAAATAAAAGGAGGGGAGGAGGGTGTGGACGGGTTAATGTCGATGGTGGTTGAAGAGGTGACGGCAAAAGCGGATGTGGATGTGGATGAAAGAAGGGGACGATGGCGAGTGAACGAGAAAATAAAGTTCCCTGTGACGAGGGCGCAAAGGTTAAAAAAGTCACGGCGTAGGCGTGTGCAAGCGTGGATGTTTGGGACAATCATCACATTGAGGTAAAATATAGCCTGTGCTTTTTGTTTGTTTATTTGTTGACTCGGAGTGAGGAAATAAACGAAACAACGATGCCGGGACCGTGAAACTGCATGCTCGCGTGCATGCCCATATCGCAATAACCACATGCAACTAAGCCCTTTCAGCTGCTCGAGAGGCACCAAGAAAGACAACAACCAGCTAGCTCAATCCCTGTACGCCTTCTTCTCATACCGTCTGCGATCATCATCCGACACAGAGTCATCCCTCGCAGACCGCTTGACATGTGGAGGTACACTCTTCTTTTGTGCTGGGCTAGGGCTACGGCTATCCTGGTTCCTGCCTCGACTTCTGCTCCGGCTCCCGCTGTAACTCCTTGACGTGCTCCTGCTACGGCTTCTGCTACGAATATAGCTCCTGCTCCTGCTTCGGCTTCTGCTTCCGCCTCCTCTGCTGGGGCTCCGGCTGCGACTTCTGCTCCTGCTGAGACTGCGCGTCAAGCGACGACCACGGGGTGGTTCAGGCGACGGGCGGTCGCTGGCCTTGATGCTTTCCTTCTGTGGTTGTTGCTTCTGAGGAGCTGCTGATGCTGCCGATTTTTCCGATTTCCTGCCTCGCTCTGCGCTGACACTCCTACCTCTGCTCACACTTCTGCTCCTGCTTCTGGGCGAGACTGAGCGTGACCGAGATCCCGAGTTAGAGCGAGAACGAGATCCTGACAACGACCTCGAGTAAGAGCGCGAACGCGAACGAGAACGAGAGCTGGAGCGAGAGGATCCTGAATAGGAGCTGCGTGAAGATCCGCTGCTGCTCCTGCTGCTCCTGCTGCTTCCACTGCTGGACGACGACAGCGATCTAAATAGGCCAATGGGTTATTAGGCGAATCGGTTAGGTCATATATGGCAATTGGGTGGTCGTTATACAAAATAGCGGAGCTCTGCTTGCATGTGCGTGCATGCGGTGCTGTACCTTCTGCGGCTCTTCTTCTTCTTGTCCTTGTTCTTCTTTCTCTCGGCTTCCTTGTCTTTGAGAATCTTGGCCGCAAGTCCTTCCCTGCAGTAGCAAGAAATAACACGTATACATGTTTTGTTAGTCCAGTCCTTCTCATCAACAAAGTACATCGCCTTCCAGGCTCTGATGTGACCAAACAATAGCAGGCATTCAAAATGGTATTCGCAAAAAGTTACCTCTTGGGCAAGAACTCCTCAGGGACTTCGACCTCAACACGCTTCAAGGGCTTCTTGAGCTGTTGAGTCCTGGTTGGGCGAGCCTTATAGGCTCGTTCGGCTTTACACTCGTAGGTGTAATGTCCAAACTCGAGACACTTTTGGCATTGCTGGGTCGCGGGGGCCTTTGCACTGTTGGTTGAGGCCGAGTAGCGGGGTCCTGACTGGCGGCCGTACTTGTTCATCATTGTGTGATGTATTGTTGATGTGAATCCGGTTGGTGGTGGTGTGAAAGATGGTGGTGTGTTGGTGAAAGGTGATCAGTCCGTGAAAATCAACGAACAGAGGAAAATAAGCAACAGCAATGGAGTGAGGAAACGTGACATTGGTTTTAGAATGGTTGTCAAGGTGGCTTGGAAATATGATACCCTTCATATCATATGACGCGAACACGACGCGATCCAAGGCACCTGTTTGTCTTTTCCAGTCAGGGGTGGGGTGTGAACGGAACGCGAGGACGAATAAAAACAAAAAGGGTCGAGGGACAATTACCCGCTTGTCGTTCGTTTGTTTTTGGGGGGTGAGTTCGTTCTTTTCTTTTTCCCGCGACAACCCCTCCTCTCCTTTCCCCTTGAACCGCAAAACCACCTTCAACTCGCTACTCAAATACTACACAAAGCATGCCCCCCTTCTCCTTCTTAACTGTTATGTTCTCAAACCACTTACCCTCACTCCTCACCTTCACCCCTCTTCAGTGTCCAGGCGTTGCAAAAAAGAAACTATTGGCGCGTGTTAATGGGTTCCTCCAAGCACCTCCGAAAGAAAACATTAACCAACTCAACAATAATTGAAACGCCTGGGATTTTTACTATCGCAGGGTGCTTGTTTTCGCCCTCTCACTCGCCCTTGGCTCTCAAACTCACCTCTCATAGCAATAACAAACAGGACAAAAAAAGGGGGGTCAGACTCTGTTTTTTTGCGTTTGTTGTGTGCGTTTTGCGCAAATAGCATATCAAAACGGCTGGCTAGGTTCTTGAAACACCTTTCCCTGTACCCCATATGGTTGAGTAAGCCAGGTCGCACAAAAATACCCCAACCGCTCACTTAAAACAGATCTCATTTTTTTTCACTTTTTTTCTCCACGGCATCTTAAAACACTCATCTACCACAGCTAGATACTCAAAGTTAAAGACGCCCTTGTTTGTTTGTCTACTGCTTGATCAGCACTTGTGTTGAGGCCCCCTGTGTAACGGTGTACGTAAGAGTCGCTGGTTTATTTTTGGGGAGAAGTATACCCCCGTATCAAAGATCCTCCACAGAGCAGCAACGACTCCGAGGGGAAGGGGGAAAAACAAAATGACGGGGGTGGATGCAACAAAGAGAAGGGTTAGGGAGATCAGGGAATCTCCAGAGAGGAGGAAGAGACGGGGGGTACATACATCCGGGTCATCTATTAAACTAGAACTATCGAACAAAGCTTGGTGTGTCGAACATCAAGGAGTGCCCATAGTCTATCATCTAAATATATCATCCATGCCTATAGCCCATCCTTCCGTTTGCTCATCTTGCAAAAAGAATCAAAAAATGTGTCCTGCTTCACATTCAACCGACAGGACGTATATCTGGCGAGGGGGGTTTTTTTTCGCGCATCTATGTTGACACACATCTAAGCAAATGCTAAACACAAAGCTATCTTTCATAATCATCCTCCTCCCTCTCTCTCGCCCTCGCAGGTGTCCATCTCCCTGTCTTCTTTGCGGCTTTGTTGTTTTGTACAGTTGTGCATCTTGAGATTGACCTGGCATGACATGATACGAAACCGTTGTGAGTGCATACCCGGGTGTAAATACGGGTGCTGGTGCAGGTGATCTAAACAAAACCTCCCCCCCCCCCCCCCCCCCCGGCCAAGGCCCGAGCACACATACAAAAACGACAAACACAGTAATAGAAGAGTGATGCAAGAAGGATGAAGGAAAGATAAACGAAAACTCAATTGATTGCAAAACACAAATAGGTTCACTGTGCATGGCGAAGTGAATGGGATGATGAGGCAGGAAAGAGTGAACAGTAGGACTACTGTCCTAGGCGCATCTCAATTGTATTGTCATTCGATGCAATGGTTCTGTTCTAGAACTAAAAATGCAACATCGTCCTCCCCCCTTCGCGTTCATCAACTACTCCTTCATTGTCAAGCATCGTTCATCCTCTAACTGGTCTTCCAATCGCGTCCCGATCCTTTCTTCCTCTTCCTCTCCTTATGGCAAATATAGTATGAAAAGGTTCTGACATGGACCAATTGGTCAATGTAGGAAAATGGTGATACCGATTATACTGATGATGATTGAGAACACATCACAGAGAGAGGAAGGGGAGAAGAACGTCGCAAAGTAGACAAGGGAAAAGAAAGGAGTGATGGGAAGAGGAGGAAAGATGAGCAGACTTCTTGACTGCTCAGAAGGGATCCTAAGAGTTCTTGCACGTTATTTTGGTCTTTGTGAAACGGAACCAGCTTTCAGCTCAAAAAAAAAAAACAAACAAGGGCACACCAAGGAGAGGTAGACGAGGAGGAGAAGCTAATCGTCTCTCCCTTTTCCATCATCGGCCTCGCTCCTTGCCTGTCAGACAGATGGATCACAGAGTATCAATTGGTGGCCATTGACGAGCAAAGCGAAAGCGAAAGCGAGGACGTGAGCGCGCAGTAGGTGTCTGTGCGACAAGATAGCATCCCTTCCTTTTCGTTTATTTTCAATGTCAAACCATCACGAAAACTAATCGTCAGTTTGAAAATAGTTGCTATCTATCTCTCATAGTGCCCCCTTTGGTCCCTTTTTCTTTCCTTTTTTTATCTGTTCGAGGGGGTACAGAACACACGAGAGGAAGACCAACGGGGGCAAAGGAACGAAGTAAGAAAGGCACAGAAGTAGAACTAGAAGCAAAAGGGGAAAGTGAGGGAGAGAGGGAGGGGGGGGTTAGAAAGAAGGATACGATACCAACAAAAGAAAAAAGGGAGCAAGAAGGTGGTTAGGATGCATTGATTTGTCCAAGTGCAGAAAGCACAAGCACGAGCACAAGCACAACAACAAAGAAAACGGACTGGACCGCTGTCTTTTTGCATGTACTGTACATGTACTTTCATGTCCATCCTCACATAAGCCCTGCATCGAAATAAACAAAAAAAAAAAAAAAAAAAAAAAGACCAATTAGGTTGGACAAAAAAAAAGGACTCGCTCGCTTGTCTGTTGCACAAGTCAGCAAAAGGAACGCAATGTGAGGTGAGTAGGTAATGCGATGCAGTTACAGGATGCGCTTTTGTTGCCCTTTGCGTTTATTCTCCATCAAGGGTCTGCGTGTTTGTTTGGCGTTGTAAAAAGGGACTGATGGACCCGTTTGTTTGAAGGATGGTAGGACAATGGAAGTAGCGTGCTCAAGTCTGTCTCCATGTGTGTTCAAGCATTTAGGTTACTGCTGGCTTGCATGAGCGCACCATGCCCTCGTCTTTCCGTCCGTGTGTGAAAATAATTCTGTTAAGTGCTGAACATCGAGCTATTGAGGACAAGGGTGGAAGACATGCAGATGGGCATTGACCATTCCATCTAACCATTAGAAACATTTAGATTGCGATCTATTATATACATACCAATTCCGTAGTATTCGTCATCGACATATGCTATTATGAATGGAAGAGAGACGACTGGTGCCAGAGTAATGAAAGAAAAACAAAGTATATATAACCGGCTAAGCTACTTGCGTGCCCCTCCCCTCTCTCTCTCGTCTATAACCGGCGTTGTTGCCAGAAAGGGGAGGGATGGGTGCGCTTGAGTTATTAGAAAAGCCGAGAGTGAAGGCGAAGTAAGAAGGAAGAAGGAAAAATATTGGTTTCATGGCTATTTTCTACTCGAAAAGCTCATTTATTACGATTGAATAAATCCATGTTACACTTTAGATTGCGCGTTTCGACCGGGGTTCTCATTATCCCCCTTCTTCTTCCTTCAATGGGTCCATTGTGCCTTTGTGTACTGTTCAATTGGGCGGTCGGTGTAGTGCGCGTCAAGCTTTTTAGCGGTGTTCCCTTATTTTCTTGTGTTCCGTCCATGCCTTAATGTTGACATGAACATGTGTGTCAATTTGTTGAGTTGTTGTTTGGCCCCTCCTTGAAAAAATGTTAGAGTCTGTCAGCACCCATCCAGCCCTGAGCGAAGGAAACAACCGTGCATCTATCCTGAACACAAAGGGTTCCTCAGACTCTCTGTCCCTTGGGCAGCATGTCAAAGTAGTGATCAATGGGAGTACAAGCAGATCCATACATTCAGTCATTCATTCAGCATTGATATCTCATCACTCGTACCTATCGTCACCACCATCATCGTCGTCATTCATAATCGTTTTCCAGCATCGTCATTCGCCCATGGTGACATTGGATCCGTGTTTTTTGTTTCGGCCCTTGCACTTACTGTCTATTGTGGCATCTACCTCAGAGGTGGACACACTTTCGCTTTCTTTAATACGTATTTCGTCTCGCTTGTGCCGACTGTTGGAAGGTAGCAGAGTGTGTGTGTGTGTGTGTGTGTGTGTTGTCGCCCCTCGTTCCTCCTTCGTCCTACCTCTCTGCCTCAACTTTTCTTTCCCCTTCTTTTTTCCCCTCCGTCTCTCCTTCGTGTCCTCTTCGTCTGCTGCTTTCGCCACATAATAGCAAACCACTGACGGTTGTTTTCAGTTGTCTGTTGTCTCTCATTTCTATTTTTCACAAGGGCTACGACAGAAAACGTCCTCTCGGATCTTTCAATGCTGCTAGCAACCTTTTCGGATCCATCTCCTCCTTGTAGTCCCTTTCATCCGTCCCCATTGAGCTCATACAAACAAGAAAGTCCCTTCTTGATCTTGATCCCGTTTATCTGTTTCTGTGAGTGTGTAATTGTCGCTTTCCGCCCTTTGCTCCGTGTACGGCTTGGCTGCGCTTTGGTTCTTGCCTGAGTGTTGCAACAAATGACAGTGGTCCGATGTTCACTCATCATTGAACATGCTGTACAACATAGATTACACACCCAACCCAGATTCATAGAGTACGCAATCAACAGATGTGTAAGCAAAACATAAAACAAAAGGTAAGGCAGGGATTGGCAAAGAGAGAGAGTGAGAGATGGTATAGAGCAAGATGCGATTAGTGAACGAGAGACATGTGTGTGCATGCATCACCTTACCCACCCACATTGCCTTCCCTTACAGGTTTGTTTATGTACAATTGTGGGTAAAAACAAACAAACAAACAGAGAGAGTAGCTCGTTCTCTTCCCTCCTTCCCTCTCTCCTCTCTCCTTCTTCGCTCTCTCGTTTTTACCCCCGTCTCTTTCCTCTTGTTTTCTCTTGCCCCTTGTGTAATCGAATTCAATTCGGATGCAGCAAACAATTTCAGGGTCGTTGTTTCTATTGTGGTCGTTTTGTTTTGGATGCAGCAGCAACCCTTTCTTTTTTTTTCGAGCTCCTAGAAAAAGAAAAAATAAAGTCTCCTCGAAAAATACACACAAGGGTGACAAAGAGAGACAGACACGGCGAGCCAAGGGATGAGATCAATACACACTTGTACATACACACACTGACAGACAGACAGACAGACACATACGGATCAACTTTCTATGAATAAAACAACAGACGATCCCAATTGAATAACGACGTCAATCAATCACGACCAAGTCAGTTAACATGTATACCCATAGGTATATTGCTACAAGCCCTCTTTTCCTTTTCCCTTGCTTTTATTATTTCCTTGAATGAAGTAGATCAAAGACAAGTTAAAAAGAAGTATAAATAATCAATCCCCACCACACCATCGTCCCTCATCCTCAGCAAATCAACCCACCAACCACCACTACCTCAACATCAGCCAGCTAACAACCAATTAACACCATCAAAGAAACCCTACCTGCACTTTCCATCCATTTTACTAACGACAGGACATACCTCTTCCAACAACATCCGCGCTCGACCCACATCTTCTGATCCAACAAACAAACAACAGAAGCAAGTACAGCAACAGAAACAACGAAAAGGCAATCAAAACCCCTATCACAAGCATAAGCAGGAAGCATAAGCCCTTCCCCCCTTTTTCATTTCTGATCACATCTATCAATCATTAAGACCAACAAAGTGTAAATCAGTCAGTGCATTCTGATTCCATCCGGTAAGGATCAATGAACACTTCATTCTGTTCGTCATTGTTTCTATTTCTATTTTCACCCCTCATCCCACACCCTTTGGTCGTCTCCCCTTCTCGCTTTCATATACACAACAACACTTTCTGTCTCCTATGTGTCCATCAAACGCAATTGCATTTGCTGTTCAATTGATGATTCATCTCACCTCAGCTCATCCTTCTTGCCCTTTGTCCCTTTGACAAGAATAATACGAAAAAAGGAACACAGACAGACATTGTAACTTCTCAGGGCACAGACATCACAGAAGCAACAGAGAGCTTTCGTTTGATGTTTATTTTCGTATATGCTTCTCCTCTCCTCTCTCTTGTGCGTCCAGCTGTGTCCCTTGACAACTGTTCCGTTTCCCAATTGCTCAATGAAATGAAATCCCTTTTGCAACAAAAAAAAGAACTCCTCCCTTGGGCGATTCTACAATTTTCCCTTTCTCTTTTGGTCTCTCTCTTTGTCTTTTTTCACACTCGTATGATCTCGACACTGTCGACTTGTTACTCTTCACGTCTTTTACCATTGGTACCCATTGGACTTTCTTCCTCTTTATCATCAACACACACACAACCCCCTCTCCTTCCCCTCTCCTCTTTCTCTTCTATATTTTCGACAACTTTCTGTGCTCCACCACCTCCTGCCTCTCCCTTTTCTACCAAACCTCCTCCTCCTTCACCAGTACTCATCATCCATCCTTCTTTTTCTATTTTTCGACATTCTACTCCCTTCTCTCTCCTCCCTTGACCTCCCTCTCCATACAGGCGACACACACACATACACGTCCATCTGTACCAAAGCACACCTCCCGCATCAACAACCAAGTTCTCGGGTAACACCTTCCCTTCAAGAAAACTCCACCCAAGTATATAAAGGTAACGGATCTTCTCCCCAAACTATCCATCATCATCACCATCATCATCGCCAACAACAAACAACAACAACATCAACATCCCTTCCCTGTTGCCTCCACTTGGCTCCTCATAGCGTTCTTACTGCCCTTTTGCTTTTCCTTCTACGCATTACTATCAAACCAACCATCTAACCCAATACATTACATCTTCTTTCACTCTCGTTCACCTTCCATCCCGCCATTGCCATTTATTCACATCTCCCCACCTCACAAATTCCACACTTCCTATTTTTCCCCAATCCTTATCTTCAACTTCTCTCTCAATCCCTCTTTCAACCACCAACCACCAACCAACCAACCCCCAACAACACCTCCCTTCCAACAACCCAACACCAACACCACCAAAAATGGCATACTTTACTCCAGCTTCAATCCTCGCATCCATGGACACCCCCTGCACCCCCTCCGCCATGCTCTCCTACAACGGCTACCACCTCCATGACGGCACCAGTATGTCCTTTGACGACTCTTCCGATTCTGACTCCTCCTACTCTGGCTCCTCCTCTTCTTCCTTCTCTACCGCTTCCATGGGTCTCCACCCCCAAGATCCAAACCACCCCCACAACCACCATCACCACCATCACCTTAACGGAGGAACCATGCCCCAACACCACCACCAGCATCCCCAAGCCGCCCTCCCCCCTCAGCCCCAGCCCCAGCAACAACAGCAAACTCAGCAGCCGGGTCAACAAGTCTCGTACCATTACTTTTGCAACTTCCCCACTTGCGACTACCACTCTGCAAGATCGGACCCCGTCAAGCGTCACAGGGACACGCATTACCCGGATTACAAGCCTTACACCTGCAACTACTGCCAGTCTTCCTCTGCGAGGAGGGATTCGACGAGGGAGCATTGTTTGAAGCAGCATAAGGATGATTCGGAGAATGCGTTCCGGTATGATACGACAATCCCCAAGCCTGAAGGGTGGATCGCCTATGAGCCCAAGCGTGCCCCTTGGCCTCCAATCATGGTCTAACTTGACCATTTGCTCTGAACTGTTACACAGCAGTTAAGAAAAAAAGGTCGTGCTGAGTGTTTGTTGTGTCTGTGTGTGACGCAGCAGGATGCATGCGTGCACGCACACAGATTAGACAACAAACAAAAAAATTCCCTCGACCTAAATTTTTGTTCGTTCCATGCATCGAACGATCAAACCCTTGCCTTTTCCCCCTCTCTTTTGCTTCGCCCATTTGTTTGTTTCTTTTCCCTCCCCTTTTGTCCCATCAGTCGCCCCCCCCCCCCTCTGTCCTTTTTTATTGTTTAGTTCCGTCTTTTTTTCCCTTCCCTTTGTCGTTTTCGTTGACGTTGTTCGTTTTTGCTTTTAGATTCCTTCCCTTTCATACTGTAGATCAGCCCCTTCACTTCCTCCTTCTTTACCCCTTACCTCATCCCATACATACTCTACTTCCTTCCCCCCCTACCTTATCACATTACCCCATCCTATCTTGCTCTTCTTTTTGTTCTCTTGTTTTCCTTTTGCTTTAGAATTACCCCCAATTGTACCAACTCCCTTATCTACCTACCTATACTTTTTCCCAATACCTCTGTCATAACCATTCATATCCATATCCATCCATATTCGCAAGTCATTAGCACCCAGGTGGTGCTATTTGAACCTATATTCTCTCCATCATAACTTATCAACCAGAAATAAAACCCCTACAAAACAAAACAAAACAAAACAAAACAAAACAAAACAAAACAAAACAAAACAAAACATAAACACTTGCAATGATGCGTGGTATTTTACTTTTCTACTCAAAATAACCAATACTTATAGATAGAGCAACGTGAAGATAGAAAGGGAAAGGAGAGAGAGAGAGAGAGAGAGAGAGACAAAAAAGGTCGACAGGTTTAAGCATCAGGGTGCTTGTTAAAGTCAGTATAAGTGGGGTGCTCCCTAACCGCCACAATGCGTTGGTTGATCATACACTGGATCAACCACTCCTCCGCCAACGAAGGCATGGGTCCATGCTTGTCACAGTACTCCTTATGCTCATCCGCACCGACAAATACAATATAGTTGCACGACATCGGACCCGACCGCGCCGTCACCTTCACCACCGTCGCTCCTGCTGCCTTCAGCTTGTCCATCCACTTTTTCTGTTGTTCGCGATTACGATTGAGTGAAAAGAAGACGACAAAGTAAAAAAAAAAGGTGTCAAAAAAAATAATTAGTGACCGACATAGCTGTACTTCGTTTCGCCTCACAGCACATATCAATCAAAATAAGGAGTGTACACCATACCATTAGGTCACTACCGCAGAGTCCAATCCGCAAACCATCAAAAATGCCACGGTCGTCAATGGGCTCAGTGGATACAATGGCACCCAGCTCTCTCGAAAATCCTGTTGGGAGCCGGTAGTGATGATAAGGCAGTAATTGGCCCTATTTTCGTAACACATACAAACAAATAAAATCGTAACATGTGAGCGAGAGAATACTTCAAAGAGTTTCATAAGCAGAACAAGTCAGCGTGGTCCGAGCAAAGATGGAGGACTTACGGCGTCGAGGCAGGCATCAACCCAACGATATGAAAGACGGGGAATATTCATGGCCAACGCGTCCATGTACTTTGGCGTCCGAAGATGCGTGTAGGCGATCAAAACCACATTCGTTTGTGGGTCACTCCGCTGGATGCCAACCAACTTTGAAAAGTCCTCCAACACTTCCCCTTTGCCATCGTTGATATTTTTAACTATTTTATGTACGTAGATTAGTGTAATAATCGGCGGTTAGACTATATTAACAGATCAATCATACTCTGCAAAGGGCCAACAACAAGTAGAGAAGCATTGAGGACGTACCTATTTTCTCCTTCTCTTTCGCTTTAGCGTCGTCTCCCAGAGATATAACAAACTTGAAGTCTTTGAAAATTCCTGTTTCTAAATGATGAAAATCCAAAAAGAGCCACACACATTTCATTAGTACATGGACCGTAGACTGAGATGTGATGTCCAGAAGAACGATTCATAGTGTTGCATCCAAATGAGAAAGTTGGTTACCTTTCCCACGTCGAGTTGGTGTCGCTGGTGCCAAGGATGAGAGGGCCTCAGACCTGCCTCGGCGGCTCGGAGTCGAGATTCCTGTAGAAGCCACTCTTGAGAGTCCCTTGCCTCTCTTCGGGGTGCTCGGCGGCGTCGACGCCTCCGCAGAAGACGGATCTGGCTGAGATAACAGATCAGCCGCGGAAACTCCCGAGTCCTCCATATCCCAATCAATGTCGCGATCCAGACTGTCCATCATGTCCTGCGTGAGCACAACATGAAGCAGCGCCACGTTTACCGCAACGTTGTCTTCAAATCTCACATCCACCCGCGATTGATGCAGTTCCTTCGAGATTTGAAAGCCTTCCACTGTCGCAGGGTAGTTTAAGATTTCTTTCTTTCCTTCCTCTTTCCTCCCCTCCTCTTTCCTCCCAGCCAAGACCTCTGCACCCAGCTGGAGTCTCAACGGACGCATGTCACCTCTCTCACACACTGAAGTGTCTCCGTCCAGAAAATGAACCTTGTACTTGTTCGATTCTTCGCCCTCAACCGTTCCTGCATAGTAATCTTTGTTCCAATGTGCCCAGACGGGGTCGCTCATCTTGTACGGCCTCAGGATCTCTATTTTGGAATGTGTTCTCCGTGGAGGGTTGGTCCGAGTAGACAACGTAGATACTGATCCACCCCTTGATCCTTTTCGCCGCAGCGTGCTAGGTGAGTTGATCCTGGGCCGGGCTGGGGATTTCGAAGGGGAGATAGCTGATCGCGTCCGGGAAGATGGTCCTGCGGCTGAAGATAAGGCGCTTTCGTCATCCTCGTCGACGGCTTTCTCTTTGCCTTTGTCTCTTACACCCAAGTGTTCCTCGATCTCGGTCTCTGAGGGTTGTTCGTTCGGGTAAGAGGCAATCTCCTGCGAGCCCGATCTAGAGCGCGCCCTTGGAGTCGATTTCTCCTGTGTTGTCGCCACCTTGGCTGCGACCTCCGTCCCACTGCTGACCCAGAAGGTATCGGCTTCCGAAAGGACCGAAGAGGCCACCTCCTCCTGTTGGTCATTACTTGAAACCGTTCGTCTGCGCTTGATTTCTACTGCGGCCCTGAGCTTGATCTCTGCGTCGGTCTCCACTACTACTGTTTGCAACCTGTCGCTGAACGAGGTCAAGCCAGATTGTGAAGTACCACTGTTCTGAGATGATGGCAATTCCTCAGGCTGAGAAGCATGCCGGCGGGGTGAACGAGCGGGACGGCTCTTGGACTTTGGGTTGACAGCAGACGTTTTGGCGATTGGAGGTGGTGAGGGCGGCAAGGATGACGTACTGGATCGCACTGGGTTGGATAACTTTTGGGTGACAATTGGCGCATCTAGCGGCTGACTGGCGCTCGTGGGACTGCTGGGATGTATCGCAGGGGTCGAAGAAGTTTCGTCCGCACTGGTTCTGGAGGGTGGACGTGATCGAGACTGTGGTTGAATCGACATCGAGTCAGTGGGGTCGTCCATGGTGTAGTGAAGTTCGAGATGACTAGTTGCGATGCTCGATCTCTCGGCGCCACTCTTGTCCTCCTCTCCGTCGCTGGGCAGAAACTCGTATCGGAAAGACTCCTTGCTCAGGTTTCCAACATCGTCATCATCCTCATCTCTCTGGGTCCGCTTCTTTGAATTCACAGGAGAAGGTGACTGTAAAGGTGAGTGGATATCCTGAGAGGTGATTTCACCGACGCCATCATCATCATCATCCTTGTAGGTCTTTTCGCGGGTTTGGGAAGAGGAAGCTTGGGTAAAGGAGGCCTCCGCCGCTTGAAAGCCTGCCTCGACATCATCTGGTGGCGGGTCTGGCCCAAAGTCGTCCAAAGGTAGAGTAAGGGGGTCGTCCTGATCAGTCATCCTCCTCTGACCAGCGATGCCGCGTTGATCCACCCCCGAAGTCGGCAGTTGGAGCGGCATAATCTCCTGGCTTGATCGTTGTACTTGTCTGAACATCTGGACGGTAACTGTTGGCGATCGGCCATGAAGCTGACTCTCCTGTGTTGGGTATTGTTGGCTGTCGGGGTTGGTCGAATAGGTCCCCAATGGGGATTGCTGGGAAATGGCTGGACTGGGGTCACTGGGTGTAGAATGTTGCGAGTGCTCTTCCTTACGAGGAGTGGAGGTCTTGACTCCTGCAAAACTCATCACAGAATGCTGAGAGGTATGGGAAACCTGAGAATCCAAGGAAGAATTGCCTGGAGAAGCTGAGGAGTGGTAGCCTCTTTGACTCCCTCCAGAGAATGGGGAACCTGAGGTCCGATGGCTCCCTCGTCCGCTCCGACTTGACGTGGACTTCTGAGAGCTAGAATTCTGAGAACCAGAATTCTGAGAACTAGATTGCTGAGAACCAGAGAGTTGAGAGCCAGAATTCTGAGATCCAGAAGCATGGCGGCTGCTGCGATCAGGATCGGAATGATTGCTTCGGGTACTGGTGTTGGATTGTTGCGAATCCACTGATTGATTGGCTTTGCTGAAACTGTCGTCGCTGCTCTTGTTGGAGCTTGTCAAAGAGTTGCTGTGATCGGAGTAACTGGCGTCCTTGTTGGAGGAGGAGGGTGTGAAGCTGGTATCTCCAGCCTGTTCCTCTGTGACATCCTCCGGAAGCACTTGGAGTCCGTGAGGTCCAAGACTTGGGCTTTGGGTTCCAGGAATGATGAGATCCTCGGGATGTTGTGTAGGGTGGTCACCATGGTAGTTGTCGTAATCCCCACGTTGCGTGCGGCCTGTTCCTGGGATCAAGTTCTGGGCAGATGCAGGTGCTGTTGTAGCAATAATAACAATAAATAATTTAGAATCACAATTAGCACTCACAAAATCATACAGCACGTGTCGTCCCATAATGGAGATGATAACCAAGAGAGACTGTACCGATGGGATGAGTGTCGGGAGAAGGGTCCAAAGAGGGAAGGATAGAGTCGCTGACTTGGAGTGTACTGACACCGCTCTCGCTGCTGCTGGTTAATGCAGTGATTGGACTGTTGGTTATGCGGTAGTCATTCTGCGAGGGATGGCGGACTGGTCCGAGGACGCCAATGGCAGTTGTGGATGCAGTATGTCTGGAGGACTTTGTCCGTGTTGTCGTAGTAGTAGTGACAGTGGCAGTGGTTGTGCGTGCTGTTGGTGTTGGGGGTGGCCCAAGTGGTTCGACTGCTGTCGTTGTTGCAGCTGCAGTGTCAGTGTCGGTGTCAGAGTGTTGTGAGTGGAGGGGGCTGGGTCGATTGGTGAGTTCCTCGGGGAGGATGGAGGGACTCTTTGAGGTCGACCTTCTCTGCGGGGGGCTGCTGTCTGGCATGGTCGGAGTAGAGAAGGAATGGGGGGAAGAAGGGAGTGTGCGGAATGGAAGGAAAACAGGAGGAAAAACACGAAGCTTAACTGCTCAGCCAGCCAGGCACAAACATGCATACACAGTCAACTTTGAATTGACAGTTGAGTAATTGGTGGCAAAAAACAAGCGGCTTAGCTCAAGGGTAGTTGTTGGACTCACAATCAGGTATGATCACAAGAGAGAAAGGATAGAACAGACATTCATTTTTTCAGTAAGGCTCGCGGGCCCTTTAATGACGGATGCAGAAAACAAGTACAAGATGTGTGTGTGTGTGTGTGTGGGGGTGAGTATGGGTGTGTGTGTGTGCGAAATAAAGCGAGTTAAAGGACTAAAGTGAGTAAAGGAGAGAAAAAAGAACGTAAAGACTGACTGAACAAGTATAAAAGCAGAGGGAATATCGTCCCCATCGGAGTGACAGGCACTTAGTCGGTGCGGATTTTCTTGCGGTCGTTGCCGCCACGACCACCACGACCACCACGGCCACCGCGACCACCGCGACCACCACGGCCACCACGACCAGCACGGGGCTCACGGACACTGCTGGCCTCCCACGACTTCTTCTCGTCAAAGAACTTTTGGGTGTCCTCATCCGAAACAACAGTGATCTCGGGCTTGATGCCGTTGAACTCAAAGTTAATGGCCTGGAGATCTGCAACAACCTTGGCAGCATCCTTGTCAGTATCCTTGATCTGGACCTCAATCACGCTGGTCTCCTTGGGCCAGAAGACGTATCCATAACGGAAGTGGTCCCTCATGGCATCCTTGATCTCCCTCAATCCTGCGCCCTCGCCAGTGGTAATGCCGCTCAAACGGATAACCTTACCCTTGAGGTCCTCAACAGTGTCCTCCTCTCTGGGTCTCTTCTTCTCGTTGCCGAATCCTTTGCTCATCTGGCTTTTCTTGATCTCGTTGGGGTCCAATCCCAATTGCTTTGCCTTCATCTCGCAGTAATCGTTCCTAATTGGTTGAAGGCACGCGTTTAATAAGATATAGACGATCCATAGGGTTAGCAAAAATAGTCTTCTTACACAAAGTATTTGCAATTAACACGATAATATACACAAACAATCCGGTGCAACAACGTTATTCTCTCATCGTGATTGACGTGACAGAATAGTCAGGCGACCCAGAGAGACAGAGATGTATATCTCAATGCAATTGATGCGATGATAAGGGGATCCAGGATCCTGCAAATGAACGAGGAATGACAACACTTACTTGGTCATGACGAGCAAGTCCTGTCCGTTGTACTGCAACTTGCTGGAGCCGACCTTGTTGGCCTCATCCAAAGTGGCATACTCGACAAAAACTGATCCCTTGAACTCGTTCGAGCCGTTCTTGCGTCTCATGCGGACCTGCTTAACATCACCGAGGGCGCCAAAGAACTGCTCCAACTCCAACTGAAGAGAGGGGGTCTCCTCACCAAAGCCTTTCTATAACATTGGCAATCCAATGGAAATAAATAGAAGTGATCAGTCTTGTATCCTCACCAGAAAATAATACGCGCTAATATCAAAGAGTACGCGTTTTTCAACAAAACATAAAGCAAGACCTACGGCGTAGATGGAGCGGTTGTGGTAGTCGTCGATGGGGCCGACGGGGACCTTGCGGCGGACCTTCAGGTCATCTTCGCTGACCTCCAAGAGAGACTTGGACTCACGGAGGGCCTCGACAATCAAAGCGTTGTCCTTGAAGTCGCGCATTCTCTTGAACGAGGCAATCTTGGCGATCGAAACGTCTATAAGATCGCAATAAAAAGGGCATATGTACACAAAGAGGCGTTAGTCCGATTGACAATGGTCCTTACTCTTGTATAAAACACAAGTCACGGTCCAGTAGTGGTCCTGTTTAAGTTGGTGTTGTTTGCGTGTCTGTATGTCGTCGTTGAAGCGATGGCGTATGTGTATGTTGTTGTTGTTGTTGTTGTTGTTGTTGTTGTTGTAGTTGTAGTTGTTGTTTTAGCTTGTGTGTTTGTGTTGCATGAGCGACAGAGAGATGTGGTTGGGAATACATACAGCCGTCTTTGGACTTGCTGACCAACTCGCTCAAGAACTTGTCGACGGGCAAGTTCGAGTCGCTGAAGTAGAACTCGACCTGCTTGAGAATCTTGGCCTTCTCCTCATCCTTGTTGACAACAGGTGCATCAGCAGTGGTGGCGGGGGCAGTCTCGGCAGCAACAGCAGCGACCTCGGTAGCAGCGGGGGCCTCAGCGACGACGGCGGGGGTCTCGGTGGCGACAGCAGCCTCGATGGGGGTGTTCTCAACGTTGTCAGACATGATGTAGAGTTGATGTGAAGGTTGTTGTTGTTGTGGGAGAGAAGGGAAGGAGAGAGAAGTCCTATGCTCGATGGCTTCCTAGTTGTTATTCTTTTTTTTTTTTTTTTTTTGCTTGTTGCTTTGTTCGAGAGAGAAAGGAAATGGGTGAAATTGAGAAAAGCCACTAAATGTCACATGATCATTCCCACCACCGCGCCACCAAGTGGTCATCCTGAGTCGAATGCTTCTGCTACATTATCGACTGCGGTCAAGCACATACATTCATACACACACTCACTGCCTCTTGAAAAACAACCTCGAGTAAGGACTCAGCCTCTTCTTCCTCTTCTCCCTACGTCATAGAGTTGGCAGGGCACGTTGTCCCTCAACTGACGCCTCCACCAAGATCGAGACGCGTTTCCTTCTCCACGAGCAGTCTACGGTCCTCACGAACATGGAAACGCAGGCATCAAAGATACTTAGGAGGTGAAGCAACAACGGGTTGGACTATCAAAGAAAATGAAGGGCTACTACCTAATTCATGCAGCCGCATATGCCTTTGATAATTCAATTTGCGACCTTGAACGCGCGTATGCGTTTTCCTAGGGTCCTGGTTGTTCCCTAGCAAAACAAAGAGATAATAAAAAACGCTTCTCCTTAACAAACGATCATAGACGCGCCAACCATGACGAATGTATACCATCCCTATCGCGCCCGAACATTAATCCGCCCAGTAATTGCATGGGAAACACAACATGTCGGTGCTTTATTTGATAGAACTATCTCAGTGCCATTTTTTAGGCAGGCTGTTTTTCTGAGCAGAGAAAGAGCGAGTGTACACAAAAAAAACGAGAGAACGCGGTAATAGGGCGGCGCCGATAGTGGCGGTGAGGGCGCGAGGAGCAGTCTAAAAAAAGGATCTTTATGTGCTGTTGTATCGTACGTCGGTTAATGATGTTTTGTTGTTGTCCCAAAAGTCCAATTCCTCAATGATACTCAAACATTGTTGAGCCTCTTCTTATTTGATTGACGCCCAAAGGTGCAGCCTCGTTTTACCTTGCCCACAGTACGCTATCTCGTGTCTCCACTTGCGAATGTTGAATGATGTGAAAGCAGGGAAGCATTTGTTCTGTTGACCTAAGGATAGCACCATGTGGGGAGAACAAATCACGCTGAGTGGCCCATCATATTTATCTGCTGTTGATTTTTGCTGTCAAAGCTTTTTTTTTCTGAGGCTGAGGAACGGATGGAGGATGAGAAAGGAAAAGAGAAAAAGGGAGGTGCATTTCTGCTGCACGGAAAAAAAGGCGCAATGAACATGGGATTATGATGCAGTGGGATCGAAGGTTGAAAGGGGGGGAACAAGAGAGAAGAAAGACGGAGAGGTTGGGTTGGGTGGGGGCCAGGCCAAATAATATGAAAAAAGGAAAATCTGCTATCCTTCCATTCACATGAGGATAATTGTAACAAGGCTGTTGCATGATTTGAAGGTGAACAGTTTTGGAGATGAAAAAGGGTGGTGAAAGAAATGCAAGCAAAGCTTCGATCTCGATTAGAGACTAGAATACCCCTTTCATCATGCGTCGACAAACTAGCACCAGGGAAGAACAAAGAAACGAGTAATTGAGCAAAAGGAAAAAAAACACGGGTCTTTCTGTACCCAACGGAATGAAAAATAAAAAAAAGAGAGTTCCCTCTTGGGTAACACCCAAGGTCCAGTCGATGGTCCAAAAGAAATCGTAGTAATCTTGTTTTTGCAGAAGACAGGCTAATACAATAGGATGAGAAGTGTCCAGATAGTTGCTGAATGGAGTATTTTTTGTCCTTGTCCCTCAGAGTAGCCAACCAGTCAAACGACCAGCAGGGTTCAAAAATGAAATGCGTCCAAGAACGAGGTTGCTTTGGTTCCACTGTCCTTATCGTCGTGTCTCTGGGCACAGGGGCTTCTTTTTCTATTGACCAAAAGAGATAAAAGAATACAGCCCACGAGGTTAAGAAAGGGAACAGCCTGAGCTTCCTCGCGAGGTTGAAGGGCGACTGTTTCGTGGGCAATCAATTGGTTGTCTCCTTTGAGAGGATGACCCAATTGCCATTTCTTTGTGTGAACACCAACATCATTGTGACGATTGCCACTCCGCCCTGCTTCCCACTCTGGTTTTCTGTTTCTCGTCTCGGGGGGAGTCCCCACTTGGGAGCTGAATGTTACTTTTCTATGGTGTTCTGTGTGTAAGTTGAAAACACGGTGACAACTGAATAGAGTACTGTACCTTTGTTTAGCAAGGGAAAGCAAGCAGGGTAATTTGGTGGCCAGAACTAAATTGATACCCATGGATTGAAATTGCACAAAGTTGAAAAAAGGGTCCCCGGGGATTATTTTTTTTACTATGGATGATGGGTAAGCTGGTAGGAGGGATGGTGATGGGAGATAAGAATAGCATATCCTGCTCGGATATGGCGTGTATGCATGTATGTGTGTGTATGTATGTATGGTATATACGAATGTATGCACATCGTGGGATAGCAGGCAACAGAGTACCACCACTTCTTGGCACATTAGCGGTGCCAGTGGCAGTGGCAGTGGCAGTGGCACTGAATGGATTGAATTGGCTCTTGTTGGTTCTGCAGTAATAGTGAACAATGGTTACCGACCTATATGATTCGATGTTGTTGGAGAGGGGGAAGGGGGAGGACACGACTACAAAGCAAAGGCAACCTCGTTTCTTTCTCTCTCTCTCTCTTCTTCTTGTTCTTCTTCTTGTTCTTCTTCTTTCCTCCTCGTTCCTTTCACACGCCTTTCCATCTCCTCCAAACACACACCCTCCTCGGTCAACAACCACACCTTCTCTTCTTCTTCCTCTTCCTTTTCACTAAACACACCAAACAACTCCCACCGCCACCACTTCCTGTCCTTTTTTTTATTCTCACTCACCTCTTTCCACATTCACCCGTTCCCCCATTCTACTCCCATCAATCACATCACTCCACTCCACTCCCACACTGCACAACCACATCTCGCTCCTTGACAACTAGCACACAACAACGACTAGAACAAAACAGTGTCGCATGTTTGACAAGATCAAGAAGGCCATCACAGGATGGAACCAGGACTCTCCTTCCTCAAGACCCAACAGCCCTTCCCCGGGCAAGAAGGACAACAACAATGGCCATCTCAAGTCAAGCAACTCCTTCCGCAACTCCCTCCCTGCCCGTATCCGTACATCCATCTATCGCGAACAAAACGACGAAGGCTCCACTGACAGTGGGAACGGCACCGCACAAACACCAGTAGAACCCGCAACAACCACACCCCACAGAGCTGCTACCACCGTCGAAGGAAACCTCCACCAATTCAGCAACAAGCACAACAGGGCTCCACTCTCCTCCGTCTTTTCCCCAGACACCACCATCACCACCTCAACTCCCTCTACCACTGTTCCTTCAGGAGAACATACCACCCACGCCAGCAACAACAACAACAACAACAACAACAACAGCAACAACAACAACAACAACAACAACAGCAACAACAACAACAACAACAACAACAGCAAAGCTAGCAGCACCACCAGTCCGGTCAACATGCCTCCTGCACAAAAGAGCAACACCGATACAACTGATGCATCGCCACAGTCCATCTTCATCCGTCGCACTTCCAGCTATCAGGGTCTAGGGTCGTCCGCCGAGAGCAACAGCGACGAGCCAAGGAACGAAGACATCATCATCTTCTCCTCCACCCCTCCCGTCACCATCGCCCGTTCGTCCTCAACAAAGGTTCATAAAGGTTCACCCGATCAAGCGTCCGCCATCAATTCAGAGACACCTGTCGTCCAATGGCCCCGTGGTGGCAACTCGGCCGCCAGCAGATCTCAGGAACACTTTCTCCGTACCCATCGCAGAACGTCGACCAGTTCCGATGCCTCCATCAAGGATCTCCAGACCCCTCTGGCTACCACCCCTCCAATCTCCTCTCCTCTTCGTCAGGATTCACTTACCCAGCGACCTGCCCTCGATCGCACTCTGTCGCGCTCAGGCAACAACACTGCCGTCGCAACGAACTCAACCTCATCCAACGCTGCTTCCCCAACTGCTGTTTCGACTTCCATCTCCACTTCTTCAGACTTGAACCATTCATCGCCTAAAACTGCTCCTGCCCATAACAAAACCCCTTCAGACGCCAGCAGTACCTCCATCGACGCTTCCGTTCCAACAGCAACAACAGCTACAACAGGTGCAGCCGTGGCAGGAGGAGCGACCTCGATCCTCAGTTCAGGATCAACAGTTCAATATCCCGTGTTGGAGCAGCCACCTCAAGTGACCAAAGCAGAGCCCAAGCGTTGTGTCGAACCTGTCAAGGTCACATCTGGAGATTCTGTACCACCAATGAATCCTGCCGTGGCTAGACAGTTAGCTGCAGGGACACAAATGCTGAAGGTCTCGGCTAAAAAGCAGCACTCGCGTCTGTTCAAGCTGGACTTGGAACAGGGAAGAATTCTTTGGGACTCTAGGAAATTTGGACGAAGTAAGTCTGAGAAAAAAAGTAGGTTAATGTTCGTTACCGCCATTGTGCTTGCTGCGACGAACGATAATGCCATTGCTTGCTGGGGGGTTTTTTTTTGTATATTGGTCCCTCCCATCGTTTTCACTTCCCCCAAGGCTCTTTTATGCGCACGTGTGCTCACTATTGCGATGTGGTATTTTTTGCCTTCTTTTTTTAACTCCATTTTTTTTCTGACTCAATGATAATAATAGTCAATGTGGAGCAGATCAAAGAGCTTCGAAAGGGCAAAGCCGCAAGAATGTATCGCGAGCAGTTACGTGTCAAGCCAGAGCATGAGGAGCGTTGGTTGACCATCATCTATTCGGCCGCGGGCAAGTACAAGGCTCTGCATCTCGTCGCGCCCACCAAGGACACCTACCAGGACTGGATCATGGCCGTTGAGCGTATGTGGTCGGTCAAGCGGGAGGTTGCCGAGGGATTGCCACAGTTGCAGCGCAAGACGAGCCAATGGCTCAAGGAACACTGGATGGATGCCGACAAGAACGTTGACTCAAAGCTCGGTTATGAGGAAATCGTGCGTTTGTGCCATCGCCTTAACATCAACTTTTCGAGAAAGGAGATTCGACTTCGGTTTGACCAGGCGGATGAGAAAAATCACGGCTTCTTGGACTTTTCCAACTTTACGCATTTTGTCAAGCTGTTGAAGGAGCGTAGTGAGATCATCAACCTGTTCAACCGACTCACCGTACCTGACGACATGTCCATGTCTGTCGACGAGTTTATCGATTTCATGCTGCACATCCAAAAGACGACTGACGATGTCGAGCACATCCGCGAGATCTACAACAAGCACCTCGACAAGACGGTTGACAAGTTTACAGTCGACTCATTGACAAGTTTCCTTGTGTCCGCCGACAACTCGATTGTGGCTCCCGAACATGCTCAGGTCCACCAGGACATGTCCCAGACGCTCTCCAACTACTATATCAGCAGTTCGCACAACACCTATCTCCTAGGTCACCAATTGACCGGTATCTCTTCGATCGAGGGATACATCCGGGCCTTACAAAGCGGATGCCGCTGTGTCGAACGTAAGTTTTTCCTTGGCATGATTCCTCGGCGTCAATATGATGGTTTTATGCATTCCCTCTAATGCCATGCAAACGACACTAACCTCACGCTCTCCTTTATTTTATCTATATTCAATTTGCATTTTACTTCTAGTCGACTGTTGGGATGGTCCTGATGGTCAGCCCGTCATCTATCACGGACACACTCTGTGAGTACCCATGCACTCTTTTTTTTTTTTTTTATTGCTTTGACTCTCGGGAAACCACCGCTTGCCGACAGTACTGACCATCATTATTACTCCCCCGTTTCTTATATGCCTTACCAGGACGACGAAGATTTTGTTCCGGGACGTTATTGAGGCTATTTCAACCTATGCGTTTGTCAACTCGCCGTATCCCTTGATCCTGTCGCTGGAAATCCACTGTGACCTCGACCAGCAGGACATCATGGCTAACATTATGCGGACAAAACTAGGCAGTTGGCTTGTCGTTGCGCCCTTGGACAGCGAGAGCGTCATCCTCCCCAGTCCAGATGAACTCCAGTTCAAGATTCTTATCAAGTCCAAGGTCTTGCCACCCGACGCAACCTCACAAGAGTTTTCCACCGATACCGAATCCGAGTCTGATCGAGGTAACACATCATCTGCGAGTGAGGTCAATGTGGCACAAAGTAATCAGCACAACTCGGTATATGTGTTTTCATTGTCTAACCATTGCATATAATGACCCTTGCATCTTGTAGAGAGCGAGAGTGACTCTGACAGTGTCAAAAAGCCAAAGACAAAGTCCAAGAAGGTCAGGATTGCACGAACACTGAGCAATATCACCATCTACTGTCAGTCTCGTCACTTCCCAGGATTTACCCACGACGGCTGCTCCCCTCACAAGATCATCTCGTTCTCTGAGCGCGTGTCTCTGCGGTTAGCCAAGCAAACTTTGCAGGAATATATCAACATGAACAAGAGCCATCTGACCCGAGTGTATCCTGCTGGCTTCAGGATCAACTCGACCAATTACGACCCTCACCACCACTGGGCTGGCGGTTGCCAGGTCGTTGCCTTGAACTACCAAAGCCATGGTAAGATACTGTCTATTGTCTTGACAAAGACCTGTTGGACATTGATGCCACCGAAAACGTCCTCACAGAGATACTTTTCGTTTGATATATAGATCGTGGCATGCAGATGAACAACGCCATGTTTACAATGAATGGACACTGTGGATACGTCTTGAAGCCGCAGGCATTGCGGCTTGGCGCCGGTGAGACCTGCAACCACGACAAGGCCCCCAGTTTTGTCAAGACGTACCCTGTTGATGTCACTCTCGAGGTAAGTACTTTATGTGTTTTAAAAGTTGTTTTAGTGTCCTCAATGAATTACATAAACTTTTGGTGCTAACTCAAGAAAATGGGTTTCCCTCGATACTAATAGATCATCTCGGCGCAACAGTTGCCACGACCCAACGAGGCACAGTCTGGAGATGTGATTGACCCCTTCTGTGAGATCGAAATGTTGGTTCCTGGACAGTCAGCGATCAAATACAAGACGCGCCATGTCAGCGATAACGGCTTCAACCCCGTCTGGCAGGAGTCGTTCAAGTTTCGTGTCGACTATGAGCACCACCAGCTGGTGTACTTCAGGTTTGTCGTTCAGGACGAGGACATCAAGTTTTCGGATATGATTGCCTCCTACTGCATCTCGTTGGATTGCCTCCAGGAGGGCTACCGCCATATCCAATTGCAAGATTCCGCAGGAGAACCTTACCTGTACAGCACGCTCTTTGTCAGGGTCTCTATCCAACCTGTCCTCACCACCAGAAACCAGGGAGCCATTCAACGCCAGCCTCTTCTCTCAAAGGAATCTTCGGGAGAACTGCCACCCCTTCCGGTGAATGCAACAACATCATCCGTTCCGCGCCCTCCACTCAACCAAGACTGGTCTTCGAGTGAGCTTCCATCTTTGCCTCATAACAAGGTCGCCAAGCCGATGGCATCAGTCGAGTCTCGATCGTCGACAGAGTCGAGCCACAAGGAGCCTTCAGAGACATCAGAGACTTTTGCCCTGAGCCAGAACAGCTCTGACCACTCACTCCATGCTACTCCTACCACTGCTGCCACCACCAGCACAACCGACAACCCCAACGCTACTACAACCATTCTTGCACAGCCTGCTGTCGGTAAAGCCGTCGAGTCGGTCCCTTCTAATGGCGGTGCTCCACAGCTGCCCCTGTTCGAATCTACCCCCGAAAGCTTTTTGCAGGCCTCCGATCTCCCCGCCTTGCCCCCTACTCCACCACCCAAGTCCAAGTAAAACATTAGAGTTTTTCTTCTGACACATTTGTCTACACCTTCCACCTCCTTTTTTTCGTTTATGCTACAGTCTCTTTTTTTTTTTTTTTTTTTTTTGCCACCGAAAAGCCAATCGCATCAACAATACCCTTATTAGGGAGTGAATCCTGCCCAACCACAGAGCGAGTGCCCAGAGAAGGACCTAATAAAGTCAACACAAATCAGTGCTTATTTTCCGTGCAATCCAACCCTCTTTTTCCTCACCTGCATGCATGCATCCCACCATTCATTGCCACCCAAAAATTGATGCATTAGGGGCCTGTCTTTTTAGATAGAGCAGTTATGAAACTGCCACCGAACATACCCTTCCATCACGACCAAGATAAAAAACCCCCAATCAAAAACACAATAAACAATCTCACAGCAAAAGTCTGTGAAAGAAAACAAAAAAAATAATATCAAAACTCCTACAAGGTCTCCCTAAACATGCAAATGTGAAAGAAAAAAATAATCCCTATTTATTTATTCTAATGCTATGACAAGCAAAAAAGAAAAAAACATCCACGTCCATAGATCTAAGATCTACAAAACTACTATATTACTTGTGCCTTTTGAGCTCCTCTTGTTCCTTCTCCAAGACCAAAACGGTCCGATCAATCTTTTCAAACTGCCAGGACCACGAGGCGTTGTACAAAAAGGGCCGGAGATCGAACCGGTTATCATCGGGACTGTAAGATTCTGCGTGGTATGCTGGCGTGAGGGTCGTCATCTTGTGCCGGTTGATCGAGTAGTAAAAGAAGAACCTCTTCACTTTCACCGCGATCTATGTTGTAAAGGGTATGACGAGAAAAAAAAATGAAAAGAGTGAGAAGGAGCATATTGGAAGAGACCTGAGCAACGCGGAAAAAAAAAGAGATAAATCTTTACCTCAGAAACCTCGAGCTTGTCGCTCCAGAGATGAACGAGCTTGGTAAACATGCTGTAGGGTCCACACTTGTAGACCTTGCGCAGACGGCCAAACTCGGTCAACTCGTCATAGGTCATACCCATATCCACTTCATCCGCTTGCACATAGTTCTCTGTGATCGGCTCCAACTCTGCAGTCGGCGTCGCATCCAGGAAGCTATTGCATTACAAGAATTAAATGAAGCCGTTTTGGTCAACTCAATTTTCTGCGATCTTGTGAAGGTGGGTGGAGCAGATATGACCGAACAAAAAGGAGGAAAGAGGGACAAACCTTTCGAGGATGGGCATGTTGAAGGCGAGTTGGGCGTAGGCGATGAATCGGCGCAGGTCGGATTTACTGATACCGCCGATAGGGTTGATATCTGCACTCGAGCAATCATACTTTGTGAAGTATCCTCTCAAACTAGATTCATATACAAAGAACGAAGCACATGTCATTATCCCATTGACAGCCGCGGGAAAAAAAAAACTAGGCACGAGAAGAGGGCAAGGGAAATGTAAGCCTACCATTCGTCGACGTTGGCACTTCCGAGGACGAGCAAGGACCCAGGGCGTCCACGGACCCAGGGCAAGAGCTGGGCAAAAATGTAGGCAATGACCATACGGAGACGGGCCTGGATATTTTGCAGGGCCAAGTTCTCGACGTTTGAACCTCCATGTGCTCGGAATGCGGGCGTCTTTCCTGTGACGAGTGTGAAGAGCGCCTGTAGGGCCGCTACCACTGTGTCCATGTTCAAATCCACGTGGTAACTATTGAAGAAGGCCTTTGTTACTAACGTGTCTCTCTCTCTGACCGAGTTTCATCATAATCCAATATGCAGGGACTGTGCAGGGCTGGTTACCTTCCGATGCTCTCGGCGAGCTCCTTGGCTCTGGCACGAGTATCATTGGACGAGTTCTTGGTTCCCATGTAGCATGTGTGGAAGATACGGCTACAATATCAAGTAAGAATCCGACAGTTAGCTTATGGCACAGTCGCTGTGCTGTGCATCGCATCCTTGATGCTCTGAATCAAATCGTTCCATAGCATACCTGGCGAACTCCTGAGGATCAGTAGGGATATATCCCGTCTCGGCAGTCTCTCCAGTGACCTGACGCGCGTCCGCAATGGTTTGCTTATCGCCCTTGGCACAGGACTTGACAACCAACCGACACATGGACGCGACAATCGTGGCAGTCGCACAACTGTCGATACCTCCACTCAGCGGCAAGAAGAATCCACTTGTCTTGGACCGGCGGAGGTAATCCCAAAGCCAGCAGGCTGGTCCCAGACTATTCAAAAATGTAAAAACCGCGAGCGGAAAATTAGCACCAATTCCTTCATAGTAAGCATAAGAACGCCATCATTTCTACCAGAGGGTTACCTGATCTCTTCTTCGGGGGTATGATAGAACGCGGGTTTGACAATGGTAGGAAGGATCGCAGGGTTGTCCTCGAGACGACCATCCGAAAGTGCCATATTGGCCTGAATCCTGCGGTAACTGGGGCTGCTGGCAGCCTGGATGCCTCGACTGCATGTAGATCGGAAGGAGCGAATATCTTCCAGATCGATAGTCGCAGTTACGACTTCGACATCTCCGATCGAGAACTGCGATCCTTGAGCCACCACCTCGCCATTGACCAAAATAAGTGCGCATCCGTCGTAGTACAGTCGGTCGCCGTCACATCCTTGCTGGTTTGCATACAAGTAAATTCCTCCGCTCTAATTATGACATGTTATTTCAAAGTAGAGACACGGTGAGTTTAAAGAGAGATATATGCGCTGTGCTCCAATTGACAAAGTGCGGTTAAAAACGATATGCTTTACCTTGAGTGTTGCTTCCTTGATGAGCTCGACGCGAGTGTGAAGTTTGCGCAACTCATGGTGACTTCCACTGCTATTCGTAATGATCTCCACTCCATCCAGCGAAAGGCCTATATGAGGACTATTTTGAACAAATTAAAAGTCAAAATGAGTCATTCCCTTCTTCGAAATAAGGTCTTTCAAACAAATATCTAATCGTGCAGGACAAACAATACCAACCTGTTGGGAGTGAAAAGCTCCTCACACATCTCAACACCAATACAGGTATCATGAGTCGCAATGACAGCGTCTCCAATTGGAATGGTAATCTGTCCAGTAATCTTTTGAATCATACGAGGGAGGTAATACTCCTCGGTAGTTCGCTGCTTGGCCCAAGGTGTGAACCATCTCAATTCCCGGTAGTTGCCGTCGTTCGCCATAAACATCTTGGGGCGGATCAAGAGGATCTTGCAGTCCTGGATGATGATCCTGCAGTTGTACTTTACATTCTTGTGCATTACTGGCCTATTATTGAAAATGTGCTGTTTAGCGGTTAATAGGGTATTGTGAAAAGTAACCGTGCGCCCGGAAAGTTGGTAGCAGTCAGAGTGTGCAGGTAATGCAGCCTGAGTGCAGAGGGCAAGGTTGCATACATTCCAATGTCCAGTAGCATTCCTTCGGCTTCCTTGGAGGTCAGGATCTGTCCGAGGACCTCCCAAGAGTGAAGATAAGTGTCACCTATGAGCAATTGACCAAAGTTTGTGTCATTAACAAGATCTCTGAAGTCGGCTACGTGTCTCCTGTATCGCGGGCAGTCGATCCTGCGGTCAAGTACCTTCCAAGAAATGATCCGCGCAGCCATATCCACTATCAATTGAAAGTCGAACCGTTAGCAGTGCGAATTATCTGTAGCACAAAAAAAGATCCCTTTACTCACTTCGCCTCCTTCTTTTTTCTTCTCATCAGTCTCTCCTCCATGCCCCTCCATTCAACTCATTCCTTGAGTCGTGAACATACGTGATCTCGAGTTCGGGTCCGATGCGAAGAGTTGCACCGCGCTCCTTCGCGATGCGAATACTCTCGAGAGTTCTTGCGAGGTTTCCCTTGAAGTCCAGAGCCCACTGGTTGAGCGAGCAGGTTGCGACCGTGATGAGGTGTCCCATGGTTTTTCTTTGTCAGAGAGAAGGGAAGATGGAAAAAGTGCAGAGAACAAAGAACCAGTTGTGTCGCACCGTGTTCATAAAGAACTTTTTTTGTGGGCATTGCGGAAACAAATCACGTGGAGTTGCCACCAAAAACGAAAGAGCACAAAACGATGGCAGAGAAAAAAAAGAACGGGTTGTATTAGGAGTATACAAGCAGGTTATGAAGAAGGAGCAGCGGGGATCTTGGCGTTGGGGGGAACGATGCCAAACTTGTAGTGGACATCCAGGAGGATCTTGAGCGCGTTCTTGGACTGGAGATAGCTCAAATCATCCACATGCGTAAGTTTGTTGGCATGTGCCAGTGCATGCAGGGCCGTCTCCTGTGCTCCTCCATAGGGGAAAGCCCGCTGTAACACCTCGTACACCATCAGTGTCGTGCCAAACTGAGGTGATGACCGGAAGACACGCGCTGGCCCTCCCTTGAAGAACGCGCGGAGCCCTTCCTCGGCATAAATCTTTCGTGCCGCATCCATAATCCCCGTGTACGTGCTCTGACCCTTCTTGGCCTCGACCTGCAGACGCGTCTTAATCACATCGGCCGGCGTCGTAAAGTACGCAGCAGGCATACCGGCTACCGCACCGGAGATCAGCAGCTGCCCAATCGTCAGTCTGTGATCGGGTCCTTCTCCGTAAAGGTCCTTCTTCAAGTGAGCGTAGACCGGGAAGTAAATGGCCGAGAAGGGAATGTCGCGGAGCAAACAGGCACTGGCTCCCTTGTAGAGGCCGACAATTCCCAGCGTACGAACTATGGTCATGGCAGATGGTCTTGGTCCTACATCCAGCGATTTGGCAGCTTCTCCTGCGATCTGAAGGCGAATCTTGACAATTTCCAGTGGGTTTGTGAACACGACCTGAGATCCTCCTGCGACACCTCCGGCAATCAACTCTCCTACAAATGTAATGTTTCCGTTCCTGTCCGTCAGATGCCTCCGCACCAAGTCGTTCATCGTCAATTTGATCGCCTTCTCCGGCGCCACACCCTTCGACATTGGATGAAAAAATCAGAAGGAGAGTGTTAGTAAATGGTATCAGAAGGCATCATATTATGGTAACAAGGTATTGCTCATAAAGACTTACGACGAGCTGAGGACCCAAGCCGCGGTAGAGTCCGAGGACACCTTCGTTTTTGAGGACCTTCTGGAAGCAGTCGATACTGTTCTTGTACAAGAGTTCTCCAACAACCTTGGAGCGTTGGTTCTGCATCCGTGTCTTGACCAGATCGATAGGATACACCACCGTCGCACCAACAGCACCACTGATAGATCCCAGCAAGAATGCGTCTATTTGTAACGAGACAAGGAGAGCATCAGTCCAATGTGAACGGAGCCATTATCAGATTCAGGGGTGATAACAAAATGACAATGCGAAATGCACTCAGTTCAGCATGACATACAGGATCCCTTCAGAATCTCATGGATATGGCGGTGTTTGACTTCAGGGGCTGCAGGATGTGTGATAGCGAGGGCATGCTCCCACTTTGAGTCCAAAAGGCGAAAGAAATCACGGAGGGTCAACTTTCCCGAGGCATTATCCATGCCAGCAAAGTGAAAGATAACGTCTGCCTCCATGGGGGTGAACAGCGAGAACCGGGTCTCCTTAGCAGCTGTCAGCAAGAAGTCGGCCTTGGTGATCGTACCGTCCTTGCTGCTCTCGATCGCCTTGCGCACCACTCGCTCGACCATGTCCATATCACGGATCACGTTGTAAAAGGCCATCACGTTTGCAAACGAGACCTTGTTTCCTGCACTAATGTTACAGAGAGTCGGAAGGTTCTCGAGTACATGATCCGACAGCTTGTGACCCGCAATGTCGACCATGATCCTCTTGAACTGGTCCGGGGTGATGTAGCCGGTGGCCTCAGCGTCATAGTAGCGGAACTCTTGACGAAGACGCTCTGCCTGGAGTCCTTTGAGGAGCTGTGTGAATTCCTTGTAGGGCATCTCGTGTATAGAGTCCTTTCCTCCTGTGTACAGGTTGAGCCACTCGCAGTTAAAGTCAAAGGGGATCGCATCCTTGCCAATGTTGGCGGACAGGATCTGCTTGAACTGGTCCCGAGTAATCTTGCCCGAGCCGGTCGTGTCGAACAGGCGGAAAGCGATCTCGTACTCTGCGTCAGGGTGCGACAGCAAGTTTTCGAACACAATGCTATCATGACGATTGGTACGTGTATGGTCAATTGGTCGTTTTATGTCAATGTTGTCCTTTCTAGTCCACATCTCATCCTCTTCATATCTCTAAAGAGTGAGTGCGTGCGCATTGACCTCCTCTTTCAATTCTCCGCCTCCTGTGCGTCTTTCTTTTTGTTGTTGTTGTTGTTGTTATTATTGTTGACTTGCTTGGTTTGATTGCTGTTCTTCGTCATCTTGTCGTGCCTTTCCTTCTTTCGGCAGGTCCAATCTCCATTCTCCAAGTCTGCCTGACCTCCCCCTTCTCCTGTCCCATCTAAGCGCATACACAGACACAAACAAAAAAGAACAAAGGGCTCGATTGGTTTGTGGTGTTTGTTGATGATGATGTTGTTGTTCGACAGATTACGAAGGGGTGGAGGGAGATAGACCGCCAGTGGCTGTCGATTGTGCTTTCGTCATGCCAGATGTGTTGTTGTTTGCCCGAAGCCCGCTTAGGCAACACTTTTTGTTGTTGTTTTTGACAAAAATAGTGTCCATGCACCCCACATTGCACACACCTTTCTCCATGCACACCTGTCTGTTCAACCAAGCCTTTTTTTCTTCTTTTCCCATTTCCTTCTTTTCTGTACAGCCAGCAGGAACTTACAAATCTGAGAGGGAGAGGTAGCCCTTTTGTTCTCGATCGACGACATTGAAGAGGACACCGTACTGTGATCGCTGTAGCCGCTTGTAGTCCTCTCCTGGGGCGATGGCGTTCACAAAGTCGTCCTTGGTCATGAACTTTTCGCCATTCCGTTCGATCGACGCAAACCGTCTAAAGGCTCGCTTGTACCGATCGATCGCTGGTCCACCCGGGGTCGTTGTCGAGACAGATTGTGACGAAGCCATTATTGCTGTCTTCTTGTGTTGTAAGGTTGGGTATGATGTGTGATGTCTGGTGTCCTATCTAGATAGCAGAACAGAGTCAAGAACGACGTTGTTGTCAGGTTTTCATGCATCATGCCAGTTTCTAATGAGATGAGCCAGCCTGGATAAGGTTTCTTGCTTCGGTTCCAGGACCTTTCGTTTTCTGCAACCGACAAAAACACATCGCCTATTTTTTGTATATCGTGCGCACGACTGTGCGACCCTTTTGCCTCATTATGAATTGGGCGAAATATGTCGGAGTGTTCTCTCTTGTTTGCCATGGGTCTTAGCTGATGAATCCTTTCCTCGAGATGTTCATTCCTGCATTCCTTCTTCCCTGGTTTCTCCATTCCTTTTCTTGTCCTGATGAAAAGAGAAGTTGTACGGTATGGCGGTGTTGAAGCCACTGCAGCAGAGAAGGTGCTTGTTGTTATACCCTGATCGACGACAGATCGCAGGATATTATGATAGAATGGCTTACGGAATGGCAGTGAGCACCTTCAACGGACCGACCGGGATACTACTATTGGGTTGTTATTATCTTTGGGATCCAGTCGAGGAAGTGTAGTCGGAAAGGGCAGGAGAGGGGGGTGATCGAGGGATAAAGATGGGATTAGGAAAGGAAGTCAAAGTCGAGAGAAAGAAAGGAACGATAAGGAGAAAAGAAAAGGGGAAAAGAAAAGGGGAAAAGAAGAACAAGTCAAGGGAGGGAAGGAAGGAAAGATGAAAAAGAAATAACGGAAGAAAGACCCATGGCGACAACAGTGCCTTCAATCTCGAAACACGATCCCTTTTCTTCTCTTTGCTCTTCTTTTCTGTTCACTTCTCGAAGGATGGTTCTCGTTGTTTTTGCGGGGTCATCTTGGATGGATGTGTCTTCAGTGCCTCATTTCTTATCTCTGTCTTTCGCGCCTTGTTCTCCTCAAAGCCTTACTCACATCTCCTTCCTTCTTTCGTCTCGGCTCTCGTGGTTCATTCAATCTTTCACGCAAGGTGCCTGAAATTGTTCTCTGTCCCTGAACTGAAAGCGTCCTCCGAAACCCATCTTTTCTCATTCTCCGCATTTCCCATGGACACGGTCGGGTAACCCACCCTTTTTCTTCTTTTCTCGTCCTCTAGGCTAAATGTGTCCTTGTCTCCATATTGTTCCCCATGGGAAGGGAAGTGGGGCTGTCTTCTCCGGATTCTGATTGGAAAAGAATCCGGGGTCGTCCTCGTCCTAATTCTCTCCTTCTCAAGGAACCTAGTTGAACTGTGCGACATGACATTGCTACTAGCATGAACATTTGCTCTGCACGGTGGAGGGTAAGGTTGTATCGTCCTGACTGGGGTAAAATTGCTCGCATAAGAAGGACTGGGAAATGTTGAAAGGAAGAAGCAAAGAAGAAAGAAGGAAAGAAAGTGGAATGGTTAGTCATCAACTTGTAGGGCTGTTCCTCGCCGGACTGCGGTGCGGGTCATTCCGAGCAGGACGCACCAGCTTTTCTAAACCTTTCGTTGTAAATGTCAAGATGTTATTGTACGATGTATGAACCGCGTCCTTCTTCCAGAATACTTATTCTTCTTCTATCCATGGTCGTTCCAAGAGACGCGTTCTGACGTGAGGAAGCCCTTAATCGGTGTCTGCGACTCCTTTGTAAACTGATATTTCAACAGATACAAATCCATATCAATCCTATAACAACAATGGTCGCTGCAGACCTTCCACTACTACCAGCAGGACTCGTTCGTGTGGAATGAAGCAAGAGGGGCAGAGATACGCAAGTCAATGGTTGAGTGCTCGATAAGATCATTACAGTGCATGGTTCCAAGTAGCGTGCTTCTTAATAATGATTGGAATTAAGCGTATAGTGACGTAGACAGTGCGCCTGAATCCCCTGAGTATAAATAAGATTTTCGGCATCATCCTCATCATCATCATTACCATCAACTCCACCCCCTCCCACCTTCATCCCCCACCAACAACAAACACCCAATATGAGAGAGATTGTCCACTTGCAGACTGGTCAGTGCGGTAACCAGATCGGAGGAAAGTTCTGGGAGGTCATCTCGGACGAGCACGGCATCGACAAGACTGGTGTCTACAACGGCGACTCTGACCTCCAGCTCGAACGTATCAACGTCTACTACAACGAGGCCAACGGCGGCAAGTACGTCCCCCGTGCTGTCCTTGTCGACCTCGAGCCCGGCACCATCGATGCCATCCGCACCGGCCCATTTGGCGAGCTCTTCCGCCCTGATAACTACATCTTTGGCCAGTCCGGCGCCGGAAACAACTGGGCCAAGGGCCACTACACCGAGGGTGCTGAGCTCGTCGACTCAGTTCTCGACGTTGTCCGTAAGGAGGCCGAGTCCTGCGACTGCCTCCAGGGTTTCCAAATCACCCACTCCCTCGGTGGTGGTACCGGTGCCGGTATGGGTACCCTCTTGATCTCCAAGATTCGCGAGGAATACCCCGATCGTATGATGTGCACATTCTCTGTCATGCCCTCTCCCAAGGTAAGCAATCATCCACTTTCCATTTCTCTTTTCTTCATCTCGACAAGCGACGACCGCGACGAAACGACGACAGCAGCTACAACAACACGACATCACTCAACTGTTGAGGCAGTTTATTTCCCTTCGCTCTCCCTATCCCCTTCCTCTCTCTTTTTCCTCCCTTCCCCTGGTCTTTCTCTTTTCTCTCCTCTTTATGTACATTCTGGCTCCCCCTTGGTCAATGGAGTGGTTGGCCTAGTGTGCTTTTGTGAACAGTAAAAGGGCAAAAAAAGGGAGAAGAAAAAGAACGCGCTTTGGTTTGTCTTTTTCCTTCGATTTTTTTTGTTGTGGGATGGGTGTATTGTTTTTTTTGTATCGCGTCCAACGCTGTTACTGTTTTTTTTTCTTCATCTCTCCTTTCCCATCCCGCGACAATCCACATTCCGCTCTATTCTGGACATCCCAACCCCCCTCGCTTTCTCTCTCTCTCTTCACTCTCAGCAAACAAAAAATATCATTCTTTTCCATTGGCGATGGAGTGCAGAAAAAAAAGAGGGGAAAGAGGAGTTGAGCACCCTTAAAATTAGGGGAGTGCATGGCTTCGTTTTTGGTTGTCTGACCCTGTTGGAAAGCCTTGCCTTGAACTTGACTATGGTCCTCATTTTTTTTTCTTGGAGAGAACCGACCATGCACTCCTCCCGCCAGTATCAACGAATATCTATATCCATCTCTGTCACTCTCTGCCTTTTTGACACCTTTTTGGTGGTAGTGGTTTTGAACAAGTGCAAATCTACATGAGCCCACCTTTTTCTCTGTGTTTTTTCAGCGACAACAACAACAATTGTCAGCTGGCGCCAACGTTGTTTGGTTATGTATTTTCCTGTTGATATTTTAAGCGCTCCCTGCTCTCGATGTTGGGGGCGCGAGAGTGACATGAGATGAGCTGCTTGTCAACGAAAGAGCTCCCCTCGCAGCCCTTTTCCTATCACAAACCACTTTCAATAACTTCTCTAACTCATAACCACGTTCCTCCACTACCTTCCATACCTCTAGGTCTCTGACACCGTTGTCGAGCCCTACAACGCTACCCTCTCCGTTCACCAGTTGGTTGAGAACTCTGATGAGACCTTCTGTATCGATAACGAGGCTTTGTACGACATCTGCTTCCGCACCTTGAAGCTCACTGCCCCCAGCTACGGTGACTTGAACCACTTGGTCTCCGTTGTCATGTCTGGTATCACCACCTCCCTCCGTTTCCCCGGTCAGCTCAACGCTGACTTGAGAAAGCTCGCCGTCAACCTGGGTAAGGACTGTTTCTAATTTGATTCAACCAACAGAGGAACAAAGCAGCAATCTGGATGACTAACGGGATATTATTGCGATCATGATGATTATGAATAGTTCCTTTCCCCCGTCTTCATTTCTTCATGGTCGGTTTCGCTCCCTTGACTGCCGTCAACACTGCCTCTTTCCGTGCCTTGACCGTCCCCGAGTTGACCCAGCAGATGTTCGATGCCAAGAACATGATGGCTGCCTCTGACCCCCGCCATGGACGTTACTTGACCGTTGCTGCCATGTTCCGTGGTCGCATGTCGACCAAGGAGGTTGACGAGCAGATGCTCAACGTCCAGTCCAAGAACAGCTCGTACTTCGTCGAGTGGATCCCCAACAACGTCAAGACCGCTGTCTGTGATATCCCTCCCCGTGGCCTCAAGATGTCTGTTACCTTCATCGGTAACTCGACCGCTATCCAGGAGTTGTTCAAGCGCATCTCTGAGCAGTTCACCGCCATGTTCCGTCGCAAGGCTTTCTTGCATTGGTACACTGGCGAGGGTATGGACGAGATGGAGTTCACTGAAGCTGGTAAGTCACCTTGCATATCTTTTTTTTTTTTTGCCACCCTACTTTTTTTTGTTCATTTGAGCTGCATAATGTGAGCGCGAGTAGGGGTTGTGAGCACCCAACCCTACAACCAAAATGCACGCCTATCTATCGGTTTTCACGAAGGATCCCTTACTCATTTCTATTTTATTCTTTGTTACACCTATTCTCTAGAATCCAACATGAACGATTTGGTTTCCGAGTACCAGCAGTACCAGGATGCCACCATCGAGGAGGATGATCTCGAGTATGAGGATGACATCCAGCAGGACATGGACATCTAAAGATTGCAAGTTTCTTTCAACCATCTATTTTTTCTATATTCTTTTTTCGCTTTTTTTTCACCCCCTCCAGCTTAACGGCAACAAACAATAACCAAACAAACAAACAACCTAATTCGTATACTTGAAGGAGAAAATGGTCGCCATATATCCCCGCAAGCATTGTCACGTAGCTTTGTAGACAGAGAGCAGCTTTTTTTCTTTGGACATGAAGTTAGTAAAAACGATGATTGCACTAAATATGTCGTTTGATTTGGATTGTACATTGGGGATGGTAACGATGGACCGTTAGGATGAAATGAACGGGAAGAGAGAGAGGACCTCACATGCATGCATGTCTGTTTTGATGTTTGCTTGGCGGGAGGATGGAGCACAAGTACAATACAGTGCAGCCAGACAGCTGAATCCAGTTCAATTGGTGAAGGTTTTTTTAGCACATGGTAACCACAGTACTCTCTCTGCTTTGGACCCAACTCTGTTTGCCTTTTGGGACAAGAACGGAGATGAAGGTGTGACAAAAATAACAATCGCTTTGCTTGGTCGAAGTCAACAAAAACAAACATGCACGATCGTTTTTTTTTGCTTGTTGGTTGTTGGTTGTTGGTTGTTGGTTGTTGGTTGTTGGTTGTTGGTTGTTGGTGTTGGTGTTGGTGGTTTATCTGTCGGGAGATTTGGAGGGAGGAGGAGGAGGAGGAGGAGGAGGCATAATGCATCTTCTTCCCGCGCAGGAAGCCAATGGGTAAGGCAGATGTCGCCACTCGCTCTCGAAGGTACAAGAAAATATAAGAAAACCAGGCAACAGGCGATCAGGGTCCTTTGGGCGTTGCCTGCTGCTTGAGATGATTGTTATAGTTAAAAAGTTACGGCATGTTGTTTGTGCGGCCATCTCCACCAGGGATCAGACACCGTTTGTTTAATAATGGAAAAATAGTAGTATCGACGGGGGTGGGTAAAAGGGTAGTTCACGAGAAGAAACTGAGAAAAAAAGGAATTGCCAGCCATTGGAGTGACATGTAAGGTAAAATCGAGACGCGTAATTGGTATGGGTTGACTAGCCAAGCATCTGCGGCGAGAAACTGTAAAAAGTAGATGTAACTTTCTACTTGCGCTGCTTTGGCGAGAGGCCGACCTGCATCGACTCTAGTTCGGATTCCAGAGCCTTGATGTGCGAGTGCTCGGCCTCCAAGTCCTTGTTCAAGCGGTCACGCTCAGCAATGAGCTATTGTGTCAAGCGAGAAGAGTTAGAGGAGAAGAATTGAATGAGTATCTTGTCTTTTCACGATAATCCTTGTCCACGGATATCAACTGCCAATAACGAGGAACAAAAAAAAGAGAAGAGAATAGCGTACCTGCTGCTCCCATGAGCGGAAACGGTTCTCCTCGAGGCGAACCTGCTCGGTGAAGCGCTTGCGGAGAGCCTCCTCTTCCTCCTTCCACTTGGGGTTGGTCACAGTCTTGACCTTGGCCTCGCCAATCTTGCGAGTCTCCATCTGGGCGCGACGGTAAGTCTCGTAGTGCGTCTCCTCGGTCGAGTGGATCAGATCCAACATGTGTGTGCGGATCAAAAGCTGACGCAGCTTCTTGAAATCGCAATGATCCTCATTCTCGACTGTTATTCAATTTAGAGTGGAGTAATATTGGCGTTAGTTCCTCTTTTGTCAGGGATCCATAGTTCTTTTTTAGTACCCATGGGCCTTTCGGGTGTATTTTTCTGTCCAGGCCCAATAATTACCTTCGGCGACACCCCAGGAGTACTGGCGACCTTTGACGGTGCGACCATCAACGGTTTGGACATCGTCCGTGCTTCCGATGACAGAGAAGGGCATAGCAGCCTAATACATGCAATGAAAGTATGATTATCAATACCAATTCTCACCCGCACTTGAGCGAAGCACATCAAAAAATTTAGGATCCAGGCAGTTATCGCAATATGAGCGTCTAATATGAAACTAAAGGAGAAAAGACGTACCATGATGTTCATGTTGCGCTTGGTGGAGGCCTCGTCGTCACTCTCCAGGGGGAAAGTATAGCACTGGATGTTCTGGGCGGCAATGACCTCCAAAATCTAAATGGACAGTTGTTTTTGTTTTGTTATTGTTTGTGAAACGTGAGGGTCAATTAATGGCGTTCTCTTTGTGTTCCCCTATCATTTCGAGTTTTCATCGAGAAGGGATGTGACTTACTCTCTTCTTGAACTTGTGGAGATCGGTGGGGGTGAGGGTATCGGCCTTGGCAATGACAGGGATCAAGTTGACGCGAGTTCCCAAGCGCTTCATAACCTCAATGTCCAAGGGCTTCAAGGTATGGCCAGTAGGACGGATAAAGTACAAGCAGCAGTGGACGCGCATGTCGCTCAACTCCAGACGCTCGGGCTGCTGGTCCTGACGCATGTATGACTCGTGCTGGTCGTCAATAAAGTCGATGATGGGCATCCAGCTGTCGCGGTTGTTGGTATAGTCTCCGAATCCGGGTGTGTCAACCACCGATAACTTGACTCCAAACTGCTTCTCCTCGAGCTCTATTTGAATTAAAGAATAAACGGTTAGGTTTCTCGCAAAGGACTGATTGGGTTCTGTTGATTTTCATGCCTTCTGCACCCTCATTTCTTCGAACTCTCCTCCATCGTTTTACTCCTATCCGAGATGTCGTATGGGAGCCGCAAGGAGATTTTTTTTGTTGAGAGCAGCCATCGCGAATTATATATAGGACCCAGATCTTTAGAAATAAGGGTGTTTTCTTGGTTTTGCTCAATTGGAGTACCATGAAACCGAAGTGGAAGGGGTCGCCACAACGAGACATCATTCTACAGATGCCTGTTTGTGTAAGGGTACCCAGGTCCTCTCGCGTGGAGCTGAGCGGATACAAGTCCGCGTGGATCTTGTGGACAAGGTGTCAGTTATTGCTCGTTTGAGACAAAACGATAATGTGGTGAGCGATGGACGGAGAAGAAGGGGTGGAAAGAGGGGGGAGTGGCGCACCAGTCAAATCCAGGTTCAAGGAGGGATGAATGAGCTGCAGTCTGGATCACCGCCCTTACGAAAGTAAAGGGCTCATCTGAAAAGGAGGGAGAGAGAGGAGGGTGGTCCTGTCTTCAAGGATCTCTTTTTGTTGTTGTTGTTGTTTACAAACATAAGGAGAGCGCGCACTTCATCCTTGTTTAATGCAAGGAAACCATCAAGGGACCGTCTCTCTTTCTCGCGCTCTCTCGTCGTCAGTAGCCGCTCTTACGCTCTCATAGCCATTGTCTCTCTGTCCACTGCAATCCTCCTTCACGTATTGTTCATCATTCTCCGTTGGTTGTTAAGCCCCAACGCGTAACAAAAGTCCAAGTCTTTGAATGTAAAAACAAGACAGACAGGTGTCGAACTGGGTAGAAGGAGAAAAGGGAACGTACCGGCACGGATGATCTCGATTTCAACGGTCTTCTCAGCGGTGTTGTTGAAACGACGCTTGTAGGTCTTGGGGGTCTTGATAGTGGTGGTGAACAGGGTGTTGATGAACGTCGTCTTTCCGAGTCCAGACTCACCTATGAATTGAAGGAAGCAATTGTTTGTAAAAGTCAGTCTCTTTTACTCCTCCTGTTGTTGTCCGAATAGTTCAAGTGTGTGCTGCCGTCGTTAAAACAGAGTCCTGTGTGTGCGGTCAGAGAGACGAAGGAGGAGTGTATTACCACAGAGCAAGATGGTGTAGTTGGAGCCCTTCTTGGAAGCGATGGCATGACGCCTATTGAGCGAAGGAGAGAGATGATGACAACAAGTAGTCAGTGAGTCCGCATTCAGATGACAGCAGATGGTGAGAGGATTGCAGCTGCTTGGGTTTTGAGAACAGTTTGCACAAAACGAGTATAAGGACGTACTGGTTGGGGAGGTTGGCGATTCCGATTCCGGCGCCGGCTTGAGTGGAGACCATGGCTGCTTGTGAAAAGGGGAAGGGTGAAGAAAGAGGATGAAGATGGGAAGAAGGAGGGAGAGTGTATTAGGAAGAGAAAGAGTTGATGACAAAGGGAGCGATGAGAAGGAGCGGAAGGAGATGAAGGAAAAGGGATGAAGAACAGGAAGCTGGAAAAGAAAAAAAGAGATGAGACGAAAAAGACCAGAAGGATAATTTAATTATTGCGGCTCACACAAACGGAGAGGAGAGACAGGAGATGCAGCAGCAATAATAAAAGGTTCGACTGAACCATCTTTGTTGAATTCTGGTGGCGTTTTCATTTTTCATGGGTGTGTGTGTGTGACACCCTCTCTTAGAGATATGAATGGGACATGAGTGCCGGTCTACCTTCAACAATAAGAATGGTTCTCGTTGCAAGTACTGGAGCCAGGCGGGTATATTGGATCTTCAATTGAAGGCGGAAAGCAATGGAGCTACACATTGATTATCGATAGAGTAAAGAACGTGTAGGTTGGTCTTTGTAAAACTACTTGGGCCATTGCCAAGCTTGGCTGATCGTCTAGGCAAAATAATGACCGTCCAGAAACTTGGGAGAAAGGCAAAAGTCATTATTGGTCAATCGGGGTCCCTGATCACTGATCGCCATATCGTCCATCAACTATTACTCTTATCCGTTTCGGACTAGCATCAGCACCCACTCACGTCGCCTAGACTGTGTTCTCAAAGGTCATTCAACTGATCTCCTTGATCACAGCCAGTTGTCTTCTGTCCATGGTGAGAAGGAAAAGTATGCCAATGCTTATCCGTTTGACCAAACAAATAAGCATTGGTGTGGCATTGATACTTTATAGCTGTATGTCGTTGCACGAATGCAGAGAACGGACACACAAAGGAGGCGTCCCTTCTCTGGGCTTGGACATCTTACAAGAGGAACACACGACAGAGAGAGGCATTTTCATGCTAACATACACACACACTGCGACTCTATTTTGAGCGCACTTGGTTGTCTATTGCCTGTTGCTTCCTGCTGTTGTGGTCGTTGTTTGTTTTGTTGTCTTTCATGCCATTGTTGTTTTTTATCTTTCATGCCAGTGTTGCTTTTTGTTGGCATGTTTGCTGAAGAACTGGGTTGAGTTGAAAGTTGAGTTCAAAGGGCGTGCCATGTGCATATCGCAACAGACCGTGCTCACCCTTTTTTTTTTTCTTTCACTTTTATCCTCCCCTTGCCTTCCTCCCCTCTTCTCTTCTTCCCTCTTCTTTTCTTCCCTCTTCACCCCTCCTCTCCTCCTCGTCCTCTCTCTTCCACCCTCCTTCCATTTCCACAGTCCACTTTTATACCCCTCTCCCTCCTTTAACTTGCATTCATTCATTCACTCTTCACACTACCGCAACAACAATCACCATGTCGGCCCATGTCTGTCCAGAGTACGATGACTCGGATCCGACCCTGATGCTCTTCACCACTGGCGGTCTCGACGGCAAAAGTACGACCAATTATTATTTTTTTAGTGCCTGAACAGGCAAAAGTGTGTGAGAGAGGGTCGTGTGTGTGTGGTTTTGTTCTTTTTTTTTTTTTTTTTTTTTTGGATCGATCCATTCCTCTCATTCGGAGTGTGAGCGATATCGTACCCCAACGGTCTCTTGTCTTTCGCACTTTTAACCATACACAGACTTCCATTTCATCCACTTCATACCTTTTTCTTATCGTTTCTTAACTGTCTTGCTTCGATTTATATCTTCGTTACATCTCGCGTTGGCGTCTTTTGCGATTTTAATTGACCTTTTTGTCTCTTCCTCATTCTTAGGACACCTGATCGGATGGGCTGTCTGTGCTGTCCTGGCCACCCTGTCGACAGCCATCTCCTTCATGCTCATGTATCGGCATGCCAAGAACTACACCAAGGTACGCCTATACTCTCAAGCTTTAACTATCCACACAATCCTTAAATGTGACTTCGCAATAGATATTCAACCAGTAGAAAACATGTTTGTTCATTCGCTAATCCTCCGGGGGAGGGGTTTTTCTTTGTGCTTTCTACGTTACACCTATTGTTGCCATGAACAGCCATCAGAACAGCGTAGGTTGACCCGCTCGATGTCTTTTGCGTTCAATTGCCGACGACTTGCTGCTGGTTACATGCAGCTTTAACTCACATCCTTGTCTTGCTTTTTGGAACAAACTACATCCGTGCTTCATAGGCCATATCATGCGAATCGTCGCCATGATCCCCATTTACGCCATCTGCTCAGGTAAGCAAAGCAAACCAACCATTGTTTTCAACCAAACAAAGAGCACGACAACAATGACCCATCAATACTCCTCTTTCAATTCCTTCATGCCGTTGCCAAATAGGCCTGTCGTACCGATTCTACAAGAACGCATTGTACTTTGAGACAATCCGCGACTGTTACGAAGCATTCGTAATCTACTCCTTCTTTATCCTTCTCCTCACCTACCTCGGCGACGACAACGAGTCTCAACGGTCAAAGATTACAGGATCTGACAGACGGCGACTGCTATCCCCACTCAACTGCTTCTATTTCAACCCTTTGCATGAGAACTTCTTGCACTACATGAAGCATGGTATTCTGCAATATGTTGCTATCAAGCCATTGTGTACTTTGGCCGCCCTGGTTCTGGAGTATTATGGACTTTATTGTGAGACGGTTTATGATTGGCATTTTGGAATGGTTTATATCACCATTATCAACTTCATCTCTGTCAGCGTTGCCCTTTACTGTCTGGTAAGTCTGTATTCCCTTGCGCGTTGGTTGGCCATGGAGCTGTTATATGGAGGACGTGCGAACGAGATACTCATATCTCGAATATCTATTTTTGATCAAATAGGTCCTCTTCTACCAAACCATCAAGGACGAGATCCAGGATCATGGTAACACTCACGCTCATTTACGATGTCAATTGAAGCAGGATCATGCTCTACTTATCTAACAAGAATACGTCTTCTTCACTCAAAAATGACACTGATGTAGACCCGTTGATGAAGTTCATGTGTGTGAAGATGGTGGTCTTCTTTTGCTACTGGCAAACCTGCCTTTTGAGTCTCATCGGTACCCTTGGTAAGTGTGTCTCCCTTTTGCAAAAGCTTTGGTTAAACCGTCTCCGCCTGAGATGTTCAAAAATTGGCAACGAAGGACACTTTTCTCACATTCCTATCTCTCCATCTCCGATAACTCAATTTGCTCCGCAGGCTGGATCATCCCTCAGGACCACTGGACGATCATCAATGTCGAACTCGGAATCTCCTCCCTCTTGATTTGCACAGAGATGGTCGTCTTCTCCATCCTCCACGTCTACTCCTTCTCCTACCGTCCCTACGTCATCCCAGGTGTCCAAACACCCGTCTTCAAATCTCTCCAGGACGGCTTCAACCCCGTCGACATGATCCGCGAGATTATTTGGGCCTGTACAGATTTCTGTCTCCTCCTCCAGGGTAAAACGTTACCTGTGAGGGATGGAATGTTGAGCGTCAAGTTGAAGCGTGCGCATACGATCCGAATTCGGAAGGTGCAGAGGTTCTTTAAGAGTCGGAAGCCTGCGGCCCCGATTCAAGTCGATCCTAGGGTGGAGGAGATTTATCAGTCGACATTGGAGGCTGAGGAGCGTCGTGAGGCTCAAGAGCAGCAGCAGCAGGAGGATCAGGAAGTCATGACAGGCCTCTTGAGCCAAACGGATGGTAAAATGACCCGATATAAATGAGTTTGGGGTAACGTCGTGACAGTTAGAAGACGGCATTGTTCCATATCTAACATTTCCTTCCCACTATCTCTCTTCTTTCGTTGTCGATGATAGGTCTGAACTACCAGTCAACATCCAGAGTCTAGAAACTTGCTCCCATTTCCCACAACCAGTGCATCACGTTCATCAAAAAGCGCAATGTATAATTGTATATTTGTATCAATTGTATCAAAAAAGGTGTCGCGTGGACAAAGAGTGGGGCATAAGAGAAGAACTGTATAGTACTCGGTGCATATATGAACAGTGTATGGGTAGGAGTCGTTTCGATGAGAAAACAATAAGGAATAGCATATTGGACATTAACAGGTTGGGGATAAAAACAACGGACACATCTCTTAGGTACGCACATGCACGAAAAAATGAGCGGTCCTGTTTTTAAGGCACGGGTAGATATGCGATGTGTTGTATTGGATGGGAAAGGAACGAGGAGACGTGGTGGAAGAGGGACGTGTGTAGATTTACAAGACCAAGCAGTTCTTGCTCTTGCTACGACCGCTCTTGGGCTTAGCCAAGAGAGAGGCACGGGTGGCACTCTCAAAGACCTCACGGACACCCTCACCAGTCTTGGCCGAGCACTCCAAGTAATCGCGAGCCTTGATGTGGCGGGCAATCTCAGCACCCTATCGTTGTTGACGTTAAAAAAGAGAAATGGTTGCATTAGTGCCATTGAAGCAGTTTAGCATGCCTTGTCTGCTTGCTGCAGCTACCCCGTGTTGTGAAATGTGTTGCGAAATTATGGCCAGACTGCTCGTTGCAGTAGCCAAAAGATGAAAGGGCACTTACGCGTTCGGGGCTGACGGGTGCCTGGTTGTTTCTCCTGAGATCCTCAATGGTTCGCTGGTCGTATCTCAAGTCCTTCTTGCAGGCTACCAACAAGATGGGGAGCCCACCGCAAAAATGCTGAACCTCGGAGAACCACTACATTGATTTCAATTGATTCAGTATGGAGAGTGGTCAGTATGATGTGCTTGATATTATTCTTCTTAGCCAAAGGACTTTCTACCACATCTCAAGTTCCATGGCAGAATCGAATACTTTGCCAACCATTAGCCGAAATATTTTTCCAATGTTCAAAATAACCAAGTGCACCATTATCCACAAAGCGCTTGTCGTTATTCTTCCATGCCAAAGGTCTCAATTCCACATCTAGATCAAGAGTCCCGCGGAGGTAACGAATACTACGCCCACCAGTAGCCGATATATGTTCCGGCGCCCAAATTAAATAAGAGCTGCATTGTCCATGAAGTATGACGTGTGGAAACAGTGACAAGAGCGTACCTTCTCCTGGACGTTCTCGAGCGAGTCGGGCGAGTCGATCGCAAAGCAGATAAGGATCACATGGGAGTCAGGGTACGAAAGTGGGCGGAGACGATCGTAATCTTCCTGGCCTATTAATGCAAGCATTGGTGGTAAAAAAGTATGCGTGAAAAAATACAGCGTCAATTGGTTTGAAACACGCAATGTCCTGCATAAGAAAGGGGCCGGTCCGGTTTGTATTTCCTTATCCATGCTGTGTTGACACCATGTGATGGCTCGTTTTTCGGCACTCGCTTACGTACCAGCGGTATCCCAGAGGGCGAGCTCGACGTGCTTGCCATCAACCTCAACATCGGTGACATAGTTCTCAAAGACGGTTGGGACGTAGATCTATGAGGTACAGCAGAGAAGACTCGATTGGTCAAACATTGGAAATAGCAAGAGCGTATCTTTTAGGAGGAAGGAGTATTGTTTTACTGGCGAACACGCCGATTGACTATCAGGAGACAATTGTGGCATAAGCATGATATCAAGGAGTGAGAGTGAGCCTTGTATCCTGTCTCTCCTGAGCGATATTCCACTTTGAGCTGGAGAAAAGAGTCCTGATGAGAACTGGCATCCATGGAGGGGTGTGAATCCATATTAGCGTCACTGGTGTGAGCGAGGAGGAGAGTCCATGCAGAAGCTGTTGGGGTGTGTTGTTGCTCTGTCTTGTGAATCATCTTGTACTGAAAAAAAGAGTCCTGTGAAAGAGGCCTTTGTTCCTCCTGAGCGAGTCGATGGGAGCTGTTGTAGATATGTCCTGGAGCATGCTGTGCTGTGGTAGCGAAGGACTCACCTCGGGGAAAGTGCCCTTGGAGAAGACGATGAGCAAGCAGGTCTTGCCACAGGCACCGTCACCGACGATAACGAGCTTTCTGCGGATTTCGGTCATGGTGAATAAGGGTTAAGAGTAAAGAGGGTGAGATGGGAGAGTTCTGTTGAGAGATGACGAGATGATGAACAAGTGAACGAGAGGAGTATGTGTGAGTGTGAGTGAGTGTGAGTGATGAAGAAAAGAAGGAAGGAAGAGAGAAAGAGGCGAGTGATCAGTATTTATGCGTTTGGTTGAATTGTGGTACAGAAGGAAAAAGAGAGAGGGATGATGAATGGCACAGGCGCCGTCCTTGTTGTCGTTCGCAACACATCGCAAAATAAATATAAAAAAGCGCTTCTTTTTGGTGTTTTGGTTTTCGTGGGGTTGTTGTCTTGTGTTGACTTGTGTTGTGGGCTGTTGTTAACAAGCAGTGCAAGAGGAGGCGTAGCCTTGGGTGTGTACGGCGTTTGTGTGGTATATCGATCGATGGCAATACCACAGGTGAGGATAATGAAGAAGGGTGATAGCGCATCGTATGACAGTGGGTCAAAAAAGAAAAAAAATGTTTCCGCGTATGTCTGTCGACTCTATCGTTGTTGTCTTGTCGCTGTTCCTTTCTTTTTGTTGTTGTTGCCCTGTTTGTCCAGGCGGACAAAAAAGAAAAAGAAACTTTTTTATACACCCCTCATCGCCACAGGTGACACGAGTTCGGTCGAATGGAAGAACAAAAAGAAAAAAAGAAAAAAAGAAAAGAAAAAAGGGCGAGTGTGGAAAGAAACGAGTGGGTCGTGGCGGTGCACAAAAGCACAGTAAGCAACGCGAGGTCCAGGCCAACCACACACAACTTAAACGCACTTGTTCGGAAACAAAGGAGAACGTTCCAAGAGAAGAATAAAAGACGATGATGGCGAGAAAAAGGAACAATAACGAGAGTAGATTCGACTGAGAGTAGAAGAAAAAGAACAAAGCCCCTAGGACGTGAGGACAAGCGAGCTGGTTTGATAGTAGCAAGGTGTTGTTGCTTTGTGCTTGTCAGGAAGAGGATAGTTTTCGCGGGGGGGTGGTTGTTGTGGTTGTGTTAGGTGGTTGATATGGTGGCGAGTGTAATTCCTTTGTTGAGAGTCTGTTCCTGAGGAGAGTCAAGAGTGAGTAGGGGTGTGTGATGATAATTACTGATAGGGTGCTGCAACGCTGAGTGTGTGTGTGAGTGTGTGTGAGAGAGAGAATGAGATAGAGTGTGTGTGTGCTGATTAAAGAAGGCGGATGAAAACTTACAAGAAGATGGTATGAATGAGGAAGGGTATGATTCAGTTTGCTGAAGAAAACATGAAAAGAAAACGATGTTCACAAGACATAACCATGTCGACCAACTTGCAAAAAAGTCCGTGTGACGTCACTATATTATTTTTTAATTTGCAAGAGCCGCGAACAAAAGGCATACAAGGGAGGATGGGAGAGATCCGTTATCCTCTCGACAGACCCTCTCTCTCTCTTTCTTTTATCCAACTAAGGAGAAGTGAGAGCAGCATTAAGCAGCAGTAAGCAGCAGATAGGCACCTACATAGCTCAACATGGCAGAGAGAGGCGACGGCAAATCACAGTCATGGCTGGGGTGATAACAGGAGACATTGCCACCAAAAACAAAATGAAAAAAGAGCTTCTTGTTCGTGTTGTTCCTGAGGAGAATGAACATGATCAACGAAGACATAATTAAAACGAAGAGAGAGGAGAGCGCGAGAGAGAGAGAGAGAGAGAGAGAGAGAAGAGAGAGTGCTCCTTTTGACATCTTCATCTCGCACTTTCATACAAATACATATCTTACCATCCCGCCATCAAAGGCATGTCCATGTCCAATGGGGCTTGAATGGACAAAGTGCATATCTGCAGTTCTCTGACCACACTCGACGAGAATTTATTTTTTCCGTCTGTGATGCATTTGATTGATTTTCAGCGCGGGTCACCCTCTCTTCTTCATTTTTACTTTTTGTTCCTCTCTCTCCTCCTTTCTCTCTCTTTCTTTTCCACTTTCCCTTTCTTCTCTTCTTCCTTCTCACTCCACTCTTCTTTCTTTTTCTTCCTTTTCCTTCCCTCACTCTCTCCTCGCTCCTCGTCGGCCAGTCGTCACTCTCTCTCTTTCTCCTCTCTTTCTCTCTCTCTCTCCCTCTCTCTCTCCCCGTCCTCCTTACCTGTGCGTGAACAAACAACATCGCCAATGCTTCATATACTGACTTTCATTCACTGGATTCAACTTTGAATGGGAATGACTTACTCATACTCCAGCTGGGAAAGAAAAAGAAAAGATAAAAGAACCAAAAGACACCAGCTGTGCACGGGAGCAGCAACACAGGAACGGGAGTATCGACTCTCCTTCACAGGCAGCAGCGGGAGCAACAGTATTCGTCAACTCTCTGCTTACGGAACACTTCTACTTCCTTCCATACATACGGATAAATCCATGCCTGGACGACACTTCTTCGTCTTACTCTTCCAACACACTCGGCACTTGGAACGCAGCAACAACAACAGCAGCAACGAGACAGCCCTGTCCTCCCAACAACCCCTTTCATTAGACCAGTCAGTCAATCAGTCTGTTAGTCAGGCACTTCAGTCCAGTGCAGTTCAGTTCAGTCAGTGGGTCAGCGAGCTAATCTTGGATCATCATCTTTTCTTCGTCATCATCCAACCACCACCACAACAACAACAATAACAAAAAATATACACAGACACAGACACGCACGCCCCTGCACACGCGTGTATGTGAATGTCTGTGTATTCAAAATACCAGCCATTGGCGCGTGCTGTTCCTTCCGCCCCGTGTCAGTCCAATTCCATCGTGAAACCAAATGAAAAACAGCCGGTATACTAAACCAATCTCCATTGTCCTCTTCTTTTTACTTTGTCCCCCTTGTTCAATCTCGTTAGTCTCCTTTTATTGGCGTCACCGACCAACGCGTTAGTTCCGGCAACAAGAAAGACGAAAGAAATCAAAAGGCGACTTTTCCCCGTAGAGTCAATAGAACAGGACCAAGGAATACCACGCACTACCAACAAGGCAGCAAAAAGCAACCTCAAAAAAAAAAAACCGGATCACACCAAACTACACACAGGTGCTATTGTATCATCTGCCATCAACAACAACACGACCACAAAGCAGGACCTCTGCCTTAGTATCAGCACCAAGGCGTCTGCTCAAAACAACAACATCCTACCCTCACGACTACCCTTTTCTCACCCACCCAGATACCATGTCCAAGAGCGTTCTAAGCGAGAGGCAGCGTGATGAGCTGTAAGTGGTTTCTGGATCTTACTACTTTATCACCACATACGAGCCACGTGTATTGTCGAGGCGGGTTTCTTGTCTATTCGGCGTAATTGACACTCCAACTCGTTGTCGTTTTTATGATTGTAGGCACAAGGCCATTTTGGACTACTTGAGCACCAATGGATTCACAGAGTCGTTCCAGACATTCAGGAACGAGTCTGGGAATCAAGCCTTTACTCCAGGACCGAAGCAGAATTCCTCAGGATTGCTGGAGAAAAAATGGACCTCTGTGATCCGTTTGCAAAAGAAGGTAATGATTATCATGCGACTTTTATTGCTGTGCGAGGGAGAGGAAGGCGTGCGCGTGGTGCGCGTGTTTGTACCTTTTTTACGTGCGTCATTTCACAACTGCGTATGCCCATGTGCTACCTACGGCGGCTGAGACTGCGACTGAAATGCGAACACCATTGCAACGTGCAAAAATGCAGAGTTCAAAGTGCAAAGTGCAAAGGGGAGAGGAAGTCTCTAGGGCAAGGCTGAAGTATTTATTTGAAAGGAGAAAGAGCGTGAAAGAGCATAATAAGGGAGGGACAGAGAGAGAGGAATAAAAAAGAAAACGAGATCAGGCTGCTAATCAAGCACTGTTGCTATCATTCACTCCGTCATTGTAGATCATGGACCTTGAAAGCAAAATGACGGCTATGCAGGAGGAACTCAGCAACGCACCCGTCAGGAAAGTCACTAGTTCAGGAGACTGGATTCCTCGGCCACCTGAGCGCTGGACGTTGACAGGCCATCGCAACCCGATCACACGTGTGGCATTCCACCCTGTTTTTACCATTCTCGCTTCTGCTTCAGAAGACACCACAATACGGATCTATGATTACGAGACGGGCGAATACGAGCGGACACTCAAGGGACACACCAAGGCCGTTCAGGATCTTGCCTTTGACCCGAAGGGCAACTTTTTGGGTAAGCCGCAAATTTCCTTATTTTGGTTGTCTTTATTACTATGTCGTCCATGGTGTTTGCTTATCAAGTACGGCCAAAACTTGGTTTCTCATGCATGAATTGCTTCATCTTGCCATTCGACAATAGTGTCGTGCTCAAACGATCTGAGCATCAAAATTTGGGATCTTCAGCAGGACTACAAATGCATTAAGACATTGTTTGGACACGACCACAGTGTGTCGTCAGTTGCCTTTCTTCCTTCTGGCGACATGATTGCCTCAGCATCTCGCGACAAAACAATCATGCTCTGGGAGCTCTCCACAGGGTAAGGACTCTACTCGGCTAGAGTGATTTCGCAGACGAGCATTCGGGATATTGTCGAAGCGAACGTCGCAGGTCACTGATAAGAATGACATCTTTTTTTTCTACATTAGGTACTGCGTGAAGACAATCGCGGGACACTTGGAGTGGGTTCGATTCATTCAGCCAAGTCAGGATGGGCGTCTCCTTGTGAGCTGCTCTAGCGATCAGGTACTGTCAAGGGTCTTAGCTCTCCTTGCCAACATGCGATCACTTCCACCTTGAGCATTGGCTACGTTCAGTCTAACCATTTCTAAATTCAAATATCGTGTTACAAACGTATTAGACGGCGCGTGTTTGGGATGTCTCGACAGGAGAGTGCAAGAGCGAGTACAGAGGACACGACAACGTTGTAGAATGCGCAGCCTTTGCACCCTTGGCTGCTTACCCTTTCATCAAGGAGCTCATTGGAATCGACGTAAGAATTGCTGTGGCCTCCTTCTTTCTTCGAGTTGAACATTGTGAACACAAGATGATTGACTGAGCATCTATTTTCTTTTCATTGCGCTCGTCTTTTTGTCTATTTTAGCCCAAAGTGAGCTCCAAGGAGCAGCCTCTTCCTGGACAGTATGCTGCCACAGGTTCAAGAGACAAGACTATCAAGATCTGGGATTCTACAGGACAATGCATCCACACCCTGGTATGGACACCACTGACAACACTACGGGATACTGGACATGCTATGACCATCTGCAGTTTTCAAAGGCGCTCACTCGATGTTTCTGTTTTTATGCATATTGAATAGATTGGTCATGATAACTGGGTCAGAGGGCTGGTGTTCCACCCATCGGGCAAGTTCCTGCTGAGTGCTTCGGACGACAAGACAATGAAGATTTGGGACTTGAAGTCAGGACGTTGTATGAAGACGATGGAGGCACACTCGCACTTTGTGACCTGCATTGCATTCAACACGACAAGTCCCGTTGTAGCGACGGGCTCGGTTGATCAGGTAATGAACAATACTGAGCTTGATAGCGATACGGCTCCACCGGCTCCACTGCATTGTATATTCTCGCACATTGTCTGTTTGTCTGTTGAGGGAAACGTGCATAGGGTCGCCAAAAAAAATAATACTGACATTACCCCATTTTCATTTGAAATCCTATAAATCTAGACTGTAAAATTATGGCAGTGCCGCTGAAGGAATCTGCATTGTCCTGCTAATAAAGCGCTCGCCTCATCCTTATCCTTTCCCGCTCTTTTCTTTTTCGATTGTCCAGCTCTTTGAAAGATACATGCAGCATGGTCGGTCCACGGCCCTTCAATGCTTGTCGTTTTTCTCGCGAACATTGTGAGGAGAGTCATCCGATTTATTTAAACAAAAAATATCAAGGACAGGCCACGTTCATTCCAGGGTGCCTGCCAATCGGTCCCAACGCCATCGCTTTCTTTTGTTTTGATTGTGTTCCTTCACGGAGCAACGAGTTCTCACATATCGACAAGGAAGGCTCAAATGGATTTTGTCTTTGGGGAGTTTATCTAAAGGGAGAAGAAGTGCCATCCCATCCACTCCAACACGGAGACATATAGCACATCCCCAAGGGAGTCGCAAGGAGAGAAAGCTGTTTTGCGACCCATTTTTTTTCTCATTTCTTGCGAAGAATTGGAGATGCATGTGAAGGCGAATGAAAGGGGGTTCAAAGAAGATAATTTGTGCCCTTTACCGCAACTATAATGCAATACACACCATATCATACCAACTCCCAGGGAGTGTTTACGAGAGAGAGAGAGCATGGTGGGGCAGAAGGAAAAGAAGAAAAAAAAAGTACGAAAAGGTGTTCGTGATCTTAGATGTGTTCAGCACACCAAAAAAAGAGTCCATAGGAGGCAAGAAGCTCCCACGCGACCATGGATCTGAATGAAAACAATTCGTCTTTTTTCGGTTCCTTTCCCTCCTTGCTACTACCAATAACGCGCTGGAGCCAAAAGCACAAGGGACGGGCTGGGCTGCGACTGTGGTGAAGGAAGGAAGACAGGTTGGATCTTGATCAAGGAGAGGCGAAGGAGGCATTCTTGTTAGTTGTTGTTGTTGTCCTTGCTAATGGCTACCATCTTCAGCTGGTATTATATTATTACCCTAAAAGTAGAAAACAAAGCGTCGCCAGTAAGGTTAGAAGGGGCATTCCAATGGAGACATCTACCCATCCAGTCCGCTCACACTTACAGTACTCTCAATTAGTATTCTTGTCATTCTCCTTTCATCCATTGTGCTGTGTCTAAGAGAGCTGGAAACCCGATATATCATTTCGATCAAGCATGGATAACTATAAACAGGCTCACTCGCTCTTTTCCAATCCGAAAAATGTCGCCAAAAACAACAGATTCATCGAGAAAGGAGAAAAGGAAAAAGAACAAAAAAAGCGCTGTCTGGATATTCAAGACAACGACAGCATGCCTTGCACTCCTTGAAAAAGTGTCTGTCCATTGCTCTTATCTTCCGTATGCGATCTTGAACTCTCAAATAAACTCTCTTGATCACCTTCCCCGCTCACTCAGTATTTCAACATAACAAAACGGTATTGTGAAAAAGGATTCACGCATTGCGAATGAGCCAACTTTGGTTTAGTGAGATCGAACGGGATGGTTAAAAACAAACAGAAGATACAAACAAACAGAGAGGAGTGACTGACAGAACAGAGGAGTAATAGAGAGGGAGGGAGACAGGGAGCATCGATATTATAGGCCGTTGGCTAAAGGATGGCTGAATGTGTCATCAAAGTGCTCTAGAATCGCGTTCTTTGTCTCTCTTGACCTTACCCTTGTCCTTTATTTTCATGCTCGCGAGCTGTATTCCATCCGAGATGCGCTTCCACTCTGGCAACCCTTCTTTTTTCAGTCCTTGTTAAAAAGGTCCCTTTATCTCTCGCAATCCCGCTCGTCACCACGAACATCACAATCTGTGTCTTCGATTGATCTTTTCACCCTTGCCCTCCCATCCCTCCTTTCTCTTTCTTCTTTCTTTCCTTTCTCGTTTCTTCTTTTTCTTGTTTTGTTTATCTTTTCCCTTTTGTTGTTTGTTCCCATCCATTTAATACTTCGTTCTCTTTCCCATCCCTCCTTCTCTCTCTCTCCTTCTCATTATCGGAGACTCTCTCATTCCTGGTATTCATCATTACCATCATTCCCTCTGCACGCTCATATTCATTGTACACGCATCGTAGGTTGTCTGTCTGTACTCCGGGCCTTTGGAGTCACACCTGTACACCGTCTCCACTTTCATCAATACCTCATTTTCCTTTTCACTCTCTCACGCCTCTCACCCGCCCCTTTTTGTTCTGACATTTTTTTCTCTACACGGTCCCATTCTACACACACACACACACACACACACACACACACACAGGCAGAACACGGCATACCACAGTCAGCATATTTCATTTCTTTGTTTCCTTACACACACATCGCCTTGCATTCTGATCGCTGACATAATCTGGGTCTGCGAAAACCACAGACATTGACCTGCAGTCGAAATAAGCAAGCGCGACAGGATCAGGGCCAGCACAGCACAGCGTATCCTTTCTTGATTCCAAACACCACCACCGACCCAGCTCCGCCCCTTCTTCCTTCTCCAGTTTCCTTTCTCAGCAAAGAAAAAAAGGGTGAGACTTTTTAACATTTTGATTGGTCCCGCACAGACTTGATTCACTGATCGATTGAATGATTTGATTCACCGATGTGAATTAACTGAAATCTGATTGAGATAGACAGAATGAAATCTGTTAAATGCTCACATCCGTCTGTTTTTTCTTTCCATTATTACTTCCTTCTTTTTTTGAATAGGAGAGCACCATATTTCGAGAATGAACAATGGACAGAAGAACTCAGAGCTTCGACCGGCGCTGGATACAGAGGATATCAAATCACAACTTAACGCCATTGTAGCTCCTTACGGTATCCTGTTCCCCAAGTCCATGGAGGAAGACTCATCCATGTCTCTCGATCTCACAAATCCAGTCTCTCTTGACACCGGCATCGAACAGTCCACAGACAGCCATACCTTGACAACTGCCTCCTCCTTCTCTCCTGGGGAAACCCTAAAGACTGTCTCAAGGCAGCCAACCATGTCAGCTATCGATGGAGCGAGTCTCGGTATCCAGAGCGCACCGGGGTCGGTGGTCGAGTCCACAACAGAAAAGACCTTTGCAGAGGGTCGGTGGAGTTCTCTCGATGGATCCTCACCTGAAAGGAGAGGACCGCGGTCCAACAAAGGAGGAATCACCAAGTCTGGGTCGAAACTGGTCAAGGGCTGGAAGAAGTTCCGCCAGAGTCTCAAAGCCGGCAACACTCTCTCCAGCAGCCCAGGCGGTACCCCGCCCTTGTTTGGATCCCATTCCTCTGTTGCAGAGGACGCGACTCGCAGTGATGGTTTCCCGGCAGTCTCGTCCGTAGGAGAACAGCGCAGGGCGTTGAGTGATCTCGGCCGTCCGTTCGAAATAGGTGCGGATGATAATCTTCTCGATTTCGGAACTGGGTTTGGAACGGGATTGACACACAAGTTTAGTTCGGGATCCCTCAAGAATTTACTTCTAAAGGGGTCCTCTATTTCAAGCGTGAAAGATCTTGATGTTCACTTGTTGCCGACCATACGGTCGGGAGCTACACTAGAGTCACACGACAAACAGGCCGGAGGAGGAGGAGGAGGAGGAGGAGGAGGAGGAGGAGGAGCAGTAGTGGTGGATACAAACTCGGTCATGTCGTTGGGAAAGATGATACAGTATGGAAAAGAGGACTGGATTGCACAGCAGCAGCAGGAACGATTGACCCAACGCAGTCGGTCGTCATCCAAGCACCATCCTAGTGGGCCATTCAGCGCGGCCGAGCCTAGCACTTCTGGAGATGTCGTTCCCGCCACTAGAGAAAATGCAACTGTTGGTGGTACCGACGCAGTAGTGGCGACCGGTATTATTCCCACTACAGGTGCAGATTTAGTTCGGGGTGGTGCGGAGGATCTAATTACGTTGTCTGGTTATGCTGAAAGCGAGGAGGCGACCGACATCCCAGTCGTTTCCGTCATTCAACCGACCGATATTGGCATTGTGACGGAACCAGAGGAGGAGGGTCCAGTTTTCGTGTCGGGTATTGACGTTTTAGACACGCCGACGGTCGTGGCGAGGGAGAATCGACTTGGGCAGGACCTTGCGACGCCTCAGCAGTGGCGACTCAGTACGCATGGTACTCCAAAGGTGGTTGGATCGATCTGTGAGAGGCGTATCTCTGGTGTCTGTGACAGCGAGGTCTACCTCCAGCGCCTTATGCAAGACTCTGTTGCTCCCGAGCAAGATCCGTCCGAGAGTGGTCAGCCAGAAGAAAACGGTATGTATACGCATTGTTTCTTTTACCGCTTTCATTTTACTTCGAGCGATGCCAGCTGTTGTTTGTCTTGCATTGACCTGTATACGAGTTGTTAACTTTTTCCTTTTTCCTTTTTCCTTTTTCCTTTTTCTTTTTTCCTTTTTCCTTGTTTCTACCCTTTTCATTCGAACGAAATAGAGGAGGGCCGCATGGATAACGCGTTCCATGTCCCGCTATATCAGTCTGTGCAATTGGCATCGGCCACATTCGACAATGGCCAACGGATCCCACTTGTGCTGTACTATGTCACCGAGGAACTCCGTGCTCGAGGTAAACATGTGCTGTTTGTCCTCTTCATTTTTGTTGAGTATTTGCAATTCCTTTTGCCATGAAGAGATAACGACTCTCACCATTAACACGCATGTACACGCATGTACACGCACTCATTTTCCTATCCTTGTACTACCAACCTTTGACATTTGATAGTGTCCCGAGGAGATGTTGTTGAGATGATCGACAGCCTGTTCCCGGTCGACTGGGAGGAATCGGATGAGGAGTTTGAGAAATTGGTCGGTATGTTTGACCAGCGACCCTTTGGTCAGCAGTTTGACTTGTGCCTGGAACCTCCAGCTGTTCCACTACCTTCAGATATCGATAACCAGGTCCACCCCTTTGACCCATCCGCTACCGAGACTGATACAATCGAGACTGATACAACCGAGAATGACAGTGCCGAGCAGACCGAGAGCAGCGATGATACCCCCACCGCCCCTGTTGAGCCATCAAAGCCCAGAGTCTCCTCTCGTGACCTTTCTCGCCTTGTCCTCCGCTTCCTCAAGGACTTGCCTGAGCCTTTGATCCCCGCTGACATTTTCAGCACCTTTTCAGCCATGACCAAGCTACAGACCCTCGACTCAGTCAAGATCCAAGCCTCATCTCTCCTGGTCCAACTGTTGTCCACCGAACACCGAGAGCTTCTCCAATTCCTATTGGAGTTTTTGGATGAGGTCGTTTTGAGGTCGCTGAATGATGAAATCGAGCGCCTTGAACACCCTGATCCACCACAGCCTCTTGAGCATGAGCCGACAATTCCAGAGTTGGGCGACAAGTACAAGGACACTTTGGACCGACTATCCAACATCTTTGGTGTTATCTTTTCTCATGCCACCATCAGATCCGAAACAGGAATAGGAGCAGGAGCAGAGAAGCAGCAGAGTCAGACGTCATTGTATCGCCATTACAAGCGTGACTTTGAGTTGAAGGCCCTACAGGAACAAAACGCACAGGCTATCCGCAACTCTGCAGCCGTGTTCCAATCGCTCTTGACCTTCAGGACCACCATCTTCGGAACATCTTCTTTCTTACTTGGTCAGGAGAACAAGGACGAGTACGGCTCTGATCGATCGCATTCTCGAGGTGGTGGTGTTGACCAGGATGACCAGTCGAGTATTCACGGATCCGTCTATGATATGGATAGTGATTATGAGTACCAGTCTGATAGCGCGTTGTACGAGGTCACGTCCAAGAGGCCACTGGGCAGACGACATATCGAATCTAAGTTTCCCAGCTCACCCAAGCGACCATTGACCAAGTCCAAGACTGTGCACTCGCGTCACCACCACCACCATCGTCAGTTGCGCAAAGGTCGCAAGCAACGCAAGAGCGACTTTTCACTCGTCGTCACTACTGTAGATGACGAAGGCGCAGATGGTCAGGCTGGAGTGCAGAGAAAGACCAGTGCCGACACGCTATGCGACTCGGCTGTCGACATGACGACCAATGTTGATGTCGTGGCTTTGGCGGCGATGCAGGAACATACGGCACGGTCATTGCGGAATCAAAAGCATCTCCCTCGCCCCTCTGTTGCTACCCTGCATTCAATCCTCGCTGAGGCGCATTCTGTGATTGATGGCGCGGCCAACGCCCTCCACCCTACCGCCGCAGCAGCAGGCGCAGCCGCAGGAGTGGGAGTGCAAGCAGGCGCGACAGCAACATCAACAGAAGGAGACGTCATGACGCATGACGCAGCATCGATGGTCGGAGACGCAGCCAGGACCGAGTATGGCGAAGCGGCAACAGCAGATCGCTCGGTCCGCCGCCTAGCAGGGAAGGGTGAAGGCGAAGCCGATGACGAAGAAGGGAAGACCTATGACCGCGAGATAGGATTCGGTCATGCAGCTAAAACCAAGCTCAAGTATGGGTTCATGGACTTTCTTCAGGAGCCTCTTGATCGCAAGCAAGAGGAGCGTGAGATCCAATTGGTCGAAAAGGAGATTCTGCGTTCTGGTGAGTAACAACAAAAAAAGAGCAAACGCCCCCTGTTCGCTCTTCCTTGGCATTTAATTCATGCATTTGCGTGCATTGTTTATCTTTTTGCTTCCGTTTGATGTGCACCATGGACAAGTTACTACGGCATGGGAGAGTAAAAACGACGTGTAACGACACAACAAAAGGCGCTAACAGCAACAATGCTCTCTACTTTGCTTATTGTGACATAGAAATCACGACAAAGTTTCTAGCTGCCAACCTTGCAGGGCTGTATCCTTCCAGTTCACAGACAGCCATCCCATCCATCATCCTGCCTTCTGCTCGCTCAACGCTCCTGCCTCAAACCTCGTCCCGTTCTAGCACCGATGCTCTTGTTGTACCCCAAGCATCGAGCGAGTCCTCGACTGCTGTTGGCACAACTGCCTTCAGTCGAGAGTTGACCCTTGCGCCCCAAGAACAAATCCGACTCCCCGACAACCACCGCGCCTCTGACGATTGTTCCTGCTCCTATTGCACTACTTTGGTTCAGCCCAGCCAAATCCCAGTCCTGACGCGTGACGAGTACGAGAAAGCCGAGTTGCAGTCCCAATGCGATGCCAAAGACCAGCATATCGCGGAGCTGTTAAAGACTGTCCAGAGTCTTCAGGGCGAGGTTAATATCCTCAACGCCAAGCTGCTCTTCTTGCACGATCACCACACTACCCGCCCCATGCGACGCAGGACCCTGGCCAGAAATAGTTTCCCCGCCGTGCCATCCTCAAACACACCAGGAGGAGATTGGTCGTCAAGGCAGCAACATCATCCACCTCAACAGTTCTCAGAACCTCCTTCATCGGCACCACAAATGAGACACACCTCATCCTTGGTACTACCCTCGTCAACCGCTACTAATGCTGCTGCTGCTGGGAGTGAATACAGTTCCCTTCAGGGGTCCCCAAAACTGTTTGCGGAGGGGATTCAAACGTTCAACAACGCCGACACCCAAATGAGTCGCGGCAAGTCTCACCACATGTCCTTGGGATGGGAATATGGTCATAGCAGCGGACAGGACTTGAGCACTCTGGAAGAAGATGAGACCATGTCCTTCCTGGACCTTGATGACCCGCAACGTCCCCCGCCACCACCCTTCCCCACCAACAACTCTGCCCAACGTCCCGGTCGCCCAGGCTTTGGTCTACGGGAGGTCGTCGAAGAGGAAGAGGAAGATCACGAGCCCGAGAGAGAGGGAGAGGACTTGCTGGACGAGTTCTACTACATGGATGCCTACAAGACAATGGACCAGCAGCTCTATCGACGCCCGATCCTGCCAATCGCTGCACCTCCTAGACCCATGTCGACTGACCAGTACAAGAAGTATCATCGTATGAGCTTGCCGATCCAGAATTTGAGTAAGCGTCTTAGTCTTGGGCAGACATTTCGTTGGAAGGGTCGTGCCACGGCTGCCTAAAACAAACGTCGGTGGAAAACAATAGGTTCAGAATGGACTGAGTGCACTCAACCTTGTCTTTCATTTCCCACCATAACGACGACCACCACCACCAACTACTACCTCTAGTTTTTCATATTCAAATACAATACAACTGCTACTAATACCCCTCTCTCCGTTCATCATAAAAACAAATGCCAGCAATAACGAACTTGAGGGTCACAGAGTCTGTTATTAAACATTCATCCGAGTGAAAGTTAAAAAAAAAGGCTATCCTAACAAGAATGAGCGATTTTGTTTGCTTTTTGTAACGTGGCTATCTCGTTGATCCTCTTGCTGTCGTTCTTTGCTGCCTCTGTGTGTGCATCTGTGTGAGTATGTGTGTGACGGTGAGGACGGACAAATTCGTATTGTGCAGCTCCTATCGTGTGATCGAACGCGGCTTGTTGTTCCTCTTTGATGTGGCCACTTGATTCGTTCACGAAAAAAAGTAAGCGATAAGGAAATCAGGTATACACACGACAGGGACTGAGGGTGAAGAAAAGGGTTCGATTTTTTTATTCACATGGCGAAGCCAGTTAGTCGTGCGACGAAGGAATAAAGCAGAATAGCACGATAGCAGACACACGCGATTGTTAACTTATTATTTTTTATTACTGCGTCGGTATGACCTATGTGCGATTGTCTGTTCATCCGTCGGGAGAAGAGGGAAGAAAGAAAGAGGGGAAAGGGAATCCTGCTCGCAGACATCATGGGTAGTAGATCAAGAAAGAGACAAGAAACTTGGACCAAACGGGCAAGTTATTTTCCTTTCTTCATACAAAGAAAAGGAGGAGGAAGAAAAGAAGGGGTAGATCAAATGGTAAAATGCTTCGTTGGTTTTCGGTCCGACAGACTCAAAAGGGATATCGATGAGCCATCCTTGTCATCCATGTCGCAAAGAGAGAGAGAGAGGACGAGAGGAAGGGGGTTTGGAATGAGTCAATCACAACCACTCGACGATGGCTCGAGCCATGATGGGCTCCTGAGAGACAATCTTGAGAAAGACGATGTCGTCGAAGAGGGGACTCGAACCGACAAGGGATCCTTTGTCTTGAGGAGTGGGGGTGCAGCAGATAGGGACGATTGATCATGCTCAAGCACCATCATTGGTCCAGTCTCCAGGTGTTGTTGTTGCTGCTGCTGTTGTTGTTGTTGTTGTTGTTGGGATAAATACGTGGTTGTTAACTCCTGGGTCAATTGAGCAAATCGTTCCTCTCGCAAGGAGTCCTCGACTCGGAAGGACGAATGGGGAGACAACGAAGAGGAGGACGATGATGAGCGGGAAGGCGACGAGCAATGGAAACCGAGACAGGGCGGACAAGGACGATAATAGGCCTCGTCAAAGTCGACTAGGCGACGACTGACATGATGGCTACTAGTGCTGTTGATGGTGTTGTTGTTGTTGTTACTGGTCTGAGGGTGATGAATTGGATCATGGTCGGAATTTTCGCCCCTGGTCAAGAAACGGGAGGCGGAGGTAGATGTAATCGCTGTTGCTGCTGCTCCTGTTGTGGTAGGTATGGTGGTGTGTGCATTTGCTGTTTGTGTGGATGTGGGGGGTGACGAAGGGGACAAACAGAGAGTGAGAGGAGGTGTTGTTGTTACAGCTCCTCCTATTGCTGTTGTTGATGTTGTTGTGGATGGTGTTATTGTTTGGGTGGTAGTGGTGGTCCCCACTGCTGACAGGGAGAGGGTTGACCCTTTTTCGTTATCTGGGCCGAATGGGAGCAGACGGTGGTGGTGTGGGAGGAGAGAATGACGTGGCTCAGACAGCTGTAGTTGTTGCCGTTCCACGTCGTCCTCAAAAGTCTCGCGATTATAGTCGCCAGCAACTGAGTCGTCAGAGTCGTCGTATTCCGGAGAGGAAATGTCTTCGCCATCATCGTCGTCGTTGTCCTGGTCGTCTTCGATCAGATCCTCCAGAACGGCATCCAGCCAGTCCTCTTGCGCTTGACTAGCCTCGTATAGATATTCTTGATCTTCATCGAGCATTTGCTGTTGGTGCTGCTGGAGAGGGTACTGGAGTTGCATCTGATGCAGCTGGAGCAGCTGTTGTTGTTTGAGGTGGTGTTGTTGGTAAGAGTTTGGCTGATAGAAGTAGTTGTAATACGAGTCGTCAAAGATCATAGATGACGAGGAAGACGACAAGTCAAAGGGGTTGTTGTTGTTGTTGATGGTGTTGCCTGTGAGGGAAGAAGAGGAAGACGATGCTGATTCGTCTCGTTCTTCCATAACTACGTCCGAGTCCAACTGCAGTTGATGTTGGTCAGCGAGTTGTATCCGGTCCAACTCATCGTCAAACGAGAAGGGGCTCCAGACTGAAGAGGACGAGGAAGTTGACTGCGGCGATTGTTTCACAAGAGACGAAGAGGGGGTGGCAGGAGTAGTTGTAGTAGTCTCTTCCATGGGAAAGGGGTGTTGTTGTTGTGCCCCTTGGTGTGAATGAGAAGAGTGATCAGACAACACTGATGTGTTAGTTGGTTGGTGGACGAGGAGGATGTGTCTGATGAGGTTGGAGTGGAGGAGCTGCTGGCGCAGGTCGAGTTGTGGCGAAGTTTCGAGTTTGTTGCAGGCAAAGCTGAACAGGAACTCTGCAAACTCAGACGACATTTCTGTGTGTGTGTGTGATCCGCAGTTGGTGAGAGGGAATGAGTGAAGAGGAGTGAAGGAAATGAGGGAAGAGAGTGAGAGAGGAGGTGATGTGGATGGAGGAATGGAGAGAGGAGAGAGGAGAGCTAACAGAAAGGTTAAAGGAACAAAAGGGAAAAGAAGGAAGAGGAAGAAGAAGAAGAAGAAGAAGAAGAAGAAGAAGAAGAGGACGGGAAACAAAAAGAAATAAGAAGCAAAAAGAGGCGCAAATGGCGAATGTAATTGACTCTTCCCTGCACACAGCACACACACGTAAGAAAGGAAGAGGGAAGAGGGAAGAGGAAGAGGGAAGAGGGAAGAAAAGGGCGACATGAGGTGAGAGAGAAAGAGGCGAATGAGAGGATAACACCGATGGACCACGAGATCGATTCTTCAAATTACTATCACCGTCTGAGCTTATTTCTTCTTGCACGGGGATTGGGCGGGAATAGTAAAAGAAACAGACGGACTCATCCGAGTCACTCACTCTTATGGGACAGGGTGACCATCGATGGGCGGGATGGACCATTCATGGTACATGGTTCAAGGTACCACCATCAACGGAAACGGCTCTCTTTTTTCTTTTGCTATTGCTACCCTTACATACAGAATGGCCGGGGACTGGTTCCCATTCCTTCCTTCTTTCTCTCCCCTCATTTTCAAGAAGGATGACAATAGAAAAGGGTCTGGTGGTGCCATTTCTCTCCCTCTCTCGCTTCCTCTCTCTATCCGCACTCGCAAAAAATGAAGGGTGTTAGCAACTTGTCGCCTTCTCCTAAACAAACTACTGCGTCTTTTTTTTTTCTTTCTTCCCTCCAAACCACTGTCTGTGCTGTGTGAATGAATGAATATGTCTCGCCACCACAGCGACACGTCGTCCGTCCTGTTGCATGTTTGTCCTTCTCAGAGGCACCTTATATTTTTTTTTCTTGCCTGCGTGGATCCATCCACAACGTCTTCGTGGTTTCAGTCCTCTCGAACACCACAACTCTAACCACCGTTCGACGTCCTTTTCGTTTTTGTTGTGGGTGTGTTTATGAATGTGCGTCTCTTGTCATTTGTCTCTCTCTAGCTAACACACGATTGATTGCTGACAAGAACACGAGTGAGCAGGTTTCTGTTATGACTCCTTTGACAAGCAAACCATATCGCATTGGCCTTCTTGGCCTGTGATTCCTTAGGAAGGAGGGAGGGTGAGCTGAGGGGGTAGAGGAGGCTCAAAGGAAAAAGAGAGAACAACAGCGGCAGCATTTTTTCTCTCTTGCGCCACCACATCCAGACCCACCATGTTTGGCGTCAAATCACTCTTGACCATGGCCAAGTCTTTATTTTTTATTGAATAATAGTCCCTTGTAAAAAGACGTGCTCTCACGAGAGAGAGACACGCAAGCAAGCTAACAACTGACTCACGTTGACCAACTTGAGAGAAAAGAGAGTCTGGGCGAAGTATTACCCAAACCATTCTCCTCTGCTGACTTTAAACCTTCCTCTAACACAGAGCTTTCTGACTTGACAGCGGGAGAAATAGGGAGCTGACAGCCACAGAAACATGAAGATCGTCAGCAAACAGCAAGACTGAGCAACCATGTCCCCCATCCAAGTACAGCAGACTGTTATGATCGGCAGAGTACGGCAGGATGCTTGGCCTTCTCCAAGTCCAGTCCCTGTCCACCAACAACAACAATAAAAGAAAGCAGTCCATCTGGATGTGATAACAAGCGCATGCCCCTTTTTCTTATCCCTTTTTCCTTCCTTGACATTCACCACACACTCAAACTCATACTGCACTCACGCCTTCGCTCAAACAACCATCCCTGCAGCTGTCTGAAACACCACTCGATCTCGACCTGCCTTGTCAACACATCAACTAGACTTGCCTTCATGGTCAATTCTCGAAAAAGAGCTAGCAGCGGGTATAGCCGTCCAAAGAGGGCTCGGCGCTGGAGCATGGACTGTCAAGGTTGATCCATACCTGCCTCAAGACATACCTGCCAAATACGACAGAGGTCAATTATAGGATCCAAGTAGAGTTGCGATCCTTGTACTCAAGGATGACACAAGCAGTTGCATTGGATATGGTACTTGCAGGCATGCCACTCTATTCAGTCATCGGGATGACACAGGAATAACTCAAACACAAGGCAGCCCGGCTTCTCGGCCGTGCAAAGGCCCATCACCGCAATCTGGAAAGTACTGATAACAGAGTAGAAGGTTTACTTTGGTCGCTCATTTCTTACTTTCACAATTTGGTCCTCCTTCTTGCACTTCTCCACTCCGCCATGCACACTATCCCTTACCCACTTTTCCCTTCATCTTCATTCCCAGCCATGTCAACCCTACTTCACCTCCTTCTCTCATCACCAACCCTTTCGCTCATCCTCACTCTGTCCCTGATCAGCCATCACCTCTGATAAACGAATTTCTTTCCTCTTCTTTTATGCTGTGTCTTGCTTTGACACACCTTGTTCTTCTCACTTCTCACTTCTCCTTGTCTGCCAAGTACACCTACCATTACCAATTCGATGATCAGCCAACGCAGCTCACCATGCGACTTGTTCTCACACCTACTTCTCTCTTCTCCTTCTCCACCAAGCGTACCTGCTCTCACCCGCACTCTACCTTTTCCTTCGTTTTGCTTTTCATTCCTTGACAGATCAACCTTACTCCACCGCCTTATCTCATCACTGGCAACTTTTTCACGACTCATTCGACTCTCTCACTCTCATTGTCCCACTGATCAATCAACCCACCTGTTAAATTGCGTGAATGTCATAACAACCTTCCCAAGTCTCAGCGCCTAGGACGGTCAAGAACATGCAACGTCTTTTGGTCGCAGTGCCAAATTCCACGTGCCCCTTACATTTGATCGTCAACAACACCTTTGCCACAAACGTCCAACTCATCACGCTCAACTTTACTCTTCTTTCTACCTTCTCGTTCAGCATCCACACTGTCGCTCACTGGATAGTTTAAATGTTCCGATCTAGCTGTTGCTAACCGAGATGTCCCCTTTCTCTCTCTCTCTCTCTCTCTCTCTCTCTCTCTCTCTCCATTATATAGGCACGCGCTTGGCCACTTGGTTGTTGGCGTGCACGAGTACTACACGAGCAAGCGCTGTCCCAAGTGCCAAGAGTTTGTTGCCCTGACCGAGAGTATCACCGCGAGTATCCAGTGCCTCTAATGCAGCCATTGCAAGAAGTACATGCACCGCGACGTGATGGAAGGACACAACATCGTCCTCTCAAACGCGCATTTCCCACTTTGGCCTTGAATCACTAATGTCAAATGCTGATGCCGCAACTCTTACGCCTTCTCAACGTCCGTTACCATTGTCGTTTTTACTCATTTTTTATCCTCGCGTTGATATCGCAAGCGCTGTCACTTGAAGAGTCCTTGAACCGTACACTGTGTGTTGCGGGTGTACAATGGGGATAAGGACGCTGACGCGACTCCATTCTAGGGCGTTTTGCTACAGAATGTCCGCTTAAACCGCGACTCCCATAGAGTGCGTTGTCTTTCTTTGACCTTCCTTGACTGTGAACAGGAAGTGCATCAATGTCTGATGGCCCTCGCGTGGTCCGCGTGCTTGTTGGCGCTCACTTTTGTGAACCTTTTTTGAACCCACATCGATACCGGATGTATTGACTCTATGAGATGTGCCCGTCCATCATTGCTTACTCTCGTCTTACGCATTACTTTCCGTGCCTCTCCATTTCGCCCGCTTGCCTCTCACTCACCCTCCTCGTCTGATTGTTGCACATGTGACCTATAGTTTAATTCCTGCATTATCACCTCCCCATCATGGATATCCCAATCGCAACAAGGAAAAGAGACAGGACAAGAGCAATGGCGCAAAGACAGTTACAGGTCAGGATATCTCTTGGCTCGAAGTGAGCTGCAACAAATCCCCCATAGCGTTACTTGACAAGTTTGGCATCCTCGCACTTGAGGATGGCCACCGCAGATATGCAAGAGCCCTCTACCAGTCCGGTATGTGGGAGCAGCAGCGAACTCTCTTGTCCAACAACTTTGAAGCGTGGAAGAATTCGGAAAGCGTCATCTATTGGGAGCATCGGAATACGAAGGTGGTTGCAAAGCAATCGCCGTGGAAAATTGCAGGCAACATGATCAGAGGCTCGGAACCGTTCGCGGAGACCAATATTGCCGAAAACGCCATTCTGTTGTGCCATCCGATACGCCACGTGTCTCCAACACACCGCGTCAGACATCCGACACCCTGCGAATTACCCAAACGCCAAGAGGACTGGGACTACGACGGCGGTACCTTGGCAAATAAGCGAATAAAAATCCAAGACCCTTGGTACAAGTTGGCAGACATCGCCGTTCGTCTGGTAAGAGCTTTCTTGTGTGCATTCGCAAGGTTAATGTGCGGCCATTTGAATGAGTTAATGCTAACATTTTGACTTGCTCTTTAATTTACCGGTATTGCTATTGATCTTCCTTCAGAGGGAACCAAGGCCACCGAGGAGGATCCTGAACGCCAGAAACTGTATGGATTGGCATGGCGGCATATCAAGGATGCCAAAGACGTCTTCGAACAGCAGAGCGCCGACAAGAAAACGTGTCCCCCCTCCGAGACGACTTCGTTGCATTGTCAGGAGTCTTCAACTTATACTCGCCTATGGGGAGAAAGGTTCTGTCGTCTGCCGAATTCTTGGACGCCAAACGTCTCTGTTTGGTGCTAGAGTACAAGGATGAGGATCTCACAATGCTACTGGACTCTCTGAAGACTATCAAGATGTGGAAGCTGGCCGCAGTGCTGGATGGTGTGTACTTGTGGCCCAGCTCGAACCCGCATTCCGGCTCTCCTTATCGGTTCCCAGAAACATATAAGCCTATCGTTGATAGAATGGTATCCAGGAATTTTGACTGCTTTCGTGTACAATACTAATGATAACCCATCTTAAATGATAGTATTGAGAATATCCTCAACCCACATCATGGCGATAACAAGCCCTCAGAGTCCGATGCGCTGTTGATTTGGGACTCCATACTCAAAGATACGAGGCCGAAGGGGACGCCATTTACCTTCTACCTGTAAGACAAGATAATGTTGTAAGCATGGGCATATGTTCTGTATTTTTTACTGCGCTGTTCCTGATTGACGTGCGTGTACACCCTCTCTTTCATATATTCTTCCAATAGCGGGGAATAGGCAAGCCTCGCCACCCGTGTGTCGAAGAGCAAGTTGGCTTGTGCTTTGAACACAGGTTGCAGTGCACGCAAGTGCGACTGTAGTCTCTCCATCGGAAAGATACAATTTGGTAACGGCGAAGCCAAAAGAGCATCGGCTCCACCAGTTGCGGTCAAGGTCATTTGCGGAAAAACATCACGATTGTGCGGTCAGTCATGCTCGAGTTGAGTAAATTTGGCCTGGACTGTCCCTCTTAGCTGTCTATCCATGGTAAGATTTAAACATGGCGCTGGTATGGCGGAAAACCAATCAATAATCTAACATGGGCTTGCTTCATTTGCGAATGTGTAAATAGGTCTCCGGGCCGATGTGTTCCGAGTGGTACCATGGAAGGGAGTGTTTATCGCGGCGCCAGCTTGCGATCCCATTGTACTGCCCACAACGGAAGCGGCATGGAATATCTTCATCGAAAATACTGCTCGCGATCTGAAGAACCTGCAGGAAAGAACTGTTAATCAGGGCCTACGGATGGTTATGTCTTATTGCCTCAAACTAACATCTGATTTTCTGCATGAAGGAGTGAAAATAAAGTTAAATTTAATTCACAAAGTTTAGCTGAGGCTGTACTTGTGATCATGGCCAGTGCCATTGCCTCCAGCACCAGTACCCTTGCCTCCATTGCCAGGCCGAGGTCCCCGCCCCGTAGGGACCGCCGCCACCGAGATGGCTACTGCACCGGCGAGACCGTCATGTCATTCGGTGGTTGGGTTGGTGGCTCGGTCGACCTGGAGGTTTCTTAACGGGCGGTGGGGCCGGGAATGACAAGCTCTGGGTGAGGCCAGTGCTTTCCAGCAACTGCATATGCCCAAGCACAAACATATTGGCGGTCTCGGCGAACGAGCGCATCACGGTGTTCTGGCTGGTGCCTCGGACCGTTGCGATGGACTCGAAGACCTGCCCGTGTGCAAAACGCAGCCACTTCACCAAGGTCATGTCGTAGTCGATGCCCGACTGAGCCTGGATGTCGGCTATAAAGCACTTCTGCAGTGTGTTTGGCTCAGTTGGCATATCTATCGCCATCAGCTGCACGACGCCGTCCACCGCTGCGTCCAGGAACACGTGCTGCGCTTCGATCGTGGCACTGATCCGCTTTACTTTGCCGAGCTCCGCCCGCTGCGTTGCCTCTCGAGCCATCGGCAACTCCCAGAGGGTAGCCAGCCGTACTTTGCGCACCAGCTCACGGTCGACGGCCGACAGCGGTCCAAACCTAGTGTTCACGGTAGTGTTGTCAACGTCACCCACTGGGGGAGGAGTGTTGGCGACAGCGAGACAATCGACTCCTGAGCCGCTGAGGTGTGAGCTGCGCCTTCCAAAATTGCGGCCTATTCTGCGGCTTCTACCACCTCGACGGTAAGTATTCGCTTTGTTCAAGCTGGGCTGATTGTTGAAGAGCTCATTCAAAGCCATGGAGCTAAGCATGACACCCTGTTCCATCATCGATGAAGCCTGCAATGGAGTGCACCCCCCTAGTGCCTATCCGCAGCAGCAACAAACACACACAAAAAAAAAAGGCGCGCGTTAATAATAAGAGATCAACAAGGCAACCTTCAAGGGGATATTTCGTTGTTTTTAACTTACACGTTCTGAGAAAGCGGACCTGCGAACTTTATCAGATCCACCGGAAATCTCAGCGAACTGCTTGAGAGCCTTTCGATTAGCCTCAGTAGCTTGAGCGAATTGACCCCCGCTGGTCTGAAGATAAGTTGTTTGAGCAATGACGCCAAAGAAACGGGTGGCAGGGCAAAGTCTACCCATCTTATCGTTACCAACAGGCGGTATGACGACACGTTGACCTTCATCGGCAGCTAGAACAGCACTGAAGAAGGCGCGGGCATTACAAGAAGCATCCACGCAGGTCTGGGTGCCACCGGTCAGAGTGATCGAGTTTGCCTTGGCCCTGATCCATAGACCAACCACAGCGTTCTGGGGCAAGGTGGGTACGACGGGCTCGACAGCGGGTTGTGTACCTGAAAGAATATACAAATTGAAAGAATATACAAATTGACAGAATAAATAATTATACGTTCTCTCCATGTCTTCAAAAAAAACTGCTACTGAGGCGTGAGCTTATTTGTATCCATATCCGGGGATACATACATTTTTTGAGTATGTAACGCGCTTCGAGTATAAACATCAATGTATCTTGAATATATTACCTTCGTTGATCACAAGAGGATGGTATACACCGAAGGTCTTGGTGTTAGGAGCGAAGATAGTTGCTTCAACAAAGACCTGATGGTTTGGATTGGTTTGGTCGCAGTTGCCCTTTACAAGGATGAACGGGGTTGCAAGACCTTCAGCTGTAAGAGGATTTCTTGGCAGCTGAAGGATGCAGTTCCCAGCATTGTTTTGTGCAAACACATCCTTGGCGAGGGTGAGGATAGTTATCAAAGAAGGGATGAGGGGAGAGACGACTTTAACCATTTCGTGGTGATGATGATGGTAATGTTATTTGTTGTATGCTGTCGTAAAAAAATATGACGATGACGATGACGATGATAATTAGCGTAATCAATGGTAGAAGGGATGGGGAAAAGGCAATCCTGAGAAGAATAAGAGGAAGAAAAATAGAGGAAGTGTGGAGAAAAGGCGGAGAACCAACAGAGGAGGGCGATTTTTATGGCATTCTAAGCGTGTACTTATCGCCAGTAAAGTCAATTACCCTCGGTACGGCACTTGGCCCTCCCGGAATGAATTTCATCCGCGCTTCTGGCCAACGATCACTTCCTCCCCCTCCCCGATCACATGTATTTCAAGTGTAGTATAGTCAAATTCAGAGCAAGGTACTCAGTGAATTTGAACTAACCATGAAAACCCTATCAAGCTTAATTATCGTTAGTTATTGCAATAAGGTAGTTGATTAAACAAAACTGAGAGCCCTTAACTTCATAAAAGATGAAACAATGACTTTAACCTGCAGCTCAACTCCTTAACGCATTGATATGTTTGGTTAGGCCTTGTCAATTATGAGTATTTTGTTACGCAAATTTTTATAGTTGACAACGCCTAAGCATAAATCGATGCGTTGGTGTCTCTGATTCAAATGCGATTTTATGAACAAGTCTTGTAACGGTTGACGGGCCATTTACTGGGTTGTATAGGTTCCCGGTCTGGTGTGTCTTTACAGATAACTGGCCCAGTGTTTTTCTCGGCGCAGGTTACTATTGCCACTACTGTCAATTTACTTCTCAAACTACAAAGGCTATCCTCCTAGAACATACAATTATAAACGCTTTCACCATCGCCCTATTGATCCCAAACTTAGTATCCTGCCCAAAAGCATGGGACACACACTCGTAGGCAGGAAGTAGATGGTGCATTGGCTCCATTTCGGCTTCATCTATATACATTGCATTTGTTGCTCCCTTCGCTCTTGCGCTTTTGTGAGTGATTCTTTCAGTTCAATTAATAGGCCCAACATGTCCAATGATTTGTTTCGCGACCTACAGTGCAACTTTAGGAGGAATGGAAGAAAGAGTAGAGATGTTTATGGAGTTTTTTTTGACTATTTATGCATAGCTATCTGGTCGGAGGTTCAACTGTTGCATACAGCGACCCCATTCAGTCTTTGTTATAATCCATACAACAAGCTGCCGCGTTCAAAAAGCAGCGTAAAGGTGGCGAAGTAGCATTAGAAAGTAAGGGTGAAACATGATTGCAAACCGTAAAGCGTTTATTCCTGGCAAACAAACCTGATCATCTTTTCAATTGAACCATATCGTTCTTGTGCTCTGAGATACCCTCAAAGAAAAAAATCGCCATTGTTCGAAAGGTTGATATACACCATCACATCCTCGACGCCAGTCACGGGGTCTCTCCTGGTGGCATACCCTTCTTGACGTTAGGGAACTCGAATCGAGTGTTGCTATCAACAGCGCTCCTGGAAGGTGGGTTCGTAGCAAACGGCAACCAACTCAAGAAGGGCGGGGTACTCTATCTGCAGGACATAGTTAGTGAAGACCGTACACGCACAAGGGCATGGCGGGAAGTGGTGGCAGCACACAACATACGAGCACCGATCCTGAGAAAGTGGTACATAGAGGCATGCCAAGCCGTTTCAGTACACCCGGCCATGGACTTGAAGGAAGTACTGTTTGAGTACGGGGACGAAGACGACGAGAGACTGTTGGAGGAGGCGGAGGAGAGAAGACAGCAAGAAAAGAAAAAAGAACAAAGGGCAGCGATCAAGAGGAGATAAGAGGCATGGGAAGGGCGGCCGCGAGAAGTGACGACAGCCACGGCCCAGAGGAGAATCGCTCCCCAAACCAAGAAAAAGAAAAAGAAAAAAGCACAGAAAGACAAAAAAGAAAACAAAAACAAACAGAAGATGAAAAAGAAAAAGAAACGGACCTACATAGGTGTGATCCATCATACATGAAGAGGCAATCTACATTCAATCACTTCACTGCATTCAACTGCCTGTCGTTGCCGCATGACCTTCGAGGCCACCAAAGCCTTCTCTCCACTAGTAATCAATGAACAGGTTCCTGGTTAAAGCGATTATCAGATCGCATATGTAGAGGCACATTTACACCACTTAATATTGTTGCAACTTACGTGTGGAGTGTTACCCTATCCACCATCGTAGAAAAAGTTGACGTCCACAAATGCATGCAGTCATTCTCTCATGGTGTGATATCGCCAAATGGAGGTCGTAGAATAAACTGACAGCTAGAAAATTCAGCATCAGGTCGTTACTAAATGGTCAATTGTACATTTATCACATCGGTAAAATAATATTGTCCAATAAAACCACAGCACTTACAGCAGGGCCAGGATCAGCAGGACTAGGATTAATAAGGTCCTGTCCTCCAATTCAGCGCGTTGCTGGCAGCTGCTTCAAATCCATATACTTCCTATATATGGCTCCTTGGTCAAGGATCAGAATCTTCTTGAGATAATCCACGCCTTTCTTTGCGAGGATAACACTGTACTTTCGAATGATGATGGTGCATTCATGCTCCTCGAATCCATCAATGACGCTCAAAGACTTTGCAGTCTCTACCACATGCTCTTCATCCAGCTCTCCAAAATGCTGGCAGACTCCCTTTGACATGGTGCTCAGGACGCAGGACATAGTTACCCTATCAACGCATATGAACGTCAATGTCAATTACTAAATATCGAATAGACAACCCATAAGGGGTGGCTCAATGCAACCATAGAAAGACCGTTGCCTTACTGAGCATCGTTGACAAGAATGATATCTTTTTCTTGAAGGCCCTGACTTTAATATTTCTTCAACGACTTGGCGGCATGGTCAAACAACCGAGCATGCACGGGAGCATATCTGGTAGCTGATTCGGAAACAAAACATTTTTTTTTGCCATTCACCTATTGCTCATGCGCGTAATAATTTATATCAGTCATCGCTTGTGGTCGACAGCTTTGTTCTTACCATGTCCACCAACGACATGGTTAGGGAATGCCAAGGCTCTTCCGTGTCTTCCGAGGAGATTTTTTCATTTTTTGCGCTTGCTGGTGGTCGAAGTCGGTGTTAATGGCAGTAATACCTCTACTGCAAAGTCAAGCGAAGAAAGAACCTTTGATATTATTGCACGACCACCCATAGTTAGAATGTGTGTACGTGAAAAACATAACTGAAAAGACAAACATTGCTTTTCATCCGTTACCACTCCCTTGTTGCTCTTGACGAGACGAAGAGGACCACGCGATCCGCTTCTCGATTTCTCGATCCCTCTTTTCCTCATCGAGATACGGCCATTTACTTCGGACTCATCATGAGATTGACCCTGTTTTTTCTCGAGATTCCACAAACACTTTTTTTTCACTGCCACTGAGGTGGTATTCAAGAAGACTTCCTCTATTCGACCAGCTTGTTCTTTTTGCTCTGTTGCACCTCCTTGTCATTGGCATGTAATTCCGTTTTTGCATGAATTAGCCATCATGCCATTTCCGATTTTTTCTCACTTTTTTGCAACAGAGGTGTTATTCAGCGACCTCTTTTCCATGACACTGTACTCAACACTTCTACCTAGCGCCTGTTTCTGTGTATACCATTCCCGGTCAATAACATGAAAAGTGGATGATGGAGAGGGCAAATAGAGCTACGCGGAAGAGAAGGAGGCACTGACAAAAATTAATATTTTTCAGTCACAATTTCATGTAAACTCCACATTCTCCATGGCAATGGCCTCTCCCTCATCTTTGTCCTTCTTGCCCTTGGCCTTATCTTTGGTAAGCTGAGTTGTTGGCGAAGCGACATTCTCGGCCCCGAGCATCTCCAGGTTTTCGAGAGTGTTGGCTATGGCGCTGACGGTTTTGCCATGTACCTCTCCATTAATGTCCCAATGCACGCCTGCCCTTTTAAACAGGATTGTTCTCCGTCTGAGGGCAACCTCGTGTTTTACCTAGAGCTGGGAGAGAATTACTCCTCCTGGTTAAGGACGCAGGCCCAAACTGGCCACGTCTTTCTCTGGCAAAAGCGTTCGAGAGAAATGCTTATACGCAAGCTATGCAATATCGAGCCTCAGTCCCTCCTGTTTACTGTCTGGTAGAAAGGGCATCCGTGGCGTTCCTGTCATTAAATCCTGTGCCTCTTCATTACAAGCTTCCTCTCCTTCTCCTTCTGTACTCGCTTCTGCGCTTGCTGTTCATGGTCTTGAGTGTGGAAATACTGTAATCGTTGTTGGGGTTGGACATCCGCCGGATGAAGATCTTGAGGCAGAGTCTTTGCCTGCATTTGTACTTGAGAACGACGTTCCGACTCTGTCTGCGGCTCCGGTAAGTGGTGTTGTATGAGCGGCAGTTGTGGAAGGAAGGGCTGCTGTTATTGATGACGTTCATTTTGTTGAAGTTGTTGAAGGTGAAGTTGCTGTTCGAGGGGTTGAATTTGAAGCTGTAACTGTGGTTGCTGTTGGAGTATGAGTTGATTTTGTGAACGCCATCGCAGAGGTGATGGGGGTAGTTGCTGTTGTTGCTGGTTATCCAATAATGGAGGGGTGTTAAAGTATTTCTGAATGTCAACCGCGCTCAAAAGTCCATCCTGAATCCTCATGCCTGCTTTGAACAAACTCCTGGTGCGCTCCTCTCATACCCCCAATCTTCTCATCACTCCGGTCACGACTCCCTCCAGTTGACTAAAGCGGATCTCCATCGCTCCCTGCACCATGTGAGACAGTTGATCGATCTTTGTTCCAACAGTGTCGATGCCCGCCGTGAGGGTTGGCCCATCGGTAACAACGTAGGTGCGGATTATGTTCGCTTGGAGCCGAGAGTCCTCAATGGCATTCAGGAGTTGACTTTGGAAAGCCAGAAATCCCTTCAACTAGAAAACAGGCAAGGAAAAAAGACTATTATGCAATGTCTCGCCTTCGGAGTTCGGTCTCCAATACAACGCCACATCCTGAAGGATCACCTTACGCATATGAACAAGTAGCGCGAAGAACCTGATTCGATCGTTATGGGCAGTGGCGGTGGTATTGTTGTTGCTGGCTGCGGACTCGGGCAATGCGCGTTCCGAAAGGCAGCCGCATACATTTTCTTCCCAGTGGGATTTGTTTTGCCTCGATGCAGAAACAGGGTCCCACAGCACGCTTGGAGCCTCTAACAGATCTCGTACGATCAATGCTGATGACATCCGTGAGGTTGAGATGTCGTAAGTCTTCATCTCGGAGAATCATGCTGTGTCTAGCTGCCAAACAAATATGCTCCCGGATGTGAAGAATCGTGTTGAGATGTCGTAGGGGTTCTTCGGTTTCACGCCAGGCTCTAGTGGAGAAGGAAGGAGCACTTGCTGACGCCACGTATGCCAACATCGTGATAAGCTGGCGTTCCGTATATGGTTCCCGAGCTAAGCATATGCCTGTAGTATTAAAGCGGTTAGAGGCACATTGATAATGTCCGTGACTTCTCACTATTCCATTAAGAAGAACTCTTGTACACAGCAAAGTACCTTGGCGTGTCGAACCCTTGAACTCCTCACTGACGACCAGGCGCTCCCTGTACTTCCTGTAGGCTTTGCGGGTCAGACCTTTATCTCGAGAGCTCGGTTCGTTGTTAGCAAACAAGCAGGTGCGCTCCCTTTGCAGCTTCCACAAGAACGCCATGGCCTTTGAGGCGGTCTCAGTTGTACCACAGACGGGAAAAATCTCGATCATCTTCCTGCCCTTCCCATCCACGGGCGCATTCAAGAGTACTAAAGATTACCAAGATGTAAAGCGATATGTTATGTTACTCACTGCTGTGTATAGAGCGACTACACGAGCGCGGACCGTTTTGTTTTGTAGTGCACGTACATCAGCTAAACATTAGCTAAACTACTTACCATTGTCCTGATCGATGATGCTTCCAGTCAAAGCGACTCGAGGGATAAGAGTACCATTTGTGGTCCTTCTTTGGCCATGCTTGGAGGTCGGCCCTTGTATGACAGCAGGTCCACCGTTGCCCATATCGACATCGCTTTCATCGTCGGGGCCGCCATCGCCTTCGCCGCTGCCGTTAACGTCCATACCGACACTACCGAAACAATGACCTCCATTCCAGCTCCATCCATAGCGCAGCCTTGCCGCAGTTCGGTGGAAGGTCTTGAAGGTCCTGCTTTTGGAACATCAGGAAATTCAATACCGATCCTGGAGGTGGCAGCTTAGTCATTCAGGTGAGTCTCTTCCAGCACAGCGGAGTTCTGCCAAGTGACGAGATCCAGATTGGACCTAGTCGGTGGCTTCATAGAATTCCAATGAAACATCTTGGATACCTCAGAAGGATCAATCGACTTTGTCATAGTACTATCTTTCTCACGGCGTTGGATCGTGGGTCATTGTAGCGTGACGGCCTCGGTCTCAAAACTCCTTGATATGGAGTCCCTTGGGGAATGTACTTGATGACGGTATCTGTAAAGACTTCTGTCTCCATGTAATCAAGCACACTGGCAGTCGTAACGGTGACGTCGCCGTCAAGGTGAGCGGTACAATACCTCTAAAGTGTGAAAGTTTGATAAGAAATGGTATGTGTATGATGCATGTGTTAAAACTACAAGCATTACAGATGTATTTGCTAAGTCAAGATAGCCAATGTGTGAATAGGAGAGCACAAAAACACAGGTTTACCTTCCATCGAAGCATATGCTTCATATACTGAGCCTCGGTGGGTCTGGGCTTCAGTTCTGGCGATGGATCCTTAGAGACATGCCTTGGTGACCTGGTCTCTTTCTCTCCCCTTTCCAGTTCACCAACGGCCTTCCTTCGTTTAGCAATCTCAGCCTTCCGTGCCCTTGTCAGAGCGGCGCAGCCAACTTCTTCTCGTTAAATGCCTCCCAATCTCCGAGATGCTCCCTCATCACCCTTCGAGACGACCACTTTCAAAGCTGACGTTCCCGAGGTGTTAATGCGCTTGACAGGCGTGACGGGTTTGGGTCCAGACTTGAGTACTGCCGCATTGATCTTCTTGCTCGAGGAATCTTCCTCCGCTCAGAAGATAACCGGTAGATGGGCTGTTTGGCTTTATCCGATGTCCACTTTCTGTGCAGCCTAGGGCTAGGGCCACCATCCTTGCCCTCGTCGTCGTACTCCTCCGCCTGCATGGCCAACCTGGCAATCGCCGCCCTCCTCTCGGCAGTGAACGCCAGGCTCTGCACACCGTCGCCGCCCTCGCTGTAGTAGATATTGCTGTCGTCGTCGTAGCTGTTGTCGTTGCTGTCGTCGCTGTTATTGAAGGATACAGTTTTTTGTCGTTTGCTCCGAGATTAGTGGGTCATTTCTTGTGTGCAGCCAAAGTGGTTGTGTTGGTGTTGGTGTTGGCGTTGGTGGGTGTTATGTGTCGTTTCTTCTGGGCAGGTGCGGTGGTAGAGATAGCAGAGACTTCACTGCTGTTGTCGCTGTTATTGTTCCTGTTGCCATCGAGAGCTGCTCCTGCACTCCTTTTTCGAATATTGGCTCTGCTTCTGGTGGTCGGCATGGAGGATCTCTCGGCTGAATTGGAGCACGAGAATTCACTGATGCGGAAACTGAGCTAGGCAGCTGAACAGATCCTGATCCTGATTCTGCAGGGTTCGTTTGCGTCTCTTGAGCCTGCTTGCGTCTTGGTGCCATGTCCGTAGTGCTGTTGATGTGTGGACCTTTTTTGGCGAAGTATTCGTTATGTGTTGGAGCGAGACATGGAGGGACTGCGTGACATCAGCCCTTTGGAGGGCGTGCGATTTACTCACTTCGGTGACGTAACTCTCGCGACCATTGTCCTGTTTACACGTTGTCGGGGGCTTCCTCTGTACCAAGGCCTCTTTTCAATAAGCATTACTCAGCTCGAAACCTCGGTGTTTCATTGAGCGATATAAACAATAGCGTCAATTGCCCTTTGGTAAGTTCTCTTCACTTCTGAATTCGTATGGGAATGCCGTGACGACTCATGCCTGACTTTGCGGGTTGGTCAGCAAAGGTTGGGTGTGCAGGCCGTTGAGGAGACCGATGTACGCGCAGTCGTGCTTGGCAATTGCCAAACGAATGTGGGCTGGCACGGGGCGTTCATGTTCGGCCATGAGATCATCTTGGGTTGTTGCTACCTTTGATGATTGTCATGCACACTTGCTTTCAAACCCAATTGACCAAGGGTGCGAGGCATATTGTGGAAGAGCTGACTATGGCGTGTTCTTCCCTTGACTTCAACTTCTCTCTGGCGAAAGCAGAAGAAAAGGCATACCTTGAACAGCATGAGTATGAATGGTGTTTTCCTTCAAAGAACTAACGCAATCTCTTGTGGTGTAGAGGCAGTAAAAACACCCAGTCTCTATCCAAACGACACTCTTACCTCCTCATAATGATTTCCCTATTCATCCTACGTCACGACAGCGACCTTCAAGATTTCTCCGCCATCGGCTTCTTTGAATTTCCAGGGCATTCCTTCAGTCCTCCGTCAATTCGCGAGTAAAGCTTGGTTTGAAATCGTTGCACTCGTTGAGAAACAATATCCCAAGAAATCCCAAAGATTGAGGCACGAATGGAATGCTACCAAACATGATAGAAAATCTTATTGGATCAAGAAGGAAGCAGGTATGTGAGTGTTTTCATTGCAGCTATAATGTTGATGGTAATTACGGTCAGATGTTCACATTCCTTCATATATGCATTTATTCAGCGCCATTTGGAAGTTATGGAGGACCACGCACGGCACCAAACGGTAGTTGCAGCACGGAAAGTTGATTTTGACACCGAAGAGCTCGTCAAAAATATCACCGGTATGTTGTCGGCTATACTACGTGTTGAAATACCTCTACATTGTATAGTAAATGCTCACAGGAACGTGTGATAGTACATAGCATGTGTCAGGCTTAGCCCACTCGTTATTATAAAATACAAGGCTTACATTTTTTCACCGATGGTACGTCTTACTTGATAGCTGGCGAGCCCGGAAGTACATATTCGTCCTCAAGAAAACCTTCAGTATCACCGTTTGTGCCGACGTCTGTGCATCCTGCGGGTAAAAACCAATTGCTAATGAAGGAAAGTGAAACAAAACCTGCGTATTATTTAGCGCCGATCCTGACTTTTTCATGTTCAATTTCTACTAGGCTCGAACTGCAAGAACGTTGGTGTAGACGACGTACATCAAGCAAGGGAAAAGACGCTGATAACCCCAACTGGTAGGTGTTACTTGGAATATGCAATGCACAGACTATGGGTCCGCGTGCGGCTGATATATGCTCACTCCTCCTCCTTGCTTCTTATGCTTCCACCTTCTTGGAACAGGTCAAATGGCAGAGCTTGTTGCACCGGAAGAGCCATCCATCCCTGATTCTTCCTCTGAACTGTCACCAGGGTTGCTCACGCCCTCACGCATACTCTCATGTTCGTCGTTCAAAACGCAACAGAGGTCGTAGTTCAAGCCTGTCGTCGGGCGGTGTCCCGGAGGCGAAGCTCTATGTGGATCCTGCCTTCTTTACTGTCCACAAATACATTCTCAACGGGCACAATTTGGGCCAGATCCTCCATTGGTATCAGATTGCCGTTACCAAAACGGTCATCAACTTTGATGTGTCGGCTAGTCTTGAGAATATCTCCCACTTCATATAAGTATATGACTGTTTCGTGACCTATCAACCCCAGAAAGGTATGACAGAGTGCTAACGCGCAGTCTACTTTCATCCGAATCTGTAGGGCCATGAATTACATTCTCACCACGACCGAGGAACTTGAGGGCATTCCGACGGAGGTGCTAGAAGATATCCGCCACCGATTTGTATGGAACGCTACTCGCCTCGATAACCCTACCGTAGAAATGTGTGGCAGGCTAGGCCAGCAACTCGCACTAGGAGACGATATTCATGATGACTCGAAGGAGCCCGACTTGCAACGTATCGTTGTGTTGTATCAAATAGTGTAAGTGGTGTTGGTATTCGTGGGACGAATAAATGACGATGGTATATCAGCAGGAGATTAACACACATACATTTTTAGGGCCTTGAAACTTTTGGACTTCGACCAAGTTGACAATGGCTTAGAGGACACATATTGCGATCAGGTTATTGATGCCTTATTCGCCTACTAGTTTCCCACACGCTCCAGAAAGTTCGTCATTGACTGGGCCAACGGCGAAGCTCGTGGATCCAAGAAGCGCCGCGGACACGGATACAGACCGGATGCTGTCATCATTCGTAATAGCAGGCAGATAGGTTTCCTAGAAGTAAAGCCTCCCGGCAGCTGCCATACTGTGAGGGAGTACCTTCATGACTATTGGAATTTGGCCAACCGCGCCAAGGACGCCATTGATAACCTTTTGCAACAGGGGCTTCCGATCACCAAGGTGGCGGTCCAACCCTTCAGTAAGTGATTGCTACAGAAATGGCGCACGGACGATCAGCCTTGGCCATGTCTTCTCTAACGCGATTGAGGCCACCCTTCTTCCTTGTTCAAGTTTTGTGTTGCCAAAATAAAGCACCGGCTCAGTCTTTATACCATGGTGTCAGTGGGTTGTACCATTGGTCACTCTCCTGCGTCGCATACATCCCCCGCGATCAACAGGGTTCTGGTCTAGCGTTGTGTGTTCGACTACTCAACACTCTCGAGGTATGGTTATGTACCCACATGGCGTAGGTGGTGAGGAAACTTGTCTGTAGATGTTTTTGAATACGATGGACACCAATCTTCTGCCACGGACGCCTCCCATGATCAAGTACGATGAAGAAGGCGTCCAGCCTGACTACGGCCGTCCATCCGAGAGTACTCTCAAGCGAAGGAACATGTTCTAATTAATGTCTGCAGTTGAAGTGAGAGACTTTGAGTTCAACGTCAACACTGCCTCATCCCGGGGCGGCCTTCGCTTTCCCTAGCATACAAAGGCTCTCAATAAACATCAGATTCATCGTGTTTTTGCACACCTTTCATCGTTAACCTTCGTTTCCGTTTGACCTCTACTTGGCTATGCATGCACTGCTGTTGTCATTTTTCACGACATTGTTCTGTCAAGTTTCGTGCATTACGGTGCATATGAAACATTGGAACAAGAGAAAGACGGGAAGAAAGCTGTTTTATTCAGGGCTTCTGCCTATTGAACCTTAACAGAAGGTCATTCACATATGGGCGGGCGATTTACTCACTTCGATGACGTAATTCTCGCGTCCATTCTCTTGCTTAAGACGACCCTGGGAGCCGTTCGCGGCGGCGGATTGGTGTCCATTGTATCCAAAAACATCTACAGATAATATTCAATTAGAAAACATTCATCGCTTCTGGACGGCTTATCAACCAACACCACGTGCATGTTTACATCACCATACCTCAAGTGTGTTGAGCAGTCGAAGACACGATGCCAGACCAGAATCCTGTTGATCGCGAGGGAGGTGTGCCACATTGGAGAGTGACCAGTAGTACAGTCCATTGACATACTCCATGGTATACAGACTAAGACGGTGTTCTTCGGTAACAGAGAAAATGACCAAGGAAAGAACAGGTCCCAGTTAGGTAGTGAAGACATGGCCAAGGCGTGCAGCACATGTTTTGTGACAATCACTTACTGAACAATTGGACTGTTGCCACTTTGGCAATTCGAATGCCTCGTTGAAGAAAGTCGTCGATGGCATCCTTGGAGAAGTTCGTCAGGTTCCAGTAATCCTGCAGGTATTCCCTTGCAGTATGAGTACTGCCGGGGGGGGGGGTTTACCTCCAGAAGGCCGATCTGTCTGCCATTGCGCATGAGCGCAGCGTCAGGTCTGTCTCCATGTCCACGCCTTTTTTCGATCCATGAGCCTCACCATTGGCCCAGTCAATAGAGAACTTTCTTGAGCGTGCGGGAAAATCGAGGTGGATGGCGCTTCTATTGCAAATGGTCATAATAAGAGAAGTGGAAGGGTAAGCACATGTCAGCTGCACGTGGACCCACCGTCTGTGCATGGAATTACTCAAGTAATATATCTACCAGCTGTTTTTTCCTGTGTCTTGTCTCTTGCTTGGTATTCATTAGGGGGTTTCCAACCTTGACATTTGACGGCGTATAACCAAATCCGCCCTCAAGGAATCCGCGAAGGAAATACGCTTCCTCGAGGGCTGGTGTATTTCGAAATGCGCTTCGATTTGAATGTGGACATGTCAAAGTTTGAAACCCCCTATTGTTTGTATCGGCGTTCTTGCGCTTCGCATCTAGTAGAGATTGAGCATGAAAATGTCAGCATTAGCATTGACGCTCAAGACTACGCATTTTGCGGTTTCTCATTCCTTCGTTCGCAACTGTAAATCGGGTTTACCTGCGGGATGCAGGGACGTTGGCACGGACAGGCACACTGTAGACTCTCCTGAGGATGGTTGTGTACTTTTGAGTTCGCCAGTTATCAAACACAGCAAATCATCGGTGAGCGATCACATGCCTTAAAAAGTGTTGTGCCATGACTGTTCTGAGAGGTTGACGAGACTGGATGGATATCTGCCGTGTGGATACCTGCTGACGACGCCGACGTGGAAGACAAAGAGCTTGGCGCTATTATACGTAAAAGAAAATGTATCGATTTTATTCTGCAGTGTTATACTGTATCAACAAAAGCACTCCACATACAGAGCACATTGAAGGCGGAGCTGACTGTGACAACACAAAGTCGAAAGAACTACTCAACCGCTTACCGTTTCCAGTATCAAGATTGCTAGCAACCTTCAAAATCATGTTTCGCATGCCTTGATCTGCATTTTTTCTGCGATTGCATCGGTCAACTCTGCAAACGTGTTCACAAAAACATCAAGTTTGGCATTCGTCACCAGACCTGCTGCAACCTTGCGGAGAGGTTCAGGGACGACTACAGTAGTGCTGATACGCTCCAAATCAGTCTTGTTGAGATTCGCGTGGCTTTCCGTGGAGATGTTGGGATCAGATCCACTCAACGATTTGGGTGCAGGCTGTGACGATTCACGAGCTTTCTTTCCGGAAGACATATCTCCATCTAGACAAGTGTTGTAGGGATTTTGGTACAAACAATAAATGTTAGAAATATTCTTTACCATGGCCCATGGGTAACCCAACGAAAACTTCGCGAGATAAAAAAAACGTGTAAAGCTCCATAATCACTGCAGCAAGTGGACGGGGCTTTTTCAGAGCGGCGCCAAAAGCCCGCGATTACTTTCATGTTCCTGGTTGCTCATTAACCATGAGAAGCAATTCACAGCCCAGCAAACCTTCCCAGCCTTGAAGTTTATTATATAAAGCGTCTTAGCTGTGGTCATCTCTGTCCGCCAAGGCAAACAGAGAAAATACAGGCCGCTGAGCGAACAACGAAAATGCGGATGATCAATGGGAGATTTCTTTTCACTTACTGTTTCGCAACATAGCAACATGGAACGGGAAAGAGATGAGAGCGGTGGTGGACAATTGACGCGAGAATTACGTCACCGGAGCAAGTAAATTACCCGGCCTTCTGTTAAAGTGTGGAGCGAGAGAAATTGTTGGTGGCTTGCAAACCCCTTAAGCCAAGTAGTATAGAAGAAGCCGGTATGTACAATGCTGTTCTTGTTCGTAGCAGTATTGAGGGGAGCGTTTGACATAGCGTAGTCCTAACTAGTCTCGAATCCATCCCTTCACTTTACGTGAGTTGGTCTGGGTTTTTTCGATGGGTACCCGGCAGACCTGATTTTTTCGTCCTCATATGGCAGGTTGTTAAGGGTTTAGACATTGCCCTCAGCGCATCAAATAAAATCCTCACCCTGAACCCTTAACAACTTGCCATATGAGGATGAAAAAATCAGGTCTGCCGGGTACCCATCGCACCTTCACTTCGTGAAGATGTTGGAATGAGATTCCAACTCACGTAAAGTGAAGGGATGGATTCGAGACTAGTCCTAACATAAAAGCACCTTTCTTTCTTGATATCGAACACTGAACTAGACTAATATTCTGCGTTACCTTCAGCTACGCCCCAGCTACGCCCCCAACTCCCTGTACACTATAAATATCCCCTTCCTTCTGTATATTAAACACCATCCGTTTCTGCCTTCTGCTTCTGTCCACTGCCCTCCTTCTGTTGCTATTAGATTACACATATCGTTCTAAGGCTACCACCATCTCCAAGTGCCCAGCACGTCACCAAATTTTTTTCTTTCTTTTGTTCCTAATACTCTCACTCACACATACGGATGCACACGCAATCACCAACCTTTTGACAGCCTAACGACCAACCACAGTGCACATGGACGCAACGTTTCACGATTGACGAGTTTAAACCTTTCTGAATTGTAGAAAGAGGTACTTAGATCACGTGAAACTGTCGACCCTCTTTTTCATAACCGAATCACAAACCGCGATTGAAAATACTATTCACTCCACCCAACTGGAACCCTCCCGCGACAGAGCAGGAATCAACAACATCGAGACAGGAGCCAACTACAATGAATCAGGAGTCCATCACTACAGACGTCACCTCGTTTGGCGATCTTCCACCAGAGGTTCATGAAATGGTCGCGTCCCATCTCAACTCAAACGACTTGCGTCTCAGTGTCCTCGTCTCCAAATCCTGGAGAGCGATTTTCCACCGCTACCTCTGGAGACATGTCGAGACTATGTTGGATTTGGGCTCCGACATTGATCATAAACGGGTCAATCTGCTGAAGGTCAACCTGCTGAAGGCCAATCGAGAGCATGTCCACTCGCTCACACTGTGGAGCGTTTGGGGGGACGGACACCACGGTGCGCTACCCTCGTTTCTGGAGCTCTTACCGCCTTCCTCTAATCCTCGCCCAGTCTTCCCAAACCTGAATTCGGCGGAAATCGATGCCGGGCTCGAAGAGTCGACAGATCAGGCTATAGCGCAGCTTCTTGAGCTGACCGGTGCAAAATGGAAGAGGCTTGTTTTGAATGGCGATGAATATCTCGGCAATGGGATCAACTTTGGGCCACGATCCATGAAGGTGCTTGCGAGGCATGCCGAATTCCTTGAGGTGTTCCGCTGTAGGAGTGAAGCTAGTTCCACGGATAGGCTCTTACAGCTGCTGCTTTGCTCTGCGCCCAAGCTGAAGGAACTCTCTGTTGTCGGGTACTACGGCTTAACTGCAGGAGGATGGTTGGACGCCAGGAAGATTGTGGAGATGGAATGGGTCTGCTTAGGTCTGGAGGTCTTCCAATGCAGGATCGGTAACATCCCCCGCCCAGATATCACCCGCAACATTGGCGATAATCCAGCGGACGTCTTTGTTGTCCAAGGTTCCCTTCAGGAAAGTCTCGACCTCCAGTGTCAGGTGTACACCAAGCTGGCCAAGTTGACGAGGTTGCGGGAACTGAAGCTGGACTTGGAGAGCTGCAAGTATACGTTGGAATATGAATTGGACGAGACGTACAGGAGACAGTTTGACTGCCTTGCGATGACTTTGGACAGTGGTTTGGATCTGCTGAAAGGATTGAAAGAGTTGAGGGTGGTTCAGCTGGAGGACATGGAGGTTTATGTGAAGGGCGAGAGGGAACAAGCCTGGTTCAAAGAGCATTGGCCCCATGCGAAGATTGAGCTTGGGGAGGAATTCGACAAGTACCTTTAGTAGGACTATTAGACAGATACAGCAGGCATTAAATCCTTTCTTTTTTATTCAGTGTCTTTGGAACTTGTTGTGGAGTTGACTTGTCCATTGACGCCGCCAATTTTTCAATGCGTATATGGAAGCTCTGAACCCATCCCCTCCTCCGCTCAATTTTTCACTACTGTGACCCTAGGCTCGGTTCAGACTTTTCAGATTACAAGGGTTGGGAATCCAATTCCCAATCTAAGTCTCTCCATTGTCACTTAGGTACCCATTTCCTCTTCGACAGAGAGCCAAGGATCTGAGCCAACTGCGCTGATGTCACCTTCCGGCGGCAAAAAACGTGTAAGCAGCCGTCTCGACATTTAAAATGCATTGACTTTGATGAAAATGAAATGAGCTATAGTATTCATTGCCTTGGCTTCTAACAGCTGGATGTACAATTTCTAGGCCTATATATCAGACAAACTTCGTAAGGTTCTGGAAGGCATTAAAGCAGAGGACTTGTCCCTGCCTAAATTCCTTGTGGAGTTGTTCAAGTCTGATGACAGGACAGCTACAGACTACACCAATCCGTTCTACGAGGCACATGGTCCACGGCGACTTATACAGGTCTGGGACGAGCGGCTCCGAGACGACAAAAAGCACGAGCGGTGGGACAAATCGTTTGTCAATAGCGCCGTCGATGTTATTGTCGACCGTACTCTCAGGCATCTGGATGACAATGATGTCAAAAAAGAATGGCGGCTTCCACACACCAATGTCACAGAGGAGAAGGTTGCCGGCTACTTGCTCGACGACTTTGGTTTCCTCCATCGCTACGCCGCTGGGACGGCAGACGACAAGAACGATGGAATGATGGATGGCAAGGCGCATGCGGATGGAGGGCTCAACACTAGTGGCAATAATAGTGGCGCAATGTACTTGATACGTTTCTTGAAGGGCATACTCAAGGAGGATGTGCCTGTCCAAAACCTCACAAGGAGGGCGCTGAGGCGTCGCCGTGTTCGGAAGCCATCATCAGTCCGCGGCTGCATTTCAGCGATGCTGCTCTTTATGTCGTCTCAAAAAGCCAACGCTTTCCAGACAATCCTTGGCATCTTTCTGCATTGCACCGGGTGTCCGAGGAGAGTCCTTGAGGTCCTCTCTGGCCTTGGGCTTTCGATCTCGTACAGTCAAGTTCGCAACTGCCTCAGGTCACTGACCAAGGATGCGTGCTGGCGTGTCATACAGGCAGTCCAGGACAACGACTTTTATGTCGTTTACAATAATATCAATATCGCCACCAAGCATCATCACCAGCGGGCCTAAAAACGGGATACTTTCGACAACGGCACTGCTGCCACCGTCATCCTTTCACCCTCGGATATGAACAAGTCCGCACCTACTCTCTTTCGTCCAGTGGAGGAGAGACCGGATGCAGATACCAACCATTTTTTCCCTAACGACGGCGACCTTGAGGCTTTTTTCAATACTTGCCAATCACATGTTTCGGACTCCATTGTGCGCTCGTTACCGGAAGGATCAACAACGTCCGCCATTCCTGTTGTTCCTGTCGAGCAACTAGACCTCGTCAAGAGTATTGTCTTCCCACTTCCAGTTATGAAACTGGACGAGTCCACCATTGCAGGAAACTTGTCAGTGCTGCAGAGAATTACGGAGGTCAATCTCAATTTGCCGAAAATTTGGTTTGCCGACCCCAAGAACACAATTGTCGCTGGGGATCAGATGACAGTGTCACGGCTGCTGACGCTCAAGGTCCACCGATCCTTCGGTCCTGATCCTTACCACAGCCTGTCGTGGGTAAGTGAAAGTCAAAGTGAATGAAATGTGATATGAAGCGGAAAGAAGTTGCTTTTTGCTACTCAGGGCATGGCCCCTTTAAAAATATATCTCTTCGACAACTAAACGTATCCCTCAACCTTGACAGGTACATCCTGTTCTCCAACTTTTTCATTTGGAGATGAATTTGTGCGGTACCATTTGGAGGACACACCTTGGCTCTAAAGAGTCCCCTGGGACCCTGGCATCGATTGCATGTCTGCTGAACCGCAAGCATTTAAGCAAGGACAAGCTCGTGTTTCACGCCGTCGATGAGCTCTTGCGGATAAGTTTTGATGCGAAGGTGCAGCTGCTCTATCAGTCTCTGCGGGATCATGCTGTATCGTACGAGTGGCTGTTCAGAACGTCACAGAAATTATCACCAAGTCATGTTGCTCCCAACCTTCGCCATCGCTGCTTGGCCTTCCGTGTACTACCGCCAACACCAACGCCCTTCTTTTCCTGCGCGATGTGGCTGTCTACATTGAGCTTGGCGCGGCCATCATAGCTGGCGATGTTGGCCGCATCAAGCATGTGCTGCCGCTCATCGCTTTAATGATGCATGGGGGTGGCAACACCAATTATGCCCTCGAGCTTTTACGCCTCCACTATGGCATTCGCCATCTGTGGACAGATGAATGGGCGAGAGGGGGTTCTGTCGAGTATGCTGGTGAATCCGAAAGGCGTTGCTGGTGGATGGATGACGACGGACATGATGCAGGAAAACCACAACTATCTCATCAAAGCCATCTTTTCAGCTAAAGGCTCGAATATGAGTTGGGAATACCTCCAGGATGCCATTTCCGCCAACATCAAAACTGTCAGAGTATCCACTCTGATATGACTGACCATGTGACACCCTTAGGTCACAGGATCGAAACTCATGACCAAGTTCAAGATCCTTCTAGTCCTTGCTGACACTAGGCTGACTAATCAATAGGACCTTAGAAACTTCCAGAAGCCCGTCTGGCTTCTATCGGACACATATATAAATAGTACATAGTTCATAGTTTAGTTCAGTAGTTCAGAACTCACTTTTATTAAAACAACTCTTCCTCAAAAAACCTAACCCAGACGGTAAAAGCCCGTAACAAGACGGTAAAAGCCCGTTACAAAAACCTTTCAGGCCATTTCGCGGATGTTCGAGCGAGATGTCGGCGTTCGTTCCAACAGCACTAGACACAAGAAGCCGTCGACTGCATTGGATATTTCGAGAATCCAGAAGAACTTCAAGGGCTGTGGCATTTTATGGACGTCCGGCGAGTGCGAGCAAGGACCACCGGTAGTTGATCTTCAGTGTGTCGGCGAGGAGAAGATGGTCGGAGGCGCTATAGGAAGATTTTTTGAAAATCATACGTCCCTGAGGGGGAATGCTGTGGACATAGAGGAAGCAGAGGGTCTTGAAAATGTTATCGATCAAGATATAAACTAGTCTCGAATCCATCCATTCTTTTGGATGTCTTCACAGGGCTGTAAGAACCTCTATCATCGATGAGAACATTAGTAGAGTAGCGTGTTCGTTCTGAATTGTGTTTATTATCTACCTGAATAGCGAACGCATATCAGCACTCTATAGGCCATTGAGTTGTTGTTGTCGGAGGTGTTGCATACAGCCGCAGTCCTAAATTCTTAACTATAGGGAGAGGCAATAGTAATTGTGATAAAGGTCATACTAAGGTAGCAGCAGTTCATAACCACACCTAGATATCCACCATAGTTCTTGTTGCATCTCAGTGTCTGTCCACTCACTCCTCATTCTCTATGAAGGGAGTAGTATTATATATATTCTCATAGGGCTCAACAAAGACCCCAGCTTCTTTCTCACCATCTTCCTCTCCCCAGCTGTTTATATTACAGTTCTGTCGAAGAAAAAACAAAAAATGAGAAGCATTGAATGCCTCATTTCTAGTCGTTCTAGCTGCTTCTTTCTCTCCTTCGCCCTCTCGCCTAGAATCAAGTGAGCACACCGTCGTTGTAGAGCCATTGTAGTAGAACAGAAATGGTATAGAGTCAGTCTTATTATGCAAGGCATCAGGATATCAACATCCCAGCTATTCTTCTATCTCTTCCGTCGGATCTCATTCTTCTCTTGGTGCGCTTGTCGTTACGCTAGCAAAGCTTAAAATACTTAATCCAGTACGGATACTGCCAGAGTTGGAGAGACTAACGGGACTGAATGACCGGCGGAGCAACCTCTGGGACGAGGGGGACGCCATATTGCATGAGTATGGAGACACTGCTCGATGCTGCCGCCGTTTACGAACGCCGAAAATCCTCTCTGTCCATTCTGGATTCCTCGACACGTTGTTCTTCCTTCCCATAAGCATACTCTCCAAACGATTCATCCTACAGTGCTCCAAAAAAGATTCATCTTTTTGCGATTTCGAGTTTTTTTTGAAATGCTCATTCACCAATTTTCCGACCGGCCCCCAGATTCTTGTCATTCATTCTCTCGATTCGTAGCCTCATTCATTACAACTTGCTTCTTTTTGCATGGACCGACATCGGGTCATCGTCGGAATCGAAATGCCTGAATCGAATGAATCAGTTAATTGGATTAATGCATCCCGATTTTCTTTTTCAACTTGTGCGGTCGTTTTTAATTTCTACCTACCTTTAAACTTTAATGAGTTACGTACTGAATCCTCGAGGACCATCTATCAAAGTTTGGAGTTCTTACTCATAGTCTTTTCTATATGACCTACATGCCTGATTTTACATGGACTTAGCACGTGTTTAGCTGTGTTTTTTTAACCACAAGCTCAGTGCGCTTTCTACCGGCAAACTGAAAGCTGGTCCATGTATAAGATATGGAGTGGATTATCATCATACAAAAGGTACGGGATTATCATAACGCTAGCATGAAATATCACTAATAGGGGGTTTCAATCCTTGACATTGGCCAAAAAAAATAAGCGCTGATTTCGATGGCTTATTTGAAATACATCTGCCCTCGAGGTGGTGTATTTCAAAATAAGCAAAGGCGCATTTGATGGAGGGCGCATTTTGGCTATAAGCCATCAAATGTCAAGGTTTGAAACCCCCAAATGTAAGTATTGTTACATGGAGCTAGCATGATTTCACACATTGTCATGATATTGCGCTCCATAGAGAATAACTGGCCTCTTACATTGACCACATTTAGATTATACACCATGCGCTACAAATGGGCCAGCTTTCAGTTTGCCAGTAGAAAGCGCACTGAGCTTGTGGTTAAAAAAACACAGCTACACGTGCTAAGTCCATGTAAAATCGGGCATGTAGGTCATATAGAAAAGACTATGAGTAAGAACTCCAAACTTTGAAAGATAGCCCTACAGGATTCAGTACGTAACTCATTGAAGTTTAAAGGTAGTTAGAAACTAAAAAGATCCCGCAAGTTGAAAAAGAAAATCGGGATGCATTAATCCAATTAACTGATTCATTCGATTCAGGCATTTCGATTCCGACGATGACCCGATGTCGGTCCATGCAAAAAGAAGCAAGTTGTAATGAATGAGGCTACGAATCGAGAGAATGAATGACAAGAATCTGGGGGCCGGTCGGAACATTGATGAATGAGCATTTCAAAAAAAACTCGAAATCGCAAAAAGGTGAATCACTTTTTTGGAGCACTGTAGATTGTCCCATATATTTTTTATTTTTGCTTTTTGTGTTTTGAAGAAAGGAGCAGGTAAGAAAAGGACAAACGGTGAAGGTAGAAAAAAGGATAAGGATGGGGGTCGAAGAAGATGGCGAACGAGAGAGACCTCATACGACAGTCCAGATAATGGAACCAGAAAGTGGGATTGGCGAATGGAAAGCCTACGAGAAAAAAAAGAAATCTAGCTGCTCTAGCAAGAGATTCCAATGCTGACGTGGGGGATGTTGGCACACTTTCTGAAGATCTTGGGTCCAATGCACAAGTTGGCCGAGATGTTAACCTTTCCATTGCGGCAGATTCCATTGACACCAACTTTTCCAGCAATGCTGTCAATGGGGTTGACGGAGCATCCTTGATGGACATCAGCGCATTCAATGGCATTGGCTTTGATACCAAAGGCACTCACATCCAAGGTAATACCTCGCTCAAACTTGCAAGCCTTGAATTTGATAATCTTGATGCTGAACTCAACGCAGTTGTCATCCTCCAACATTCTGAACTCCCTAAAGTCCTCGTCCATGTGAGGAATCCAACCATACATCTCCATGAACTGATGAGGGTGGATTACAGTGATTTCCAACTCATGGGTATCCACGTGGATACCATCGTCAGCGGTGTCCCCTTGAGGATGGCGGTACTGGGGCATTGCAACGGTAGAGTCCTCTTGAAGGCGGTATGGGCGAGCAATCCAATCCTCAAGGGAGTTCGTGAATTGGCTTCTTGGAGCAGCGTTACACACACCGCTCAAGGCGAGTGCAAAGCAGAGCACGGCAGAAATACGTTTGAAGGCCATTGCAGAAAGAGAGATGCTTGCAGATGAGATGGATTGTATTGGTGTTTGTCACAGAGGGAAATATTCAAAGTTAGCTTCAGCTGCAGTAATGCATGGGGCTTAAATTTCACGAGGCTGTCAAAAGAACGTTCATTACCTATTGAGCAAGGGGTTTTGGGAAGGTTCTTGGGAAGGTAGATTGAGTTGGTTCTTGGGAGTCGAGGCAGTGGAATGATGGTGTTGGTCCTCCAAATCCCTGCTCTTTTTATACAAGATGAGGGTCCCGACTCTCTTTTGAAGCCTTGCCAGTGGATGTGGTTGTCAGGGATGAAAAAAAAATCCCACCCTCCTCTGCTTTCCCCTTCCCGCTCTCGACTTCAATGAACATGCACCAATTTCTCATCATCACTTCCTTGGACAAGAGAGATTCTTTTCTTGCCAGATGATTAACAAACACGCACGTCTTCTTTCAACGCGACCTGGACCATGCACGAATGACATCAGAAGCAAGGAAACTTTCCCGAATCCGCCTTCAGTGGTTGCAATGGACAAACGTTGCCGTCTCGGTTAATTTGTCTTGTCTTCTTGTCAGCACTCATAGATTCCCAACCACCACACAATTCTCCTCCATGAATTCCAAGTCGTCTCCTCCACCTCCCCCGAAAAAAGAAATCGAAAAATCTCTTTCCTTTCGACACCGTTTAAACCGTCGCGCGTTCCCATGCACCTTTTCTTTGTTCAACAGCAGTGCATTGTTCTTCAGCTTCTCACTCCCGCGGAAGGGGCATTAGTCTTTGTTCACACAGTGTGCCTCTTGTTCTGGATCCTACCTTCGTTCGCTCTTCCATGCACCTGTGCTGTATTCTTTTTTCATGTGCTCTGAGTGCTTGTTTTTCTTTCTCTCGCTAGCAGTACCCCTTTTCTTTGCTCATGCGTTATGCATGCATATTTTCTTCTGCCAATAACGTCCAGTCATATTCTCAAGTGCCTATTGTTTATTAATGGGCTGTGCTCGTTTTGTTTTTCCCCTTTTATGATTTTCGCTACCTACGCCATAGCACGCTCCCACGCTCCTTTTTTTGTTCATGCGCTGTGCATGGTCTTTTTTTTTCGTTGCCCACATCCTGGCACGTTCCCTTGCCCCCTTTTTTTTCCTGTCTTTTCGTGCGCTCTGAGTTCCCCCTCTTTTCCTTCGCATCTCAATCTCTGGCGCGTTCCCCTGCCCCTTTTCTCTTTTCATGCACTGTGCATATATTTCTTTTTTGTTGTTGCTCACATTCCTCTGCTGCTTTTTTCATGTGCTGTATGTATAAGCTCTAAATACTCTATGCTTTTCGCTCTCACCGGTCGATAAGCATATCACGCATGATATGCAATTAAACTTACGTAGTCCTTGATGGTCTTTAGGCTCTGGGTCCCTTTTCATTCGTGTCTAGCGCAGACAATAACATATTCCCTGTTTTGAACGTAGGTGGCCTACTGGCCTTCTCTTTCTATTTAGATTGTTTAGAAGTGGTGTGTGGGGGTTTGGAATTCCGCGTTCGAAGGGAGAGAGGGGGGAGACTTGCTAGGAGAAGGAAGGATGCTAGTGGGGGCGTCTTCTTCTCTAGGGAGGCCTTTCACGTCCAAATTATCATATGGTGTTTGTTACATCTCTGTAGATCTCGATGATATCCATAGTGACTACTAGATGAGAAAGTTTGTATGACACCAAGCATGTAAGACAACCATTGTAACATTTTTTTGTTTAACTATTCGGCCCCTCCATGTGCAAAGGATATAAAAAACATATAAAAATTATCCAAAGCCCAAGGAATGGAGTGTTTACTTCCATAGCTGACATATCTCTTCATAGTGGGCAACAGAACACAGAATAAAATAGCAATAGACAGCACAAGAATTTTTAAAATGTAATCTCTCCCCTGTATTTCGCCCCGAAGATACAGCTGAGAGTACAAGTGCTTTAGATGATCACATACAAGAACTACTCTGCTGAATCTTACAGTGAGGGGTACAGTTTTAATAGTAAATGGAGACATTCAAGAGATTGGTGTGCAAAATATAAGAAGACTTTGTTGTTTGAAGTCATGGTGTTTAGTAGGATAGGAGGCCTTTCACATTCAAATTATCATATGGTGTTTGTTACATCTCTGTAGATCTCGATGATATCCATAGCGACTACTAGATGAGAAAAGTTTGTATGATACCAGGCATGTAAGACAACCATTGTAACATTTTTTGTTTAACTATCCTACTAAATACCATGATATTCTTCAAACAACAAAGTCTTCTTATATTTTGCACACCAATCTCTTGAATGTCTCCATTTACTATTAAAACTGTACCCCTCACTGTAAGATTCAGCAGAGTAGTTCTTGTATGTGATCATCTAAAGCACTTGTACTCTCAGCTGTATCTTCGGGGCGAAATACAGGGGAGAGATTACATTTTAAAAATTCTTGTGCTGTCTATTGCTATTTTATTCTGTGTTCTGTTGCCCACTATGAAGAGATATGTCAGCTATGGAAGTAAACACTCCATTCCTTGGGCTTTGGACAATTTTTATACGCTTTTTTATAGCCTCTGCACATGGAGGGGCCGCTAGGGAATCTGACGTTGCCACCAGGAGTTTGGGTTTCGTCGTCGGTGTATGATCTTGACATGTCGCTTTTGTTTTTTGTGGGATTTTCTGTATATTTTGTATTTGTAGTTATATGATACTGTGCTCCAAAAAAGATTCCTCTTTTTGCGATTTCGACTTTTTTTTTTGAAATGCTCATTCACCAATGTTCCGACCGGCCCCCAGATTCTTGTCATTCATTCTCTTGATTCGTAGCCTCATTCATTACCACTTGCTTCTTTTTGTATGGACCGACATCGGATCATCGTCGGAATCGAAATGCCTGAATCGAATGAATCAGTTAATTGGATTAATGCATCCCGATTTTCTCTTTCAACTTGCGGGGTCTTTTTAGTTTCTAACTACCTTCAAACTTTAATACGTTACGTACTGAACTCTACTGATAACAAAGATAGAACAATTATGTTGTTTAAAATAGACGTTTTTTTAAAACGTATCAGACTTTTGTTCTGCGGCGAGCCTGTGAGCTTAGTGCGAGAGGGCATTACTGCTGTGGTAGTCTCTGACAGTCAGAGTCACTCTCTGTGATAGACCAGACGAATAGATTACTATCAGCGACAAAGTTGTGATAGTATAACCAGCATTTGACCAATCCCAGAATCGTTGTGATCATTGAAGGGGTTCGGTACCATATCAAACTCTATTAGTGCCAGGTGGGGGGAAACGCGCAGAAAATAAATGTCCGAGGTCAAGCAGAGTGAGAGACCTACGAGTCGTAGGTACGACTCTCTGAGTGACACTCAAGTGTTTTAAATATTTACTCACCTTGCTCCGGCACCTCCTCCAGCTCCGCGTGGACGCTTTTGACCTGTTCGTGGAGTGGTCAGGGTTAGGGTAAGTGGGATTCAAGATGTCTGCCCATCATTACAATCTAGAAACGTTGCTTGTGTGTACCTGCGATTGGAATAGAGCTCCCCGCAAACTTCATTGTAGCGTTATCGAGGTCTTCATTTGCTGCATCATATATTGTAAGCAAAGAACATGGTTAGACCAAGTTAGTTGATTTCCATACACACGACATCAGCTCCATCATTCAGCTCCGTCGATTTTACCTTCGGGGTTGAATGGAGATTCTTCATCAAAAACAGCAGCTAATATCCACAGAAATTAAGCCGATCAGTTTTCTTGAACCATCTCCATACTCATATCTAATTACACAAATAAACATACGTTTTTTTTGTCGATCAGCCGTGTCTTCCATGCCTCTCTTGAGCTTTCTGCGCGAATCAGGTAGCTGAGCAGGCAGGCTAAGGCCAGGCATAGGTGATGGTCAATGAGGCGTCCGCACGGGTGGACCTTGTGTGTTTGCTATGAGGTTCGAAAGCTGAAAACACAGTATCAGAACAAAAATGAGGTGATAGGCTACCTTTCAATAAAAATTGAACAACGACTACTCATAAGGGTTGTTCGAAAGCTGTTCCCGACATGCATCCTGTGATTATTTTTCCGCCTCTTGTATGTGTGTTGCGACATTGTGTCAGAGTATCCACTCTGATATGACTGTCATGTGATGGTCACACACAGGTCATGGATCGAATCCCACCTTGACCAACCATTTTCGAGATCCTTCCCTTGCTGACTAATCAAGGGCTGACCTAGAAACTTCTGGAAGCCATCCTGGCTTCTATCACACATATATAAATAGCATAGCAATCCGTAGGTAGTCTATGGTCACAGCCTGACGGATAATACATACGATAGATGCCAACAAGCATGACTTTAATTTGGATGGATCTACCTGTTGAGTTCAGAAGATGAATATGCAACAGAAACAGCCAACGAAGATAATCAAGGGGAAGAACTAAGCAGGCCAAACTTCCTCTTCTTATCCCTGGGCGATACGGAAGGGAGGAGTAGCTCCTGGCGCCTCGCCTCGGCTGAGGACTTGGAAAACTCACGGCGACTTTCTTGGTATTTATGGCATAGGCGACGAGTTGTGGCCTAGAAGGATTACCCCAGAGTATATCTCTATCAGTTGCATTCTTTTTTTCACTTCACATTTATTTACTGCACGTCCATCACTTACTCGGAGGATGAGGAGGTCATGCACAGCCATCAAGCTTATGCCAAGCTCTTGAACAGTGGGGAAAAGGCGACGCTCTGGGGACCTGAAAAACCGTGTGATGTTCACTCCTTTGGTGCCCCAGCAGATCTGCACCCGCTGTATGACAGGCCCTTTTTAGTGTATTTTTAACAATGCTCGATTAGTACCAAAGTCAAATTCGCAAACAAATAAACGCCTGAAAGCAGACAGTCTTACCTCCAGTCAATAACCCGCATATATACTCCTTGCGAAGAGAGTCAACGCCACCAGCCTCACTTGTTCTCGCAACCAAGATGTCATGAAGTTGTCGAGGCAGCTTGAAGACACCTTCGTTGCGATACTTCATGGAGGCTGGGTCCCACACGGTCGCTGACTCCCCAACCGACCAATCGATGCCAGGGGATGATATTGTGCGCCATAGGAAGTCGGCCTTGACACCGATTTTCTTTCTATCAACGGTGCCGATGTCTTGATTCCTTCTGTCCGTCGAGTCATGGCCAGTTTTCTCTCCCAAGATTATAAAGGCATCTTTGATGCCTGTGGCGAGACGCCGGCACACCCCCCATGCATTATCCTTCCACCATGTTTCTCCCAACTGTGCTGCCACGGGGAAAGGCGATGATTCAGAGCTTAGCAGCTCCTCCCTGTTTTTGGTTGTAGGCAAAAATGGGCATGATAGTTAGGTGTCCATGTCAATCAACAATAAAATGAAGAAGAGGTAACCACGAGAACTTACCATTGATCCATACAATAGTATATGATCTTGCATTCGGGGTCATCCTGTCGCTTTTCCAAGATCTTTCTCATATCCTCCCTACTGGCAACTTCCATACATTTATCCAGATACTCGCCAGCTCCTTTGCCATAGTGTTCATAAGGTGGAAGATCCGAGATTATCTCTTCCCAGTCCTCCTCAGAAAACAGCACTTTCGTCTTGGCATCATCCAGGTCGAGCATGAAACTGTGAATGGGACTGATAAACATGACGACCATTAGCATGTAGCATGTAGCATGTAGCATGTGCTTGTTTATAGGACCACAAGAAAGCTAGACAACGATAAAAGTACCTGAATGATGCGCAGTCCTCATCTGAGCCTGCAGTATATAGCACGTCTTCTACGATTGTCCCAGATGCGAGGATCCATTTTTCTCCGAGCGCTTGATAACGCCCTTCCAACGATCGACGGTTCTTTTTAGTGAACTATAGTCAAATAACAGATATATTAGTAGTCGTCAACGATAATGAATTTCGCGAGCTTCATTCATTGTTCAGCTTACCGATTTTCTGCACTTTTGTGAGGACGATAGCGCTGGCGCCGTGGGGCTGGTCGACGAGGTCGTTCTAGAAGATAGTGTGGCTGACGGTAGCGCGCCAGTAATCGCCTCGTCTAATCTCACATAATAAAAGGCGATGTAAGTAACAAAGACAGTGCTATACCTGTGATTTCAGCTTCAACATCCTCGACAGCAAGGTCGATGACCATCGCGAATGTGACATCGCCATCAACATCCCGTTTCAAATATGCTGTAGTCCCACAGTAGAACATCAGAGAGAAACAGGACGCAGAGAAATGTGGTCATGAAAACACAGAGAGACAAGCGGAAATGAGCCACTAGTTGCGAAGACCCAAGCGCCACGCTGCTTTCACAGAACATCATAGATAGACTCGATTTCTTACCTGTAGTGCTCGTCGCCTCTGGTGTCGCACATCGAAGCATGATCGCATTATTATTATATATTACACTACTACACTACAAATGATCACATTTCATCATCGATCGAAGAAACATACCTGTCCCCTGAGCTCGCTGTTTACCGACAAGAGACGACAAACGACTTGTAGGAGGTATTCGGATCGACCTTGTTTGATCTAAAGCATAACGAACAACAAGCATAAGATTTCACATATATTATTTAATACTATATAAAAGCGTCAAATGACTAAAGAGACATACGTTGTTCGTTTGCCTGATCAGCGTTGGCGATGATATCATATACGACGTCGTCGGGTGAAAGAGTAACCGAGGCCCGCACCGATTCTGGCGGGAGTTACGTTATTACTGTGAGATCGATAACTATGCTTCTCCGTCATATATCCAACGGCTTGTGAAAATAGATGAACTGTGCTTACCGTCAACGTTTGCAAAATACTTTGTATAAGAGATCTCTGCTTGTTTTACCCCAACCTTCTGAGCTGTTGCCCCAGCTTGCTTGGCTGTAATTTCTGAGCACACTTGGGATTCAAGTTCGGCCCAGAATCGTTCTGCATGATTATCCAAGAAATCCCGGAATGCGCTCTGGAGTTTATTCCGTCGTTCGCTGCGCAATAGAGGAGAATCAATCAGGGCAGTGTAGGCTTTAGTCGCGGAATCCCTGTCAGTCAGATCGAAATGCCGGACAAAGTTCCCAAAGGAGACATGCTCTTTGCCTGACTCTTTATTCATGGCCCATGGAACGTGTGTAGCCATGACGCAAAGTGCCTAATCAGAGAACTCGGCAGAAAGAAAAGTAATAATGTTTAATGTATGTTAGCAAACATGAAGAGTAATGTCTTCAACTTCCAACCTTCCAGTCAGCATTGACAGTATCGCACAGAGGTATCACATGGCGCCCTAGAGAGCACATGCCATGCAGAGCCCTTCTGAGGGCCACCGCTGTCGTAGCCACTTCCCGTCTCGGCAGAGCCCGAAGTATATCTGCTGGAGCATAAGAAGCGGGCCACTTATATGACAGGGTGTTTCTGCCCACCTATCACGCATTGAATCGCACAGAGGTATCACATGGCGCCCTAGAGAGCACATGCCATGCAGAGCCCTTCTGAGGACCACCGCTGTCGTAGCCACTTCCCGTCTCGGCAGAGCCCGAAGTATATCTGCTGGAGCATAAGAAGCGGGCCACTTATATGACAGGGTGTTTCTACGCGCGAGAAGACCAGAGGTCAACGATTTACCTTTGTTAACAGAAGAATCACAAAGGTCAGGCGCGCTTAGAATGAGGAGAGGAGAAACTGAGAGATCGAAAGAGCGAAAGAGAGAGAGACTGAGAGAGTGTGAGAGAGTGTGAGCGTGTTGTGTGTGTGCGCGTGTTGTGTGTGTGTGCGTGTTGTGTGTGTGTGCGTGTTGTGTGTGTGTGCGTGTTGTGTGGGAGCTGGTTGATGGGTTAGAAAGAGATGCAACGAGACATCACTGGGGGACAAAGGGGGGTGATAATTACGTCACCGAAGAGACTCATCATCGTATCTACTGCCCCCTACCCGCACTAATAATAATGTGTATTCACGGATACACTTAAACTCACTAATTTCTTGCTGACTTCGAGGGGGCTTGCTTCAGACTCGAAGCAGTCGACGATCGTTTCCGCTGACCTTTGGACCGAAGGGCAACCTTGGTGAGGCCACTAGTAGTAGCGGTCTTGGTTGCGGTGGAGCCTGTGGTGGAGGGGGTTCCGAGTCCGCTGCTTGCTTCCTTCCAGGGCATACTTCCAACTGGGGCGATTGGGTAGAGATAGTCGGGGTGCTGCAAGTCGAGGAGATAGCCCTGTAGAATGTTCGCCATGTTCTCAGCTGCCATGACGTCCCTGTGGTGGAAAACTTAGCATTGGGAGCAATAGAAGCGTCACATGTCGACCTGGCCCACGAACTGTCCGCATCCAGGGCACTTTTTGCTAGTATAATATTCATTTAGGCCTAGAACAAGATATCCAAGTGAGAGAGTCTGAAATGAAGTATGAAGGAATTTTGTTAGTTACTTGCTTCTGCACAGCGTCTTTTCATTGACAATAAATAGACACAAGACAATGCTTACCAAGGGTACAAAGTAGGAGAGGAAAGTAGAATGAAGCGACGTCAATCCACTCTTGGTCCCGAATTTCCCTAATCCTATCCCAATGATGACGGGTTTGGACGGATCGCTGAGTATCCCAAGTCCTCCTCCCACAATTCCAAGCAAACGATGGGCGATAAGCTGGAATTCCCCATGGCGCGCTCGCTGCATGTCCCAATGATTCCGTTTGTACTTGCCATCCGGACCGTTGTAGAATGCTTTCAACATCTCCTCCTCCTGCTCTACCTCCTTGATATAGTCGATAGTACTCGCCGAAGGACCCCTCGCAGAGGGGGCAGGTGTGTCTCAATGTCTGTGATCGATCTGTCCTCACCGACCGGTATGTTATCCTTCTCGCTCCTCGTCCATCTCCGAAATTTGAGAGTGGGTTTGATAGACGGCCTTGGCTTTGACAGCAAGATTGTAAAATACCGGTCTTGGTGACAGGGCTGGGTTGGCCGTGGAGGGCTGAGGTGAGATGGATGGCGATGAGACATTCTTTGCAGATCGAGGAGCCGAGTCGTTAGAAGAGGAGCCGCCGGAGGTATCCAGAGGTGTCAACAAGGATGCCATAGTCGACGCTGAGGAGACTGATGATGTTGACACAGACGCAGGGTCCAGAGGTCCTGTGGCGACAACGCCCTCCATGTCGCTGGAAGACAGATCCTTGGCAACCTCCTTGCCCTTCACCCTCTTCGCAATTTCCTCGGGGAGATGAGCAAATGCTCCAACAATGCAGGCCTGTCCAGCATCCAAGGTTAAAGTTCTGATGTCCTTGACGTCGACTCCTGGCTACAATCGTTCAATGTCCTCCTTGCAGGTAAGCATGTTGCGAATCTCCTGCAAAAAAAGTCTGTCCCGCCCACAGTCGAGGTCAGCCTGGATGGCAATCGGTCTTCTCTCCAGCGACGGTACCGCATATCCTGCAACTCGCGAAGCTTGAACGACAGCAACTTCACTCGGAGCCCGTCTGTGAGATCGACCCTCTAAGGACATAGCCCTTCTCCTTGTACATAGCCGGGTGGAACTCGCCCTCGTCATCATCCTTGATATTCTTCTTGACCTTCTTCTCATCCTCCTGCAGGAACTGCTGCAGACGCGACCGAATATCATCCAGCGTCCACAATCTGACTGCTGCTCGATGTCCAGCCTTCTTCTTCTGTCTGCTGGTCAATCCCTCCGAGCCAACATCACAGATGAAATGCTTGATAATAAAGTCTGGCTCCTTGGATCCAATCCAGCTGTCGAGGCTCCCAAGTGTTGTAAATTACGGTACTGCTCTAGAGGGCCAACTCACAAAGTCTCTGCTTTAGCACCTCTCTCTTCCAAAAGAACGACACCAACTCCCCAACTCCCGTTCTGAAAACGATACAAACAGCTGCTGTGAGGTAGTGAGAGGTACTATTCGCCTGCTGTTGCTGGTGAGCTTGTTGAGGAACACGAAGTTTTCGATGGTCGAGATCTGCTCCTAGATCCCGATATCAATACTGGCATCCAGTACGCCCTTCTTCTGCACGGTCAGAACCTATAAGGAAAATAATCAGTATTAGAGATGCTTCTACTAATACAAAACGGCCTTGACAATCATAAAGAGTACTTCGAGACACTATACCTTCTTGCGCAGTTCATGACTTCCGTTCCCGTAAAGCTTCTTCAGCTCCACAGCCAATTGACACGCCACAAATCGAACGACGTACGTAGGAGTATAGGGCATCTTGACCTCGATCTCACCTCGCCTCCGACTGGGTCGTAGAAATGGCTAGTGACAAGCCAGTCGATCAGATAGTTGACGACAATTCCAGGGCTAGTCTTCTCCTTCTTACCCTTGTCCTTGTCCTCGTCTTCGTCCTTGTCCTTGGGTAAGAGATCTCTCGCTCCGAATCCTTTCAAATCCCTCTCTTGTGGATAGTTGCCGGAGTAGAGAAAGGTGAGAAATGAGAGAAAAAAATCCATCCTGGTCATTCGCTTTCTTATCGAGGTCGGAGTTGTTCTCTCTCTTTTTGTCGGCGGCATCCTCATCGTCATCCTCGCCATCATCCTTGGGCTTGATCCGCTCGCACAGGTGGTCGAGGATCTTGCGCTCAGTGTCTGAGACAGCATCTCTGCGCGCTTTAGTGCGCTGTTCTTCCGACACGGTCAGTTTTTCGGGCGGCAGCTCGATCCTGAGGGCCTCCTCCGCGGAATCCATCCGAATACGTAGTGTCTCCACGAAGATACCAATAAGACGCTGAGCCTCGCGTTTTTTGTCGGCCGCCAGACGGGAACACTCCTGCAAACATTCCACCACTGAACACTGTGGATCGGACGCGGACAGAGTGGGCGTCGTTGGAAAGGGCGCGATAGATCCTGGTGTAGTCGGAGAGGGGGTTGTTGATGTCTGCCCACCCAAAAAAAACTCTCTTGGTATTGGTGTTGATAGTTCCCACCTTAAGGCTGACTGTTGGGTGGCGCCAGGCGAGCGACCGAACAAGACCAGCCTTCTTCATCTCTGTTAAGGGCTTCTTGGCCGAAGCAGGCGCCTTCTCGACGTTGGTCTTCGGCTTGGGAGGAGACTTGGCGCTTGTCTCGGGGGGCTGTTTGTAGAACTTGAGTGTCATCTGTTTCATGCGAGGAGGTGGAGCACGGAGCCTTTTGCGAGTTCGTTCTTGAAACGAGAACCGCTCACGATGACGTGGGATTCTTGTCCTAGCCAAAGCCGGGTGGCCACTATCCTCAGGTGGTGGGGAAGGAACTCTTGTGTCCTTCGCTACGTTTGCTGGAGACTCCACTGTGCGATATCGATTGAATGAACGGGGGATTCCAATCGGCTCTTCGACAGGCCTAATAATGCAATGCGAAAATAATAAACAATGAGATAATCATCCATTGATGTTTCTTACAAAACAAACAAAAAACAATAGGTTAGGTTTCTCAATTTACGTTGGCTGAGCTTCGCTTCCTTTGACATCTTTGAGAGATTCGCGCTTCTGGCATAGGTCTCGGAAACGCTCCTGTAAAGCATGATAAACTGCTTGGGTTGGGTTCGGCCGGAGTGGGTTCATGACTTGTTGCCTCATCTCAATAAAGTCTCGGATGGAATCCTTGAATGTCGCCTCCAGCTTGTTTTTGGAGATAACGGTGGGGTCGGACAGATACGCGGCAACAATCAAATGGGGATCTATTTCAACAAGAAACAAAAAGTTGTGGTTACGATACAACGTATACAACGATATAAGGAAAGAAAGAACGTATTCAGCACAACGTTACCTAATAAACGTACAATCTTCTTTATGACACCAAAGTTACTAGCCGGACCAAGGCCCTTGATATTGCGTTGGTAGTCATTCTTAGAGACAACCGCAAGCGCCGTGAGTTGCGCACGTGTGAATCCGATGGTCTTGAGGATATCTGGCAGAGAGTAGACCAGGATTACGGACTTGGAGACAGGGCGCCACAGAGTGTGGATGTTCGCGTAACCGAGCATATCAGAATCTCCGGAGATAATAATATCCCTTGACTGTGCATCTCTGGCAATCTTGACGTCCGCCTCGGTATCACAGACCTCAGCAATCCATCCTTGTTCGGTCATATGTTGAGCAAAGTCCTTCCTGCTGTCGAGACTCCAGTAAAATGATGATCCAAGGCCTTTCTTGATATCGTCATACTGCCACTTGCGCACTCTTGATCCTGTGTTGATCCTCATCTCGAAGGTATCCAAGCTATCCGAAAGCTTTTCAATAGCCTTCTGTCGTTTCGACTCGCGCGCTTCTGCTGTAGCACTCTTCTCGACCGCCTGAGGGTCATCAAGGTATAAACTCATGTTGGTTGATGTCCCATACCGCTCGATTTCCTTCTGCAATATTTTATGGGCCTCCTTCTGTGGATGCTTGGAATAGGCATCCTGATTGCCGGAAAACAGCTGCCAAGCACATCAAATCGCCGTCGACCAGTGGTGAGGAGGCTGCCGATGACCGTGTGATAAAGCTGAACAGGGTCATACCCTTCCGCCGAATAAAAGGGAAACCAGTCAAAGAGACCCCATGTTGTCGCAATCGGCGCATGGGCGTGGGAAGAAAGATGGGTGGCGAAGGAAGAATGAAGAGTGGTGAATGAAGAAAGGAGAGTGTTGGGGGTAAGAAGAGTGTTGGGGGTAAGAAGAGTGTTGGGGGAAAGAAGAGTGTTGGGAGAAAGAGTGAGGGAAGAAAGGAGAGTGTTGGGAGAAGGAGAAAGAAGAGTGAGAAAGAAGGAAGAAGGGTAACAATTCTCTGTGTGTCGATTAGTTATTGCTCTTCCTGTTTCCTGGAGGGAGACTTGAGGAGAATGGGCGCCTAAATTACGTCACCGAAGACGCATCTGTGCACCCACACCCTCCTATCTGCACTAATGTGTGTGGGCGAACCGTCACACAGACTATGTATAGCTGCTCCATAAATCCTCTTGAGCCACCTTCCCACGACGACCCCGACTTGAGCTGGAGGTCGAAGCTGCCCTCTTGCGCGATCCCTTTGGTCGATTGATGGCGGTGGTGGTGTTGCTGCTGGAGGAGGCGGCGGTGGAACTTGTAGCGGGTCCAGCGCCGGCTTTTGCCATCCATGGGAGAGAGCCGTCAGCGGCTACGGGGTGTAGATACTCAGGCCGCTCTTGCTTTTCCAGATATCCACGCACAATGTTCGCCATATTCTCGGCTGCCATAACGTCGCGATGATGATACACTTGGCACTCGGGGCAGTAGAAGCGGCGGAGAGTGACCTGGGCGACAAAGTGGCCGCAGTGAGGGCACTTCTTACTCGTGTAGTACTCGTTCAGACCGACGATAATGTAACCGAGAGAGCGGGCCTGATTCCGGAAAAAAAATCAAAGGAGCATACGTATTAGTTTTTTTACCACACGGAGACCCATAAAGGGGTACTCTCCGCTAATGGACACTTTCAAGGCAATGGTTACCTTTTGAATGAAGTAGCTGAGAAAGGTCGAGTTGAGGGCTGACAGTCCGCTCGTGATAGAGAAGTTCCCAAGACCGACGCCAATGAGAACTGGATTTGATGGGTCATATCGCTCGCCAAGACTTCCTCCCACGATCCCAGGGAGCCGATTTGCGATAAGCTGGTACTCATAATCGCGGGCCCTCTCCATGTCCCACTTCTGCCGCTTGTACAGATTTCCCGAGCCAGCATAAAACTTCTGGAGACACTCCTCCACCCGCTTCAGCTCCTGGACATAGTTGATCACGCTCGAGCCTTGGCCTTTGAGGGGCGGAAGTCGAGACTCGATGTCGGATATCGATACCTGCTGTCCATCTACAGAGACCTGCTCTTGCATTGCGTCCTCAAGCCAGCGCCGGAATCTGAACGTAGGTTGGTAAACGGCTTTCTGTTTGACAGCCAGGTTCAGAAATGTTGTCCTGGACGAGAAGGTAGGTAACCCTTGTGACTGTGGCAACGGGATGGGGACTTTGGTCGATACGGCGGTAGTTGCATTAATCGATTGCTGATTGTCGGTGGCGGTGGTAGTGGCGACGGTGGTGGTGGTGGTGACGTCTTCCATAGATGACTCGTTCGCATTATCCTTGCCCTTAGACTGGCTCAACACGTCCTCTGCAAGATCCGCGAAGGCACCAATAACGCATACTTGTCCACCGTCCAATGTCAAAGTCTTGATCCTTTCGACAGGGACACCTGGCCAAAGCTTCTCGATATCCTCCTTGCAGGTTATCACACGCCGGATTTCTTGGAGATAGTAGTCTGTGCCTCCAACCGTAGACGTCAGCTTGGGTGGCAGCTTGGTAGGTTCCAACCGACGGTACCGTACTGATTGCAACTCACGGAGCTTGTAGGCCGGAAGTTGAAGCCATTGGCAGGAGATCCATCCTCTGCAACCAGATCCGTAAGTCGCGTCTTGAGCGATTCTCTCTTCCAGAAAAACGAAGCAAGCTCAGGCTCAGCGAACGACACGAATGGTAACTCGAACGAGGTGAGAGGGATAATCCGACGCCTGTTGCCAGTGATTCGATTTAGTTGAAGAAAGTTCTCAACAGCGGAGATGTCGTCCTGTATACCAATGTCGGCCTCTGGTGGCAATAAATGTTTCTCCACCATAGCTGTGGCCTAAAAATGAAAAACAAGAGTGAGAATGTTAACTTTGTGATTTAAATTGAAATACATAATAAAGTAGGTACTGATGCTTTGATTCATACCTGCTTGTGAAGGTCATGGGGGCCATGTCCATAGATCCGCTGTAATTCGACTGCGAGTTGTACTGAGACAGAGCGGACAAGCATGGAAGGGGTGAACGGCATAGTCTCGTTGAGGTCTCTCCTATCCCGAATAGGGTGATGGAACCCGTGATCTGTCGACCAGTCAATGAGCTTGTTCACAACGACACCCACTCCTGTTTTACTCGGGTAGTTCCCGGAATAGAGATATGCCAGGAAAGGCCGCAGAAATTGTTGCTCGAGATTGCCCTTGTCGTCCAGGTCGGTGTTGTCCTCCTCCTTCTGCTCAACATCCTGTTGCTCCTTGTCGGCAGCATTGGGTTTGATACGCACACATAGATGGGTAAGGATTTCTCGCTCGTCCTTTGTGACAGCATCGCGCTTGGCTTTGCAACGCTCGACGTTGGTCATGGTCATTGGCGGGGAGAGCTTCTGCAACTCTGCCCTCTTCGTCTCCTCTGCGGCGTGCATCCTGACAGCCAATGTCTCAACAAACTCTCCGATCAGCCGCTGGGCATTCCGTTTGACAGTCGCTGCTGATTGGACAGCCTCCTGTAGGCAATCCACCACTTCCTGCTGCACAATGTTAAGATTCAGTGGGATTTCCGGGTTTCCGAGTGTTGCTCCATCTCCTGATACACGTCCAACATTCGCCTCCATGGTGCCAATTTCCAGCCATGCGGTAGGATGGTGCCAAGAAAGAGATCGCAATAATCCCCTCTTGTCCTTGTCGGCGATCGGTTTCATGTTGGGTTGTGGTGGTTTGTTGGCCTTTGACATCGTCTTTTTGGCTGGGGTGGGGTTGACAGTCTCCGGTCGTTCTTGGTAAAACTTCAGTTTGAATTGCTTAGCCTTGGGAGGTGGAGCATGGACAACCTTGCGGGTTCTCTCCTTGAACGAGAATCGTCCTCGGTTCCGCGGGATCCGTGTCCTTGATAAGGGTGGATGGCCGTCAGCATCTGGGGCAGACATCACAGAAGTAGACTGTTGAGATGGACTGGAATCAGAAGAGATTTGTTGTGAAGGACCACGCGCAGGTTGCGGTGTAGTGACGGTCTTTGTCTTGGAGATAGCAGCGGGTGACTCGACCGTCCGGTACCGGTTGAAGGTCTTTGGCGAGGGTAGCCGTACAATGTCATCCTTGGGCCTATTTATTACATACCAACAAAAGCATATGATGAGAACTGTAGTTCATAAATAACTCTCCGCAAAGTGCGAAAATCCTCAAAAAATACATTGTACAATTACCTCTCTTTGACTCCTGCCGCTCGAATATTTTTTATGGATTGGTGCTTGATGCAAAGTTCGTTGAACCTGTGCTGCAATACACGGAAGAGCTGCAGGGCTTGCGGCTCTTGGACTAAAGGCTGGATTGGCTCTTGCTGTAAAAGAATGAACACCCGGATCGAGTTCTCGAATGTCTCCTCTTTCGTGTTTTTCACCACGACTTGGCCGTGGGTAAGGTAGGCAGCGACAATCTCTCGGGCGTCTATTTTAAAAAAAAAAAGGTAATCAGAATGAGAACCAGCTTTGTAAAATATTTGGCTGAGAATACCAAAAAAAAGAAGTCGCCACTCAATTTCAACGCGATATTACCTGGTCTTGATCCAATCGATTTGATAATGCTGAAGTTGGTTGCTGGCCCAAGCGAGTAGATGTTCTTGTGATAGTCATTTCGAGATACTACCGCGAGCGCCGTCAGCTACGTCCGAGAGATACCAGGAGTTGCGAGGACATCGGGAGGCTTGTAAACGAGGATAAGGTTATTGGAGACTGGACGCCAGAGGGTCGTGACTGATTGATACGCCATCATATCACTGTCCTTCGAGATAATGACGTCAATGCCCTGAGCATCCATAGCAATAGCAAGATCAGCCTCCGTCCTGCAAACGATAACAGTCCAACCGCGGTGCCGCATGTAGTTGGCAAACTCCTGGCGACTCCTCAACGACCAGTGAAAAGACGACTTGAGTCCAGCCTTGACGTCAGTGAGGTGTCGTTTCCTGACCCTCAAATTGCTGTTCAGTCTCTCCTCGAAAACCTTGATGCTCTTTTCCGTCCGGTTCAGGGCCTTGTGTCGCTTTGCGTCTCGTGCCTTGGCTATATCCATTTTTTCCTCTGCCTGATCGCCGTCAATGTATAAACGCATGTTGAGTGGGTCGCCAAATCGTTTAATGTCGTTTTCCAAAATCCTGTGCGCATCATCCGGAGGCAAGTTCTGGTTCGAGTAGGCTTGTTGGATGACGGGAAAGCAGTTGGCCATCACATCAAAGCGACGTGTGCCTGTTGTCAGGGAGGCTAGGACTGATTGGTATAGAACAGTAGGGTTGTAGCCCTTCTTGCGAATGAAAGGGTACCAGTCGAAGAGCCCCATGGTGTTGGGGCTTGTGCTTTTGGGGTCGGAAGAAACGAATGTTGATGAGGATAGTCGGTTTGCTGAGGTAGTAAGAGTAGGAAAATGGTGAGGAAGAAACAGCTTTGAGTGTTATTTCATAGTAGCCCAGTAAAGTCTTGTGAGAGTTAATTTCGATCCATATTAGGGAAGATCACATAGATTCTTTCAACCAACAAGAGAATTATGGACGTCTCCCCTGGAGGGAAGGAAACGTCACACTCATTATTTCCTTGCAGCTATGAAATAAAGGTACTTGCCGCTGCTGTCATTCCCACGCCCTTTACTCATCGCCTTTGCCACTCCTTCCTTCTCTCACTTCACCCTCACTTCCTTTCTCCTTCGTTCTGTTCTTTCCATTCCTCACCTTCTTCATTTCCCTCACTCTCTCTTTCCCTAACTTTCTCTTCGATGCTTCGCAACACAATGCCCGACGGCGACAACCACTTAACCCCGTTCTGCCTTGTTGATGGAGAGAGTACCGCGTTCTCTGTCGAGATTGACCCAACGAAGACACTGGATCATCCCAAGGGCCTCATCAAGACCAAGCAGAGCCCTGACTTTGACGACATTGTTGCGAAGTCCCTGACCCTCTGGCGCGTCTCCATTCCCATCCTGCCCAAGAAGGAACGCAAGGACACCTTGCCAGCTGATGTCCCGTCGAAGGAGGAACTCGAAGAGGCAGACGACATCTCTGAAGTCTTTACCGAGCCACCACGCAAGAAAACAATCCACATCATCGTTCAACGACCCCCGCCAGGTAATGCACATACCTTGCGCATGAGCTTGTTTCTTTTGTACTAACCTTATTTCACTGCATCAGGACTTCTCCACTGTGTTTGTACTAACCGACCACACTCATCCGTCATAGTCCATGCTCCTATCCCCACTCGAGCCCCAACTCCGCATTCGGATAATTCTCGTCCCAGTACGCCTTTATCTGGTGAGCTCGGCCATCAACTTTTTTTTTCATTGTAATTCACTTCATTTTTCTTGTAATTGACACTCATTTCTAATGGATTATCTTTCTGTCAATAGGTGGCCTCAGAGCTGATATCAAAAAGATCACGGACCGATTCTTTGCAACTGGATCTCCTGCCTCTGACTTCCTGAATGCATACGTGCGAGGCGAAAAGAGTTTACCTGTCACTACAGTTGAATTAGGGGGCTACCCAAAGTCCTACGGCGAGGCGTTGTTGACAGCCAGGATTCAGGATCAACTCTTCTTTTTCTGGATTTACCAAACCCTCCGTTGAACGCTGGCGAGCCGATTCCTGAGCGATTTCGGTCAAACGTTCTTTTGAGCAAGCTGGAAGGCATGCAAGCACAGGGCCTCCCCGTGTTCGGCGAATCGGTACGTATCTTGCTATTTTAGATCATCTGTACATCTATTGTGCTTGCCGCAATGTTGCTTTCCGAAAGACCAACATCTTATTCTGATATTTTACCATCTTTTAGGGGTGTGAAAAACTCGCTCGATGATAGAGATGCCCTGTCTTCAATGGGGATTCTACTTCAACGCGGCAAAGGGTGATCTTGGGCCAAGCGATCCCAGCCATCTCTTGCTGATTTCATAGACAAAAAACAGTGGAGGAACAAGGTCCAGAGCAGAACACCGCTTTTGCGAGGAACATGACCCTGGAGCTTTTCCTGTCCCGACTGTTGCTCCTCAAATATTGTTTGCAGGTCCCCAATTGACGTCAGACCCTTTCATGTGCAAGCTGGGCCATTCTCCAAGTCTGTCCTCACATATTTGAGGATGTTTTCTTGAACCTGTTTAAGATGCTGTTTAAAAAGCTGAACGAACGTTCACTTTTCGAGTTAGTCGTGACAACTGTCATTCAGTACGAATTTTTGTTGGTGCGCGATCTACTGACTAGTCGCCGATACCCGGCTGGGTCCAAGTTGAGGCTGGTTGTGGACGAAGCCCAGATTCTGAGAGACAAAGGCAGCACAAAATTCCGTTCTTCTTACCTGGAAACCGATCCGCGACCAATGTTGTGCCAATGGGCGTTGGAACAATCTCCTCGAGTATCACCTTGGACATCAAATCCCTGGGTGTCCTGTCGACGTATCATCCTAGGAAAATTAGGTTATTTGTGAATAACGATGCAACTGCTGCCGGGGAAACATGGAAGGCTACGTTGTTTCCTACACTACCAGTGAAAGCACAGCGATACTCAATAAGGCTCCATGATGGTACGCGGGTCTCGTCGGCAGCGATACAGATAGAACAGAGAAAAGTCTATTTGGTGGACAGGTTGGTAACTTGGGTCGATGACGAAATAAACAGAGTCAAAATGTTAGCACATGAACATCAAAGCAAAGCTGGGCTAGCTTTCTTCTTTTTAGCTTCTTTCCTTTCTTTCACACTCTTCATACCCTTTCCCAAGCTTCTCATCCCGTCTTCGCGCACCCACAACCACACTCACACCTCACACAGAATGCCCTCGCAAGAGTATGAACGACAACGCCCTTGCCCGCTACACCACTTGTTGCACCTCCCAATGTCCTGAAAAGCGATCCCCCATCACTAACGCCCTATTTCTCTGGTGGCGCTTTGCAAATCAGGTTTGAAGACCAAGCTCGGGCACCAAACAGCGACGACGACTTCGTTCCAGCACAACCAGTCCATACAATGCGCACACGCGATAGGTATGAGCGAAGCTTCCATTCAATCCTAATCCGCATATATCGTACCTCCTATTATCCCAGTCGAGGAGTCTCCATCGCTGATGCTTTTGTTTGGTGGCACTTGGGCTAAATAGAGAGAAGAGGAAAGCAGTTGAGGCTCCACGACACAAGGAAAACAATCGTCCCAGGTACGAATGCCGCTAGAGTTTCACAACTATCGAATCGAGTCGAATATGGGCCTTATTCGAATTCGATTCGATTTTTTCGATTCGAATATCGAGTGCATTCGATTCGACAACAGTCGAATATGGACCTCATTCGATTTGACTTTTATTCGATTTTAATAAGGTCGAATCGAATAAAAGTCGAATCGAGTCGAATAAAAGTCGAATCAAATCGAATCGGAGCTCGAAAATATCGAATCGAATCGAATCGAATGAGACCACTATTCGAATTCGAAAGAATCGAATCGAATCGAATCGAATGCCGAATATCGAATATTCTTGAGAAACACTAACTGTGAGTTATGAACTATAGAACTAGACTACTAGGATGACTATACTATTTATATGTGTGATAGAAGCCAGAATGGCTTCTAGAGGTTTCTAGGATCCTTGATTAGTCAGCCCTTGATTAGTCAGCAAGGAAGGATCTTGAAATTAGTGGTCATGGCTGGATTTGACCCATGACCTAGGCGTAACCGTCACCTGACAGTCATACAGAATGGATACTCTGACGATCTTTCTCACCGACCTCTCTCCTCTTTGATCTCTCTAACCTCTTTGACCCCCTTCCCATTATCACTCATATCTATTCCTCTTCCTGTCTAAATTTCTACCACAAAGCGCACTCATATGTTCCCAAAAGCTAAATGGACCGAGTGGCTGCCTTTTTCAACAAAAATTAGGAACATTTGATCAGTTTGATCAGTTTGGTCATACTTTAATCATTTCTGCCGCTCCGCTTATGGCTTTGTTTAAAAAAAAGGTATAGACCCTATAAGTCCTTATGGCAAGTCGCACTCCAATACTGATCGGGATAAGTGGCGCCCTTATAAGGGACAATTCTATCGCCGCCAGCGTGAGTGTTAGCGATCCACTCGCAAGATTTTTTGTTCTCGAGCTTGAAGTGTTTACCGTCATCATGCGGAACAACCTTCCAGTATTGATCCTCGTAATCAGCATCATTGAACGCTACGATGCGGTCGCCGCCACCGTGAGTGTGAGCGATCCATTTGCCAGATTTCTTGTTCTGGAGCTTGAAGAAGTCACCGTCACGAGAAACGACCCTCCAGTACTGATCATCATAGTCGGTGCCTTTATACGGTACAATCTCTCCACCATCGCCAGTGTTGGCGATCCACGCAGAAGTCGATTTGTTTTGGAGCTTGAAATAACCGCAGAGTAATTCCATGATGTTCTGGATTAGAGAAAAGAACACAAAAATATCAGTTATAGCAGCGACAGCTATTCTCAAGTTTAATTGCCAATGTTCACTCATGCTGCCTTACGGGAGTCTGGTCAAGAGCAGGTCTTGTAAGAGGGATATGTGGTGCTCTTGAGAGGGTTCTGCGAGGGTGCTTGGATTGGTTCTTGCTTCTAGCGTCTTGAGGAAGGATAGGTTAAGTTGCGGTGGTGGAGCAGGAAGATACCACTTCTTTATATATGTGATTTATGACCTCTGGTTGCACGCCTGTGTTCAGATTGCTTTAAACGACAGGCTCACTGAATACACCGGACACGGAATGTCTATTCTGTTCTACTTGTTCCCATTCTCTTTTTTGTTAAAGCGCTGTATATGCATATTGCCCTTTCTTTCACTACCCTGCCCCTTTTCTTTGCTCATGCGCCGTGCATGCTTTTTTTCTTTTTTTTCCCCTTTCTCTTCTTTTCTCCCTTGCTGTCGCTACTCACACCATGGCACGTTGCCATGCCCCTTTTCTTTGTTCATGCGCTGTGCTTACTCTTTCCCCTCTTCGCTAGTGAATCGCTACCCACGCCTTGGAACGTTCCCATGCCCCTAACGCTATCCAAGATTTGGTAAGCTTCTGTTCCCCTGTTTCCCTTTTTCTTTTCATGTACTGTGCATACAGTCCTGTCTTAACACGTTCCCATACCTCTTTTCCGTATTTTGCATGATTTTCTTTTTCGCTACTCACGCCCAAGCACGGTCCTCCCCCCCAACTTCTTTGCGGTCGCTGTGCGTATACCTCTTTTTGATTTATTTTTTGCTCATCCTGACACGTTCCCATACCCCTTTTCCTATTCATGCGCTATGCTTGCAGCAATTCTGTTTTTTTTTTTTGTCACCCACTTCATGCGCTCTGGCTACTACTTCGCTGTTTGCTACTCAATTCTTGGCACGAACCCGTACCCCATTTCGCTGTATATCCGCTGTGCCTTCTATTTTTCTCTTTGCTATCCAGGCCCTTGCAAGCTATTTTACTCCCTTTCTCTCCTCCTACGCTGTGCATGCTTCGTTTTCTTTCGCTAGCCACGCCCCCGCACTGTTCACATGTCCCTTTTCTTTATTCATGCGTTGTGTATGCCTTTTTCATTTTTTTCCGCTATCCACGCCCTTGCGCACTCCCACACCATGTTGTCGAGAATCTAGACTAGAGTAAGGCAGGATTGACCTTTCTCGAGGCGGGATCTGATGGATGTGTGGGAACGGAAGATGTAATGATCAGGAAGTTAGAGTGGGTGTCAAAGGCAGAGACGTAGTATTATTCAAGTTACAGTACTAGGTCAAGATCAAACTATTTGGGGTTATGTGTGTAAAGGCGGCTATAAATAAATAAAAGGGGTAATTGAACTAGGGGCGAAGACATCAGTTTTGGGGGCTGATCAATGGCTCCGGGGGCCGAACCATTGTTCTTAGGGGTAACCGATCATGCCAAGAGCCTACCGATCAGCTCTAACCCTAGTGTAGGACGCGACACATATTGTGCATCAGACTTTTGTGGCGAAGAGGCCTGTTCTTCGGATATTGGTATTTGGGCCTGCCTGAGCAGGCAATGGCCCGAAGCTATCATCCGTTTGGTTATGGCTGAACGCCTCTAAGTCAGAACCCGTGCTAGAACGCGACGATTACCGCCTTTTCCGATTTTTAGTTGAATACGAATAGATCCTCGGATCCTGAATCATACTACGTGGGGTTATCTTGCAGAGCGGAAAGGCTTTGTGAGGTTTCTGCTAATGTTAATTTCAAATATTGGAAGAGATAAATCCATTGCAGACGACTTTAATTGAACGGGGTATTGTAAGCAGTAGAGTAGCCTTGTTGCTACGATCTGCTGAGATTAAGCCCATTGTTCTATAGATTTGTTCGAAAGAACAACATCTTCTCTATCTTTTATTCTCTTTTTTTTTTTTTTTTGGCGTTCGGCGGAGTTATTAAGGGCATTTCAACACATTTTTTCAAACGATCTCGCATTTGAAAACCTTGCGGCAGGGCTCTGGGCTGGTCCACAAAGGGCGCGATTTTGTTGAATACCTTGGCGCACCGGTTTAAAATCCGCTTGTGCGTTTTGCAGAATGGGCTCTCGCTGTTCAAAGAAACCGCGCAAACCGAAAAAGAACCCGCACAGAACCAGCGAGGAAACCGCACACCCCAAGGAGAAACCGCACAAAACCGAATGGACATACCACACAAACCGAAGTGAGAACCAGCACAAACCGGATCGTACAGCCATTTTTAGGTCCCCCAGCGGACAAAATACATAAAATACATTCTCACGTTCTCTTTCCTTCCCTCTTCTCACGGCTCATTCTTATTTGCCCCATCAGGTATTCATGATCATAGATCAAGGAGCTGATGTCACATTTGAGGTTTGACGCCTTTCTTCTTCTCCGGTACAGGCTGGAGTCCCTTGGCGCGGAGATAGTTGTTGTTGCGAAGCTCTTGTACTTCTCTGGCGTTGTTGGCCAAATTACTGCGCATGATTTGGATAAAGTCTGCCACTGTTTGCCTTGCAGTGGGGTCAGTGACGTTGGCGAAAAAATCGATGGCAAAGTCGTCGAGGGGCTGAGTGGACTGAGCTTGGCGTTCGATAATCCTGACCAGAGTTTGTTCCTGATGGTAATAAGGTGAAGACCGGTCGACAGGGAAGGGAAGATCCCAGCCCGGGGCAGTATACTGCTGGTGAGGGTTCTTAGGGAAGTGCAAATCGTCAGGAGAGATGGTGTCCTCGTCGGGATCGGCAGGAGGAAAGAAGAAATGTTGTCCAGAGATGGCTGGGATGAGCTCTTGGACTTCCTCAGAGATGACCAGCAGTTGCGTGCGTGGTACGTCGATAGTGGTGGGAGTGGGAGTGGTGGTAGGTTGGGAGATGTGAGAGTTGACCAGAGCCCTAAGGGTGGCCACCTCTTCAGGTGAGAGAGAGTGAAGTGCATTATTGTCGGTGTTGATATGGTCGCTCATGAAGGAATGTCGAAGCTTTGGATGTATTCCTGAAGAGCGACGAAAAAGAAGATAAGGAGCATTTTCGGGGTGAGGGATCCATGGCTTTATATATTTTTTTAGTTTAGTTTCGTCGGTTCAAAATTAAAAAGAAGGTAACACATATGGACATGGCACCGTAGACAATGATCGAGCACCGTTGGCGGATGCCCTGCGTCTTATTGAGAAGACCACTCCCACCCCCACGAAGTCTACCAAAAGGAACACAGTAAAGTGAGATTTATCACGCCCCTTAAGTCACCATGATACTGTTACAAAAAGATGTGGTTGTCACGATACAAGAGCTTGCTCTTGTGACTTCGCCCTAACAAATATAAAAGGGCCTTAGATAGCAAATCTATAGCTCTTTACTTGGTATCGCCAATACAACATACGCTTTAACCTATTCCTTATACTCATTTCCTAGTCCTTGATCAAGGTTCTCTTTATCTACTTCATTCTATTGCTTGGTCTGCTTTCTTGACAGTGGTGGCTAGGCAGTGGCGGCGATGCCTTAGGTTAGCAGTCATATTCTTTAGTAGACATAGTATTAGTAGTGCGCCGAGCCCTCTTGTCTGCTCTTTGTCCTTTTACACATCACTTGGACGAGAGCAGTATTGACAAGAGTTTCGCTGGCACGCTGCAGGTAACAACCCCCTCTTTTAATAATATGAATACAAGGTCCTTTTACACGTCACTTGGACGAGAGCAGACAAGAGGGCTCGGCGCACTACTAATACTATGTCTACTAAAGAATATGACTGCTAACCTAAGGCATCGCCGCCACTGCCTAGCCACCACATCTTTTGTAACAACACCCTAAATTTCAGCATTTGAACAAATGATCACGTAGCCTGGAATTCTAATTAAAAAGGCCGATATCGAAAGACCAAAAAGCAACATCGCTATGAATACTTGGCTGCCACAAGCCAGTTATCTCTGTTGAAATAGCTAGCGAAACAATAATAAGTGGAATGTCAGTAAGTAGTAGAGCAACAAATAGTAAAACTACACAGCAAGATGACAGATGGCAAAACAAAGGGACAAAGGGAGAGTGGCAAAGCACTTTGTGAGTAATCGGTCAACAGGTACCCTCGACTTTCTCCTCAGTTCCCTTGAAATTTTCCTTGTGCAACCATGATCAATATCAAATGACAGAGCATACATCAATCATGCACTCTCCCCTTGATATAAAAATAGTGTACTACATCCAGATGCTGTGGAGGGACGGCCAAATGTTGGAGTTGAAAACCAAAATTTTGTCTCTTTCACTCACTCCAACTCACCTTCCATCCCAACCATTCCCTTCATTTTCGCTTTTCTACACAAACCCGCCGTTTTCTTTATCATTTACATGCAAGACATTCATCCAGAGACAACAATGGAGCTCACTCAATCGTTTCGCTTGATTGGGAGCATGGATATTGAGGAAATCCCTTGCGATCATATCGATGGGCAGTATGTCGTCTCCTGGGAGGACATTGAACAAGTCTTTCCAGGAGTCAAACACGTCAAGAACGGCAAAGTCACTGTTACTATGATGAAGGATCCGAATCGAAAAAGGTAACCCAAAAGAACGCCAGAGTACATGTTTGAGACAGGACAACGAAGTTTAGTCATGCTGAGACTATGCTTACATTACTCTAGAATCGTGCCTCACTGCATCAAACACCACGCAGGTGTAGTCCTGGACGTTGTTTTGTCCTCTGCTGCCGAGCATGTTCATGTCGACTCGCCGATGGCAATTCCTGCCAATAGCCGAGATGACACCTCCGCCAACCCTCCTGCGAATCTTGCTGCCAATCCCCCTGCCATTCCTTGCACCGATGCTCCCGCCGATGCTTCTACCAATGCTCCTGCCAATGCTTCCGCCGATACTCCCGCCGATGCTCCCACCGATGCTTTAAACACCAGTCCTGCTGCCATTCCTTCCGCTATTCCTCCTGCTGATCCTGCTGAAACTCCGACCAATCCCTCCGGCGATGCTCCCGTCAATCTTCATCCACCAGCTGATGCAGCAATTAATGTTTCTACCAGTGCTCCCGCCAATGCTTCAACCAATCCTGCCATCGATACCCCTGCCAATCCTCCAATCAACACCCAATACAATAATCAAGCGGATGCCTGTCCTCCCGGCGCCATCATTGGTGTGCTCCTCGCCAGCCCTCCATCAAGCTCATCCGCTAAAGGATCTGGAACAAGCTCGCCCGCGGCACCTGCTGAGTCGGTTTCTAGCCTTGCCATAGCTGCGGAGACTTCCGCCGACCACTCATCTACCGAGCCTTGCCAGGGATTCCAGGGTGCAGTCATTCGTAGGCTGGATGCACTTCACGATCAGGGCGCCATGACCCAGCACCAAGGCGCTACTACTCAGCAGATTGTCCGAGAGGTTTTGGAGTTGCAAAGGCAGATGAATGACCGACTGATTCTGATCCAGAGCAAGACCGAGGCTATTTTGACGCAGCAGTTGGAACTTGCGGAGTATCCTATTCCTCGGCTGTTTATTGTGCTTCCAGAAGAATTGACCAAGTACGATCCTAGCAACTGGTTCAGGGCCAAGTTTCGACTGTATTTCATTTGTGAGTGCGGCAAGCATACCGAGCCCAGTAATAGCAAGGTACTACACTATATCGGCCAATGCCATATCCGATCTGGTCCTTTCCATGTAAGGGAGACGGGCTGTGTTAAAAGTAGCACGGCTCCCGCTAAAATAGCTCTCTTATCTCGTTAAATTTTATGCCCGCTAATGCTAATCGTTATTTTGATTATTATTCAGGTGCCACATCATCTCCACCTGGCCAAACACGAGGGATATCTCATCCGCGAGCCAACCGAATTCTTCAAGAGATATGGTCCGTTTCTTTTGTTGATGCTTGAGCTGATCAAGCTCGGCACAGGTGTCGCTGGTCATGTTATGCCTACCTTGGCTAGTCTTAATGTTGTTGAGCTAGCTGACTCTGTCAAACAGGCTGTCGAGTCAGTCGCGGCCAAGATCGATTATTCTGTCGCATGTATCGATAATCAATTGACCAGAATTCAAGCATCATCTCCAGGGGATTTCATCAACACTGAGTCTCAGGCAGCAATGCCGCAACAAGATCTGACCAACTACTTGAGCAATGTCGAGGGTCTAGAAGGTGTCGAGTTGCGCCAGTTAGGATCATTCTTGAAGACAGCGGAGGAGGAGAATCTTCTCGGGAACCTTTATCGAATGACTACTTCGGAGGGGCATGTCAAATGGGTTTGTCGTGACCACTACCGAGCCGGTTATCAAGAGAAGCATGATCAGAAGCTCCGCGATGTGGTCAAGCTAGCGCAAGGAGAATTTGATGAGCAACTGGGAAAGATCACTATAACTCTGAGGTCCAGTTTTGCCGCCACCGAGTTTTATAGTGCCGTCGTCAAAGCCAAGAGTGTCCTCGAACTCGTTGTGGAATTGAGGTGGGAGTGTACCAGGAGTGATCTTGAGGCATTACACGATGCACTCAAGAAATCAGGATTACCGATGCTCCGACTCGATCTTGGACAATTTGGAACTAGTCTTGGCCGATCCACCTTCAGCAAAATGATACCGACATCCCGCTTCAAACCGCTTTACCGCATCATTGAACTTCGAAGTATGAAAACGATTCATGTTGTCTTGCCGAGGGACTTTGTTATGCTCTCCGCTTTTCACCCAAAGAAACCATCCCACCGTTCTGAGCTATCTTTCAAGTTGGTACCTGGACCGTTTGGAGCAAAGGAATTAGAACCACTGGCAGAAGCGCTCAAGACCAACTCGACTCTGACCACTTTGGACTTGCAGGACAGCAAGATTGGATCCTACGAAGCACAGGCGCTGTCTGAGGCACTCAAGACCAACTCAACTCTGACCACTTTGAACTTGCAAGGCAACTCGATCGGAGACACCGGAGCACAGGCGCTGTCTGAGGCACTCAAGACCAACTCGACTCTGACCAATTTGAACTTGTCCAACAACTCGATCGGAGACACCGGAGCACAGGCGCTGTCTGAGGCACTCAAGATAAACTCGACTCTGACCACTGTGAATTTGCAAGGGAATTCGATCGGAGATAATGGAGCGCAGGCGCTGGCTGAGACACTTAAAACAAACTCGACTCTAACCACCTTGGACTTGCAAATGAACAAGATCTGGTTTAAAGGACTTCTAGCATTTTCTGAAGTACTCAGAACCAACTCGAATCTTGCCACTATTAACTTGCTCGACAACTTGATCGGAGGCGACGGAGCCAAGGCGCTGGCTGAGGCACTCAAGACCAACTCGGCTCTCACCACTTTGAACTTGCGTTACAACTCGATCGGAGACGACGAAGCCAAGGTGCTGGCTGAGGCACTCAAGACCAACTCGGCTCTCACCACTTTGGACTTGCATGATAACGCGATCGGATCCGACGGAGCCAAGGCGCTGGCTGAGGCACTCAAGACCAACTCGACTCTCACCACTTTGAACTTGGAGGAAAACTCGATCGGATCCGATGGAGCCAAGGCGCTGGCTGAGGCACTCAAGAGCAATTCGGCTCTCACAACTTGGAACTTGAGTTACAACTCGATCGGATCCGACGGAGCCAAGGCGCTGGCTGAGGCACTCAAGACCAACTCTACTCTCACCACTTTGAACTTGAACTTTAACTCGATCGGAGATGACAAAACCAATGCGCTGGCTGAGGTACTCAAGTCCAACTCGACTCTCGCCACTTTGAACTTAAGTTACAACTCGATCGGAGACGACGGAGCCATGGCGCTGGCTGAGGCACTCAAGACCAACTCGGCTCTTACCACTTTGGACTTGCATGTCAACGCGATCGGATCCGACGGAGCCAAGGCGCTGGCTGAGGCACTTAAGAGCAATTCGGTTCTCACAACTTGGAACTTATGTTACAACTCGATCGGAGACGACGGAGCCAAGGCGCTGGCTGAGGCACTTAAGACCAACTCGGCTCTCACCACTTTGGACTTGCGTTGCAACTCGATCGGAGACGACGGAGCCAAGGCGCTGGCTGAGGCACTCAAGACCAACTCGGCTCTCACCACTTTGAACTTGTATGACGACTCGATCGGAGACGACGGAACCAAGGCGCTGATTGAGGCACTCAAGAGCAACTCGGCTTTCAACACTTTGAACTTGTGTGACAACTCGATCGGAGACGACGGCGCCTAGGCGCTGGCCAAGATTTCCAAAGCTAGTACTATCACTATTAAGTAATATAGTACTCTTAAGCAGATAAGTAATAAAATCACTTTGTAGGGAACATAGCATCAACAACGCGACCTCAATTTCCTGCCGAAGCAAGGATTGAAAGAGCCGACATCGAAAGATCAATAAGCATCGTCACTATGAACGCTTGACTGCCAATAGCCAGTTATCCCTGAAATTCGCAAGTGCTACACATCTTCTGGAATAATCGCAAGTGCTACAAGTCATCTGGAAAAAACGCAAGTGCGACAAATTCTCACCACCTACATACTGTTTCACAGGAAGGGGGTCGGGGCAGAGTTGTAGGAACGCTGTGAATTCCACAATCAATTATATGTGTTGGACTAAGTAGATGCAGATATACCCTGTCAGTAGACTTTCTCAACTGTCGAATAAGGACTCGATTCGATTCGACTTTTATTCGATTAGACTCGACTTTTATTTGATTCGACCTTATTTAAATCGAATAAAAGTCGAATAAAGGTCGAGCCGAATCGAATAAAAGCGAATCGAATCGAATCGAATGCCGAATGTCGAACATTCTTGAGAATACACTAGGGTTCAAAACTGCCCCAATGTTTTATTAAATGATATGGTTTTTTTAATTTCTCGTTGGTTTGTGATAGAAATGCTGCCAACCCTGGCGCTATAAGTGTCCTTGATTCTGACGAGGAGATCAATACGTAACGGACCTACATCTATAGTACTTGTAGAAATATCATTGCCTTAGTTATCATGGATCATTGGGGTAGTTTTGAACCATACAACTAAAATGAAGTAAGCAAATATTCATACCTTTTGTTCATGTATCTTGCTCAGTATTTAGTCTGCTTTCCCTTTGCTCTGTGAACAGCAGCGACTCTCCTTGGCATACTTTGAATGAGAGAACGACAATATTCGACTGGGATCTTGTACCACTCCACCGATATTCTCTGCCATAGCTCATAACAGCTTTTTGGTCGTTCTGGATATTTTCAAAGCTGTTTCTTCAGGTATGCCCACATATTTCTTATTGGCGTTTTCTACGCATAAGAAGTAAAAATAGAGTTCAAAAGGGATAATAATATAATAAGATGAAACTACCTAATGTGAGCCTAATGTGAGTTCGCCCCCTGGGACCCATCTGTTCTAAACTTATTTGAGTTATGAGGTGCGTCATAGCCGCCTGTAATGGCTTCCCAAATAGAATATGGAGAGTCTGGTGAAGGTCCTACGTATTTGGGCGGATTAGCGGTGGGGTCGGGAACAAACGGAATACAAATTTTTTTCTGCCCGGGAAACTCTGAATCTCTGCATTCCCTGAAACACTCAACCTTCTGGTCATAGAATTTGGCAATCCCGGCCGCGGTGGCGCATTCGGGTTTCAAATCGCCTTTCACATCCGCAACTGCTCTCTTGAGACGGTCTGCATATCCTCCCAAGGCGCTGCCGCACATAGCCTCCCGGGTCAGTGGTCCGAATTCTGGGGTATGTGTCAACTCTTTCCTGACGATGGCATTGGGTTCTGCCAAGGCAGTGTACGGATGCATTCCTTGACAACACTCAATACAACTGTAGAACACTGCCATGTCATCCTTCTCTGTGACGCAAATGATTTGTTCGATTTCTCGCGCTAATCATTGCTCCTCCTCCTGATCGACGTCCTGGCCACACGCCACTGCAACTAAACCCAGGAGAGTAAAGAAGTAGATGTAGTTGGATCTCATCTCTACAGTGGTAAAGCAGCAAATAGTTCATTAGTATACAAACAGCTGGGTCTTTTCCTGTGTGGCAACAACAAAGTTTAGCAGCACATCTTACTCTATGTGTATGATCGTTAGATGCTATGAGCGTACCAGTGAGCGTTCTTGATAGGGTCTGTGATGCTCTGGCAAGAGTTCTGCGACGGAGTTCGTTTGTGTGGTGGCTCTTGCGAGGGTGCTGGCGATGGTTCTTGTAGAAGTTGTTGCGAGTGTTGCGTGTGCTGTTGCGAGTCCAGAGTGTTGAGCTAGGATTGGATGTTTGATACAGGACGCTGGGTAAGTGTAGCTTCTTTATATACATGAAGAAGGTCGCCTTGACAGTGATGTGTGAAGGAAAAGATGGACATTGAGCAGATGCATAAACAAAATGTGCATAGAGAGACCAATGGACATCAAGGGACAACATCAAGGGACAACACTAAGGGAGGACACCAAGGGACAACACCAAGGGACAACATCAAGGGACAACACTAAGGGAGAACACCAAGGGACAATACCAAGTGACAACACCAAGTGACAATGCCAAAGAACAACATCAAAGTGCAACAGCAAAGGGCAACATCAAGGGACAAAAACAAGGGATAACTAAAATCCAAGAGGTGCTAAAAAAAGAAAGGGATGCTGGAAAAAGTTCAAGGGTACTCATAGAAGGGAAGGATGGGAAGAGATCAAGGGACAATACCAAGGGACAACATCCATCAAAAGACACTATCAAGGGACACTACCAAGAGACAACGTAAAAGGCCAACACCAAAGAATAGGACAACATCAAGGGTTAACGCCAAATTCAAGGGTTGCTAGAAGAAGGGAAGGGATGGGGGGTTGTTTTTTTTTTTTTTTTGAGGGAAAAGAGAGGATTTATTGTGGCTTAAACAGCCTTGATTGAGTTATTTTGTGCTATGGTTTTGGTGATTTCGCGAAGTATGGTGTGGATGATATCGCTACTAGATTGAGTGTGTTAATGAAGAAAAAGAACGGTGTTGGCTGTTGAAATACCAATGAGGCAACAAGCCAGCAATTGTGGGATAGTAATGTTAAATTGGGGTTTGATATCAAAGGTTGGAGGATGGAAAGACGAGACTTTATCAAGGTCATCATCTGACCAAAGTGGTTTGGATGTGTGTTCCTTGAGGATTGTTTACCAAGCGATGTATTTAGGAGCGCACTGAAAGATGTGATGCGCCTTGTCCTCACGTCGCTCACGACATCCGGCCATGTTCCAATGAGGATCCTGCTTCCAGATTTTTTGACGTAGAGTTCCGCAAGGAAGCCAATCCCTTTTAAATCTCCACCACGTGGTCCTGGCCCGGTGTGGTATTTTAGCGCTCCAGAATTGGCGCCACTGTTTCGAGGTTCCCGTCTCTGGTTGGGTTGAGGAGTTTGGGTTTGGTGGTGTGTCTTGCCTCAAAAAGGCTCGAAGGTGTTTGTTCGTGGCCGATTCCAGAGTGATGGGATTACTGTCGTTTGGGATCAAGACAGATGAGAGGATATGCTGTGCCAATGTATCATCCTGCGTGATCTTGGGTGGGTTCGAGAGTGCTTGCTGCATACTGTGGCGCATTCGACGACGTTCTTGGTAGGCCTGGATCCCTAGTTCCACTTGAGCAAGGCGGAGCTTGGGGGAAAGGTGTGTTTTTCTGACCAGTTGGAGGAGCCCATTGTTGTCAGGAGAAAACTGAAAGAGCTCTTCCACTCGGAGTCTGAGGGTCTTGATGGTGGTATCCGTCGTTTCAAACCACCATTCGATTGGTGAGGAGGCAAGTGTTACAGAGTCCGGCAAGGGATCAGCAAGGGCCAGTGCTTTGAGGGAAGGGAGGAGGGACGCCGCAGATACCAATCGTTGCAGACCGGGAAAACCTGCCAATAAGGATCTGTACTGTCCGTCCAGGGGTGCTAGGAGGAAGGCAAGGCGGTGAGACGTTTTGGTCCTCCATCGGATGATATCAAGAATGATATCCTTACCCCAAGAGACATTAGTGGAGAGAGCATTGCGGATATGCTTGAGTTGGAAAACATGGCATTGAGTAGCTGGGTCAATAACGCCTAGGCCACCCTTGTCCCTTGGAGTAGTGATCACCTCCCATGATGGCCTTGGTTTAAAGGAGCATACGAATTTGGTGACTGCAGCCTTCACCTTTCGCAAAAAGTCGAGCGGGGGGTTGACAATCCAGGATAGGTGCCAAAGTTTGGAGAGGATAAGAGAGTTGATGGTGGTGGTGGCTCGGCCCAGGACGGAGGGGGATCGGGAAGAGTGTATGGTTATGGCTGATTGTATCTTCTTCAGAGTCTTGTCCCAGAAGTCTTTTTCCTGATCGCGGTTGAAAAAGATAGGGAATCCAAGGTAGATCAAAGCATCGGCGGAGTTGTAGTCATGCCATCGCACGTCCAAATGTTCCAGATGAGTCTGCAATTCTTTGGAGTAGGAGGAGGCCATAGGAAAGGCCACAGTTTTGGACAGGTTGACTTTGGCATTGGATGCGCGGCCATAGGTCCGTAGGGTATCCTCCAATGCTGACCATTCGGTTGTGGAGGAGAAGGGAAGGGATGGGAGAAGATCAAGGGACAACAACAAGGGGCAACATCAAGGGATGAGGAAAATTTAAGGGAAGAAACCGCGTCGGGATGAAAAAAACAAGTCACAAATTGCGGTAAAACCTTAATTAATTGGTCAAAACCGGGTCATCAAATGGTCCAAACCCGGAATTAAATAGGGATGCAATGGGAAGTATGCCAGCATGGGTTAACGCGAGTGCATCTGGTATGACATTTTTGCATGTTTAGGGCTAATGTCTCCGTCTCTGGGAAGGAGCGATTAGCGAATGATCGACAAATGCTCATTGTTTCTCTCAAGCATGACGATTTGACCATTGTTGTATGGTACCCCCAGTGACGTTGGGGAAAGAAACGGTTGATGAAATAAACTTATTTGTCCAGGTTAGCCCCCATCAGCAGGCATGATTTGCATGTCCGACGTACATCGAAATACGATGGCTAGTCTTGTGGTCGTTGTGGCTATTGTGGCTGAACAACCTTTATTTGCGGAGAGTGAAAGATCAATCACAATGCGCCAAGTATATAGTTTTCTGATCGAGTTATCATAGACGGGACGTTTTCTTTGTTTGAATCGTGATCGACGAAAGGTCCAACACTTTTAGGTCGCTTGTTGCTAGTCTTGCATTGAGTTCTTTTTCTTGATTGCATTACGCGATTTGTTTGCCCCTTCAAACCATCAGCATCATGGAAGGTCATCACCACCCCTAGACACAACGGCGGCCTTGGGGTCATAGATCCGGCGAAGCAACAACAGGCTTTTCTCATCAAGCACCTTCGCAACGCCACGACTACGACAGTCTCCTGGGGGAAGGACATTGTACTGGATCTTATCCTTTGGAAGACAAGGGACATCCACCGCCTATTCTTCATGTTGGACCCTCATGAGAACAAACTCCACCAACAACTCAAACACTTCCCCACCTCCTGCAGCTAGTCAAGGCGGTCAGCACACTTCCTCCACTCAAGACACCCACCATACAAGCAGGACTACCAGATTCGACCACTTTTCTGGAGAGTCCACTGGAATGGTGGTTCCCTTCGATGGATAATGACAACACCACTCTCACCGCACGGATTGGAGACCTGTTCGAGTTGGAGATAGACGGGACTAACAAGTTCAAGGCGGCATACAAGCGCCGACTCTCCCGGAAATCGAAGTGTATAGGAGGCCATCCATATCCGGCCCCACCAACCATAGACTACAGTATAAAAATATCTGTCAACACCTATTAAAACAGTGTCTTCCTTGAGAGTACAACAAATCTCATCAGCTTTTTCCTTCCACCAGTCTCCATTCTCTACATTCACCACCACTACTTTGTAACATCATCTACTTTAGCTGAGAAAGCCTTGGACATGATGTTACAAAGTAGTGGTGGTGAATGTAGAGAATGGAGACTGGTGGAAGGAAAAAGCTGATGAGATTTGTTGTACTCTCAAGGAAGACACTGTTTTAATAGGTGTTGACAGATATTTTTATACTGTAGTCTATGGTTGGTGGAGCCGGATATGGATGGCCTCCATAAGAGACGACCTCATTACACAACTTGCAGGAACTAATACTCGGCGAATGTCACAAGCATACCTGGACGCGATACAGACACCGAATGCTGGAGTCGCCGGAGAACGCCTGGCTCAGAGAATACGCTCACTCATCCTCCTCGACAACGGCAAGACAAAGGTAACTCTAGGGACTGCCTCCACCAGACAGATCCGACAGTACCTGTCCCCGACTCCCGAACCCGAACCTCCCCCGACCCCTTCGACGATGCACCCTGAATCCGGCACCAAGTCCCAATGGCGCAAGTTCTGGAAAACCAAGATTCCACATAGAGCCCGTTCTTTCTGGTGGCGATACAAGCGTGACATTATCCCATGTGGCACGCTTCGGGCCCACAGGTGGAAACAGGACGCCCATTGTGACGCTCAGGGATGCAGGGAAAGAAAGGCTGACAAAAACCACCATGTCTTTGGATGCAGGGGCAAGTACCTAGCATGGCAGTTCATTTTGAGAGAATACACGGACAAGCCCACATGGTCCGATGAAGATCTCCATACTTTGCTATCCTTTAAACCCCCCATCTTTTCCATTAAGCCCAAATACAGCATCACCCCTCCACAATTGCCAGCGTGCTGCCTTATAGGTATAAACACAGCAAACACCATCCTCTTCCTCCACAATTACACACAGTCATCGGAGGAAATCTCTGACTGTATTTCCATAGAAATTAAGAAAGCCATAGCGCAAAACGTCTACATCTTCAACCATACGGCAACAAGCCACAAATAAAACCTTAGAAAATTAAAAAGAATTAATCTATTCACACAGGGCTGTGTGACCTTATTCTCACAGGGACTGTCGGAATAAGACGAAAATTAAAGCGTTATTTGATTTTCACAGGGTGTGTCCTCTATTAACACACAGGGTCATTTTTTTTTGGATAAAGTTATTCGCACAGGGCTGTGAGACGTTATTCTCACATCCTGCTGGAATAAGAAAAATGCTAGAGGATTTTTTTGTTTTCACAGGGTGTGTCTCTCTTTCAAACACAGGGACTGTGTAAATAAGAGACGTTTTTTTTTTTTTACACAGGGCTGTGTGTAAGCTTCCCACACAGCGGATTTTTTTTTTTTTTTTTTTTTTTTGGAAACAAGCCCAGTAGCCGGATTCACTTTGGTGACATTGCCCTAAAACTTGAAGTGAAAAAACCTTTAACATAGTGAATAATAGCACCATTGTAATACATTGGCGATCTTTCTTTTTTTCCCTTCCCTTTTCCTGCTATCATGGGCTTAGCAGATCTCAAAGGGACTCGGATTTCCGGGGGTATCGGCATAACGTCTCATGATCTTATTCCCGATGACAATCGTCCTGTCCCCATAAAACGCACGTTCACAGCAGCCTGGAGACTCCACAAGGATATGACTGGGGAAGTTGTGAAGAACTCTTATCACAAGATTCCAGACTGGGTCGCCACCGGGCCGGTCGAGCATGTCCCTGTTCTCACTCGCTCGATCAAACGCCGGCTCCAACATTGGGATGACTTTCCATGGTCTCATAAAACTCTCCCATCCGAGGACAAAGTGAGCCAGATCATCTCTATGGGATCGACGTTGGAGACCAAGTTTGCTGGCGCCGAGCGCTGTGCTTCTTCCCACCTTATCTACTACCGTTTGGAACCGTTTGGGATAGTCTCATTGTTTACCGCTAGATTGCTCGCTCAGGTATGGATACATCCACTTTATTTGATAGCTAAAAAAAATTATCTAAACCAAGTGAACACAATCAAAAAATAACAATGCTCTGTTGAAATATAGGTCATCTTCACCAAAAGGCTTGCCGGACGGCTCATCGATTTGGAGGCATGGATAACCACGGTGGTAAAGGAGGACAATCCTGCGTTTTCGACTTACCTCATCGAACAGCTGTTTAAGGACAAGGATTACGAGTCGAAACAGTTCGAACCGGCGTACACCAAGATTTCTGTCCGCAAGGAGATAACCTACTCGATTTGTTCCACCAGTCAACTGACCGATGATGCGATCAGTTTTATTTTATTGACGCTGGCTCGCCGTTACGGACAAGACGACAAAACCCTTTTTATGCCGCCTCTGAATGGCCAGGACTGGAATTATGGGAAGGCGTTCATTGTAAAGCGCACGCCCACAAAAATGTTCTCCATTATCCACATGGATGGTCATTGGGGTGTGGTCTTCTTTGATCTACATGTCCATACCATTGCTTTTGGGGACTCCTTGAACAGAGGGGTTCCCTTGGAGTCCATCAAAGCAATCGTCGACTGGATCAGTATGGCTGACGACCGTACAGACCGCCAGGCCTGGGACATAGCCCTGCTGAATATCCAGTCCTTCCCGGTCCAACAGCAGTCTAACTCCTTCTCCTGTGGCATCCTTGCCATCATGGCCATCGAGCGCCGCTGCAATCCCTATGTGGACTGGAAACCTCATACCTCTCCTCAGGCGCAACGGATTCGCTTCCTGCGTCTCCTTTCCAATTTCTCAAAGGTACTAGAAGTGGAAGTGGCTATTGAGTTGAAGAATACAGCATGTTAATATTCCATTACTAATTATATGCTCAATTTGCAAATTAGATCGAGGACGATATGTTTTTCAGTGCTTACTGGAAACATCACACCCTTATTCCATACGAAACCCATGTGGATGAGGTTGTTAAACTCATGCAATGGGAACTTGGACGGCAGGCCGAGGCGAAGCAGCAATGGGAGGCCGAGCGGAAACGTCTGCAGAACGAGAAGGTCGAGGAATACTATCGGCGTAAAACAAAGCAGGAGCAGGATGAGGTCCTACGTCGCTTCCACGAAAGAAAACGGGCCGAGGAGACTCAAAAGGCAGAGAGCGCTCTCAAGTCTGATGTCGCCAGCCAACACAAGGACGCCGGCAAGTTCGAGGACCCTTCCGACGCGGACAAGACCCTAGCCCCTAAGGAGACCTTTCAGGTCCAAGTTATCATATGGTGTTTGTTACATCTCTGTAGATCTCGACAATATCCATAGCGACTATGGGATGAGAATGTATATATGATACCAAGCATATAAGACAACCACTGTAACATTCCTTGCATAACTATCCTACTAAACACCAACCTATTCTCCAAACAACAAAGTCCTCTTATCTTTTGCACACCAATCTCTTAGTCTCCATCTACTAATAAACTGTACCCCTTGTGCTATAATCACGTGTATCATTAGGACGAAGAGTACATAAGGACTCTTCCTCCCTGAATTAAACAGATCCCTCTCTTTGTTTCGTTATTCCCTTTTTCTATAACCTCATTGCTTATCACAACCCCGGTTATTATTTCCAAAGACTGCCACCGTCATCGCGATCGCCTTCCCGATAAATGCTGCCAGCCGTCGAAGTTGGATGGTTCCTGCCCTGATCATCTTCTCCGCCTCCCTGCGCAGGTCGCGGACCTTTGGTCTTGGCACGGAGAGTGTCATGTCGGCGGTGTTGACCCTGAACCCAAGATGGTCGATACATTGGGTAGGGTCGAATGTTGACTTGGCGTCCTTGATGAGGAAGCCCAGTCGTTCCAATTGTTCCCGAACCAGACGGGTATGCTCCTTGGCCTCCTCCTTGGTCCTGGCTGCGATGAGGATGTCGTCGAGATATGCCGAGATCCTGATCCCCTTCTCCCTCGCCCACTTGAGAATTGGATGCACGATTTTTGTAAAGACGAAGGGGGAAAGTGAAAGTCCGAAAGGCAGAGTTCGAAACTGGTATGACTCCGCTCCCCATCGGAAGCGGAGGTACCTGCGAGATGCTGGATGGACTGCCACATGTAGGAAAGCGTCGCTTAGGTCGATACTCGTAAGCCAGTCGCCTGGTTTGAGCATCCTGCAAATGCTGGTGAGGGTCTCCATCTTGAACTTTGGTGCTGTCAAGAACTGGTTGAGTGGGCGTAGGTTCAACACTGGGCGTAAGTCTCCTGTCTTCTTGGGAATCGTGAAGATATGACTGTAGAATCCCTTCCCGCTGCAGCCTTCGATAGCCCTTTTTTGTAATAAGGAACGGACCTCTGTATCGATCGCTGTACGCTCCTCCGGCGAATTGAACGGATCGTGTAGCGGTGGTAGGCGCAGTGGTGGAGGTCGGTCGAAAATGATGCTGTAGCTCGACTGGATAATATTGTTGACCCAGGTCGAATCCGTCATCTCTCTCCATGCCTCCTGGAACTTGAGAAGTCGTCCTCCTACTAATCCGACTTCTCTCCGTCGTTTCCCTGGTCTGGTTGCTTCCTGCCTTGACTGCCACCAGACTTGTACCGAGGCTTGCTACCATACTTGCCTCAGTCCGACTTGTAACCCGACTTGCCGTTGTCGGATATATATCCTGACTTGTCCTTGGGTTGCGACTTTCCCAACTGCTGGTCCTTGGGTGTGTCGTCTGTTGCTGACTTGTCTTTGATAGACTTGTTGTCAGGCTTCTTGGTCTTGTCCTTTGGGGGTTCGTACTTCTTGTATGTCTTCCGAACCAGATCAGCGGCTGCTTTTTTAGCAGCCAGTGATTCCAAAGTCAAGAGGGATTCCTCCTTGTCGTTGCTATGCTTGATACCGAGCTCATCGAGGTAAAGGTTCTCTCGCATCCGACTGATCCTAGAAGCGTCGTGGGCTGTGGATATGCGTACCGTGTTGAGGAGACCGAGTATCTTCTTGCCGAGATCCGACTGTTCATCTCCATCTTCCAGAACTTCAAAAGCGAAAGTGTCGAAGAATCGGGTCGAATGAGCCAAAAATCCTTGGATCGATACCAAATCGCGTTCGTGCCGCTTAGCCGCGTCTGTGAGGGTAACCTCGGAGTGCTGCAGAACCGGGGGAGGCTTGTAATCCATACCTTCAGTGTAGTGGTAGTCGTTCCAGTTAAAAACGCTGTGGTTCTTGGGTAGTTCCGAGTCGAAGAACTTGGGTTCGCCAATGGCTGGGTAAACCTTGAGAAGGTCCTGGCGAAGCTTGATGAGGGTCGCTCGAGGGTTCCTGTAGACCAGTTTGCCGTCCTGCTCAATGGATTCGGCTTCCAGTTGTTGGATCCTGTTTTGCTGCTGCTGTAAAAGGACCTGCTGTTGCTGCATAAAGACCTGTTGTTGCTGCATTTGCTCCTGAATAAGGCGGAGGGTCGTGCGAACGTCCATATCGACATCGGGGGCCGTAAGATTGGGCGCATGGGACATGGGGGAGGATCGATCAGAGATTCGGGGAGAGTGTTCCGGCCGTGAAAAAAGAAAGATAGAGATCAACAGATCACCTAGAGTCCCCTTTATTTTGTTTTCATTTTCATTTTCAATTTTTTTTTTTTTCGGAAGTCACGGCTAATAATAAAAGAAAGATACACACACAGATAGAGTTCCTGGCAAGGAGGAATAATGCACCTGAAGTAGAGGGGTGTGGTTTACTGGTTCAGGGTGACGTTTACTCTGGCAGTTGTTAAGAGCCACTGCTAGTTTGGCAACTTCAGCGACCCTACAGCCGATGGTACGTTGGAGAACTACTCTTGGTTTCACAGTATACGCAACAATAGAGGATTCCCAAGCGTAGCGTATGCAATGGAAAAATCTTTCCAGTGAACGGGGTATTGTAGGCAGTGGAGTAACCTTGTTGCTACGATCTGCGGAGATTGAGTCCATTGTTCTATAGATTTGTTCGAAAGAACAACATCTCTCTCTTTTTTTCTTTTTTTTCTTTCTCAAGGCATTGTTAAGGGTGGTATATTGGTGATGGTTGTGTTTGGCTTGTCAGCCAGGAATAGATGCAGCGCTTGCGACCAAATAGAAGAGTCCTTTCCTTCTATTTGATCGCATATGCAGTGTCTATGTTATGTGACATCGCTGCTAAGATTAAGCCCATTATTCTGTAGATTTGTTCGAACAAATTCCAAAACTCCAGTTCCTATGCATGTTCGCCGTCACCGTAGTTAGCCAAATGTAAATGCTGCACTAGTAGAGATAGGGTAGCACGGTGGTTCTTTTGCTCTTTGCCTTTTTCCAAAGACACTTCAACGAGCACTGCCAACATTAGCTGACCTTATTATTTTCAGTGCGAACGCGAGAGAAGTATATAGTGCCATTCAAGAAATCAAGAAGCAATAACCGAGAGTGCAACGATCTACATCAATCTAGACAATTCTTCACCACCCTCCTCCTCTCTCCCTCTCTTCAACAGCTGGATTATACCGGTCACGTAACACGGGCCGATCAAGATCAAGAACATGGTGGTAAATCCACCAATGTAGGTCGACAATCCAGCAAGGTAGGCAGTAAAATTACGGAAGGTAATATCTTGGACACGACATCTCTCACATGCGAACAGGGTCTCTGTGTTGAGAACGGTCATCAGCGCTTTTGAACCGTCAAAGTACTCCTTCATTATCAGCGTGATGTTGACGGTAGTTTCCGTTTTGTTGGAGTAGTCGAGTCCGCATGAGTCGTAATCATGATCGCCTTGAATATAGTGACAGCCTGCTTGACTGATGTCAGAAGTGGAAGCAGTGTTTGTTTGGTTGGGCTCTCTAATCACAGCCATCATGACGTGGGCAACGGCCTTGGGACTATTGACATATGCGAATTTGGCATAGTTGGTGCGGTTAAACACAGGTTCATAGGAGCTGCTAGGGACCAAGCTGGCGTTTCCGGTATAGGCTTGATTGCAATACAGTTCGGAGCGAAAGGTTTGAGAATAGCCAGGGCCACGGTAATTTTGGAATGTGTAGATGTATCGGTCCATGAAGCAGGCAACAGTGTTGCCGGAAAGAGTGATAGGTTTATAGAGATAGATTGGTGGAATTGAGGTGCCAGGGACCAATCCAGCTGAGTACGTGTATGGAGAGCACGAGGAGGAATAAACTGTTTCCGTATGAGGACATCCATTTTTAACGTAGAAGTACGTGGTGGCAACAAGGATGGCGAACCAGCCAAAGAGACCAAAGGCCTTGTGAATGTATTTGACGCTTGTTTCCACGGGCAAGTTCAGCATTTTAGCAGCCGGTGGTGGTGTACACTTTCTAGAAGCGGATGATGCAGTAACAGTTAATTGAACGTGTTTGTATTACGAAACCCAGTGCAAGATAAGAAATGTAGCATGGGGACTTACAAAGCAGAGGCTACAGGGCGATGGTTGAGTGTATGCTCGTTGGAGTTTTGGCAAAAAATACTTAACTGGCAACAGCAGAAGCTAACAGGGACAGACAGGTTTTGGGAGGAGAGAAAGAGGCGGAAAAGGATGATGGCATTTATATGTGCTACGCTATGGGCTCCAGGATGGTCATCATTTCTACCTTGCCATTTCCGTGTTTTATACACAATTTCATGTTGCGTATGCTTTGCCGATCACGGTTGCACAAAGAAAATTGCAAGGCAACTGAGGAAAATTCAAGGGTACCTGTCGACCGATCACTCACAAAGTTACACAAGAGTCGACCGATCACTCACAATGTGGTAATATGTATTTATGCCTTTGCTCTTGTTCATTGACATTTCCCAATCTCTACTTTGCCATTGTCCTTTCGTTTTGCCATCTGTCACTATGTGCTATTTTGCCAACCAACGTTGTTACTCAGGGGAGAGGGTCGAAGGCCAGAGTTGTAGGACCGCTGTTAAGTCCTCAATTGGTACGGGGGGGTTGATAGTCGGGGGTAGTGATAATAGCATCCTAAAGAATCACACGAAACGAAACACTGCAGCGCGCCAGTGAAACTCTTGTCAATACTGCTCTCGTCCAAGAAGTGATGTGTAAAAGGACAAAGAGCAGACAAGAGGGCTCGGCGCACTACTAATACTATCTACTAAAGAACATGACTGCTAACTTAAAGCATCGCCGCCACTGCCTAGCCACCACATCTTTTTGTAACAACGTTTAGCCTCTATTTGCATTGCCAACTGTCACTTCTTCAATTTGTACTTTGTCAACATGGATAACTGGCTTGTGGCAGCCAAGCGTTCATAGCGACGTTGTTTTTTGATCCTTCGATGTCGGCTCTTTCTCTCCTCCCTGCAGGAGAATTGTTCACCTCACGTTAAAAGGTTCAGTGTTACTTAAGGGGTACAGTGAGTCTGGCATGTATGCAGTAAGTCTACAGAGTGCCTTCCTGTTTCTGATCTTTGATTGCTGGGTGCGCCTGGCTAAAGGATTTTGAGTGGTTGCCAAAATGGCGAAGAGCAGATGTGTTAGTTTTCAGCTATAAGAACAGTGCGAGCGAGGAAGGGAGACAAGCAACAGGAACGAGAGGGAAGATCGACGGGCTGGAGGAGAAGTGTAAATGTAAGTACAGCTGTTAGTTCAGAGGTATGTGGGCTGTGCAAGGGAGTGGGAAAGCAGTGAACAGTGGAGTGAAGTGGAGTGAAGTGGAAGGCAGTGGAGGGCAGTGGAGGGGAGGGCAGAAGAGGGAGGGCAGCGGAGGGCACACAAGAGACAGCGGTCAGGGGCACACAAGAGAGAGAGGTCAGAGAGTAGTCAGGGGCACACAAGAGGGGGTCGTGGGGAGGGCAGTGGAGGGCAGTATTGTTTACCAACGAGCAGTTTTTCACAATGCACAGGTCTCTGTTTGGTTTAAATGTTTTCTTAATAGCCCCCTTCCTTTCTTAAACTTTCGCTTTCGCTTATGGCTTATGGCTTATAGCTGGTCCATGCTGATTGGCTGATATTATTTGGTTCGGAAAATCAAGCGATCAATCGAAAAAAACGTCACGTTTTTGAGGGCCAATTGCATTGATCAACGAATGTCCTACAAAGGACGGACTATTCGCATTGTCATAGGTGCCATGGACATATGTGTTACCTTCTTTTTAATTTTGAACCGACGAAACTAAACTAAAAAAATATATAAAGCTATGGATCCCTAACCCCGAAAATGCTCCTTATCTTCTTTTTCGGTAGCAAACTGGGCGGCGAGGGTGGGACATATGTCCATGGCACCTATGACAATGCGAATAGACCGTCCTTTGTAGGACATTCGTTGATCATTGTCTACGGTGCCATGTCCATATGTGGCTCCAGAGGGATCCCCAATGTGGAAACAGACAGATTGTTTAAGATGACACTGGAGAGACGGTAGTGCTTCTCGAAGATCCTAGGGGAAGACCAATTGCCTTGAACCATGATGTCAGGAATAGGGACACCGGCCATGGCGGCGAGGGTGGAACCAAGGGCGCGAAGCTTGGGTGGCCTGACGCCCTTAGGGACAAAAAGACGCGAGATCGTGTTCATGTAGACCGAGATCGTGGTGGAACACAAAGGCTTGGCTGGGTTGTTGGAATGACGGAACAGTGGAGTGATAAACTGCTTGTCATCTTTGGGGTGCGGGATCGGGACATCTGCAGCCATGGTGCGCGCACGATAGATGGTGAAGGCGTGAACCGGGCAGACTGCCTGGTCGCTATGCTTGCTCAGGTGAACATACTTGATATTACGCTGGCGGCCTCGCTTTTCCTTGGGGAAGACTACCGCAAGCTGGAGTTTGTCGCCGATGACGGCTGATCTAGCTACGTCCGTACAGAAAATGTCGTCGGGACGCATGAACCCACACACGCCTAGCAGCCATGCTAGCTTTCGGGCCAGCTCCACCATGGGGAGCTTATGGTTGTCAAGACCAGACCGGAAATGAATAAGGACTGGCTCGATGGAGTAGTGATCGTGCTTGGTATCAATGATGCCGGAGCTGTGGCCGGCCGCAAGGAAGGACTTGAAAATGGGGTCGTTGGATATGACCTCGGGAGATCGACAGAGAGCAAGGATAGCGGTCTTCCTACTCAGGACTGAAGACCACTGCAGCTGCTTGGTGGCCATAGTGTGGTAGAGCCAATTGACGATGAAGGCAGCCGCATTGACACCCTGATCATAGTGGCCATCCTTGAGCCACTGTAGGAACTCTTGCTGCACGGGTTCGTATTGTAGGCGGGTCTTGGTAGTGGAGATGTTGTCCGTGATGAAGGCCGTAGCGTCCTCGGTGATACCCTCGCGGATTAAGCGTGCCCGCTTATCCTCCACGCCCCCAAATGCCAGTGGGGATTCTTGTGTAGGATGTGACTTGCGCTTCCTCGAGGAGGAAGCACGCTGGCTCTCGGGATCGGGACTGGAGGGCAGATCGACATGGCTTGGACTGAGGGAAACCAAGCTGCTGACGGCCAATACGGAGCTATCAGCGTTGCGTCCAGCTTCTCCTGCCTGAGACGCTGCAGAACTTGTGGGATTAAATTCCACGGAGGACAGATGTAGAGGTTGCCCAATCTCTTCCAACTGTGATGAAGAGCTTCCATTGCCATTGCTATTGGGTGCGGGCGCCAAGAGAAGAAGTGAGGGAGTTGCGTGTTGATTGGCGACGCGAACAGATCGACGTGGTGGGGCCCCCACCAATGGTCCAGTGCTTGGAAGAACTGTGGATCCAGGCTCCACTCCAGCTGCTGTTGCAGTCTCCTGGATGGCGAATCCGCTGGGTTGAAGAGAGATGGCACGTACGTGATCTGCAGGCGTGTGCCGGTAGCTAGACAGTATCTTCACACTCTGTCTGCTGCTTCCATCAGTGGAGGTGATCTCGTACCGCCGAACTTGTTGATATAGGAGATGGTGCTGGTGTTGTCGATAATGACATTCACCATCCGTCCTTGAACTTGAGGAAGGGTGACCGCAAGGAGCACTGTCTGGATCTCTTTCCAGTTGATGTGCATCCTGCGCTCCTCCTGTGTCCATGTCCCGCTCCAGGTCTGGGAACCGATCACGATCCCCCATCCCTCATCTGAGGCATCCGTGTAGATGTCCAGCTCCGGTGGCGTTTGGATCCATGAGTGGCCGTTCCATTGTCGAAGGTTGGATATCCACCATTCCAGATCCTTCTCCGCTTCCTCCGTAAGGATTACTGTGTCCGTCCATTGAGCTCCTTGACGACGCAGGGTAGAGTTCTTGAGATAAAGGAGGTTGCGAGACATCAGGCGCGCCGGGAATACCGCTAATGTGGTGGCCATTGTCTTGCCCACGAAGGAGGACAAGTTCTTGAGAGTGGTATGGCCTGAAAAATTTTACGCTAGTCACGCACAATCGAATTGATAAGACAAGAGAGGGATCTTTGTTAACAGCCCAGACACCTCCATTTATGTCGGTGTCTGGTCATATGACTAAATTACTGTCTCTAGCCTAATTACATTAGCTGACACCCCCGAGACAGGCAAATATGCAACATGGCCCTTGTTGAGCATCTTTGTTGCCTCCCGTCTGAGATCCCTCAGCTTGGTCTTGGGGATGGCGAGAGTCATCTTGCGTGTATCGAATGAGAATCCGAGATGGTCCAGGGTCTGGGATGGCTCCAGGGATGATTTCTTCTCGTTGATGATGAAGCCCAGTGCGGTCAACTTGTCTCGCACTAGTTGAGTGTTCTTGCGTGATTGCTCCTCCGATCGGGCCATGATCAGGATGTCGTCCAAGTACGCTGAGAGACGAATCCCTTTGCGGCGAGCCCAGCGCAAAAGGGGACGAAGTACCTTTGTGAACACTAGTGGTGATAGAGAGAGACCGAAGGGCAAGGTCCGGAACTGGTAGATCCGGCCCTTCCACTGGAATTGTAGATAACGTCGATGAGCTGGTGCTACTGGGACATGGAGGAATGCATCTTTCAGATCGATCGAGGTGAGGTAGTCGTTCTTGTAAACCATGGCGCATACCGTCTTGGTGGTCTCCATCTTGAAGCTGGTTTGCTCCACATACTGGTTGAGGGGCCTGAGGTTGAGGACCGGCCTCAGGTCGCCTGTCTTCTTGACAATGGTGAAGAGCCTGCTTCGGAAACCAGGATCCGTGGCTGGCTCGATTGCTTGCTTTTCGAGCAGGGCGACGATTTCCTCCTCGATCACCTGTTCATCCTCCGACGACATTGAAGACCGGTGCTGTTGGAGATTGGTTGTTGGGGGGGATGTATGGAACGGAATTTGAAAACCCTCCCCAATCACGCTGAGGACCCATTCGTCGTCTGTCAATCGCTGCCATTCCGGGAGATGATGTTGCAGTCGACCTCCTATTGGGAGCTCTGGCCTCGGCCGCGTCCCCGTCCGCGGTTGCCCCTGGGAAAACCCTGTCCTTGGAACTGTCCATGGCCGTTCCAATCGTTGAAGCCTTGGTTCGGGAAGGCAAATTGTTGTTGCTGCTGCGGGGGCGCTGGAGGATACGCTGGAGCGTATTGTTGGTATTGCGAATGTTTCTGGTATTGCTGTTGGTACTGGGGTCGCTGTTGCTGGCCGTATTGAAAGTTGTTGCCGCCCCAACCGCGGCCGCCGCCGCGATGGCCTTTGCCTCCTCGGCCCGATCCTCCGTTGGCTGGCTTCTTGGCGGGGAGAGCCTTGGCATATTCCTCTACTGCTTTGATGTTGGCTTTGATGACCTCTTGAGAGATGCTGACGCCTTTCTTCTTCTCCGGTACAGGCTGGAGTCCCTTGGCGCGGAGATAGTTGCTGTTGCGAAGCTCTTGTACTTCTCTGGCGTTGTTGGCCAAATTACTGCGCATGATTTGGATAAAGTCTGCCACTGTTTGCCTTGCAGTGGGGTCAGTGACGTTGGCGAAAAAATCGATAGCAAAGTTGTCGAGGGGCCGAGTGGACTGAGCTTGGGAGGCCTTTCACGTCCAAATTATCATATGGTGTTTGTTACATCTCTGTAGATCTCGACAATATCCATAGCGACTATGGGATGAGAATGTATATATGATACCAAGCATATAAGACAACCACTGTAACATTCCTTGCATAACTATCCTACTAAACACCAACCTATTCTCCAAACAACAAAGTCTTCTTATTTTTCGCACACCACACTCTTGAATGTGTCCATCTACTATTAACCTGTAACCCTCACTGCAAGATTCGCCAGAGTAGTTCTTGTATGTGATCATCTAAAGCACTTGTACTCTCAACTGCATCTTTGGAGGCCATCCATGTTCGGCTCCACCAACCATAGACTACAGTATAAAAATATCTGTCAACACCTATTAAAACAGTGTGTTCCTTGAGAGTACAACAAATCTCATCAGCTTTTTCCTTCCACCAGTCTCCATTTTCTACATTCACCACCACTACTTTGTAACATCATCTACTTTAGCTGAGAAAGCCTTGGACATGATCATCTCATATTGGAAAGGAAATTACTATCTGTAATATCCAGGATCCAATATGAGATGATCATGTCCAAGGCTTTCTCAGCTAAAGTAGATGATGTTACAAAGTAGTGGTGGTGAATGTAGAAAATGGAGACTGGTGGAAGGAAAAAGCTGATGAGATTTGTTGTACTCTCAAGGAACACACTGTTTTAATAGGTGTTGACAGATATTTTTATACTGTAGTCTATGGTTGGTGGAGCCGAACATGGATGGCCTCCTTTGGGGCGAAATACAGGGGAGAGATTACATTTTAAAAATTCTTGTGCTGTCTATTGCTATTTTATTCTGTGTTCTGTTGCCCACTATAAAGAGATATGTCAGCTATGAAAGTCAACACTCCGTTCCTTGGGCTTTGGATATTTTTTATATGCCTTTTTATATCCTCTGCACATGAAGGGGCCGCTTAGGGTGGCCACCTCTTCAGGTGAGAGAGAGTGAAGTGCATTATTGTCGGTGTTGATATGGTCGCTCATGAAGGAATGTCGAAGCTTTGGATGTGTTCCTGAAGGGCGACGAAAAAGAAGATAAGGAGCATTTTCGGGGTGAGGGATCCATAGCTTTATATATTTTTTTAGTTTAGTTTCGTCGGTTCAAAATTAAAAAGAAGGTAACACATATGTCCATGGCACCTATGACAATGCGAATAGTCCGTCCTTTGTAGGACATTCGTTGATCAATGCAATTGGCCCTCAAAAACGTGACGTTTTTTTCGATTGATCGCTTGATTTTCCGAACCAAATAATATCAGCCAATCAGCATGGACCAGCTATAAGCCATAAGCCATAAGCGAAAGCGAAAGTTTAAGAAAGGAAGGGGGCTATTAAGAAAACATTTAAACCAAACAGAGACCTGTTGCAACAGGCGAAGACTGGGACAGAGAAGTATAGAACGGGGACGAGAGTTGAAGCAGTGATGATTGATGTTATTACTATCTCATATACTAATCTCATATACTAAAATCCATGAGGGATAAATCACATGATATAGCAATTTTTCTGTAATTGCATAATTGCACAACCGCGTGGCGTCTCCATGCTTAACATCATGTTATCGATAAGATCACCCCTTTATTTAACCTCCCTCTCTTTTCTTTTACAACAACAAAAACTGCAACAGAAAGCAACAAACAACAATAGCAACAACAGCAAGCAACAAACGACACCAGAAACAAAAAAGACTTCCACCAGCATGGCATGGACAAACATGAGACATGAGAATGCAGACGAAGCATGGCATGGACACATAAGAGGACGCAGCATGGCATGGACAGACATGAGGATGCAGCTTGGCATGGACAAATACGAAGACGCGAGCACACATACCACAAGGAAGAACAAGAATGAAGAGAACACAGACGCCAATCTACTGAGCATGGTCAGTGAACAGTAGGGTAACGGTATGTCGTGGCACAAGGAGAGTGAAGAGGTTGTATTATTTCTCTTTTAGAAAAGGGTAAGCGTCTCAAGTTTTATCCTCTTCAACATGCGCAAACCATCCACGCCTCTTTATACCCGTACCGGAACCCGTTCTTCTGCTGCTGCTCCAAAGTAAGTCTATGTCAGTGTCTGTATGCAACTATGTTATTTATTATGTTCATTTCTGTTCATCCCTGACCTTTAGTACTGTTTCCTACTTATCGCAGGCAACAGTCCTCTTTGAGCCCTAAGGTCTTGGTTCGGCAGCTGCGGCGCATTGTAAAGGGTGCACCACTCTCAGTAATCGCAGGCGCTGCAACACAGACGATGCGTAGAACGACAATGCAACTATTGTGAATGTCTCTGATCCAATCCCTGATGTCCCCATCAACAACATGACCTCAGATATCGACAGCAGAAGCATCTTGATCTCAACGGCTCCTGTTCATGACCCTGTCCCCGACAATATTACGTATTTTGAGGATGCGTATACACACCTCCGGAGTTTCAAGCCCAAGGTTGCCACTGTTGTTCCCCACTCCAACGCCAACTCCAAAGGTGAGTGGGCGTCGATTCAGGGTCTTTTTCAGGACCACCTCAACTCAAGACCAGAAGCAGGAGCAGGAGCAGGGGCAGGTTGCAATAACCGTCTCTGCCAACAATACACCTACTGTCGCCATCCCTGTCACTGGTCAGGACTCGGACAAAGACTATGGATTCAACGACAACAATGATTTCATTGACGCCCTGAATGGTGTGCTGACGAACGGCAACTTTGACGATGTCTTTTCAATAGCCATTCACAATGCCTACCAAAACGGTACCATCAATAGCGATCGCCCGTCCATTGTTGGAACGTCCTCGGTTACGTTGGACAAGCGAGGGCGAATGATTGTTGAAGAGGAGACTGACGAGGAGTCGGAAGCGGCACTATCGTCCACCGCCATCACCACCATCACCATCACCAGCACCAGCCCCGCCACTGCCACAGCTACCGCTACAGGATCTTACACCGCCGCCACTGAAGGCTAAATCACTGCAGACCAAACAAATGCAGCAAGTAAGGAGGTATTTCTTTTGGGCATTTTTTCTCTTGAGTCTGACCATTGCAACACCTTGCTTACTATTTTTTCTCACTCTCTTTTTTTTTACTATCGTTTGTATAATAGCATCCTTCACGCATTGAGATTCGCAAATTTCGCGATATGAGATACCTCTCTTCCCATGAGAGCATGTGACGCATCCTTGAATAACCTTTGTACGGTCATTCACCTGCTGTGCAACGTCAACAGGTCCATCTCATAGGCCAGCACAACGTCACATACGCGGATCTACTTTGTGTCGCCCGCCGTAACAACGACAGTCAACTGATGGCCTACTTTAAGCTGAACTAAGAGGACAAGGACGCACATAAATATACATACGCCGAGATTCGCGAGCATTACACCTACGACCAAAACAATCGCAAGTGGGACAAGAGGAACCAAAAGGACACCTTTAAGATTTCCCGGATCTACTTTGTCCAGCCTAAGGACGGTGAGAGGTTCTGTCTCCCTTCTCTGGCCGCCTTTCCCACTATGCCACAAGACATCAGCGACAACATTCTCCGCTACATCCCAAAGTCCGCCTCCGACCACAGCGAAAAATCGTGTGAAGAGCTCGCCAAGCTGGCGGGTTCCCACATTCATGCCTTGAATGTCGAGCAGCGGGTAATATTTGACGAAAGCATCGCCTCCGTCTCCACACCCGTCCGCCCCCGAGGGTCCAACCTCTATTTTATTGACGGACCAGATGGTACCGGCAAATCCTTTCTCTACAACACACTAATTGAACAAATCAGTGGTGTTCTGAAAAAGAATGTTGTTGTCCTCGCGTCATCCGGTATAGCAGCTCTGATCCTTCATGGTGGACGCACTGCACACTCTGTCTTCAAGTTCCCCATTCCAGTTTTCAAAGACTCGACCTGCAATATCACCCGCGAGCAACAAGTCGGATCCATTATTCATGCGGCCGACCTCATTATCTGGAATGAGGCACCCATGATGCATCGACATGTCTTTGAGTCTGTGGACCGGATTATGGATCGACCCTTGGTTCCTTTCGGTGGAAAGATTGTCGTGTTCGGTGGCGACTTTCGACAGGTGTTGCCGGTGGTTGTTCATGGATCTCAGTCTCAAATCGAAGGAGCATGTCTAAAGATGTCTTGCACCATTTGGCCCAAGGTCAAGACACTCAAGCTAACTCGCAATATGCGAGTCATGGAGGACAAGAGTAGCTCTTTTTCTTTCGTCGATTTTTTGCTACATGTGGGTGAAGGCAAGGAGCAGACATTTTCCTTGGCGAATCTGATGATTATATCAGGATTCCAGACGACATCCTTTTTACGCCACATGGACCCAATCTCAACAACGAACACGAGATCCAACTTATCCGCACCATCTACCCCAATATCTCCATCGGCAACTTTGCACCTCACGACATTAAGCGCACCGCTATTTTGACAACACTGAACAAGGATGCCAATCATATGAACGACCTCGCGACCACACTACTTCCTGGCGAGGCAACAGAGTACCTTGGCCAAGACTCCATTCTGGATTCAGATACCAACGGCGTCGCCAACTATCCTACAGAGTATCTCAACTCTTTGGACCCCACTGGATTACCTCCCTACTATCTGGTGCTGAAAGTTGGCATGCCCATCATTATCTTCCGAAACGTGGACCAAAAAAAAGGACTCTGCAACGGAACTCGCTTGATCGTCCGCGGACTCAGGCCACGCTGTATCATGGCAACAATCCTGACGGGACCTTTTGCCACCGACTCGGTCTTCATCCCACGAGAGCCTATTTAACAACAGACGACAAGTCCTCCCCGATCACATTCAAGAGACGACAGTTCCCGGTCAGGCCCGCTTTTGCCATGACGATCAACAAGGTGCAGGGTCAAACCCTTGAAAATGTCGGACTCTATCTCCCTACTGCTGTGTTCACACACAGTAAGCTTTATATTTCTCTTTCTTGACGCACAGACGTCAAAAATGTCAAAGTTCTTATGATCCATGGCAGCATCCCCGGGCTTGAGGGCACATACACTAGAAGTGATGTCTATAAGAGAGTTCTGTAATCATACCCTACACCATAGAATCGATCAAAATGTTAAAAGAGTGAACAATGCTCGCCCGTTCTTTAGATCAGTCCTCTCATCCTTTTTGCTGGCTCACTTTTTTATTCCTAATATTATTTTCCCTCCTTTGAAGTCAAGACACATCCAAAATGAACGAGATAAGACCCCAGGTCGGCAACACCTCTAGCCCTTACACACCAAAACCTGGGAATCGAGAAACCGGCGCAGCGCCCGCGGCGTAGCCGCGGCCACTTGCTAGTTCAATAACTATTCAATCAAATATTAAAGTTGAAGTACAGTGTGATAAGAGGAATAACAGTTGGCGGTGGTTTTGAAACAAAGAGGGTAGATTGGCTGTGTTAATCGAGGGTTGGTACTGATGTAGATGTCGACTTTTCCACCATCGGAGTCGCTTTTCGTGTAGTGGGACTCAGCAGAGGTCTGGGCTGATGTGAGAACAGGTTGAGTTGTGGTACATTAGGCTGATAACAGGTCAAGTGGTGGCTTAGAAATTGAAAGAACAGGTCAAAGAATTGGGACATCAGGTCAAACAAGGTTCGACCAATAGAGAGCGATTTCTAAATATACAGGTTTCTTTCAGTTTAATCAACCTCCCTCTAGTGAAAGGATAACATGTCCCATTGAAACGTAGCCGTTTATCTTTGTCTCTTCTTTCTCCCCCCCTCACACACACACACACACACACTCATTTGTTTTTTGCTCAAATGAGGCACGTCATATCGGACGATGATCAAACCAACTCTCCATCGGACGGTTGCGAAAGCTGGCAACAGAGCGATGATGATGCGAAAGAGAGCAGTAGGGATGGATGGAACGAAGACTGGAGCAGAAAAAGTGATGAATCTGCTTTTGACAGGACCAACGAGGAGTTCCATTCTGAGGACGACAGAGCCGGCGATATTGAATCAGATCGAGGAGATGACAATGAGTACGGTGATCCACGGAGTAATAATAGCACCTACGACATTTTTCCCAGTAGTGGCGTCTCGAATGGTGGTGATTCACAACTCCGAGCGAACAAAAATGCGAGGTTACCAAAATCACCTGTAAGTGGACACTTGGATAAGCGAATTTGTGGATAGAATATCTCTTACTGGCGCTAATATTAAAATTCATTAAAAAGTCTACTAGGAGTGTCCAACGTCACTTAGCTACACAGCAGCATTACGACCAACGAAGGCAAGCATCCGATAATGAAGATGAGCACGACGGACTTCCTTCGGTAAGTGTTGACGTTCACCATAGGTGCGTTTATTCCTGAGATCAACTGCGAGAAGGGTTTTAGCGGATGGAGAATCATCTTTCTCTTAAGACGTAAATTTATTAATCTGATCCTGACTCACTTCAACTGGTTCCGTAGCTGCAACAAGTGGCCATGGCCAATGTACAAAAGAATCGATTGCCTCTAGCACCCTCTCGACACCTCCAAGGTCAACAGGAGACGGACGATTTCAATGGGTCCTCAAATACTACCACTGCTGATAATGGTCATACTGCATCTACCGGTGAACCTGTCTTCGCAAATATACCCCAGACCGGAAGTTATGTATGTACTTTGATAAACTGTGCTTATCACTTCTCTCTTTCTTTAAAAATGGCACCTTTTATACTAACACTATCACTTATCATGGTCCAATAGTCGACTGAGAGCGCCCAACGTGGCGAATATCAGGCTGCACAGCGGCTCGCCTCACAGAAACATAAAGTGCAGCAGCGAGACAAAGGTCAAGGTAGCAAGACCATTATCACCACTACTACCACCGCCACTGCCACTACGGGTGGTGCTGCTCGTGCCGCAAATGTGAGAGAATCATCTTCCCCAAACATTCACCAGACCGGAAGTTATGTAGGTATTTGCAAAATTATACTCTGCACGCTTTTTTCATCATATGTGTTACATATGTTCTTACGCTCCTTTTCACTGTTTTTGGCTATATAGTCAAGAAAAAACTATCAACGCCACGATGCTCAACTTGGGCAACAGGTCTCTGTGACACCACACCGTGATCGACAGCAGCAACAGATTATTGGGTCACCACATCGTGATCGACAGCAGCAACAATATTCTGGAGTTCAGCCAACCGCCTCCAATTCTACACTGGCCATGCACAACCCGTTCATGCGACAAGCAGAAGTATATTCACCGATGTATACGCAGAGCCAACCGGGTATGCAACACCATATTCACCAAAACATCGTACAAGGGCAACATCAACACCCCCAGGAGTTGTACCATCCACACCCAAACACATTTCAACAACAGCAGTACAATCCTCAACTTTGGATGACACATCAATAAATACAACAACAGTATGACACCCTGGCACATCCCAACTACACCCTTGGAAGCGATGCTATTGATCTGTCGAATCCTAATGACTTTGGTTCAGAACACCATCGGAAGCGGCGAAACAGTGGTCAGCCGACTTCCTTCCAACCGCCCGTCTATGGCCGCTCGGTATCGTCGCCACAACTCGGCGCTTATCCCTCTTCCAGTCAGTCCCCCTATCAACCAATCAATCTTCCTGCAACATCGATATGGCCAGACTTTACTCAATTTCGAGGATATGCTGCGCCTTAACTGTCGTCCAATACACTCTCAGAATTGACATCATCCTCTCATGGTCCAGCACAATCCACACTAAATCTTGGGTCAAAACCCGGGTCCACGGTAACACCTCTGACTCCACACAACCTCCGCATAATTGCTTTCGAATCGGTCTTCATCCCTTCCAAGAAGAAAAGAGGCAAGAGCAAGGCCGAAGAACCTGCGCGGATCCTACGCTTACAGTCTCTCTTTGGTGGATCCCTAGCTTGGTGCCAATTTTACGCCGACGTGCCCCTAGGCCGCATCCCGACCTGTGAGGCCATGGCTGCCGTTCCTC